GAGAAACCAGGTGAGCAGACCTCTATCGGCGGCGGGTCTCTTGATACTCGCCGAAGCTCAGCCGTCGGGGTGGAGCTCGTGACTCGTGAACGGGGTCAACCAATATGCCAAACAAATATGACGACCGGATGAATTTGATGCAGTTGATGAATCTATCGGTTGAGGTATTCTTTTTGCTGTAGTCGTTGGGGGGGAGGGAAGATGTAGGAGGCAGGACTGGCGGGTCGTTATCGGAGTCGGGGTTGGAGGTTATGGGAGGGGGTTCGAAGGAAGGCGCCGAGGGGAGATCGGAGGGAAAAGATCTCAGTATGAAAGCGTAATGAAAAGAATGAGGATAAAGAAGAAGATTGGGTATGGAGAAAGAGGAAAGGTGGAGGGGAGGGGGAGTTGAAGCAAGTCGTAATAAGGACGAGAATGAGGTTGGTTGGATGAGGTTTGGTTTGGGTTGGTTTGGTCCGGTGTGGCAGACAAACAAACGGTCAATCACCATCACTAGTATGGAAGATCTTAGGTAGAGTTTATTCTTTCTGTTTGTTCAGCCATGTGCATGACTTGTTAATGATTTCCAAATGGCTGAGACTGTATTGACTGGTAAATAACACTACCATCACATCATCCATCGGATTGATACACCCTTTACATCTCAACCCTGAATTATTAATATTATATATATTTTACTATCTAGATCTGAATATATCGATAGGTTTCTGTATGTATATGTTTATATTATATTAAATTATTGTTAATTTCATTATTCTGTTTTATAAGTTTTTACTATAATAAAAAGTAACAATAGATTTCATGCTGGAAATCAAGAACAAAGAAAGAGAGCCCAAGCTGTATAGCACTCCCACCACCGCCACATCATCTGCATCCCAAACAAGAACAGCTAAAACAAGATAGGGATTCCCCCCTGTCTCCCGACGCAGCTGACGGGGGGTTCCCTACGTAAGGGAAGCAACATCCATCCAATCTCAACGCAAGGATAAGATAGTGCCCATTACTTCTCAACACCAAACAACGAGGTACCATAGCGGGTATTCAAGGGGAGATCCCAACTGGTGCAGAAGTGGACGAGAGAACTTAAGCCAGCCGGGTTTGGCGCTCAGCATTTCCTTTTTCGACACATCAGCTGCATCTTACCAGGTAGATACTAGGGTAGAATGAGGGTATGGTAGGGTAAGGTAGGTATGGGGATAGGTCAGGTATCGATGTGAACCTTGGTGCCTTATGACCGTTGTCCATCCTGACTGATTTCTGGTTCTAGATTCCCAACCATCATGATTACCAGATTACCTCCTGTTGGGGCTTGGAAGAAAATCTGGAGTTTAAATCTACTACTGTAATAGGGTACTGTCGTAATAAAAAAAGAGGTTGAAACAACCCACATTCCCAGTTATCTCCTGTAGGTGCTACTCCGGAATACTCCGCTCGAAAATCTGGGGTAGTATACACCACCACAGCACCAAATCATCAGCAAAAAGAGCTTATAATAAAATCGAATAGAATAAGGGAGATATTCCCTAATCCCAAAGCAGCCATCCAGAAAGAATGATCATCAGACAAATCTAGACAAGAGGTGCTACCACCCCCCAGAGTAACACCACCCTGCAACCGCTGACCTCATCATGATGCGTACATCCATTCCCCCCACCCAGAATCCCTATATAGAACGTTATCCCATCCATGGTATCCCGTGAGGACCTTCTTGCCACGATCAAGTCCTATTATATCATATAGTCTATTACCAGCCTATCCACACTACTATCCTCCGCTTAAGAAAGCTCAACCCACCAGAAGCATATACTTGACAATGGGCTGCAACTGCGGTAACACCTGTACCTGCAATGGTCCCCAGAGCTGTTCTTGCTCCAACGATTGCAGCTGCAAGGGATGCGGAGTATGTTGATCTATTCTTGTCCTTTTTTGCGTCATTAATCTATATAAATCGTGCATAATGACCTCGGAAGAAACATACTGAACAGTGATAGAAATAAACGACGACTAAGTCAAACCCATTCCTCGCAACCTGATCCCGACCTCGATTCCGATCTCGATCCGATCTCCATGTATCGGATGAGAGCTGTACGTCGGATTGACGGGGAGGAAGAGGATAAGCCGAGGCCGTTTGGATATGGCTTGGGAGTGATCTTGGATATCATTTTGGACACGTGAATTTGCTTCGGGAGTTTCAGGGTTCTGTTAGGCCATGTGGGTGTGTATAAGAATGTAATTAGTTTGAAGGGAGTTGGGGAAAATGTCACTGTCCATATTGTGAGATTACTACGATGGTGCTAGGATGGTACTACTTGTAATTATTATTTTGGTTTGCATTGCGATGCATGGCTTGTTCATACTGTACTAATCTGCAAATATAAATCTGGTAAAAGATGGAAGATATGTGTCAGGAAAAAAATGCAATTTATGTCAAGTCGTATCTTAGAGCAAACAGCTATCTTCCCCTGGAGAGGAGGAGAGCATAACCCTAACGATCATCCCATTAGAGGAGCCGCTGGAGGTGGCAGTGCCGGGCAGAGGTCAGTTCGAGGTACTTCAGAGTCAGTCATTGACTGAGCAGGAGACATGAATCATGAGATGCTACCAGCACCCTCTGAGAAAGATCCGTGCATGGTAAACCTTTACCTCCATATCCGTCGCTCATACAGTATTGTTTTGCGTTGGGGTAACAGTGATCACCTACCTGGGCTAATATCATCCTAGACCACCCATCCTACTGGTAGTAGACATGTCTGATAGATCGGTAGTATGCAGTGACATCACCGGCAGTTCTCATATACGGTGGAATAGTCACAGCTGCGAGTGGAGGGCTGTCCCTTAGGTTTATAATCATCTGGACTGCCAGTATGCCGGTTACAACATGGTGTCCTTGGATCGCCTGAAATGCAGGTTTCGGTCTTCTGAATCATACTCTTAAGTAGAGTAGACCCCCCAAAATCCACGGAAGACCACATAAATCAGATCCACAGAACTCAACCCCTGGCAGAGCTTCAGTTTTTACCGGGCGGGCAGGCACTCTCGACAAAGCGTAGCAGTATCGAATCATGGGAGTAGTCGACGACAACGAGGGAATAGTCGGGCGGCGAGCCGATCAGGGTGAGACCGTCATGCGAGCTAGACCAGTAGTCTCGAGCATGGACCCTAACAGGGGTAGGAAAGGTGGCAGAGTACTCGTTCGTCCCCGAAAACTCAACATACTGGTACCAGACTTGACCCCAGCAAGCAAGAATCCTCTGTTGTGGGACGCAATAGTACCCCCGTCGGGAGCGAAGTGGTTGCCTTTATAGTCATACAGGAAGAATGGCTGGCCTGCACTGACCGCACGGTCCACGTCGTGCAAATGGCAGTCGGGACCAGCGTGGGGGCATATTTTGTATCGGCTAGCCTTGGCCAGTGTGTCGAAGTGTAGAAATTGGAACCCTGGAGTGTCGCTGCTGCCGAGAAATTGGTCCATTGCGTTGATGATGTGGTAGCAGTGGCCGTGCCTGAGGGGCAGATTGCTGACAAGGTTGTCGGTTTTTTGCTCAGCAGCTTTCTCGGTCGATCCAAAGGACGCCAGGGCGACGAGCAAGAGAGACTTGAGGGTGGATGGCAACATTGTGAAAGTCTGGAGAGTAGATTGCAGGATGGTCTGGAGACAAGTCTCAAGAAGAACTGCTTCTCAGATTCTCCCAATTTCAGTGTACATCTCAGTGCTATAACTAACCCAGCCCTTGACGGTCCCTAATGTCAGTTTTATCCACGACTGTTTGCAATATCAGATGTTACTGTTACAGTCCATCTATTATCACATTTGTGTGTCCATCAGTAGGGCTCAAGTCATGGTCTGATCTGCCGACTCTGAAAGCGGCCATCTTCATCTGCCGCTTGTGCACCATCACAAGTTATTGATATATGGGTCTGAATATGTTGATATATACTATGCTGCTGCTTTTTTTCCATATATTAGATAGTAACTATATATCGTTAACCATGCTATCAACACCAGAGCTGCACCTTCATGATTGCCATTGCGGTTTACTGATGGAAGGGAATCATGGAGTTACTCTTATCCTTACAGAATAAAGAGTCCATATCTGGTAGCAAAACCCTGTTACGCTCCGCTAGGAGACATTGTCTGGAGTGATATCGGGCGTCTACTTCCAGCGTGAATAATATATAGTGCTAGGGCATCAATCCCACGCATCCAGGCATATGACTTCGTCGAACCCTAACATGGTGACGTACAAAACGGGACTTCTGCCAGTAACCTTTTCAGCCCTAATCCAATATTTAATCGTGAGAATATGGCAAGAAAATCAAAAGAAGTATAAAAGCTTTGAGAAGTGGTGGGGATATTCAGGAACAAGGCCATTGCTACATTGTTGCCGGAAACATGGTATGATGCATTCTTGACCCATATCTGTCCCGCATAACTCTACTCTAAGCGTCTGAGGGGTCCAAGATGTCGATGTCACTGTCACTTAGCCCACGGGAATTTCCCTGATGTCCTGTCATACTACAGCACTTGATATTGTTACCTAAAAGTTTCAGATAACCTAGTATGCTGCAAGCGTCAGTTCATTGTAGTCCCACTGGTCCCAAGTGCGACATTGAGAGTGGGATGCAGCACACATTGGAATGTGTTCGACCGGTGAAAGAGACCCATCTGTCAAATGGCATTGACAAAGCCAGAGGTGGGAGTACAAACCACTGTAACCCCGAAGTGTGTCTTTGACAGGACACCAACTTTCATTACCACGCATCTACCATCATATTCTTCGGTCGAGAGTCACGGAGGTACAATGGCCTTTACGCTTTCGGGAAAGCCGTAGTAGGAAAATACCATTGTTCGTTCTGTCGGACATCTATGCAGCCCAAGTTCAGCCATCTGTGGACAGGAGTATACCACTTGTCATGGAAGACAAGAGGCCGCAATTAGCAAGACTGATCTCAAGGTATAAAAGAGCCATATTCTCCCATCCAATGCTAGCAGGTCCATTCTCTCTCCCTCACCTGCTCAACCTACACAGCTCCTTTCTTTCCTCTACTTCAAAGCTCCCATATCGTTCACGATGTTGCAGAAAACCCTCCTATTAGGGCTAAGCATCTATCTTGCCCCCGCCCTCGCTGGACCTCTATTTAGCCGGGCTGGCCCCTCTGAGTTCGAACTCGGCGATCCCTACTACCTGTGCTTGAGAGACGATGGCTCAATCGACAGGGGCGCAACGGCAACCTGCGATCGCGGAAGCTCGGCAGCCAAGCTGAACGATATCAGGGAAGGTTCCACAGGAGATGTGGAGTTCTTCTACGTCGACGAAACAAATCCCAGGCGTAACCACGTCCTCCATCTCGACTGCGCAGGAGGGCATTCGTCTCCTGTCACGATCACCGAAACTGCACCTCCTACCACAGTCACGGAGATAGAGACGGATACCATTATTGAATCCAGATCTGTCACAATCACGCGATTTGAGACAGATACAATTACGGAAATCCCACCACCTGCTACTGTCACTGCGACTGTTACTGAGGCATGCTATGACAATGGCTATGGTGATAATGGCTACAATAATGGCTATGACAATGATGGCTATAACAACAATGGTTATGACAATAATGGCTACAATAATGGCTACAACAATAATGGCTACGATAATAATGGCTACAATAATGGCTATGACAACAATGGCTACAATAATGGCTACAACAATAATGGCTACAACAATAATGGCTACAACAATAATGGCTATGGCGGTAATAGCTACTACTAATCCGCTGATAACCTCCGTGCAACTGGAAGGTTCTGTGTCGACGATGATTCACAAGATGCGCGGGGTGTCCATTATATGGAGGATGGGAATGGGAGGCTGTCAGTGTGTGAATACATACGGAGTATTCATCTGAGACTGAGGTCACCAGTTGCAATAAGGTACACTTTCCAATATAATGCTGTCTCTTGAAGGCTGGGGAGTAAGTAGTATGTTGATAAGATGCAAACTCTCGTTGCCATATGTCTTCGGTATGGGAAGAAGTTTGATTTCTTCGAAATCCATAGTCGAGAATATAATATAGACATCCCAAGTGTTCTCGTTCCTTTCCTAACCAGCTGACGACGTGAACAGGATATGAGTGATAAGAAAGCCAAGGCGCTTTATATCGTAGTGCACTTGGTATTAGGCAGAGGGCACGTGTCTAACAATACAAATCTGATATATAGTCCAGGAAAAGGGGATCCAAATGGGGTTTCTGATTTTCCTATTGGTTTTATTAGTTTCTTAATTTCATAAATAATCATTAGTAGCATTTCATTCAAATAAAAAGGATGAAGAACTATAAAATTAGGTGACAAAGACTAAATACCTACTCCATACGGGGTAATTATCGCTCCTCTAGTGGTACGATTGACAGGAGACTTCCCCCTCTCCAACCCACCAATGTACACCTACACCTACACATATACATCATCCTCAACCATCAGGTGCGTATGTTAGGTTTAGGTCTTCGTCGACTCAAAACACGGCCGTCCTTACTGGATTTGATCGCCAGTCAAGCCGTGGTAGAGGAAACAGACCGTGTTGTTGAAGTGGGATCAAGACCGTCATCACCGCCCGCGGAGGAGCTGCCACCGCTTCCCGTTTCGCCCACCTCGACCACCTCCCGCAGTGACCGCAGCTGCACCACCACCACCACTTCTACTACTACTGCTACCGATAGCACGGACAACCTCCACCACCACGATCTGAATCATCTCCCTTCCTCCTTACCTCCCCCCTCTACGTCTACGCCGTCTATACACCCCGTTAAGATGGCCCCGTCCGCCAAGGATTCCGAGGTCGAGCATGGCTCTGTCTTCTCCGTCTCCGGCCCCGTCGTCGTGGCCGAACACATGATCGGCTGTGCCATGTACGAGTTGGTACGTACTCGCAACTCTTCTATTGCATCGGATCGATCAGATCAGACTTGCTTGACTTGGACATATCCTCCTTCCGTCATTCGCCGTGGCTCTGTTGTCTCATCTTTGGCATTTCGCTGATGGTCTGTAGTGCCGTGTTGGTTATGATCAGCTGGTTGGAGAAGTCATCCGGATCGAGGGTGATAAGGCTACCATCCAGGTCTACGAAGAAACAGGTACGGTTTCGTTCTACTCTAGTGATCTCTATCAGTCCAAGTCTAACCTGTCTACCAGCCGGTTTGACGGTCGGCGACCCGGTCACGAGAACGGGCAAACCCCTGTCGGTCGAGCTGGGCCCCGGTTTGATGGAAACGATCTACGACGGTATCCAACGACCCCTGAAGGCGATCGCCGACCAGTCGAAAGGCATCTACATCCCCCGTGGTATTGCTGTGAATGCGCTGGATCGCAAGAAGAAATGGGACTACAAGCCGGGTCAATACAAGGTCGGGGACCATATTACGGGCGGTGACGTCTGGGGTACCGTGTTCGAGAACAGCTTGGTAGACGACCACAAGATCCTCCTCCCGCCCCGCGCGCGCGGCACGATCACCCGGATCGCCGAGGCCGGTAGCTACACCGTCGAGGAGAAGCTCCTGGAGATCGAGTTCAACGGCCAGAAGTCGGAGCATGGCATGATGCACACCTGGCCCGTTCGTGTGCCCCGACCCGTCAACGACAAGCTGTCCGCCGATGCCCCCTTCGTCGTCGGCCAGCGCGTGCTGGACTCGCTGTTCCCCAGTGTGCAGGGCGGAACCGTCTGCATCCCCGGAGCGTTTGGCTGCGGCAAGACCGTCATCTCGCAGAGTGTGTCCAAATTCTCCAACAGCGACATCATCGTCTACGTGGGATGTGGCGAGCGCGGCAATGAGATGGCCGAAGTGTTGATGGATTTCCCCGAGCTCTCCATCGACGTCGGCGGCCGCAAGGAACCCATCATGAAGCGCACCTGTCTGATCGCCAACACCTCCAACATGCCCGTCGCCGCGCGGGAAGCGTCCATCTACACCGGTATCACGATCGCCGAGTACTTCCGCGACCAGGGCAAGGACGTGGCGATGATGGCCGACTCCAGCTCGCGCTGGGCCGAGGCCCTGCGTGAGATCTCGGGTCGTCTGGGAGAGATGCCGGCTGACCAGGGTTTCCCCGCCTACCTGGGCGCCAAGCTGGCCTCCTTCTACGAACGTGCGGGTAAGAGCACGGCTCTGGGTAGCCCGGAGCGCACGGGCAGCGTCAGCATCGTCGGAGCCGTCAGCCCGCCGGGTGGCGATTTCTCGGATCCCGTTACCACCAGTACGCTGGGTATCGTCCAGGTGTTCTGGGGGTTGGACAAGAAGCTGGCGCAGCGGAAGCACTTCCCGTCGATCAACACCTCCATGTCCTACAGTAAATACACGACGGTGCTGGACCGGTACTACGAGAAGCACCACCCGGAGTTCCCGCGCCTGCGTGAGCAGATCCGCGAGCTGCTGACCAAGTCCGAGGATCTCGACCAGGTGGTGCAGCTGGTGGGTAAGACCGCGCTGGGCGACTCGGACAAGATCACCCTGGACGTGGCGGCGCTGCTGAAGGACGACTTCTTGCAGCAGAACGGATACAGTGACTACGACCAGTTCTGCCCGCTGTGGAAGACCGAGTACATGATGAAGGCGTTCATGGGCTACCACGACGAGGCCCAGAAGGCGATTGCGCAGGGCCAGAACTGGACCAAGGTGCGCGAGTCGACTTCGGACATCCAGTCGTCGTTGCGCAGCATGAAGTTCGAGGTTCCGGAGAACCACACCGAGGTGACTGCCAAGGTATGTCTTTTTCTATCTTCAGAGCCGGTTTGAGTCCATTGCTAACGCTGTTATAGTACGAGAAGATCCTTCAGTCGATGACGGAGCGCTTTGCCTCGGTGTCGGATGAGTAAAGACGGACGTGCTGGTGTTTTAATGTCTGTTGAGCTGTAGCATAGCAAATTCCCACCTGATGTAGTTAGTTTTGATTCCAGATGATTTGACCAATTATCCGTATTGTTGTGTTGATGGCTCGTCCGTTGACCCAGTCAGGCACCCGTTTATGTTTGGGTGGCCAACCCATGACGCGTTTAGGCTTCACCATTATGTGGGTAGTAGGGTAGATATTGTGTGAGAAATCAATATAAAAATATAATATATATATATATATATATATAAACAGATATGTATCAGTATATTTAAGAATATATATGAATATATTCAAATACAATCTCTACACTGACAGACACCTTGAAACGAGCAATCTGGACCCTCTCCTGGTCATCCCGCCTTAATCCCTCCTGAGGCTCCACTTTTCCACCACTAACCAACATCCTTTCCTCTTTCTCTCTCCCCCATCAGTCACGGCTGCATTCCTCCGCAAACAATAACTCTTGTTGAGAACAACTCTCTAAACATACCATTCGAGTCTTCAACCTCCTTCTCAGCTCTAGCTACTGTTACTTTCTTATTCTCGTTTCATCTTTTAATACCCTTTCAAACCCCGGAGTGATCGTCTCGACGACTGGTGCCTGTCATGGCAAGTCCGACATCTGGCTTCTCGTGCGCAATCCCCCTGTCCCTCCATGCTGCTTCCCCGATCTCCACACACAAACAGCTGTCTAACCTTCCCCTCGCGACAATAGGATCAACGTCAACGATCCGAGCTTGATTTCGCTCGTCAATAAATTGCAAGATGTCTTTTCGACGGTCGGTGTAAGTACTATACTGTCTCCCCGGAGGCTGGTCTAGCCCGCCGAGAGAGCCCCTCCTGCGCGGACCCTAACTAACACCGCCGGTTCCCCTAGGTTCACAATCCCATTGATCTGCCCCAGATCGCAGTGGTCGGCTCGCAGTCCAGTGGAAAGAGTTCCGTTTTAGAAAATATTGTCGGGCGCGATTTGTAGGTCTTCCTGTCGGTTCCCCGTTACGGTGGCGATCGCTAACCACACTCTCCCGTTCACCAGCCTCCCTCGTGGATCGGGTATCGTCACCCGGAGACCCCTCGTCCTGCAACTGATCAACAAACCCGCGAGTGGCGACGGAGAGGCGAATGGAGGAAAGCTCGAGACGACGGACAAGGAGGCCAACATCGACGAGTATGGCGAGTTCCTGCACATCCCCGGCGAGAAGTTCCACGATTTCAACAAGATCCGCGAGGAGATCGTGCGCGAGACGGAGCAGAAAGTCGGTCGCAACGCCGGAATCTCGCCCGTCCCCATCAACCTCCGCATCTACTCGCCCAATGTTCTGACCCTCACGCTCGTCGATCTGCCCGGTCTGACCAAGGTCCCCGTCGGTGACCAGCCCAAGGATATCGAGCGCCAGATCCGCGACATGGTCTTGAAGTATATCGGCAAGCCCAACGCGATCATCCTCGCGGTGACCGCGGCGAACCAGGATCTGGCCAACTCGGACGGCCTGAAGCTGGCCCGGGAGGTCGACCCGGAAGGGCAGCGGACGATCGGTGTTTTGACCAAGGTCGATCTCATGGACGATGGTACCGATGTGGTGGATATTCTTGCGGGCAGGATTATCCCCCTCCGCCTGGGCTATGTGCCGGTGGTCAACCGTGGCCAGCGTGATATTGAGAACAAGCGGCCCATCGCCTATGCGCTGGAACACGAGAAGAACTTTTTCGAGGGCCACAAGGCTTATCGCAACAAGGCTTCGTACTGTGGCACGCCGTACCTGGCTCGCAAGCTGAACTTGGTATGTTCTGCAGTTGATTGGCTGGCGAGAGATGAAATCTAACAGTGATAGATCCTGATGATGCACATCAAACAAACCCTGCCCGACATCAAAGCGCGCATCTCCTCCTCCCTGCAAAAGTACACGGCCGAACTGTCGCAGCTGGGCGACTCGATGCTGGGCAACAGCGCCAACATCATCCTGAACATCATCACCGAGTTTACGGACGAGTACCGCACCGTGTTGGAGGGTAAGAACCAGGAGCTCTCCAGCATTGAGTTGTCCGGTGGTGCGCGAATCAGCTTCGTGTTCCACGAACTCTACTCGAACGGTATCAAGGCCGTCGACCCCTTCGACTACGTGAAGGACATGGACATCCGGGTCATCCTGTACAACTCGTCGGGTCCGTCGCCGGCGCTGTTCGTCGGCACGGCCGCGTTCGAGAACATCGTCAAGCAGCAGATCAAGCGGCTGGAGGATCCCAGCACGAAGTGTATCTCGTTGGTGTACGATGAGATGGTGCGGATTCTCGGCCAGCTCCTGAACAAGCAGCTGTTCCGACGGTACCCGATGTTGAAGGAGAAGTTCCATGCGGTGGTGATTTCGTTCTTCAAGAAGTGCCTGGAGCCGACGAACAAACTTGTTCGGGATTTGATCAACATGGAATCTTGCTATGTCAATACTGGACATCCCGACTTTTTGAACGGACACCGTGTACGTCTCTCCCCTTTTCCTCTTCCTCTTCCTCTTCCTCTTCCTTTTTCCCTTTTCCTTTTTTTTTTCACCCTTTTCATACATACTGATAATCATAGGCCATGGCTATCGTCCACGAGCGTCAAGCCAGCGCCAAGCCGACGCAGGTTGACCCGAAGACCGGAAAGCCGCTGCCCCAGCGCGCCAGCAGCCCGACAGTGGAGGCGGTGACGGCGGAGAACCAGGGCGGATCTGGATTCTTCGGCAGCTTCTGGGCGTCGAAGAACAAGAAGAAGATGGCGGCGATGGAGCCGCCGCCGCCGACTCTCAAGGCGTCGGCGTCCATGTCTGAGCGCGAGACCACGGAAGTTGAAGTGATCAGTACGTACCCAATTATGGGAGCTGGGGAGGCAGGGTGACTTCAGTGCTAACAGTAGTAGAACTTCTGATCACATCGTACTACAACATCGTCAAGCGTACGATGATCGACATGGTGCCCAAGGCAATCATGTACACGCTGGTGCAGTACGTCTATCCTTACATACATATACACACATGATGTATATAATGCTAGTGTATCCAATGCTAACAATCACAGATACACCAAAGACGAAATGCAGCGCGAGCTGCTGGAGAACATGTACCGCAACAGCGAGCTAGACGACCTGCTCAAGGAGAGCGACTACACGATCCGCCGACGGAAGGAGTGCCAGCAGATGGTGGAGAGCCTGTCCCGGGCCAGCGAGATTGTCAGCCAGGTTCAGTAGGGGGTCACCGGGGGGTAGTCAGTGTTTGGGGATGTCGTTCATGTGTTATGTTTAGACCGTCTGCAGAGTCGGATGGGTCTCTTTCTATGTGGACGAACGGGTTTCGGATGTTGGGTGATTATTTACTTCATGTTGTATCGTCTAATGATTTAGTGACTAGAATAGATTCTTTATCTAGGTGTGGTCAGAATGATATTAAGATGTATATTCATCTCTTACTTCATAGATATATACCATAGATATATAAGATATATATATATATATATCTCTCTCTCTATACATCTATATATAAAAAGAGAAAGAAAGAAAGATCAAGAAATCCACTTCTGCCCCTTCACATCCCCCCTAATACAATAATTCTCCTCCGCGAGCTTCAACAGCCCCATATCCATATCCGCAACGCACACCCCCTCCCGCGCATCCAGCGTCTTCACAGTCCCCACAATCGGCATCACCACGCGCGACATGCCGATATACTTGCCGCCGCTGCTGCTGCTGTCAGGGCTGTCGGAGGCCGAGCCAGAGACGTTGGCGAAGATGATCCCGCAGGTGTTTTCGAAACACCGCGATGTGAGGATCGAGGCGAGGAAGAGCGGTTCGCAGCTGGGGTTGATGGCGCGCAGGGCGGGGGAGGCGTCGTTGTTTGTCCCTTTGCATATTGTTAGCATATCATATCGTATCATATCGTATCATATCGTATCATATCTATATATATATAGATATATATATATATCAAGAAGAGGGTAAGAGAGGAAAGGAAAGGAAGGGAAATACATACAATAAGTAGGAACAACAACAATCTCCGCCCCCGCAGCAATCAGCGCCCTAAACGCCTCGGGAAACGCCAAATCCCAACAGACCAGCATGCCGACTCTACCGATAGGCGTATCAAACACAGGGTACCGCGCCGGGCCGGCGGCCTCAGACGCCGGCGGGGGCGAGATGAAGCCGCGCTCGCTGATCCATAGGTTGCGCTTGATGTAGGAGCCGAGGATGGAGCCGTCGGGGCCGATGAAGTAGGCTTTGTTGTAGTAGTGGTTTGTTATTTTGTTTTTGTCTTCATCTTGGGGTTGGGTGGTGGTGGAAGGGGGCGTTGGGTCCGCGTGTTGCTCGAGGAATGTTCCGGGCACGATGCAGATGGAGAGTTCGGTGGCTAGGGCTTGGTAGGATTTTAGGTAGTGCGGGGAGGTGGTTGCTTGGGTTGCGTAGAGGGGGTTGGTGGGGGCGAAGCCGTTGAGGTGGAATCTTTATTGTTTATTCTTAGCCACATTTTTGATTTATTGTTATATTCAATGTGTAGAGAGAGAGAGGGTGTTGGTAGGAGGGATGGGAGGGGATATACTCGGGCAATACGGCTAGTTCGGCTCCCTGGGCGGCGGCTTCGCGGATGAGGGTGCATGCGCGGGCGTGGTTCTCTTCGGGGGCGACGGGCTTGACTTCGAATTGGATTGCGGCGACGCGGTGGGTGGGTGCCATTTTGTCTTTGTCTTTGTGTCTTTATCTTTGTGTCTTTATTGTGTAGTTTATGATAATAGGTAGGGAGTAGGTGGGAGGTTGTAAAGGGGGAAGGAGGGGGATGTGGGATAAGTATAGGACGAAGTATAAGATGTGGACCCACGGAGTAGAGTCATGAGTCATGGCGATGAAAGACTGCCTTTGCTGTGCGTGATGAACCAACCTGGTACTGAAGGACTAGCCCTCTCTCCAGATGTACATGTTAAGTAATAGCGTAGTATATGGGTAAAGTGTATACATCACTCCCTCTCGCTCTCCCTCTCCCCCTCCCCACGACCCACCATCTCCTCCACCAACAAATTAAACTCCCTCTCCCTCTCCCAAGGCAACATATGCCCACTCCCCTCATAAACCACCCAAGTGATCTCCTCCCCCAGCGCCTCGCGCAACATCTCCCCGTGCCTAAACGTGAGCATGCGATCCTCCGTCCCATGCACAACCGCAATCCTCCCCCTCCCGACCGCATCCCCCATCGCCTTCAGTTGTGCTGCAGACTTGCTATGAAAGTAGCACGCAACAACCTGCATCAGAAACCCCTTCGTCGTAAACGCGACCGGATCCGCCCGCTTGCGCAACTGCCCCGCAGCATACCGGTCGCGGTTCGTCGGGAAATTCAGCTTAGGGTCCTCGTTCTCCGTGTCCGGTCGCGATAGGAACTCCTCCCCGAAGAGCGTGTGCGATACCCGCTCCAGCTCCACGTCGATGTGCTTCGGGATGAACATCGCTGCGCGCTCGCGCAGGTACTCCATGAAGGGCACGGTGCGCACGAGTCGCGGCGCCGTGCAGCAGAGGGTGAGGCTGCCGATGTGCGAGGGGATGAGCGTTGCGAGTTCTTGGGCGATCATGCCGCCCATGCTGGCGCCGACGACGTGGATGCTGCGGGTGGGGGTGGACGAGGAGGTGTCGATCCAGTTGAGGGTGTGTAGCAGGTCGACTACGTCTTGGGCCATTTCCGAGGTGGAGTAGTAGGTGGTGGGCTTGTCGGTGCGGCCGACGCCGCGGTTGTCCAAGACGAGGGCCGTGTATTTGTCGCCGTGGGTGTGGCCGAAGTATTTGGTTTGGCGCTTCCAGTCTTTGCCGACGGCGTTGAGGCCCATTATGAACTACATTGGTGAGTATCATTGCTTGCGCAGCTGGTTGATGGGTAAAGTGGAAAAGGGGAAAGAAACATACGACCATCTTGATCGGACCGCTGCCATGGGTCTCGTGGTACAGATTGAAGGGCCCCCCGCGGCGGTTCTGGGCCACCGGGGTGGTGCCAGATGTGGTCGGGGGCAGCTTCCAGTCCACCGAGTCATAGGCGGAATGGTTGATGATCTCCACGGCCGACAAAGGCATGATTATGAGGGGTCACAGTTGGACTGGATAGGTGGAAGGGTTGGAGATGGAACAAAGTACAGAGTACAAGTGACCCATCTCACATGGGGATTCAACGTTTTTTCTTGGCAGGAGATCTCCAACCTCCGAGGTGTGGAGCCGGTGGATTCCTACTCCATTTGGATGATGACGTCGTGGTAGGATTTTATATACTTGATAAGGATCTTAAGATAGTAGATTATATATCTAGGTAGGAAGATGAGAACAAGATGAGGACATCAGCTGAGGCTGGATGATGACTGCGTTAAAGGGGTCGATTTGACGTACTAATGGAAGGCTGCATGTCACTTGCATACAGACTCCACCCATTCCAGCCTCAACCAATTTACCGTGAACTCGCATTCCAGGGCTGCGAGTCATGTCACGCGTGGATAACTCGGTCAGCTGCAGAAACAGAACAACTGACTGGTTGCCTTATATAAATGCCTCCTATATATCCATATATAAGTACCTACGTGTACTCCGTAGTGCAGTATACACACTACTATACGCCTCAGAACTTCCACAACACCCGATAACACAACATCACCATGACTGCCGGCCTCTCCAAAGGAACCTTCCACGCCGCCCAACCCAACGACCTCCGCAGCCCCTGCCCCATCCTCAACAGCCTCGCCAACCACGGCATCATCCCCCGCGACGGGCGCAACATCACCGCTGACGAGCTCCAATCCGCCATCCAATTCATCGGCCTCGGTCGCGACACAACCGCCATCCTCGTCAACAGCGCCTTCAAAGTCCACTCCGACGACCCGCACCAGGGACCCCCAGGCAGCTCCCGCACCGGGTTCCGCGACCCACACCAGACCAACGAAAAAGGCATCCCCATCCTCCACCTCGACCAGCTCGGCCGCCCGCACGCCGTCGAACACGACGTCTCCCTCACCCGCCAAGACCGCCACCTGGGCGACTGCATCTCCCGCGACCCTGTCCTCTACGAGCACCTCCAGGCGGCCTGCGTCGACCACGGCGGGCTGACGCTCGGCGTCGCGCAGATCGGCCGGTTCCGCCGCCGCCGCTACGCCGAGCAGGAGCAGCTGAACGAGGCGCTGCAGTTCGGGAAGCGGGAACACTTCGTGGCGTGCGCTGAGGCGGCGGCGATCCAGTGCGTGTTTGGTCGAGGGCTGCGGTACCAGGTGCCAAGAGCTTATGTCGAGGCTGTCTTTGGGGAGGAGAGATTGCCTTATGCGGAGGGGTGGCAGCCGCGTCGACTGGGGGTGTATCTGCCGGAGATTGTGGGCATGATATTGGCGGTGTCGTGGTTTGCGTGGCCGTTTTGATTGGTTTGTTCAGCTGGTGACATGGATTGCGTTCCTTTGCTTTTTCTGCCTGATCTTGTATGGACTATCACATGCGGGTCGAGCTGATGGGAGGAATCAGCACAGTGGTTGGTTCTTGCGGTATATGCAGCTGGTTTGATGGAGGTTGCTGATCGGAAGGTCCAGACCAGTTGGCAAACCGTCTTGGGGAGTCCCCTTTGTTATCAAGGTAGATAGATACTCGACCAGTCGAGTCTGCGGTAGACCGCCGATTTGCTAGATGGTTGATCTCCGTGTGATTGGTACTTGGGAGGGAGATCGGCAGGTTGCCGAGATACGGCAGTCGTGCATGCAGCTTGCATTTTCCTTGGATGGACAAGATATGGAAACAGTTTATAGGATCTAGACCTACGATGAAGAGATTGAAGTATACAGACAGGAGTATAGCTCTATTTATGGATATAGGAAGGTATGGATAGATTACAGTACTGTCACGTTCTGTACATACCGATGGAAACACCACCTGAGGCACGAATCAGGCTGCCACTTTCTTATCTCTGGATTGACCAATACGAAAACTTCTGGGTGGATTTCTGGTTTAATTTCAGTCGGACTCTCCATATCGCCAGCTTTTCTTTCTTCCTCTCTATCGCCCCTGATCGTCCCTGGTCTGATCCACTTTCATCCTGGAGACGTCGATTGTATTTCCTTCAGAATTTTCTTACCTTATTTTTAAATTTTTTTTCCCTATTTTTTTTTTTACCTCAACCCGACATCCCCCTGATTACACCATTTATATTACTGATGACTGGAAAACCCACCGCTTTACCAATTCGATCCCCGCTCAACTAACTCTATTCCATTCCGCCGCTTTCATCATGCCTAACTGCTTCCTCCTCTCCTCCTCCGCCACCGTCCTGTCTAGATGTCGCTTTTCGTTGATCCCATGCTAACCTCGGTGCAAGTGTGCCCGCCGTTGCACCTTTCTGTCCTGTTGGGGCAGTTTGGTTATTTGTTCGGTTGTTGTTGATCCAACGGTTTAGCTTGAGCGTGGTGGACGATCGGTACTTGCGATTTTATACTCTCGCCTTCCGGTCTGGGATCTTCCTGGTTTGATCGACCTCGCTGTTCAACGATTGGACAACGCAAGAGAAAGGAAAGAAAGGACAAGAGAAAGTTAGGAAGGAAGACGACAAGGGGAGTGAGAAGGGACTCAGAAAGAAAGTGAGAAGTGAAGTGAGAACGAAGTGAGAAGGAATTAAGAAAGGAAGTGGAGAGAAGAGATTAAAAAGAAGGAAAAACAGAAGAAAGAAGAAGAAGAAGAAGAAGAAGAAGATGGTCAAATACAACTTCTTCCCCGCCGTCTATCGGTGGGCGCGGGACACCAAGGCGCGCATTCCGATCATCAGGGATATCCACCTGAACTTTATCCTCCTGCATTACACCTACATCATCGCCATAGCCATCATCACCTCCATCATCATCTACCCCGGCAACGACCTCGCCTACATCGATGCCCTGTTCTTTTGCGCCGGCGCCGCCACCCAGAGCGGCTTGAACACCGTCGACTTGAACCTCCTCCACACCTATCAGCAGGTCATCCTGTACTTCACCTCCATGATCACCACCCCCATCTTCATCCACACCGTCCTCGTCTTCGTGCGCCTCTACTGGTTCGAGAAGCGTTTCCAGCATGTCGTCAGCGACGCCCGCGCCTTTCGCCGCACCCGCTCGCGCGTGCGCACCATGACCACGGACAAGGACAACCAGACCTACGACCGGGAGGAGGCCGGGGTGCGGAATCGTCCCATCACCACGCTGCGAAATGTCCCCGAGGACAGTCGGGAGTCCGACCACGATGGCCACACCTTCAAATCCCCGGATGACACCGACTCGGCGTCCGGGTCGCACGACGATCCGGAATCGCCCTCGGAGGAACCGAACCGTCACATCCAGCGCAAGATGGGCCTCGGCATGAATAGCCTGCGCGTCCCCGCCCGCCTGAGCCCCGAACACCACATCGCCTTCCTGGAGAATCAGCGGAGGGACACGGGCGCCTTGCGAATCCCTAGTCCCCGCGAGTATGACCGAGGCGGGGTCCCCCAGGCCCTCGAGGAGGCGGTCCGGGGTCCACCGATCCAGCGGACGTCGAGCAACCAGTCGGCCCGGAGCCCGCGCGACACGCGAGACGACGGTTCGGATGATGGGGACGAGGACGAGGACGAGGACGACGTGGGCCCGATGGATGGTCCACACATCACCATCAACGAACCGGAGATGATACGGTCCCGGACGCGGAATTCCACCTTTCCCCGACTCGACACCCGACCGACGGTGCGCGAGACGACCGACGGGAACGACGGGAACGAACCGTCGTCGCCAGTAACGCGCACCACCACGCGGCGGCCCACCGTCAGCGGGATCTTCCGGTCCCTGACGCAGGAAAAGGACCGCTCTACGCAGCCGTACCTGAGCTGGAACGCCACGGTGGCGCGAAATTCCAACTTCGTCGACCTGACCGAGGAGCAGCGGGACGAACTGGGCGGCATCGAGTACCGGGCGTTGAAGACGCTCGCCGTCATCCTGATGTCCTACTACGTGTGCTTCCACCTCCTGGGCATCGTCTGCCTGGTCCCGTGGATCATGACGACCCACTGGGGCCAGGCCGTCGAGCTCATCGGCCAGGGGCGGCCCTGGTGGGCCATCTTCATGTCCGGGTCGGCCTTTAACGACGTGGGGTTCTCCATCACCCCCGACTCGATGATGTCCTTCCAGTCGGCCATCTTCCCGCTGCTGCTCATGACCTTCCTGATCATCATCGGCAACACCGGTTTCCCCTGCATGCTGCGGTTGATCATCTGGATCATGGGCAAGTTCACCCCGCACGCCAGCCCCCTGTGGGAGGAGCTGCACTTCCTCCTGGACCACCCGCGGCGCTGCTTCACGCTGCTGTTCCCGCGCAACGCCACGTGGTGGCTCTTCGCCATCCTGGTGGCCCTGAACGGGATTGACTTAATCTTCTTCATCATCCTGGACTTGAACGATGTGGCCGTCACGGCGCTGTCCACGGGCATCAAGATCGTGGACGGCCTGTTCCAGGCGGCGTGCACCCGAACCGCGGGGTTCAGCGTGGTGTCGCTGTCGGAGCTGCACCCGGCCGTGCAGGTCTCCTACCTGATCATGATGTACATCTCCGTCTTCCCGATCGCCATCTCCATGCGGCGGACCAACGTCTACGAGGAGAAGAGCCTGGGGATCTACGAGGGGCCGGTGGACGATGAGGACGCGGACGCGGACGCGGACGAGACCCAGACGGCGCCGAGCTACATCGGGGCGCACTTGCGGCGCCAGCTGAGCTTTGACCTGTGGTACGTCTTCCTCGGGCTGTTCATCATCACGATCGTCGAGGGGAACCGCATCAAGCGCGAGGACCAGTACTCGTTCCAGGTCTGGGCGGTGCTGTTCGAGATCGTGTCCGCCTACGGCACCGTCGGCCTGTCGCTGGGCTACCCGGGGAGCAACACCTCCTTCTGCGGCCAGTTCAAGGTGATCTCCAAGCTGGTGATCATCGCCATGCAGGTCCGCGGCCGGCACCGTGGCCTGCCCTACTCCCTAGACCGAGCCATCCTACTCCCGTCCGAGCACCTGAATCAGAAGGAGGTGGTGGACGCGGAGCGCCGCATGCGCCGGCGAGCGTCGAGTCTGGGCCAGGCGACGACCCTGGACCGACAGACATCGCAGTCCCAGGGAGACAACATCGCCTCTGGTACGGATGCCAAAGATCAGAACGAAGCCTATCTCCGACGACAGGGCACTATGCGGTCCCAGCGTTCTCAGCGATCTCAGCGATAGTTCTTTATACTTATTATCATTACTTTTCTTTCCTGTCCAAAATTTGTGTTGTCGGTATAGAGGGGTTAGGGATTGTGTTTGTGTATTTTATCACTGCCACTTGAGCCTGTTAAGCCTGTTTTGAGCGTGTTGATTGTACTGCTATTCTATTACTCCTGATGGATGTACATACTACTATACTTCTCTACGGCCTCGCGTATATCCACTGGTGGATTTTTTATTTTTATTTTTACTTCTTTCACTTCTTTTCTATTGTATGTATCAACTTGCATTAACTATATGACCTTACATGACGTTGTATTCTTGTTGGGATATCTAATTTAGACGGAAACGAACGCGTTGAGACTGATATAGAAACCGGTATATAAGGGGTCTGTGATTGGTGGTCGAGCACGATCCAGACCCTGATGGATCGGATGGTTGCTTGGCGGATTTGCTTGTTTGCATCGACTCAGTTGACCTTCATTAGTATACCTCTAGATAACCTCATCCATTAACCTCCATCAGTATACTCATGCTAGATGTTGTCCAGCCATTGTCTCTCATTTCCCAGGAATGATCCAGTATGATGGCGGTGGGCAGGCAGACTGTCCAACAGACGCCCATCAGATGATCCATCATGACGATCACCAGAGCCGATCAACCAACTGTCAATACCTAGGTACTACGCGACGCAATGGATCAAGGCAGAAACATAGCGATGCAATTACTACCTTAGTACGGAGTACCAACCGGGTCTCGTACAACTCACCATGCGGATCCTCGTCATCGCACCCGTGCTAAACCAAAGCCAGCCATCACCGTGTAGACCTACTGCATGCAGTGCCCTCCGCTTCCCAATCGGGTCATGATCGGACCTTGATATCCCTGCCACCACGTCTCAGCTTAAACAACTCTCAACTCTCCATTCCGTGCTTCTATCCATGAACAACAAACTCTCTTCTCTTCGCCCCCTCCATCTCGTACCAAAAATAAAGGCGCACAACCATGAATCACGGACCAGGACCCCCCCGTCCGGACTACGGATACCGCCCGCAGGAGTTCCACTCCCATGTCCCCGGCGACGACTTCTCCCGCTACGGCGGCGCCACCTCCCATCTGCCCAAACTAGAAGATTTCGATTACCAGACCGCCGGTCCGCCCCCGCCTCCAGGTGCTGGTGTGCCTCCGCGGACGAAGGATGAGGGGCGGTGGAAGTCGGCGGCCTGGTATGACCCGCGTGGATGGTCGCTGCGCACGAAGCTCATCGTGGGCTTTGTTGGCATTGCGGTGGTTATTGCTGTGATTGTGGGCGCTGTTGAGGGGACGAAGAAGAATCGGTATCCGGATTACTCGCCGTTGGATTATAGGCTGGTGGATTCGTATGAGGGGGAGAGCTTTTTGGAGAAGTTTGATTATTTTTCCGGGAAGGATCCTACGGATGGGTTTGTGAAGTATGTCCTCTCTCTCTCTACACCTCTCCTCTGGTTAGAAAAGGATAGACAGACTGACTAACTCATTAGGTACGTCGACCAACAAGCCGCGCAATCACTCAACCTCACGCACGCGACAGACTCCTCCGTCGTGTTGAAAGTCGACACCTCCAACCCATCTGCCACCCAAGGCCGCCAGTCTGTCCGTCTAGAGTCTAAAGCCAGCTACGACGAAGGTCTCTTCATCTTTGACATCATCCACACGCCGCACGGCTGCGGCACGTGGCCCGCGTTGTGGCTGACCGACCCGGCCAACTGGCCGACTAACGGCGAGATCGACCTCGTGGAGACTAATAATAAGGCTACCGAGGGCAATGCTGTCACCCTGCACACTACGGACGGCTGTGACATGGACGTCAAGCGGAAGATGACGGGGCACGCCCAGTTCACCACCTGTCTCAACTCCACGAATAGTAACTCTGGCTGCGGCGTGCAAGCGCCGCCGTCCAGCTACGGGGAGGAAATGAATCAGAAGGGAGGAGGGGTACGTTCCCACCATATACTCTCCTATGCGTTTCAAACACTTCACTAACTCACCAATTCGTTTGATATGAAAAGATCTACGCCCTCGAACTCCGCAAAGCAGGCATCCGCGCGTGGTTCTTCCCGCGCTCCTCCATTCCCTCCGACCTGCAAAAAAACAACAACACCAAACCCAACCCCTCAACCTGGGGCACCGCGCTCGCCGACTTCCCCAACACCTCCTGCGACATCGGCGCGCACTTCCGCAACCAGCGCATCGTGGCTAACATCGACCTGTGCGGCCAGCTCGGCGCCTTGCCCAAGTTCTACCACAAGATGTATCACTGCCCGGCGACGTGTGAGGAGTTTGTGGCGCATAATCCGGAGGAATTTGAGGAGGCTTATTGGGAGTTTGGGGGGTTCAAAGTATATCAGGCTTAGTTTTTTTCTTCTGGTCGTTTTCTATTTGTGTCTTTCTTTCATTCTGTCCTTTCTGGTTTTGTTATGGTTTTCTCTTTTTTGGGTTGGATCTTCTGGTATTGGTTTCTTGCGACTTCTTCAAGGGTATATGTCAGGTGGATTATGTTTATGTCTGGATTGATGGATGATGGATGTATGTTTAATGGATGGATGAGTTATGTACATTAATGGCACAGATTGAGAATATTATGTTATGGTTATATTCATATAGTTTTCTGTTCGATATGTACTCCGTATATCTTGAACCTGAACGCAAGGACAGATACTTCGCAATTAATGCAAAACAATCCAGGGATCATCACCATCAATCATGTCTATACATAAAACTACCTTGTCACAATTTAACCACAACATGACCAAATATATACAAATAAGGTGGTGCTGCGCTAAAGCCTTAGGCTAGATCAATGTCAATATTCTTCAAGTTCGTTAGATACTCCCAAGAATCTAACAATATCTTCTTCTTTGATGCCTGATTTACCTTATTACGCTGATTAAAACAAACCAATCATTTACATCCTTTTGGTCTGACCATTCTACCATCCCTTTCCAACAGACATCTGACATCCCCATCCATCTAAATCACGCAGATAACAAACATGGACGACGCCGCGCGTCCAAACAAAGAAACATCCCACCAAACCCTCCAAAACAGCCTCGATATATGGACCTCCTATCTCAGCGCAGAGCCCAAATCCCACCGACTCCCCCGGCAAGCCATAAACCTAGAGGCACTTGCCCATCAAACCCCGCCTTTCCTCGGCGGTGACCATGACCGTCCACCAGACACGAAAGTCTCATTCGCCTGCGAGGAGAAACACGCAGGCAATCTAGTCGTCAACAGCCGATCAACATGGAGAACTTCCCCTTCCACTTCCACATTTACTTCCACTTCCACGTTTACTTCCACTTCCACTGACAGCTGTGCCCTCCCGCCGAGGGTCCTATCCAAGCAGCTTATTCTAGGCGTTAAAAGTCGGGTAAGCGTTGAACTGAGAGAAGACGCCCCGTTTGCGGACTGGCCGGGGGTGGAAGGGCTCGAAGGTTATGACGGGGGGAATTATTTGGTTGTGCTTTATCTCGCGTGGGCTTATGTATTGTCTGCGAGGTGGGTTGGGGTGCTTGGGTGCTCTACGGATCATGAATGTCGAGTGAGATATGCGGTGCAGGAGGGGACGCCGAGTGAGCAACAGCCCGTGTCTATGGTTGAAGTTGACATTGGCGACAATGCAGACGAGGAGGAGATTAGCTGGTGGCGTGCTGTTTTGTGTTCTACTGGCGGTTGGAACGCGACGACGACGTATAACGGACATGACTATTTATCGCCGTGGTCCGTGTCGGCTAAGGATACAGGGTTGACCTTGACGCAGACACAGACGACAAATGAGTTCAAGTCACAGTCAAACTCACACCCACCAGGCTCAGCAACAGCTCTCAAATACCTCTCACGGTTCTGTGTGTCTCATCGTCTGTACGCGCAGTGCTCCGTCGCTCTAGCCGGGGCACTCTACATCCCGTTTCTGGGGGGACGAACTGTTTACCTCCCGTTTCCAAAGCCAGCGCCTCTGCCAGAAATCAAGGACGATGATGGTGACACTATCCCAGACCTTCTCAACCGGCATGGCGAGCTGCTCCCCCAGTACATGACACTGAGTTCTAACCCGTGGGGATTACGCTCCATCCTGCACAGCACGTTCTTCAATGCTGATATCGAGTGTAATCTTGTCAGCGCGTGGCTGAACCCGGCTTTTGCCGTTATTGATTCAATGTCTTCGAGGGAAGATTCAAACCCGTCCAAGGAAGTTGCATTGGCCATCTTATTGACAAACCGCCATCCCCGCCTCAGCATCCTCTGGCTCAGCGCTATACTTACGGACTTGGCAAAATCTATCCTGCGAGACGTGAAGGCTGGAATGACAGCGTTGGATCTTCCGGCTTCTGCTTGGGTTGGAGAAGCGCAGACGTTTTTGACTGCAAAGGTTGGGACTAGCAATGGAGACTCGATATCGATTCCCCGCGACGACGAGTGTCGGCTACTCTTCTTGACAGCCAGTGAAGGTCATGACCGGCCTCCGGTTTGGACCTGGAAGCCGTTTGGCACTACGGAACTTTGCGATACGGAGCTTTCGGTTCAAAAACATGCCCAATGTGTTGGTCATGGCTTACAATATGAATCTTGGGAATGGTTGACCACCAATTATGATAATGATAATGATAGATTAATCCACCGCCGGGTAGAAAAGAATCCTAGCAGAGCCCAGAACCGAGCAGCATGGCCAATACCCCAAAACAAACCCCCACCAGCAGCCATGCTCGACGACTATCAACAATACGACTTATCCTCACAATCCCTGTCCGAATCAGCCACACGAGGGATATTCAGCTGGCTGCGCTCAACAGGTTACCCACTCAGCGAAAGACCCATATACCAGCACTCGTGGATAGACCTAGAAGACACCGACGAAGAAGAGCCTGAGCCTGATGACGCTGATTCAAACGTGGGCATCCAGCGGAGTACAATGAAGGTGCATATGCATGTTGAGGGCTGGCTTGAGGGTGTTGAATAGCATACATTAGCACTTTCCATTGAGAGCCAGCGCGTGAGGTCAATGTACTCCTCAAAGCAAATAGAAACCAAGAGAAACATGTTGAAATAGGTAAATTATGAATAGAAGGAAACCTATATATAACGGTATTCAGTGCTCGCTTTTCAACTCCAACAACTCCAACCCCACATGAAAGATAACGCAAAAATCCTACAATAAAGCAGATCAACCCACCATCTCAACATCCTCATCCCCACCCCCACTCTGCCTCTTCTTCTGCCTCCCCTCCACCCCCCGATCGACAACCAACGTGCTAACTGCCCCAGAAGCATGCATCACAACCGGTGCGCGCGGACTGCTCTCCTCATTACCCTCCCCAGCCTGATCCCGCTCCAGCTCCTCCTCCAGCGCAGCGTCATCGAGCGTCGATTGTCGATCCCCAGCAGCCCCATTAAGCGTGCGCTGCCCCTTCTCGATATCAGTGCTGGGACCAGTAGCGGTTGAATCACGACCGCGCTTCTCCTTAAACTGCTTGTAGGTGGTTGTCTTGGGGATAACGTCGGAGAGGAACTCGAGGTTGTCGATGCGGGAGACTGCCGTTGCGAGGTCTTTGTATTGGATGCCTTTGCGGGGCTTGCGCTCGGATTTGACGACGTTGTGGGCTTGGGTTGTGAGGTGTTGGATGAATTGTTCCTATATTTTATGATCACATGTTAGGGATTGTCTTTTTGGGGGTTTCTCTTTGTAGATGGAGGTAGGCGTAGATAGAGAGAGGATGGGAAAGAAGACGAACAGTAGCCATAGCAATTACAAAAGTGGCATTACTCGAGCATTGCACGATATCATCGTCAAGCTGGATGATTTTCTTAATCCGTGCGACTAAATCATATTAGTTTTCGTTATTGACCGTGGCAAGTATGCATTTCATTATGCGAATATCGATAGGAGTGGATATGATAGGATAGGGAAACGTACTAGGAAGGGCACTCTGGCCGGTGATCTCTTCAGATTCTTTGAGAGACATTTTACCAATTTCCTTCTTTCTTCCCTTATGCTTCTTTTCGGTTGTCGACTCGTGGTTGTAGGGTTGGGACCTGGTGGATAATGGGAGGTGAAAGAAAGAAAAGGCGCGTTTGTTCGGGATAGTTAACGCGTGGTTGGCGGAGTAGTTGCTGACTTCGTATCGATTTATCTATCTTATCTTATCGATAAGTGGCATCTATATCTACTCCATATATTGAGTGTACTTGATCTCTAGATATTACAACTTCATGCTCTATAATTCATGGTTCTACTCAGCAAATACAATTCTGCTAGTTGTGGTATATATAGAATATAATATGTGTCTCACACCTGCCACATTAGGATCAACATTCAATTAGTACCCTAAGTATAGATCGATCTCGTCATAGAGTCAGACAATCCGGTAGTCTATATCAGTGAAGTAAGATATGATCCTGAGTCTTTAACATCTATACCCAAAAACACTCCGTCTCTATACCATCTAAGGAGACATCCGCTCAATCCTCCATCTATACCCCTCCCCCCCATCTCCCCCACCAACCCTCACATACCTAAACCGATCATGCAACCGGCTCTTCCTCCCCTGCCAAAACTCCACCGACTCAGGCACAACCCTCACGCCGCCCCAGAAAGGCGGCAGTGGAATCTGCTCCACGCCAGCAAACCGCTCCTCCATCTCGCGCACCCGCCGTTCCAGCAGCGCCCTCCCGTCATCGATATCCGTATCGCCCACATCCAGCGGAATCGCCGGCCGGGGCCCAGCTCCGTCGATGACCGGCGCCAGACTGCCTCTCCGGCCCTCGAGACCGTCCGCTCCAGCTTCCCAAAGCACCTTACTCTGGTAGCTCGCCCACGCCCCAATCTGGCTTCCTCGCTCGCGCGTCCGCCAATACACCTCGCTTTCGGCACGGGGAAGCGGCTCAACTAGCCCCTCAACCCGCACCTGTCTTTCCAACACGGCCCAGAAAAACGTCAACGCCGCCCATCTATTCCCGCCATCGAACTCGCCCTCTGGAATCGAGGGGGGGAAGTTATCACACCCAGACCCAGACCCAGACCCACCCTTCAAACCAGACGCAGCAGAATCCGGTCCAAAAACCTGCCTCCCCTTCCCCTCCCTACTCCCCCAATTACTATAAATCGTCCACCCCCTCTCATCCAACTCCTTCAGGTACACCACACGCGCACTCACCCGTCCGGATGGTAACTCCGCCGTGGCGAGCGTGCACGTCTCCGGCGCGGAGGCCGCTGAGAGGCGCGGATCGCGGAACCAGCTGTGGAACTGGTGGAGGGGGTTGGTGGGGTGCATTTGGGAGATTGTGAGCGGGGGGTTGATTATGAATTGGTGGGCGCGGGCGGGGTGGGTGACCATTTCTTGGGCGGCGGGGGTGGAGGGTTGCGAGAGTTGGATTTGGTCTTGCTGGGGTTGAAGACGGTGGGGTTTGGGGAGGTCCGGCGGGGGAAGGTCGCCTGGGGCGACTTTTGGGAATGTTCTGTTAGTATCTTGGGTAGATGATAGATAGTGGTCAAGGTGGTGGTGGTGGATGGTGGTGGTGGATGGTGGGTGACTCACAGATGAGCTTCTTCGGAGGTCGCGACCCCTCCTTGGGACCGGCGTGAGATGCGTCCATTGTGATGGTTGTGGTTGATCTTCGGGGTAGATAGATGGGAGGGGAGAAAGGACGAAGGCGTCTCATGGATGAGAAGGGGAGGAGGGAGGAGGAGGTGAAGAGGGAGAAAGAAGTGGATCGTGCGATGTGGGAGTGAGTGAGTGGATGACGCAGGCGGGGCAGTCGGACCGACTTCCTTCTCTATATTAGAAGTCAATACTACCTTACTACCTCGACCATAACAGTACTACTATATTTGCACTATGATCTACGAATATTATACTATACAACTACGGAGTATATTCATATATCCACAAATGTAATGTAGTATTCTAATTATGCAGAGTCGAGAGATTCTATCATCCATGCATCCATCATAAACAGTAAATCAACCTTTTAAACGCCAACCCGCTAGATGCAAGCAATCAAGAAATGAACATGGTGCCTCCACAGGCTAGACACCCACTTCGGAGTCCAGCCCCACAGATTAAAACAATTCGATTCCAACAACGGGGGTATAAAGTCCAATCGGGGACGAAGGCGACCACAACAATCAACAATCAGCAATCAGCAATCAACAGATCAGCTGAGCAAAACGGAAGGAAATACAAAGGAAATAAATGAAACAAGGTTAAGCAGATTCAACCAGATCGACAATCTTGCTGGCTACCGCGTTGGGATACCCCCGAGAGAGCATCTCCTGCACGGTGCGGGCGGCGCCGGCGCGGTCGTCGGCTTGGAGGTACGCGCGGGTCATGGCTTCGTACGTGCTGGGCTCGCGCTTCGCCAGTCCGATGCGTCCGTACACTGCTTGCGCCTGGTTGAGGTCGCCGGCGGCGGCCCAACCCTGGATCAGGGTGTTGGCGATGTAGGCAGTCATTTCGACACCCCGTCGGGACATGTCTGCGACGATCGCCTCAGTCTGTCCAACTTGGTTGTTGGCCACCAGCGCCTCCAGCACAGCCTGGTACAGGCAAGGTTGCACGCGCACCGTCGGGTCCGCCACCACCGACCGGAACAGCCGCAGCGCGGCGTCCAGGTCGTGCGTGACGCACCCCTGGGCGTGGATCAGCGCCGCGTAGTGCACCGCCTCGGGCGGGTGCGGGCCGGACTGCCGCATCGTCTCCAGCACCTGCTCCGCCGCCGGCATGTCGACCGGCTCCAGCGAGGCGTGCGCGTCGATCAGCAGCTTGTACGTGTGCATCGTCGGCGCGATGTTGCGTCGGCGCATGCGCTCGTAGTAGGCCAGCACGCGGCGTCGGTCGCGCTTCGTCGTTAGGAAGTACTGGATCATCGAGTTGTACGGGGCCGGCCGCGGCTTGTAGTTGGGCATCGACTCCATCTCCTCGAACATCTCCTCGGCGAACCGCTCGTCGCTGACTCGGCAGAGCGCGTTGACCACCGTCCCGTATGTGACGCTGGTGGGGCGCACCCCGCGAGCCCGCATCTCGGCGAAGTAGAGCAGGCAGTCGTCGATGCGGCGCGCCTTGCCCAGCTTGCCGATCAGCGCGTTGTACAGGAACGAGGTCGGCTCCACGCCCTCTGCCACCGCGCGGTGGAAGATCTTGAGCGCTTCGGTCGCCTCGTCGAATGTCTTGGTCGACTCCTTGAGCGTCGTGATGTACAGTCCGAAGGTGTTGGCCGACGGCGCCGACCCGACCGTGCGCAGTTCCTGGTGGTACTTCGCCGCCAGGTGCCGGTCGCCCAGCGTCAGGCACGCCGCCACCATCGCGTCCAGGATCGACACCCAGCCGTACTGAACAGCGGGGTACTGTGCCAGCGCGGGCACGTCCCGGCGTGCCATGTTCAGGATCTCGTGGGCCAGGTCAAGGCGGTGGACCTTGGCTGCGGCGGTGATCATCTTGGCGTAGGTGATGTACCGCGGGTGGCGGCCGGCGCGGCGCATGTCGCGGAGCCGGTCAAGGCTCCGGTTCAGGTGCGGCTCGAGCCGTCCGCTGGCGCTCTCCAGTGCCTCGGCGATCAGGGCGGACCCGCGGAAGTCGGTGGCGGACGCGTACGGGTCGAACGCGTCCTCGCTGGGCGCGGAGGTCAGGGCTGACCGCTCCGACACCGGGGTGTGGCGGTCGGACGGGAAGGACGAGGGGCTGCGGCTGACGGGGGACATCAGCATCCCCCGGTGGTCGTGCCACCGCTGGACCAGGTCGGGCCGGCTGGGGAACAGCTGGCCGACGGCCTGGTCGACGGCCTGGGCGGTGACGGCGTCGAGGGGCCGGCCGGTCGCCAGGGCAACGTCGAGCAGGTGCGCGAAGCGGATCGGGTGGGCCACGTCCCGCGCGGCGGCGCGGGGGTGGACGAGCATGCCGGCCTGCACCTGGAGGGCGAGCGTCAGGTCGGCGGGGGCGAGGTGGGTGATGGCCACGGGGCCCAGGTTGGCGACGGCGTGCTCCGCGAGCGGGAACACCATGCCCCCGTTGTCCGCCATGGACCACAGGAGCGTCATGATGGCCGACGGGGAGAGGACGGCGGCGGTCTGGATAAGGACGCGGCCGACGAGATCGAGGCTTTCGTTGATCTGCTCGCGGATGGGGTGGAGGGGCAGCTGCTGGTCGGCGGCGGCGGTGCGGATGCGCGCGAACATATTGCGGGTCTCCAACAAGGCCGGATCGATCTGCCCACTCTTGAGCAGAGCGACGGCGTACATAGTGGTCGGTTGCACCAGGTCCGCGGTGGCCTGATCGACCGTGCTGAGCTGGAGCCAGAGCGGGCGGGCGGCGGTCACGTGGCCCTGTCGGACGTGGAGGGCCAGCAGCGACACGGCGGGACCCCGGCGGAGGGCGCCGTCGTCGTTAGGGAGACTGTCGTAGGCCCGGGAGGCGGTGGAGAGGTCCCCGGCGTCCGCCGCGGCGACGCAGATCGCGGCGATGGCCTGATTGCGGGCCCCGTCACGCAACCGCGCGTGGGCCTGCTCCAGGGCGCGCTCGAACTGCCCGCGCGGATGGCGTGGCGCACCAGGCCATCGCGCACGATGACCGATTCGAGGGCGTCCTGTCGCGTGCTGCGGTCGTCGGTCACCCCATCGAACGAGCCTCTGATCCGCTCCACGAATCGCATGGCGTCGTCCTCTTTGCCACACGACATGTAGGCCTGGACCAGGGCGGCGTAGACCTCGCCATCCCGGCGCTGAACGATACTAAAGGTGCCGTTGTCGTCCGCGATGGCCAGAGCTTTGTACTCGTTGTAGCACTCCACGGCGCTCTGCAGGTCCCCGGTCGAGGCGAAGGCGTCGATCATCGGGGGGAAGATGGACGCGTGCGGGGTGACCTTGTTCGACTCCATGTGGGCGTAGACCCGCACCATGGCCTCGACCTGGCCCTCGCGGGCACAGGCGGTGATCAGCTGGCGGTAGGTGTCCAGGGAGAAGACGAAATCGGCGTGGCGGGTGGTGGCGGTGGTGAAGAGCTTCATGGCGATGCCGAGAGAGTGGTCCTCGTCGACAATGGCGCGCTCGAGCTCGCTGGACATGAGCATGAACTCCCCAGGCTTCTCCATGCCCCCGAAACGGGCGCGGTCCTGCTCGAGGGAGCCCTTGGCGGTGATGGTCTCGTGGGCGCGGACGACGAAGAGCCGAACTAACGTCTCGTAGGTTTGCTCGTCGGGGACGACGCGACGACGGAGCATGTCCGAGTAGACGTCGAGCGCCTTCTGGATGGCCTGCGCGGCGTCGCCGTGCAGTTGGACGGCCGACTCGAGCAGGGCGTTGTACGCGCCCACGGTGGGTGTCAGACCGTCCCGGAGCAGGGCCGCGAAGGCACCCGGGATCTCCGCGAACTGTTTCCCAGACGCCAAGTCGACGATGTGGTCGGAGCTGCGGCGCGACTGCTCGACGGTGGCGTCCCCGATCGAGGCGACCTCGTCGGGCAACTCGGGGAAGGCCTCGGTGGCGGCGCCATCCTTGGCCTCGGCCTCTTCAACGCGGGCCTGTTCCTCCTGGATTTCGATCTCACGGGCGACGGCCTCTTCGACCTGAGCGCTGACATCGGCATTGGCGGAGGCGCGGGTGAGATGGGGCGGATCCCGGTACTCGGAGGACGCATCGGCGCCCGCCGCCGCGTCGCTGCCGTCGGCATCTTCCTCGGTCCCGTTCAGCTTGCGGCCGACACGACGGCTCGACTGCAACTGTTTCCAGTCGCTATCGTCACCGGTCTGCTGGGCCTGCTGCCACGCGGCATAGTAGGCGGCAACGCCCAGATCGCCGCCGCCAGAGCCCCCTTGGCTGGCCTTGGCGCCGGCGCCGGCGCCGGACGAGCTAGACGGCTGGAAGACATTCTGAAGCTGGGTGGTGCGGGAGAATTTGGCGGCGGGATGCTGGGCGAGGTGGTTGAGGGTGGTGGACGACGCGTAGGAGGATTGGGACGCGGCGACTACCGACTGAGCGTAGCCATGGGTGAAGGCTTTGGTAAAGGACTGGCGCGCGAGGTGGGTAAACGGTTTGAAAACCATTTATCTTGCGGGAGACCTCTTCCTCGAGAAGAGGCAATTCTGGGGGAGTTAGTATGAATCGGGATATGGGGATGTATACTCCGTACCTTGCAATCAAAATGATGAAAAGAATACAGGTTCATTTGACGAAGGATCGCCAAAGGAACGCGCGAGCGGAGGGATAGATAGGGGAACTAAAGGGACGTGACGGTGAAGCGTGTGAGGATGTAATGATGATGGTGAAGATGAGACAACAGGAGAAAAGAAAAAGATAATATGAGGATCTCGGGGGATGTGACACGGCCAGAAGTAGTGCCGATCCATCGGATTTTAGAGCATTGAGGGTTTTTTACTCCGGACGTAACTAACCCGTATTAGGGAACGCCGCCGCGTAACCCGGTACCTACACCGTAATTCCATACGGTACCATACCCAATACGGACCGGACATGGAAGGATCTCGTAAGTCCGAGAGGTCCCTGGAGGTACCTCGCTGGAAGTACCTGTTAGTCAACCAGGCATACATCTGTCCTTTTGACCTATCATATGCACTATTCTCTCCAACGCCACATATCTTTTCTGGTTCCTAAAAAATATAGAAAAAATCAAAGTAAAATAACAGAGTGGAAAAACAGAGAATAGGAAATAACAGCCACGAACCAGGGAACTGGGCGTGAGTCACTGCCATGAGTGCAGTCATTTGACAGGATCAAACTTTCCCTTCCGGCTCTTTTTCTTCCCCGCTTCCCGTCTAACCGGAGTAGGCTCGGTCGGTCCCCGTTGGCTTGCTGCCTCAGTCCCCCTTCCATCTCCTTTTCTCCCTTTCTTTCCCGTCTGTCTCTCCGTCCTTCCGAGTCGGTATTACTCATATTGATTGAATACCAGTTACCGGATATACCGTAGACTCCGGCACGAGACGTTAGCCTCCACGTACACCGTATGTTGGCCGATCTTAGGGAATACAATTAAATGACTCTTGTCTCTTCCACTCCTTCTGGAAGCAGGTCTCCAGATTGCTGCATTTATGCATAGATGCATAGCCGGCGGGACTGCCGTCACTCGACAGTCATCCCGACGTAATGCATCCCTAGTCATCTGCAGCATCCATGTTAGACTCAGACTGCAGTACAAGATACAGATCGGATGAATCGCCATGGTCGACATCACATGATACAGTGGGGCACTATTTTACTTAGTACTGTATACATTGTCCACTATACAGTAAAACAGACCGAGGATCGTCCGCACTGACTCGACAACAAGAAAATTCAGATCCATCTCGTGACATGACGTCAGATGGAGATACATCAGCCACGCCACCAATTCGTCAGCCACAGTATCAATCTCAGCCACAGTATCAATTCATCAGCCACATCAACAATGCACTAGCCACATGACTAATGTCAGCCACCTATAAACAAACAGGACAAACTGATATGCATCCCCGATACGGAGTAGACGATGGAGACTCCGATCCGGAGCTGATCCCCTCATCGCTGTCAAATCGTACTTCCTCGAGGTGTTGTCTGTTCATAGTAGCTGGATGCCGAGATTTAGAATATTCCACTCAACACATCAACTCATCAACTCCAATTAACCCGTCCTTGCTATCCTCTACCGCGTACTCCCTGCTCTGCTCACCGACGAGCGGGGCACGAGGATCATCACCCCTGGAGATCTTGTTCCTCGCAACGCCAGTGCCCTAGCCTGATTTAATTTGATATTGATACCCCTGTGAAGGTAGGCTGTTTCTTTACCCTCATCCACCTCGACTGTAATTGCTAACTCTGTCCGTTGCAGCGACCAGCGAATTTACCCCACTCCCCCTCCCCCTAATGGCTCACAACTCCGTCACCACCGCCTTGTCCGCCCCGGGCAAGGTGCTCCTCGCCGGAGGCTACCTCGTCTTGGACCGCAATTACAGCGGAACCGTCTTTGCCCTCGATGCGAGAATTCACGTCATCGTCCAGCAGCGGAGACGGACCCATCGGCGGGGGACCTCCGGGTCCGGCACCGCGGCCACGCTGGAGACGCAGCCCGCCGACGACGGCAGTGTCGTAGACGACCAGGATGCCGAAGACACCATCGTCGTCCGCTCGCCGCAGTTTGACGGCGCCACGTGGGAGTATGGAGTGCAGCGCTGCGAGAACGGCGGAGGGATCCGTGTCACCCAGAAGAACGAGGGGTAAGCCGTCCTCCTTTTGTACAGTTCGAGACTGTTCCGCTAACATGATACAATCCCCAGGAAACACAACCCCTTCGTCGAGACCTCCCTCAACTACGCCCTGACCTACATCAGCTACGTCGCCGACTCTAAGGACTTCGGCGCCCTGTCCATCACCATCCTAGCAGACAGCGACTACTACTCGGAAACCCCCACCTCCAAGGCCTCCACCGGCCGCTTCGTCAACTTCGGCGTCCCCCTACACGAAGCCCACAAGACGGGGCTAGGCTCCTCCGCCGCCCTCGTCACAGCCCTCGTATCCGCCCTCGTTGTCCACCGCACCCTGCAACCCGACGACCTAGGCATCGCGCGCGAGAAGCTCCACAACCTCGCCCAAGCCGCCCACTGCGCCGCCCAAGGCAAAGTCGGCTCCGGCTTCGACGTCGCAGCCGCCATCTACGGCTCCTGCCTCTATAGGCGCTTCTCCCCCAGCATCCTCCAAAGCATCGGCGACATCGGCACCCCCGCCTTCGAAAACCGACTCTTCTCCATTGTCGAAGACATGGACCCCGCCCACCCATGGGACACAGGATGCCAAGACTTCGGCATGAAGCTACCCCCGGCATGCAAATGGTCCTCTGCGACGTCGAATGCGGATCCCAAACCCCCTCAATGGTGAAAAAGGTCCTCGAATGGCGCCAGCAGCACCCCGCAACAGCCACCCAGCTCTGGGACGCCCTGCAAGCGAACAACGAGCGTCTCGTCATCTCCCTCCAGCAGCACCGCGCGCCCCAGGAAGACCCCGCCGACAACGACTTCGCCACCATCCGCCAGCTCCTCGGCCGCTCGCGCTCCCTCCTCCGCAGCATGACCGCCCAGTCAGGCGTGCCCGTCGAGCCCAAGGTCCAGACCGAGCTACTCGACGCCGTCTCCGCCGTGGAGGGCGTCATTGGCGGCGTGGTCCCCGGTGCGGGAGGCTACGACGCCATCGCGCTGCTCATCCGCGATGACCTCGCTGTCATTGAACGTCTGGAGCAGCTATTCGCGGGCTGGAAGAGCCAGGTCGAGGATGACTTCGGGGGCAAGATCGGCACGGTGCGGTTGCTGGGCGTGAGGCATGGCTCGGATGGGGTGGTGAATGAGTCGGTGGAGCAGTATTCGGAGTGGATTTAACCTCGTCGCCTGGAGTTTTAACGAACTCGAACAACCATTACTGTAGGGGATAGACAGGCGTATCATATCAATAATTCCGAAGACGATATGATATTCGTACGGTCTTGCAAATATCACCACGACATTCGAACATTATCATAAAAGGAGTCCATAATAATAACAACCATACCCAAGGATAAGAAAGCATTGGACAGTTAATTGATCACAATACAAGAGCTGTCGAACAGAAACCCCTATAAACACTAGATAGTCACCCAGCTGGGTGCTACCTACCTGCCTGTCTATCACCTTATTAAATATTATAAAGTCAAAATCAAAAAATACATACTACGTCCCAACGCAAACGTCACTCACCATGATAAAGAAATCGATCGATCGATCTCGAATGATTCATATTAATTACTGCAAGATGTTTGCAGTTGCGTGTATGTATATGTGTACCCACATAGTTGTTTTAACCTGAGATATGAATATCCGAATATGGATGTATATAATACGTCACTATGTATCAAACCATCAAAAAGCACACGCAGAATAAAACAACCACCAACACCGAAGAGCCTAAATAGATCCAATAAAAAGAGAGTTCGGAAAAACAGAAATAAATAAAGAAATAAATAAAAAGGAGAATGGTGTAAATCAAAGCTGCGTCGGCAGAAACGAGCCAAACTCCGCCGAATCACTGGGATGATCCCTCGCGATGCGCTCCTCGATCTTCTCGTTCTCATCAAGCACGCCCAGTTCCCTCGCCTGATCCTCAATCTCCTCAGGCGCGAGCCTAGGCAGCTCCTTCGCCGCGCGGACGTAGCTCATTTGATGCACGTAGCCCTTCGCGAAGATCAGATCGATCTCTTCGAGGCTGCGGCCTGCCGTCTCGGGGTAAAAGAACCAGATGACGGGGATGAAGACTGCGTTCCAGGCGGCGAAGAAGAGGTACGTGCCCCAGCCGATGTGCTCGATCATGACCGGGGTGATCATGACGATGGTGAAGTTGAAGAGCCAGTTGTTGCAGGTGGAGATGGCGTTGGCCTTGGAGCGGGTTTTGATGGGGGAGAGTTCGGCTGGGTAGAGCCAGGGGAGGGGGAGCCAGGTGGCACCGAAGAAGCACATGTAGAGGAAGAGGCCGAAGACGGCTCCTTTGGCGGTCTGGGAGTCGCCTGGGATGAGGCAGGCGAAGACGATGACCATTGCTGCGCATTGACCATAGCTGCCGCCGAGGAAGAGCTTGCGGCGGCCGATCTTTTCGACGAAGAACCAGGAGAAGGTCGCGAAGATGGCGTAGCAGATCATGTTGATGCCGCCGATGAGGAGGGCGAAGTTGTGGGATTGCCCGATGGATTGTTCGAGGAGGACTGGGAGGTAGTAGATTACTGCGTTGCAGCCGGAGATTTGCTGGAAGACTTGTGCTGATGAGCCGACTACCATGCGGCGGAAGTGCTGGGATGGGCCGCCTGTGAGAAGGTCGCGGAATTTGGCTTTTTCAGCGCCGGAACTGGGGGATGTTAGTTTCTCGTGCTTCTGACTTTCTCGCCATTCTCTTCCGACGCAAAAGAATCTCGAAAGAAAGTAACGCATGCAAAAGGGAAGTGAAGGGGTGGACATACGCGCGGATCGAGTCCAAAACCAAAGTCTTCTCCAGCTGCGTTTCATGATCATCCACCTCGACACCCTTCAACGCGGCCAGTACTTTCTCACCCTCGTCGACCCGGTCATGCGCAATGAGATACCGCGGCGAGTCGGGCAGATAGAGCATGCCCACAATGATGAAGATACCAAACACGACCTGGAACGCGATCGGGAACCGCCAGGCGAGATCCGGGGGTCCAAAATGCGCCCCGTAGTCAATCCAATACGCAATCATGGTCCCAATGGCGATGACGCCGCCTTCGATACAGATGAGCAGACCGCGGTTGCTAGTTTTGGAACATTCCGCTTGGTACGTCGGGATCGTGGACGTGTTCATGCCGTTGCCGATGCCTGTGATCACTCGCCCGAAGATGAACTGCAGGAGAGGAAGGGACCCCGGCATGGCCGTCACTTGGATAGCCACACCGACGATCATCACGGCCGCTCCGTAGATGATCATCCATCGGCGGCCCAGCATTTCGCCGAAGATGAGGGCGAAGATCGCCCCGAATAAGCATCCTGCGGCCGTCCGTCAGCTCGAGTCAATCTTAAATAAGGCTTGGAACATCGTAAAAGGCGTACCGACTTCATACACGGCTGTTACGGTGGCCTGCATGACGTTGTCGCCTTTGGTTGCTATGAACATGTTGTTGAACGACGGATCTGAGATGATACCCGACATGACACCCTCTAATCACGGTCAGACAATTCTTGTTCCAAAATCGCATTTGTGAGTGCAACTAACGATCATATCCAAAGAGTAAGAATCCCATGGTTGCGACGGTCGAAATTGACAGGGACAACGGGCGCCCCGACATGCCCGCGAATGTAGGAGGCATGTTGAATGGCTGTCGCAGATAAACGCACTGCGAAGTATACCCCAGAACAAGCAGAAGGATAAATCTGCAATTCGATCCAGGAACGAGCAGAAAGATAAGGGTAGGGTAGAAAACACCGACAGGGCCGCATGCCCGCATGCGGTAATCGGCAACATCGAAGACTCAGCAACTCCCACTCCAACGCAACCATGGCATCGGCAACCTTAACCCAGTTCCATGGAAACGCATCGCACATGATATCAGATGGTGCGACCAGCGAATGAGAATCGAATACAGGTGACCACTGGGCTGGTTTTCGGGTAGGATCAACTTCCCGCCCGCGATCGCCTGCAACGTGGAGGCTCGCTGCACCGTTCCAATGATGTAAACGCAGGTGCTCGCGAACTAAGTTTGGTCACCTCGTGGTCTTCCTCCCCTGACGGTCGTGAACGCAGAATGCAGGATTTCGTGAAGCAAGTCATATTGGCCAATTTAAACAATCCGTCATGGTTCGCAGGACAGTCGGCTTCTGTCCGATATTTACCGCCCCAGCGAGTCGCACAGCGTCTTCTCCGAGTAGGCCGGGAGAGAAGCATTTGCCTGGTGGGCGTAGCAAGGTCGCAGGGTCAGTGGAGCCTTGACGATTTTTTGGGTTTTAGCGTCCCCGGACCCATCTTTCGCTAGGAGGAAGACGAACTAGACGAGATATCAGTATCCGGATATTGTGGAGGAACGAGAGAGAGAAAAACCCACCTCAACCCAGTGATTGACTTGCACGTTCTTGTACTTGGTGTCAAAATGCATGTTTCGCGTCTCGTCATTGTTGGCGTGGATCCGACAGATGGGTAACGGTAGGTCAAATTCGAGTGTCGTCGCTTTCGCGCCGCTCTGTTGGACCGTGGACTCGGAGCACGCCACAAGACTTTCCGGCTCCTTCTCGTCGGTCACTAAATGCTTGACCTGGTCGTCTTCCGAAATCAGCGCTAATTCGGTGGACCCCAGACCATCCACGGCTTTGTAGACGAGCGTCCGCTTGTACGGACCGAAACAGGATGGGAGGCCGTCTTTTTGCAGGTATTGAACATTTTCCGACAGGTAGACTCGGATGCCGCGCAACTTGGCCTGGGCCAACTCCGTGAAGGAGAGGGTCACCGGCAATCGGTGGCCCAGGGGTGCGCCTCGTCGCGAGACGAGAATCTCGCAACGCAGGTACTTGGACCAGGACCGTCGGACGTAGACCGGCTCCGCGTCCTCGACATAGTCTTCCGCGGGGCAGTGGATGGCGGTGATGGGTTGGGTGTGGGTGATGTTGCGCGTCAAGGCGCCCGGACGCTCGACACAGACGTGGACGCTGTAACGGACCTGGCTACCCCGGAGTCGGATAGTCTGGGGCAGCTGGGAATGGAGGACCATCTCAAAATTGTACCGGTAGGTGCCGGGTGTGAAGTTGTGATACGTTGCTGCTGGGGGGTGGTTGGAATTCGGGTAGAGCTCCATCAGCGCGGTGCGCACTTGGCTCTTTCTTCGGGAGAATCCCGATTCCTTTCGTTGCAGGGCTGGCGGTTCTTCCTCGCTGCATACCGCATATGACTGGGGCCCGGTCTTGGAGGCCTCCGGACCGAACACGGTCAGCGTGCAGTCGATGACCTTCTCCGTATCTTGAGTGCCTGATCCCCAACGCGGATTAGCCTCGCCCCTACACGGATAGCCTGGTGACCGGCCAGTTCTTACCGTGAGGCCATTGCACACGCGATGTGCCCCGTAGGCTGACCGTCAGTCGCCGTGCCGTCAGCGGTTCCCGGACTTCCAGAACACAGGAGCCCCGAAGGACGGGCGGCTTGTTGGTATAGGTGGGGATGAAGAGGGCCGGTTCAGTGATATTTACTTCCAGACTCGGCTCCGTCGATTTGTTGCCGAGACTAAGCCCCCGGGCCGTCTCTTTCGTTGATGACAGCCGGCGAAGCATCTCTAATGCTCAGACACGTACGCAGCAGTGGAGATGGGGCGAGCAACGCTTGATAAATAGCATGACGCGTGGGCCGCAATCAGTGGTTCCGCCAAAAAACAGAAAGTAAAATCAGATCAAAAAAATTCAATCAAATAAGAGTAGTGATGCAAGTTTAGAACAAGAGACAAAGGCAGGGGGTCGCCGATCGAAGATTGTTTTCTTTTCCTCCTCGTTGTTATTTGGCAGAGCGAGGGCATCTGACCCGTCGGACCGAGCAGTCTAGACTTGGACCAACGCGAATTCAATTACATCAGAAAGCATTTCTGAAGGGTCGAGTCGCGACCACTCACTCACTCTTTTTGAGCGGGGGGACATACTCGCAACTAACTCTGCCCGGCATCTGACCATGAGGGGGTATGGAACGAATCTAGCTTTGGGGAGGACCACGGGTGATTGAGGCTGGGGGGAGGACAAGCCGATGGTCTTTTCGTGTCCATACCCGGGGACAGCGGAAAAAGAGAAGGCGGGTCGCCCCCCGAGTGGAGGAAGCTCCGGGAGTTCTGGCTGGGTTAGAAAGGGATTGTTGGATTGGAATGTGCACAAGGGTATCCGATGAACACATTCGTTGGGAAGGGTGATGTCACGACGTTGGGTCTCGGTATGGCGGATTGAGAGAACCATGGGGCATTCCTGAGATTCCCAGCCTCTGCATAGGAATACGAACTGGCTCCAGAGGGATTATATGAGGGAACGAGGTCTGCACGTGGAGAAGGCAAGTCTAAAGTCAAGTGAAGCTCGAGGATGTGAATGTTATTGGCAGGAAGTTTGGAGCCACGACAGTATGGAGTAAAGCATGGATGAAGTAAGTATGGAGTAAGTATGAGATGTATGTAGTTAGTTATGCATGTGATGAGTCAGGATTATCCAGACATAATGATGATACCTGAGGTGTCCATCGTATCGATCTATATCCATCAATCCATAGATACTCCATCCCATCTTCATCTTCTTCACCTTGCAGCCTTCGAGTATTGATTCTCTTCTTCGCGACTGCGGTTGAGCAGTCAAGTATAGCAGTCCATCTCAAACGAAGTCTCACTATAATATATATTAGAGATACAGGATCCAAGGGCTAGACGCATGAGCTCATTATCAACAAACAGATATGGCCAAAACATTCCATTTTCAAGAATCTCGATCGCTGCAAGACCGTCCGAATCCAGTGTTTGCCAATGGAATGACCCGCCAAGGGAGACCGGATCTTTCAGGTTCCCCTCTCCTGCAGTCTGTAATGGATCGGAATTGTAACATGGGCCAACGGGGACGCACGAGGCGACCAGACCGGACAGAACATCCCTTGAATGGAACATCAAATCAATCATGCATGCAGATGAGAGATTAAATGCTCGAGGGATGGATTGAATTGGAGTATCACTGGTAGTGAACTAAGTAGAAATAGATGTCATCAACATGACCACATCTAGACAGCATTCAAGCTAACAAGGCCCGATCCAGTTCCAGACCGGGGTCAACTCGCCTTCTTTCTCCCCTTTTTCCTTTGTCTCTTGGTCTCTTTCTCTCTTTCTTCTCTCTCTCACTCTTGCAACTCTAGATTACCTGAAGTCGGCTTGAATTGCCCGGTCGCAGTACTCGTCAGTAAGTATTCTATTATTAAGACTCCCATGGTTCTCTCTATATGCCTGATCCATCATCATTGGTCTCTCCCCCTATCCGCCTCCCTCTTCTGCTCTCTCGTTCATCCACTCCGGTCGCCTCCTGCTCGCTCCTCCACTAAAATCCTTGAACTAGTAACTAGTAAAAGTACCTGGGTTGCCACAACCGCTCACTGCGCTCACTCAGTGAACTACTTGCTTCCCCGCCTCCTCCTGTCAAACTCCACGACTCCAAACGTCTTTCTCCTTCTCCCGTCGGGTCCATTTCGCCGGGCTTTTTGTTTCCGCCTTTCCTGTCAGCTCGAGCTCTCCCTTCGTGGACTTTTGGTCTCCACTCGGTCCATCCCCCCACGACTACTCCGTTGATCACACTTGATCCCCAGTTTGAACTTAATCGTGGCCTTCTGCAAGGAAAGCGGCATTGGACATGGCTTCCAACAACCAACCGCTGTCGGATCCTTCCAAGGATGATCCCGTATCGGCCGTCGCCGTATCGCAAGAACCGCAGCCGCCACAATCACAACAACAACCTCCACCACCACAACAATTACTACAACCCCAAGAGTCACAACAACAACAGCAACAACAACAACAACAACAACAGCAACAAACTCTCCCTCCAACTGAATTAAATACAAATTTACACCCCAGCAATCCCGACGAAGTTTCGCACGAGAATATAGCGTCGACGACGGGGACGAACCCCGGGATTGGCGATGATACCCAGACACCAGTCGCCACCGCCCAACGAACTGGCGAAGATGCCCCCGTCGAGTCGAACGAGGCCAAATCCGCGACCTTAGGGGTCCAGCCGTCGTCGCCGGCATCCGATGCCTCGCTGAAAGAGGCCGAAGTGGAAGATACGGGTCCATCGTTGCTGATTACGCTCCTCCTTATCACCGGCTCACGGCACCCGCTCAGGATCGACGGCAGCTACCTGCGCAAACGCTCCATCAATGTCGAGAACGACGACCCGTTCGCCATGAGCGTCTATACGTTGAAAGAGTTGATCTGGAGAGGATGGAGACAAGGTATGCGCAGCAAACGCTCCCCCGACGAACCGCGATAGCTGACCAGATCTAGATTGGGAGACCCGGCCGTCCTCCCCCAGCGCCATTCGCCTCATCTCGTTTGGCAAGCTCCTCGACGACAACGCCCCGTTATCAGGTATGTAGTGCGGACCCGTCGCTCCTTCAGCCCCTTCTGACATATCGCAGACTCCAAATTCAACCACGATGCCCCCAACGTGGTGCACATGACAGTCAAACCTCAGGAGATTGTCGACGAGGAAGACGCCAAAGGCGCTAAGACTACTGGATATGCCAGGGAACGCGAGGCTAGCGAACGCAGCCCGTCATGTCGCTGCGTGATCCAGTAAATTAGAATCGGTCCTACCGTCTATCATCACCTGCAGTCTATTCGTGACCTGCAGGATTGTCTGGGCATTACTGCCCGGGGATTGAGCCTGCGCCTGACAGCGTATGGCTTGGTTACATTTATCCTTTTCTTTTTCTCACCTGTCCCTTCCTTTCCCCTCCTTTCATTCTTGTCTCTCTTTCATCTCTTTCATTTCCCCCATTTCTTTGACTCTATTTTAGCTTACTGCTCATTTCTATTTTCTTTTTGGCCCTCATGTTTTTCCATACCCGCCTGTTGAGTCAACCCTTTGCCATGTTTGCTATCAGCCTGGATACAGGATATCAGGCCACCCATGTATTGACCGCCCTTGGGAACGGCGTTGAGGACTTTTCTTTTTTTTTTTTTTCTTTCTTATCAGCCCTGGCATCTATCTCATCTTGTCCCATTTGATATTCGATTGGCTTTGACATCTGACTTTGGCATTTTTGATCCGAACTGAACATCTACCGTTCTGGCTGCGCTTTCCGTCAACCTTGTTGCTGTCTACATCACTGAATCACCGGCCGAGTCCATGATCTGATCAACCCGACTACCTCCACATATACCCTGCTTTCTTCTTTGTCGTTGCTCGGGGGATGAAGGGAGCATATTGACATATATGCGCTACTATCTATCTACCTACTATGATCAATATATTGTATACGTTTGATTGTTGATATTAGTGAGATTGGAACGTATACACTCTTCAGGTTGTATCATTGACATTCCATTTATTGAACGAGATTCTCAATCCGTAAGGAGATTCCCATATCTTGTAAGCTTATACGTATAACCGGTTCAACCACAAGTCTATTTATTACATCTAAATAGTATGTGTGTGTATATGTAGCAGTAGCAACCACGGAGACGCCAGTATCAGACTAATTTCGTGACCTAACAGGAGTAACAAGTATCATAAACGGAAGAAAGGCGAACAAGCGAGTAGAAAGATAGAAAAGAAACAACCACTAGTCCATACGCAGTCGCTTCTCCATCTCGTCGTGGAAGGTAGGCGGTTCTCTGAATTCGTCTCCTGCAACACATCATCGTTAGCACACTCGAACCAACAGAACTGAAGAAAGAGAGCAATAGAGTATTAAGGAAGAAGGGAAAAGAAAAAACAAACCCTGGAAAATATCCTCCCACCCAATCTCCGCATCCCGACCACCCAGCACCAAGATGTCCTCATGCACACTACTCCCACCACCGCCACGGGGCCCACCCAGCACAGCCGGCCGGAAGTTCCCATCACGCACAAGCTTCAGCTCCATGCCGCGGCGGACGGGCTCGGCGATGCCGTACGCGCGACGCAGGGACTCCATCTTCAGGGCGTGCTGGGTCTGGCGCCAGGCGAGGAGGCGGGCTTCGAGCGGGTGGGCGGAGGTGGTGGCTGCGGAGTCGGCGTGGGCGGAGGGGGGTCCGGTGGGCGCTTGCTGCGTGATGTTGTCGCGGAGGGTGTCGGGGAGGCCGGGGGCGGAGGGGGCACCTTTGGATGGGTGCGGGAGGGTGATGGGGATGGAGTGGCGGGTTGTGGTGTTTGAGGTGCTGTTGGGAGCTGTTGAGGGGGGGGCGATGCGGAGGGACTTTTATTCATGTTAGTGGGTTGTTCGAATGGTTGCTTCCTTTTGAAGGAGGTTTGGGGTTGGTGGTGGTGGTGATGATGATGATGATGATGATGATGATGATGATGATGATGATGATGATGATGATGATGATGATGCTGATGCTGATTAGCATGGCATCATGGGTGACATACCATGTTGGCGGTAGATTGTATTGCGGTAGTAACAAGATTGATGATAGACCGAATTCAAGACAGATAGAAGAAGAGAAAAGAGATGGTAAAAGGTAAGTGAGTATGAAGCAAGCTAGATCAACCAAGAAGGCAGTCAAGCTGAGGCGTCCACTCACTCCCTCACTCCCGCCAGCAGCTCCTCCGGCGCCCCAAACCCACCACTCCCGCAAAACGATCACATGACCGCGTATCGCAAATTATCACCGCATCCTCAACTTCAATCCCCCGATACTCCCTCCATCCCGACAAGACAGAACCCCCCACCACCAAAATGCTCCCCTCTCTCGCCCTCCGCACCCTGCGGAGCCTCGTCTCCCAACCAACAACAAGAACAGCCACCACCAAACTGACGGCATCCCTCCCAAGAAAGACCCTCCTCACCCCGTTCCAACCCACCCTCCGCACGCCATCCGCCCTCGCCGCCCTCTCGTCCACCCGGCAATTCTCCACCTCCCCCCTCCTCCAAACGACATACAACCAAGTCCGCCGCGGCTGCCGCACATCGCAGAAGGCGCGCCGCGCGCGGTCGCCGGCGCTGAAGCTGCGGCCCCAGATGAAGGGCGTGTGTTTGAAGACGGGCGTTACGAAGCCGAAGAAGCCTAATTCGGGTGAGAGGAAGACGGCGAGGGTGCGGTTGAGTAGTGGGAAGGTTGTTACTTGTTATATTCCTGGGCAAGGTTTGTTTTCCCCTCTCTTACTCTTTTGGGAATGGGGATGGACGGGTGGATAGGATGAGGGATTGGGCTAATTGTTTTGCTCCGTCCAGGCCATAATGTCCAGCAGCATAGTGTTGTCATGGTTCGTGGCGGTCGTGCGCAGGATTGTCCTGGTGTGAAGTATACTTTGGTGAGAGGTGCTTTGGATCTGGTTAGTCTTTTCCCTTTCTTCCTCTTCTTTGGAGATATGCTGTTTGAAGGGTGTCCGTTACTAACAAGTTGTAGGGTGGTGTTTCCAACCGTCTGACAAGCCGCTCCAAGTACGGTACCAAGAAGCCCAAGAAGGAGTAGCTGTAACTGCAACGCTCTGGGCAGATAGGTGAGATGCGTTGGGATGCGACGGTGTTTTATTACTTCAACTTATTTAAAGCTTTATCTCATGTACAGTACAATATCAAAGCAATCGTCCATGGTTGATTTCCTAAATCATGAATCCCATCCTTGTAGAAGATTGACGGGGCACAGGACTCCTCCACTTTTGTTTTGTCCATACCCACGACAGCAATGCATGCTCAAATGGAAATAAAATAGAAAGGTAAAAGAACACAATGGCGAAGAGAAGATAAGATAAAACAAGTGATAGAAATTAAAAGTAAACAACAAAAATAGAAGGTAGGGAAAAGGAAGACAGAAAACAAAAAGAGATAAAAACGCCGAGCCTACAGAAGACACCTCTCCACCTAGACAATGCAAAAACAAGCTGCCAGTGCTGTTACCCTTTGAACAATCCCACCTTCTTCGCTGCGATCTGTTCGTACACATGCTGTCCGCTACGGATGACTCGCGCGCGGGTCCTGCCGCTGACTGCAAGGATCACGCTGCCGACGATGGCGATGGCGAGGAGGATGATCCCCGCCACCGCCAGTCAATTCGATTCGGGGTAGCCCTCTGGCGGTTCCAGGTCGTTGATGTCGAAGTAGCGGGCGGTGCCTGGAGATCATTAGTTTTGTTTGAGGTCGTTAGATAAATAGGAGAGGCAAGAGGCACGTACAGGAATAGCCCTTCCAGTCAAAGTTGTCGTTGGGGTTGCAGTGGCACTTCAGGTCCAGCCTCAGCTGCTCACTGGCCGGACAGTGGGTGAACGGAATATGGTAGTAGGCAATGTCGTTGAAGAAGTGGATCTGCTCCTTGGGCAGCAGGATGCCGGCAGCGATCGAGTGGACGGGGGCGTCGCCCCAGCGCTCGTAGAAGAAACCGCCGTCCTGGTCCAGAGAGCTGAAGTAGTCGATATACGAGTCAGACCGAAGCCAGTCCAGACTGCCGACCTCGAAGTTTGACCACTGCACGGGTTATTAGCAGGGAGGTCAAAAAGAAGAAAGAAATTAGGAAGCTTACAAAGTGGCACTTGTTGAAGGTCTTTCCTCCGTCGTCACTCAAAAACTCCATGGAGTTCCCTTCGGCGATGTGGCCCGGATAGGCACCCATGAACTTCTTGACGCTGTCCCAGAGGGTGGGGATGGTGTCGTAGTACTCGTACAGACTCAGCACGAAGCTGTACATCTTGTTGTTTTCTTTCATGAAGCGGAACGGGTCAAAGGGAATGTCGCACAGGAGCTCAATGCTGGGCTCGACACGCCAGTAATACTCGTAGTTCATCATGAGCGGGTGGCGGAAAAAGAAGCCCGACTCGTAGCGACACATGTGCCGGTAGCTCTCCGAATCCCCGTAGATGATCTTCTTCTGACCCATATCCTCGCGCACCTTTTTGGCCTTCTCCTGGTCAATCCACTCCGGGTAGGACCAGTGCTCCTGCGGAATGAGGCCGTAGTAGGTGGTTCCCGAGACGAGCGCCGTGGTGATCTTCTTGAAGGTCTCATCAAACGGCTTGTCGTTCAGGAAAACCCAGTCGTAGTGATAGTTCCGGTTGAAGCGATCCTCCACCTGTCGGATGGATTTGGCCATGTCCCACACGTCGTGGTTGCGGGCCAGTGTCACAAAGGTCGCATTCACGCGGGGCGCAACGGGAGCGCTGACGCCGTTGGACCCATGGATGACCGGTTCCTCGGGCGAGGCGTTGTCAGAGTGGGAGGACGTGTAGCCGGCGATGGCGCCCTTGTAGGTGTCTATTTTCGAACCAATATTCTCGGGGATCGGGATCGCATTTCGGGAGAAAAAGAAGAAGGTGCATATTGCCTTGAAACGGAGTCAGTATTGGTGCTGTGAAAGAACCACGAACTCCGGGGTGACCTACCAACGCGGCGAGTATGAGGTACCGCACATATCTCGGCCCTGACGACATGGTGGGCAAGGGAGGTTATCTTCTCCAGGCCGTTAGACCAGAGAGCGACCGAAAAATGTATGAAGGTCGATGTTGTCTCAATGGCGAGGGGAGACCACCGCCAGGGGGGATGGAAATCGCAGCGGGGTCTAAGCCGTTATAAGGAAGAGATCTGCGAAACGCTACCAGCTCCAACTCGGTTCTTCTCCAAGAGTTGTCCGGCGAGTCCGTCGGGGATCAACGGCGATCTGTATGTCTCGAAGGTGGAGTTGGCAAGTGATGACGGGAGGCGAGTGTTTTGAGTTGTCCGAACCAGGATCCAGCAAACAAACTAGGGAGAATGATGGACCGGTTGCAGCGATGGAATTGCGGAGGCAAGTATCAATTCCAACAACAATCCAGAGCAACAGGGATGGGAAAAGAAGGGTGAGCCGATGAAAGAAAGAACTACCTAATCATCACGTCGGTGTCGGTCGGTATGTAGGCAGTTATGCGACACCAGGTATGTTTTCCTCATCCGTGCATAATTGGCCCCGATCGAAGCCTGTTTCAGCCACCGGGCACGTGAGGGCAGGCAGACTGGATTTGCTGTTCCAGGGTCAAGGGGTTGCCGATCTACCGTTTGATGGAGCCAGATTGATTCGGTCGAAACGAGATACCCAACGATCCTTTAGCTGCACGTTGTTTGGACGAATTGACCGTTTCTAAAACGACGATCTGGGTGCTAATTTATCTGGTGGCGTAGTTAGTATCATGACCACCGATCATCCCGCCTCCTGCAGGACGACGTCTTGATTGAGTTGACCATTTCCATAAGAGGATTTGACCATAGGCAAACACTCTTGTGACCGTATCTCTTGGTAACTTGTCCAACTCTGTCCTGTAGTCAGACCAAAGCACTGACAACTGGTCAATACTCCGGGGGATTGTTGGCTGTACTTGTGTTACTATAATTGAGACTGTGTTGTCACCGAGTATGACCAGTCATAGGGTGTCAGCAAGAAATTGGGAAGGTTGATTTTCAAGGTGACAGGTTCCAAGTGACCTGTCTACACTGGACATTGTAGGTTGAGTGAAACAACGACAATCATATACTCCATAGTTTGAAGTACAAAGTAACTGTTTGTATGAAGCTGATGGCCATGATATTACGTAATTCAATGAGCTTCTTGCCAAGACATCTGCCTCAGGCATTAAGGACGAGCTAAGCCCAATCGGGCCCCGCCCAGCCAGCGAATCTGTTAGTGGGTGATATCAGAGCCGGCCTCAACTTCCATCCCGCACTACCAGGAAATGCTGCGATAATTCCACCCTTCCTCCCCCCTCTCATCCTACGTTCCCCCCCTCAGTCGAAGATGTCTTTCTTCGGCTTCAATACCGCTCTCCCGAGGGATCGAGCCCCTCCGGGTGATCAGAGAGGTATATTCGACGCTCCTGACCCGTTTGCCGAAGTCGCTCGCGCCCAAGCTGCGGGTCTTCAGGCCGACGACGATGATGTGTAAGTCTCCAGGAGGCACATGCCCGGACTCGGGGACGGTCCATAAGACAGCAATTTCGGGACTAACAGTTTTTGTCAAACGTAGAATCAATTTTGAGGACACCTATGATGGTCTGGGCGATCAGCTGGATGAGGATCAGGATGAGTTCAACGACGACACGTTCGGTGGCGGAGGTGACACGAGCGGCGTCGGGAGAGACTTCGATTTCTTCGGCAAGACCGCTCAGGTGGCAGATGTGATCGGGGAAGAACAGATCCGCTACGGTCTACAGAAGCCCCCGGGACTGGTCATGCCCCCGGCGGCGGAGGCCGCTGCTACCCTCGCAGCGGCGGAGGCGGCGGCAGCAGCCCAGAAGCCCAAGCGGTCGGGGTACGAGAAGTACGAGGACCCGGGGTATATCCCTGATCTCCAGGCCAAGTCCAGTGTGTGGAGCGCGCACAAAAGGGCCGAGCCTTCGTTCCAGGGCCCATCGCTAGCCAAGAAGATGATGAGCCTGGAAGAAGTGGAAGCGCAGATGCGGCAGCATCCTACTGCCCCTCCGCCCGGTCTGAGCCAGCCGCCCGTCTCTCTCCCGCAGCCGATGCCCGATCTGTCCCATTTCCAGCAACCCCTGCAGCCCCCGCTACCGGAAGGCTTCCCGCACCTGCCCCCCGAGTTCGTGCAGGCCCAGCTGGCCAAGGGGATCCCGCCGTCACAGTTGCTTCCGCCGCCACCGCCAATGGTGCCGGAGCATTTTCCTATGCCGGGGCATGCGCCTAACATCCCACTGCATCTCTTGCAGAATGCCCATCTTCCCCCACAGGCGATGACTCCCCCCCCACGGCAAGCCATGCCCCCACGGGCACAGCGCCCCTTTCCGCAGCAGCAGCCGCAGCCGCCCGTGATTCCCCAGGGACCGCGGGCGCAGGCGAACCAGATGCCGATGGTCACCAACCCCCAGCAGCTGATGCATCTGAATGAGGAACAGCGCATTGCGTACCTCATGGAGGACGCCCGGCGGGCCAAGCGCAACCACAAGATCTTCCTGTTGTCCAAGGGCAACGGGTTGATGACCCCGCAGGACAAGAACTTCATCACGCGGATCCAGCTGCAACAGCTCGTCGCCGCGGCGGGGAATGTCGCCGATTTTGATTCCGAGGCGGTCTTGTCCGAGGACTTTTACTACCAGGTCTACAGCCAGATCCGCGGAGCGCCGCGGCAGCACCCCCACCAGCCGCTGGGCCACTTTGCGCAAACGTACCTCCTACAGACCGGCAACCGCCTGGGTGGCCACGGGTCTCGACGGCACGGCAACAGCGCTGACAACCACATGCAACGGATGCAGCAACAGGTGCAGCGCGCAGTGGAGGCGGCCAAGCAGAAGCCCAAGAACAAGCAATTGATCATTGAAGGGAGTCTGGGCAAGATCTCATTCGGCAACGCCAAAGCCCCCAAGCCAATGCTGAATATCAAGCGGCCAGACAGCTCCGAGGGAGCCAAGACCACCAAGAAGGCCCACGCAGACCTGAGCCTCAGCGACCGCAAATCCATCCTCACCAACATCGAAGGGGTCTACAGCGCCCTGATGGAGTTGGAGGACATGGAGCGCACGATGCCCCCGCCGCCGGATGAGAACGACCCGGAGGCGATCCAGCAGCACATGGAGTGGCGGCAGAAGGTGCGAGCCCTCAACCAGAAGCTCTGGCAGAAGCTCAAGGTCATGGAACCGATCGTGCCCAACACGAACCACCCGCACCCGTTCATCGCCTTCCTCTCGTGCCCCAAGGGCAAGAAGGCGATCCCGCGCATCTTCCGACAGATCGACCAGGAGCAGCGGGTGACGATCCTGACGATGATCGTCGTCAACCTTGACACCTTGGACGTGGTGCGGCGGGCACAGCTGATGCCCGGCGAGACGCAGCTGTCGCTTGCAGTGCGGGAAGCCATCGAGCTGTTCTCGCAGGCGGTCATGCCCAGCCTGTTGGGCTACGTGAACGAGGCGCCCTTCAACATCATCATCGGACTGCTGGGTCTGATGATTGCGCAGACGCACGTGGAGCTGGTGGCCAAGACGCGCATCGGGCTGGGGATCCTGACGATGCTGCTCAGTCGGGCGGAGATCGTCAAGGAAGCGGGCCAAGCCACGGAACGGGACTGGCAGCAGTGGGTGGAGAAGTTCAACGTGCTGTTCGACACGCTGGAGCCGATTTTCCCGGATCTGTTCCCGCAGTCCATCAACGCGGGGGATGATATGTACGTGTGGCAGTTCTTGGCGGCGGTGGGGATTGGCGCCAGCCCGGAGCAGCAGCAGCGATTGGTCATTTCGGTGAAGTAAGTACCTTCTTTTTCCATTGCCAATGGGTTGGATCTTTTACTGACTATATCCAGGGACCGGGTTATGGAGACGGTGACGTATAGCAAGACGCTACCGGCCGACATGGCCAGTCAGCGACTGGGCAATGTCAACCTGTTCATGCGGGCTATTGGTCTTGATGTCGAGCTCCTGGGATAGGTTGACGGTGATCCTATACGACGGGATGGTTGACGGGGTATCCCAGTCCGTGGGGAAATGTCCCGACGCTTGCCTTGGGGATGCTGTCCCACCTGGGATTGGCAGGTGTCTTCTACGGGACTTCCAGTATTCGCATAAAGTGAGCGAATCGAGAGTCAAACTCGAATCAGATTAAAAAACGGGGGGAATGAAGCAGACGAAAAAAATATGACCGTCCTTATTTAACGGCGGTCCCTACGGAGGGCAGACCACAGGACAGACGACCACGCACCACATCCTACAGCGCAGCTGAACCAACACAACAAGAATCATCTCCTGTTATCACCTATCTCACCATTCTCCCAGCCTACGCAGTCGTCAAGACGACCCTCGTTCTCATCACATCATCACATCATCCCCATCATTCATATTTTTCTTCGTGTTAAAGTTGTACATTGTCCGCTTAGCTTAATTGATTGGATGCGATTTCTTAAAAAAATAGTAGGAGTAGGAGTAGTAGTAGTAGTAGTAGTAGTAGTAGTAGTAGTAGTAGTAGTAGTAGTAGTAGTAGTAGTAGTAAATGATCATCCTAACTATAGAGTGTAGGGCCGAAAAGAAAAACAGTCAAAGAAAAGAGTTAAAGCCACGAAGCATCATTGATTGATTGTATATCCCGATCCGGACCGAACCAAGACAAAGACAGTCCAGAACAAGGCTGTCAGTGCCCAAAACAAGGGCCATTATTCGGTGGGTTTTTCTCGGACCCTTGGATCGAGTAGCTTGGGAACGACAGCAGAACAGGTCGACGACCAGAGTGGGGTCTGGACCCGCTGTTGAATTGGTATTACCTGAATATTTATTATTGATTTGTGAGTAGCAGTGGGGAGCTGTTCAATCGTCGATCTGGCCTCTCTCGTTCTATCTAATTCCATCAGATATCTCTATATATCCTCTATATAGAATGAGACGTTTCCAGGGTGGGATGCCGCATTCGGCCTCAGGAACACCCTGCACTCTGCCTCAGGCATAAATAGCCCTGTTACAAGAGTGAAGGACGCATTTAATCTTCCGGGTGGAGCGTAATTAATCGGTCATTAATTTGATGGCGATCATCGCTCCGGGGTGTTGTCGTTACGTGGACATCTAACTGACTGGAGTTAGCTGGGCTGAGGTTAATTTCCCAGTGTTAGAGGATGTCAGGGGTCACTCTCTCTTTCTCTAGGTGTAGAATTAAGGACTACATGGTACTGTAGATAGTGACTCTAGATATTATAGAGAATGACGAGTCCATAGAGTAGACAATAGAGGTGTAATAACTGTAATAATACGGTAAGCCCCTCCCCCACCAGTCCCGTATCTCCTTTTGCGGCACCTCAGGCACCCCTGAAACCCGGCTAATATCTCATACTCCGTACCTAGTATTCTTTGTATTAGAATCTCCTCTTCCCTCTTCTCTCTTCCCCTCCTCTCTTCTTCTTCTTCTCTCATACCCCTCCATCTATTCTCCATCCTCTTCTCACCACCTACTCTCTCTCTTCCCCCATTCAACCCACCATGTCTGCTGGATCTGTTCTTGTCACCGGGTATGTCTCTATACTCTAAATCATACAATTGACATCTAATTGGTTCTAGTGGCACCGGCTACATCGGCTCCTTCACCACCCTCGCCCTCCTCGAGGCCGGTTACAAGGTCGTCGTCGCCGACAACCTCTTCAACTCCTCCGAAGAGGCCCTCCATCGCATCGAGCTCATCTCCGGCAAGAAGGCCGAGTTTGCCCAGCTCGATGTCACCGACCCCACGGCCTTTGACAAGGTCTTCCAGGCCCACCCCGACATTGACTCTGTCATCCACTTTGCTGCTCTGAAGGTATTTCTCTCTCTCTCCCTCTCTTTCTATATAGTGCAGGATCTAATAAACAAAGGCCGTCGGTGAGTCCGGTGAGAAGCCCCTCGACTACTACGAGGTCAACGTCAACGGCACCATCAACCTCCTCCGCGCCATGGTCCGCCACAACGTCTACAACATCGTCTTCTCCAGCTCCGCCACCGTCTACGGCGATGCCACCCGCTTCCCCAACATGATCCCCATCCCCGAGAACTGCCCCCTGGGCCCCACCAACCCCTACGGCAACACCAAGTTCGCCGTCGAGACCGCCATCACCGACGTCATCAACGCCCAGCGCAACAACGCCACCAAGGCCGGTAACACCGCCGAGGCCCAGAAGTGGAACGGTGCCCTGCTCCGCTACTTCAACCCCGCCGGTGCTCACCCCAGCGGCATCATGGGCGAGGACCCCCAGGGTGTGCCCTACAACCTGCTGCCCCTCCTGGCCCAGGTCGCCACTGGCAAGCGCGAGAAGCTCCTCGTGTTCGGTGATGGTATGCCTTCCACCTCCTCCTAGAATGAGGGAAAAAAAACTAATGGTATAGACTACGCCTCTCACGACGGCACCGCCATCCGTGACTACATCCACATCCTGGACCTGTCCAACGGCCACCTGAAGGCCCTCAACTACCTCCGCAACAACAACCCCGGTGTCCGCGCCTGGAACCTGGGCACCGGCAAGGGCAGCACCGTCTACGAGATGGTCAAGGCCTTCTCCACCGCCGTCGGCCGCGACCTGCCCTACGAGGTGGCCCCCCGCCGCGCCGGTGACGTCCTCAACCTGACGGCCAACCCCACGCGCGCCAACACCGAGCTGGGCTGGAAGGCCGAGCGCACCCTCGAGCAGGCCTGCGAGGACCTCTGGCTGTGGACCCGTAACAACCCGCAAGGCTACCGGCAACAGCCGCCCGCCGAGCTGCTGGCTCAGCTGAAGAAGTAAATGTTTTTTAGTATTTTCTTTTCTTTTGTTTTTTACGATTTCACAGCAGAGCAGAGTATTAATAGAATAGAGCAATGCTGTCTGGTATTGAAAGTATTGTACCTAGTAGTTATCATATACACAGTAGTCTAAGAGTCAGAAGGTAGGGAACCATATACCTAGGTAGAAGTATACCTAGTATACAATACAACATTGATCTACCAATGGGACAGTAACTATTCGGTATGGAGTTCCTCGAGTACTGAGCCTTGGTAAGAGAAGAGAATCTCATGAGGTAGTTAATTACCTAGTAATCTGCTCTGAAAACACGAGTAAAGAATGGAAAATATGGAGCCATACGTCGGCTGGGCCACCGGATAAACCATGACCAGGTTACCTCATCGTAACTCTGGGGTTTGGTTAGTATTGCATATGTGTTCTTTGCACGAACTCAATAGACATAAGCTGTCCTGTCCTGTCCTGTCCACAGAGTGTCGACGAATGTTGTGGTGGAGAGCTACAGGGTTGATATAGACCTGATCCAGGGATATACAGTACAAACTCTACTCAGTGTGTTATAGTAGAGCCTCAGACGAATTAGTGTGAGCTTATCTAGTTATACTATGTACTATTTAGTTGATTCCCATCGGCCAAGAACACATGCACATGCACATGCAGGCGCTTACTCATAACCAAAGATCAGATAACTAGTTAGTTAACTATTTAATTGATCATATAGTGCTATATACAGCCGAGGGATTTACGTCGGTTATGGATGGGGGAAGTTATTGAACTTATCGTTAAATCTTCTTATATCAGTTTAACTTCACTTCACTTTTAACTTCAGCCCTCCTACTTCAAAACGAAAACACCCCTCCAACTGATCCAACACTAAACAAACCCAAGATGTCATCATACCCCATAATCGACGTATGGGCGAACCCCATCCTGCCTCTAGACGTACGTACCTATCTACCCATCCATTCCCTAGTTATCAACCATCAACTTCCAGCGCCCCAGCAATAATGCTAACGAATCCACAGCAAGGCGTCCCGGAGGTCCGCCGCCTCTTCGAGCAATCCCACGCCGACACAACCCTGCTCTCCAAGCGGCGCACGCCCGCCGAGCTCGTCGCCCTCATGGACGCCGCAGGCGTGTCCCAGATCTGCCTCTGCGCGTGGTATCGCCCCGGGCAGGCGGTGTTCTCGAACGAGGACGTAGCGGAGTTCACGCGCACGTTCCCGGACCGCTTTATCGGGATTGCGAGTGTCGATCTGCTGGACCCGGTGGGGTATGTGAGGGAGGTGGAGAGGTATGTTAAGGTGGAGGGGTTTAGGGGCGTCAGGGTTGTGCCTTGGTTGTGGAATTTGGCGCCTACTGATAGGCATTAGTGGGTTATCATTTCTACCTATGGTATATAGGTATCTATGGGAGGTGTTGTTGGCTAATGATGGGACAGCTGGCCGCTCTATGTCAAGTGCATTGAGCTTGACGTTCCGTTCGTAAGTCACTTCAAGAGGATATTGCTTTCCTGGGAGAATGTTACTGATATGATTGTTTCTCCTAGCTCACGCAGGTCGGACACACCGGACCCCTCTGCCCCAGTGAAGTCGGACGACCTGTTCCGGTACTCCCCCAATATCTCTTCTTTTCATACAGATCAGGATATGTTAACAAATCTATTAGTACATCGACGAAATCGCCCTCAAATTCCCCTCCCTCTCCATAATATGCGGCCACATCGGCTTCCCGTGGACGCAAGAAATGATCGGCGTCGCATGGAAACACCCCAACGTGTACATCGACACATCCGCATACTTGCCCAAGTACTATCCGCCGGTAGGAAACCACCCATCACCCTACCTCCTGAACCGCTGGCTAATGACTACCTGCAGGAGCTAATCCAATTCGCCAACACGACTGGGAAGAAGAAGGTCATGTTCGGGACGAACTTCCCCCAGCTGGGCTGGGATAAGTGCGTGAAGTCCGCGAATAAGGATCTCAAGCTGAGGGAGGATGTGAAGGCGGCGTTCTTTGGGGGGAATGCGGCGAGGGTTTTGAAGTTGGGTGCGCCCTCCGCTGTAGGTGGAGTGGGTAGGGAGGGGAAGTTGTGAGTGAACATGCCTGTTGAGGTAAAGGGTTCAGATCTATTGTTTGAGGTGCGTGGGATTGGGATGGTAGTGCTCATTTACTGGTAGAATAGAAGGGGAGGGATGTATTAGGTGTTGGTAGAGCATTTTGGGCCTGACGTGTAATGTTAGTCGAACAAGTTTGAAACAGGTATCATGCCATTTAATCAAATTTAGATTGTCAGTGTAACAAGGTGAGAAGTGACAGGTAATTATATATTGTAACTCATAAGAAACGATTTGATGTTGCATGTGCAATATTGTCTATCTGGATAATTAACAAGGTGTTATATCATGTCTATTCTTAGTACTTAGTAAACAGGAGGCGGGTGATGCACGGATATCGGGATCCATGTACAACCCTTTCGAAATAAGAATGAACTATTTACGCGCGCTGGAAGCCGAAGCCGAAGCCGAAGCCGAATCCGAAGTCGGGTTCTGCCCCTTACGGCTCCGACGCGATCCCGGCGCTGCGTCCTTAGTACCCGCCGAAGGCGTCGCCATCTGGGCCTCCGCCTCCGCCTGCGCCTGCTTCTCCTTGCTGGCCAACGCTCTCTTAATAGCAGTCTCCGTCTCGACTGTCTCGATCTGCTTCTCGCTGAACTCCCACAGGCGCTTCGCGACCGCCTCATCCGTAATCTCATGCCGGGCGTATCCCACCTCGCAACACTCCTTGATCATCCAGCCGCCTTCGCCGCGGCCGTAGCGAGCTTCCATCGCCGCGTAGAGAATACTTTGGGCGCCTTGCTGCGGCGATTTGAGGATCAGCCACCACACGGGCCAGGTGATTAGGTAGAAGAGCAGCCCCCAGAGGGATCCGCCCGTGAGCCAGCGGCGCATGCCGGGGGTGCGACTGAAGCCCGGGTCGACGACGAGAACGCGCGTGCAAGGCGGTTGGTTGTCGGGACGCTTGACTGCGTTGAGGTGTTTCTGGAAGGTGTGGGCGAAGACCATGAGGGAGAGTTTGGAGACGCCGAAGAGGCTGCTGGGTTTGTTCTTTGGTGGGGGGGTTTGTTGCTTCGAGTTGGGTTTGGATTTGGACTGCGTGGGAAGGTTGTGGGTTGCTGGGACGGGGGCTGTGTCGGCTTGTTTGAGGTCCAGACGTGCGCCCATGTAGCTGGCGCAGGTGGTGAAGATGACGCGCACGTCGCGGTGGGCGGGCTGGGCTCGGAGCGCTGGGGAGAGGATGCTGAGGAGGTGGAAGTTGGAGAGGTAGTTGACCTGCCATTCTTCGTCGAGGCCGTCTTGGGTGACTCGGCGGGGGGAGGTGGACAACAGGGAGGAGGATGGGGAGGCGGTGTTGGCGCACAGGATGAGCATGTCCAGTCGGCGGGCCGGGACGTTGTCGATCCACTTCGTGGCGAAGGTGCGGACGGAGTGTAGCGAGGATAGGTCGACTTGCTCTGCGAAGACGAGATGGTTGCCGGTTGACCTGCGTACGTCTTCGATGTAGTCGACTAGGAAGATGTCCGAGGGGGAGTGTTGTGTGAGAATGATGACTTGGGCGCCGCGCGATGCGAGTTCGTGGACGACGCTAGCTCCTATACCTGATGTGCCGCCCTTTCATCCATTAGCATATTGAGCACATCATTTAAGGAAGGAAACATACTGTCACCATCACCACCTTGGAGTGCATCACCCGCTCGGAGCCATTGCGGGCTCCCCCAAAGTAGTACTTGAGTGCAGCCAGGATAAGCACCCAGGGCGCGACTCGGAGGATATGAGCAGCATAGGGGATGGACGAGATGCCATCTCGAATTCCCTGCGTGATCAAGGGAATAGGCATCGTGGTGGGTGGAAGTGGTGTGAGAAAGAAAAGAAGAAAGGAAGAGAGAGACGGAAGAGAAGGAAGAGCTGGAGGTGAGTTTAGCGGCCGATCTCCCGCCACGCAACTTATTCTTAGCTCACTCACTTCCTCTACCAAGATCATCCCTCAGTCTATCCTCCTTGACACACCCCCACAATGCAAACAGAAGAAGACGACGACGAGTACTTCCTCCCGCTAGAAGACCAGCGCGTCTTCGGCGCCGGTATCCGTCGAAAGCGCGTTCCTTTCGTGCGCTCCTCCGAGCTCAACACCACCGGTCGTACATCGTCTGCTCCGCCCCCATCAACCGCGCCAGGGCCCAACATCGCCAACACCTATCTCTCCATCGTGCTAGGCAAAGACAAAGACAAAGCGCAAGGGCCATCACAATCAGAATCAATCCCTCCAACCACCACGCAATCCGCCCCCTCCTCTTCCCCCAGAGACACCAGCCCTCCGCCACCACCCCGCTGCGAAGTCTGCCACCTCCCACTAGAGACCGACCCCTCATCATCATCATCATCAGCACCCACCTCCGCCGAACATGCCGAAGAAGGGCGAAAGGAGTACCACCCCCACGAAGCCTCCCTCGCGCACCAAGTCTGCCTCACCCACTCGCACCCTCCCTCCCATCTAGACCGCTCTCGCCACGGCCTGCGCTACCTCTCCGCATACGGCTGGGACCCCGATAGTCGGCGCGGCCTGGGCGCGCCGGGGCGAGAGGGCATTCGGGAGCCGCTGAAGGGCCGGCTGAAGGTTGATACCGTTGGGCTGGGCGCGTCTGTGCCGAGTGTGTCTTCTGCTGCTGCTGCGAAGAAGCCGGCTAAGGTGAATAAGTTGAATGCGAAGCAGGTGCGTAAGGAGAGTACGGATTCGAGGAGGAGGGGGGATCGGCTGCGTGAGATGTTTTATCAGAATGATGATGTGCAGAGGTATCTTGGTGGGGGTGGGTGAGGTATCCATCTATTCTCACTGATGGAGACAGGGTGTTTACGGGTGTTGGATTGTGTTAAGCTTTTGTTGTTTTCTGTTAAATACCCCATATCGTATTGATTTATTGTACTCCTACTATTGAGATCGGTGATGCCTCGCATTTACACACATACAGTCCATTAACTAGCTAAATACAAATTGAGTGGAGTATGTACCACCGTGATTTAGAAGCAACCACTGCAGAAATTAAAGCGCCGCAGCGTATCGACAAATCGCAGCATATACTAGCACAGCATGGCTGAAATCGAACACCAGGAGCGGCAAATGCACGGCAGACGGCCATAGCCGTGGGATGGACATCTCCAGATTACTATTGTCCGTCGTTTGCACAAGAGTTCAGGCACTCAATACCGGAAGAAACGGTGCTTCTTTTCCTTCTTCTCCTTGTGCGGTTTCGAGCTGGAGCTGGAGGGAGGGGCCGGAGCCGCCGCTGGTCCGCCTGCCCCAGGTCCGTTGGGCATCGGCTGTCCGTCTGGCCCGAGAGTCATGTTGGCCATGAGGGCGCTGGGAGGCGCAGGCGGGTTCAACTTGGTGGGCATGGGCTTCTTTTGCTGCGGTTGCGGCGGCGGCGGAGCGGGGCGCTCGAATAGGTGAGCGGGCGCGGTGGGTTTGGGCCGCTCGGCGGGGATGTCTAGGCGGCGTCGGTCGGCGCTGAGATCGCCCAGCTGTCGTAGGAACAACCCGGGGCTGAGCATGTGGGACGTGGCGAGGAAAACCTCCTTGCCGAACTGTTGCGAGACCTCTTCGCAGACGCGCGATTCTCCGTACGTAGCTCCGCCGGCCATGAAGACGATGATGCGCTGCCGGGGCTGCTCGGTGGTGGTCCGGGTGCGTGCCCATGTCGGTTTGGCGCTGCGGAGGGATGCCTGTGCGGAGTTGTCCTGAGATCCCATCCCTTCCATGTCGGCGCAAGGGCGCGTGAATGGGAAGGTGGTTGTATCTAGGGCGCCCCGGATGTGCTCTTCGAGCATGATACGGAGGTTGAGCTCGTACCGGGACAGACTGGCCTCGTCCGCTTCAGCAGGAGGTGGGGCTTTCCTCACGAACAGTGGTGGTACAGGCGGCCGTTCGTCCTTGGCGGGCTTCTCCACACGCGCACCCAGCAGATCGAGGTTGTAGATCACTTCTCCGTCCTGCGGCGAAAGTTGCGCGTGTGCCATGAGTTTCCGGATATCGCCCGGCAAGATCCCCCCTCGGTACATGATGTAAAGCAACAGCAGTCTCAGCCGATCTGAGGATTGAATTGCCTCGTCGTCCGTGAGCTGGACAAGCTGCGCAGCCAGCCCCTTGGCCTTTTTGAAGTTTTCGTCGAGCCCCGTGGACAAGCTCTGCTCCACGGCACTCACTTCAAGAAGCTTATGCTTCTCGAAGAACCTCATGCACTCCCCCGCCATATCAAGGTGAAGTGTGTAGGAGTCTCTTCCTTCCTGGAATTCTGTCAGGCCACCGAGCATCTCCTTGATGGTGTCCACGTTAGAGTTGTCATTCCTATGCAAGTTAGCGATGCTCCAATACGTCTGGAGAAGGTGAAGTTACTCTTCGGCGAACTGGGGATTGGCAGCACGGAATTTTTCGAAATCTTTGCCCAGATTACCCAGCACGTCTTTCATGTGCTGGTGTCGGTAGTTCACCCACACCTTGTCCTCTTCGGTGATCGACATATCCTTGACTTGCTCGTGCGCGGTGCCTTCGTTGAGCGTAAGCTTGTACGTCACCTTGTCACCATCCTTGACGGGTAGCAAGTCGTGCACCATGCACTGGTATGTGAACTCGTGAATGAGCGGCGCGACGAGGTCCATGGACCGATCCACGACAAACAGCACTCCCCGCGGACGGGGCGAAGGAGGTGGGAATTCCGGCTGAGACTGGGCAAATGCGTCGAGTTCATTCTGAATGAAAGCAGCCAGGTGGGAGCATAGGATGCTCGCTTCGTGGGTGGGCGTCCGCGGTCGGTAGTATCGGATTAATGGGTACTCGCCTAGGCTCGCACAGAGAGACACCGCCTCGTAAAGTCAACAAGCCCGTCTCGACCGACATAAAAGGAGAACCGTCAGATCGACATACCTTCTGCGCTAGATCCGCCAGATGCGCGCGAATCAGATGGTTACATCCCGGGTGGAAGAGAACCGGGAAGCTCCACGGATCTCGGAAGGTGATCAAATGCGACTCCCGAGGGAAGTAGTCGACACTAATGACTCGAAGGCACGCAACCTGCTCGCTCGCGATCTGAGAGTTCTGAATGCGGGCCCGCTGTTTCGGATCGAGGTCTGCACCCCGACATTAGGGACCAGACTGCGATCACTATGAGAGGGGGTGACGTACAAGAAGTAAACACCAGCCACGCCTTCCGGTATCTCTTGGCCTCAAAGTCCGCCATCAGGCAGTCCACTATATGTGGCTGCGGTGACAGGAGATACAGTGCGTCCATGTTCTGGTTGGCTGGGCGCCGATCCTCGATCTGCTCGACATCTTGCGACAAGATCATTTAGCCCGCTGTCTGATGGGACTACCTCGGCAAACCGACAGAGCAGGCTTACTGGTGACATTGAGATTGAGAATATCATCATCGTTGGCAGTGTTGTAGACTAGTTTCCGACTCGATTCATCCAAGACCAAGACTTTCCACTGTGGGCAAACGTCGTCAGTGGGTGACATTCCGAGGAAGTAAAAGGAGGGGTTCGCGATCCCACCTCATTGCCTCCGGTATGGCGAATCGTATTCAAAATGACTAGAATTGCCCCATGACAGTCAGTTCAAGATCCCTAGCTCCAATAAATCAGCCGCTGCGACAACCTACCCTCGCGCTGGAGCTGGATTATTGAGGGCATGGTGGCTGGCCGGCAGCCTCAACTGGGCATGGAGGGGATGAGGTCACTAGTTGTGGAGACGGATGGAACGACGATTCGGCGGTCGTAGGGAGGAAAGAAAAGGTCCCCAACAGGATAACGGCGCCAATATATTCGAAAGCTGAGTAGACAAAAAGGAGACGAATTAAGGAGGAGGGCGGGGGAGTAATAATGAAGTTGGAGTTGATGAAACGTATCAAGCAAGTCGGTCCCCACTATCCAATAAATCCACCGGCGACGGCGGCGGTGGATCGGATTCCGCTCTCGGTGGCGGCAATTTATCATTATTTGATGAACCTTCAATTTACTTGTTTATCGATCATTCTTTCTTCTGCCGACATATTGGAGTTCGATTTGACTGCCATGATTCCTTGACTCTACACTTAGGAAACTAATGTACTATCCCCCCTGCGCTTGACCGGTCCCGGCGCATGCATCCTGCAAAGTTCGTTGAATTTCTCGGCTACTCCAACTCGCGTCACTGGTGATCGCCGCGACACAACGCATGCCGACATCTTACGTTTTCGCTTTCGATATTAGTTCACACTGTTATTTGGGGGCAAGAAATGCAGTCATGGTCCAGGAGAGGCACTAGTTGCCTCTTCTGCACTTTGCAGCCACTGGTTCGACCCGTGCGGCGAAGTTTTGCGACATCGCCCATCCTCGAAAGATCAAAAAGGAAACACAAGAAAGACTCGGATAGTGATGATTCGGCGAAGAAATCCACGGTAAGGCTGCCTTGATTTAGGTTACCTTTGAATTACCTGCGAATACTGACACCTGGACGTTTTAGACCCGAAAGCCCTCGTTGTCACTGAGTCCCAAAAACAAGAAAGATGCGTCAGCCGACTTTCAGACCACGGTCACCAACATCCTTAATGAGATCAAGAAGAAGAAAATAAAGGCTTCCGACCCCGGGGTCGAGGAATGGGAGAGGTTCTCTCGAAATGTGATGAATGCGTGCCTGCTCGATGACCGAGCAGGCAACTTGAGCCAGTCGCCCCTCGGGAAATTGAAGTTGAGTCTTCGAAAGGCCTACGCGCGAGGGAGGGGTATTGGCCTTCGGGATGAAATTGAGTACCTCAGGTACTCGAACGAGATCACGACCCGGTACTCGGCGCCCAATCTAGACGAACAGAAGAAAGTGGCCGATTTACGATACCCGGCGGAGTGGTATCCGCAAGCTCGCACGATCCAGCGCACGATTCATCTGCATGTCGGCCCGACAAACTCGGGGAAAACCTACCATGCATTGCAACGACTGAAGGCGAGTGGAAATGGGTTCTATGCGGGGCCACTGAGGCTCTTGGCACAGGAGGTATACCATCGATTCAAAGATGGCGGAGTCTCGTGCAGCTTGGTCACGGGCGACGATGTCAAGATCCCGGAGGGCACGGCACCGCCCATTGTAAGCAACACGGTTGAAATGGTCAATCTGGGGCGCACATTCGAGGTTGGCGTCATCGACGAGATCCAAATGATTGCGGATCGCAAACGTGGATGGGCCTGGACCAAGGCTGTCCTGGGTGCGCGGGTGCAGGAACTCCATCTCTGCGGAGAAGCGAGGGCTGTGCCTTTGATCCGAGAGCTGGCTGCGCTCACGGGCGATAAGCTGGAGATCCATCGATATGAACGCCTGAACCCCCTTAAGGTCGCGCAGCGGAGTCTGTGTGGCGATCTCAACAATCTCCGGAAGGGGGATTGTCTGGTGTCGTTCTCCCGTGTCGGAATCCATGCATTGAAAGGTGACATCGAAAAGGTTACGGGGAAACGAGCGGCGATCGTGTACGGGGGCTTGCCTGCTGAGATTCGGACCCAGCAAGCCAATCTCTTCAACGACCCTAACAACGACTACGACTTCCTCGTTGCCAGTGATGCTATTGGCATGGGTCTAAATCTGTGAGTACATCATGAGCCCATTCGGTGAATAACATACTGATTTTTTCCCGCAGGAGTTGCAAGCGTATCATCTTCGAGACTCTGGTGAAGAGAATCCCGGGTGGTCTTGTCAGACTTTCTATCCCCGAAATCAAACAAATCGCGGGACGAGCGGGTCGGTATCGATCTGCGAATCATCAAAACAAAAAATCATCTGCCGAGGATGAAGAGGAAAATGTTGGCTGGGTGACATCCATGGAGGAGGTTGATCTCCCCTACATCCACCAGGCGATGGGTGTTGAGCCGGCTCCTATCATGGCCGCCGGGATCATCCCCCCTGAACAGGTTTTCGAGAAATTCGGAGCCTACTTCCCCCGTGGTGTGCCGTTGGAATACATCATCAAACGCTTGATCGACATATCTCAAGTGCACCCATTGTTCTTCATGTGCGATGCCGATGGGCAGCTCGAAAACACCGAAGTCATCGACGCCGTGAAAGGCTTACAGATCGAGGACCAGATGGTCCTCATGGCATCTCCTATGGACACGCGTGACTCGCTGTCCCGTCAGGTTGGCATCGCGTTCGCCGAATGCGTGGCCCGACATACTGGGGGTCGTCTATTGGACATCCCTGAAGTCAACCTGGAGATCCTCGAGGAGCCCGTTTCCGGCAGCAAGGAATATCTGCACGGCCTGGAAGTATTGCACAGGTCCATCATTCTATACCTGTGGCTCAGTTTCCGGTTTGGAGGCGTTTTCACCGATCGAACCCTTGCCTCCCACGTTAAGGAGCTAGCGGAAGAGAGAATGGTCCGCGCTCTGACGGAGTTCTCCGCGAACAAGAAGCTCCGAAAGGACGCATCGCTTCGCCGGCAGATCGCGTTGCAGAAGCAAATCGCAGAGCAGAGACGAATCCTCGACGAAGAGGATTTTGATGGTGAGGGCGAGCACGCTTCTGTGGATCTCTTCGCCAGCCAAAGCTCTCTTGGAGATCACCACTCTCAGGTGTCTCATACTCAGTGAGACTCTCAATTGACCCGACTCTATTTGGAGACGAGTAAAGCGATACCGCTGTCGTCTCTGGCTGCCGATCTCAAATCTCATCTCAAAAAGGTTCAGAGACTGCTCCAGATACTGCCAATCCTATTGGCTGCGCATGGACTGGTTCATTGCAAGTATTGAAACCTTGCTATTGTATAGAACATGTTTGTATGTAACATAGTTGTATATTAGAGTGCTATGATAGATATAAAGCTCAACTTGACTGTACAACACAAATATATATTTCTGCTTACTGGTATTATTTCCGCTATACCGACTCCAAAAGGTCATACATCAAGTGTATTATGCCTAAAATTATCTAAGTAGACAAATATTATTTTCCATACAGTGATAGATTACTTCAATTCAGTCTTGTCATATGCTCAGGGTCCTCTCATGCATACTGGACCTGTTTCTGTAGATGGTAACTGTGGCTTATCTTATCGGAGTGGCGAGTGCCCGAACACGCCACAACGATTTTCCGCGCCTGTAAAGTGAGCTTTCCCGACCAAGAACCGCGATTCGACCACAGGCAACTTTTGCGATCGCACGATTTGCGCACGCTTCTCGCAGACGAGTGGTGTTGTCGCATAATATACTCCTATTTCATGATTATCTTTTTATAATCCCATCAACACACCCGCCCACCATGGACGACCTCCAGGAGCTGGAGCTCTTTTCGCTGGTATCGCGAATCACCAGCGAACTCCAAAACCATTTGGGCGTCAGCGACAAGACGCTGGCGGAATTTGTGATCGACCAACATCTGAAATGCGGCTCGTTCGCGGAATTCAAGAAGACGCTGGAGGATATGGGAGCGGAGTTTCCGGAGAGCTTGATGGAGAGTATCGATCGCCTGGTGCTTACGATGCACCCCAAGTACCGGTCGAGGAAGGTTGAGACGGCGAACGACACTGGGGATGGAAATGATGATATGGATGTGCTCGGTGCGCTGGAGAAGAAGGCGCGCGTCTTTAAGGGTCTGGCTGTGCCGGATAAGGAGCAACGCTGGGAAGAGTCCGATTACCTACAGGCCGAGCCGAACGATGCCAACGACAAGGCCGACGCTATGGATGATACGTTTGCGATGCTGGAAGGTCTTGCAGGGAAGGCTAAGGGGGATAATGGTCGCGCGGCGACGACGACGACGACCAGGGAGGAACGCGATAGCAGGAAGCGGAGCATGAGCCCCGAGTATGAGAGCCAGAGCCGTGGACGCAGCCACCGTGCGAAGTACCGCTCCCGATCGAGATCTCACAGCCCGCGCTATCGGAGCCGGAGAGATGACGAGGTGGATGAATTCGGTCGGTCGGTGAAGGCGTCTAGTGGCAGGGACCGAAACGGACATGGCGAACGACGACGTCGACGAGACCGAGGCGAAGATGACGATTACTTTCGGAAACCGCCGCCGGTCGAGTTGGATGACCAACCCATACTGCATAAGATTTACGATGGACGTGTGACTGGCGTGAAGGATTTTGGCGCCTTTGTTAACTTGCCGGGGGTTAAGGGCAAGGTGGACGGACTGGTGCACGTGTCGGCGATGCAGGAAGGCGCCCGGGTGAACCATCCCTCTGATCTCGTCTCGCGAGGACAGCCCGTCAAGGTCAAGGTCGTCAGCATACAGGGGACGCGTATTGGGTTGTCCATGAAGGAGGTTGACCAGGTGACGGGTCTCGATATGGTTCCTCAAAAGCGTCTTGCGTCGGGCGCCAACATGGAAAGCCTTGATGGCTCTTCGGCAAAGGAGCGGTATGGAAATTTGAGCTCAGACGTTCCGATCGTCGAGGAGTCGGACGGGAGGCCTATGAAGAACCGAAAGCGGATGACCTCGCCTGAGAGATGGGAGATCAAACAGCTGATCGCGTCTGGCGCTGTCTCTGCGGCTGACTATCCTGACATTGATGAAGAATACCACGCCACCTTAACCGGCGAAGGTACATTCGAGGAGGAAGAAGATATTGATATCGAGGTCCGAGACGAAGAACCGCCGTTCTTAGCGGGCCAAACCAAGATGTCTCTGGAGCTGTCTCCCATCCGTGTCGTCAAGGCACCAGACGGCTCTATGAACAGATCGGCGATGTCCGGTACGAGTTTGGCCAAGGAGCGAAGGGACTTGAGGCAGCAAGAGGCCCAGGACAAGGCTGCTGAGCGAGCGGCGGAGGTCGATCTCAATGCGCAATGGCACGACCCCATGGTTGCACCCGAGGACCGGAAGTTCGCCTCTGAACTGCGCAATACCCAGCAAGCCAAGCCCGACGAGGCAGTGCCCGAGTGGAAGCGAGTCACGATGGGCAAGAACCAGTCGTTCGGAAAGCGGACCACGATGTCCATCAAGCAGCAGCGCGAGAGCTTGCCAGTATACAAGTTCCGCAAGGCGCTCCTGGATGCCGTGCGCGAGAACCAGTTGCTGATTGTTGTCGGAGATACTGGGTCGGGTAAAACCACTCAGCTGACCCAATTCCTGGCCGAGGGAGGATATGGAAACAATGGCATCATCGGGTGTACGCAGCCTCGACGTGTTGCAGCAATGTCTGTCGCCAAGCGTGTGGCCGAAGAAGTTGGCTGCGAGCTCGGTGCCGAAGTGGGATACACAATCCGTTTCGAAGATTGCACCAGTCCTGATACGAAGATCAAGTACATGACTGACGGCATGCTTCAACGTGAAGTTCTTCTCGACCCGGACCTGAAAAGGTACTCTGTGATCATGCTTGACGAGGCCCACGAACGGACCATCGCTACCGATGTCCTTTTTGGGCTATTGAAGAAGACTATCAAACGGAGACCGGATTTGCGACTCATCGTCACGTCTGCTACTCTGGATGCCGAAAAGTTCTCCGAGTATTTCAACGGGTGCCCCATCTTCTCCATTCCTGGACGAACCTTCCCTGTCGAAATCATGTACTCCAAAGAGCCAGAGTCGGATTACCTGGATGCGGCTCTCATCACAGTCATGCAGATCCATCTGACGGAACCTGCAGGCGACATGCTTCTTTTCTTAACAGGACAGGAGGAAATCGACACAGCCTGCGAGATTCTGTATGAGCGGATGAAGGCATTAGGTTCCACTGTTCCGGACCTCATTATCCTTCCTGTCTACTCTGCTCTCCCGAGCGAGATGCAGAGTAGGATTTTCGATCCAGCTCCGCCTGGCGGGAGGAAGGTCGTCATCGCCACCAATATCGCCGAGACCTCAATCACAATCGACAACATCTATTATGTCATTGATCCTGGGTTCGTGAAACAAAACGCCTACGACCCCAAACTGGGCATGGACTCCCTGATTGTGACTCCCATCTCTCAGGCACAAGCCAAGCAACGAGCTGGTCGTGCAGGGAGAACTGGACCCGGAAAGTGTTTCCGCCTGTATACCGAGGCAGCCTACCAATCAGAAATGCTGCCGACCACGATTCCCGAAATCCAGCGCCAGAATCTGTCCCACACCATTCTCATGCTCAAGGCCATGGGGATCAACGACCTTCTCCACTTTGACTTCATGGACCCGCCCCCGACGAACACGATGCTTACTGCCCTGGAGGAACTGTATGCGCTATCTGCGCTGGATGATGAAGGCCTGCTGACGCGCCTGGGTCGCAAGATGGCCGATTTCCCCATGGAGCCGGCTCTTGCCAAGGTTCTCATCGCGTCGGTGGACATGGGTTGCTCGGAGGAGATGCTGAGTATCGTTGCCATGCTTTCCATCCAGTCTGTATTCTACCGTCCCAAAGAGAAGCAACAGCAGGCAGACCAGAAGAAGGCGAAATTCCACGACCCCCACGGTGACCACTTAACCATGCTCAACGTCTATAACGGATGGAAGAACTCCAAGTTCAACAACGCCTGGTGTTTCGAGAATTTCATCCAGGCGCGCCAGATCCGCCGCGCCCAAGACGTTCGCCAGCAACTCCTCGGTATCATGGAGCGCTACCACCACCGCATCGTCTCGTGCGGAAGGAACAGTACCAAAGTGCGCCAAGCGCTGTGTACCGGATTCTTCAGAAACGCAGCGCGCAAGGACCCCCAGGAAGGATACAAGACGCTGGTCGAAGGCACACCCGTCTACATGCATCCTAGCTCGGCATTATTCGGCAAGCCGTCCGAACATGTCATCTACCACACCCTGGTCCTCACGACGAAGGAATACATGCACTGCACGACGTCGATCGAGCCGAAGTGGCTGGTTGAGGCCGCTCCCACCTTCTTCAAAGTGGCGCCCACCGATCGTCTCTCCAAGCGCAAGAAGGCCGAGCGGATCCAGCCGCTGCATAACCGCTTCGCGAACGAAGATGACTGGCGTTTGTCTGCGCAACGACGTCAAGGACGGGGCGGAGGTGGAGGAACATGGGGTTGATCTGTGTTTCTTCTCTTCTTATCGCCCGTATTTGGTTTCGGGTGCGGGAATACCTAATGTGAGATGCCGTTGTAGTTGGTATGGAATTTTTGTAATTTATAGGCGTACCAAGAACAATCATAGATTAGTATATCATTTATCTCTCTTGTCCTCATCTTCTATAATGCACTATATTTAAAGTAGCCATAGTATTCCTCAAAACAATCACACCAAACTCATACAATGAAGATTTGGCCGATGATGAAAGGCGGTCTTGGCATTCACTGCGGAAGTCACAGACCACTGCCCAATCAGCGACCGCAAAACTCTGCCGGCAACTCGGCGCATGGCAAGCTTCACCTTCATCTTTCAGACAAATTTTCAAGTTGAATTCGAAGCATCGCAATCAAGCCAAGATGTCTCATTTTGACAACCAGTCTCCGCGGAGCAAGAGGCGGAAGTTGGATACCCCCCAGGGGCCCGACAGCGGCGCCTTCATTACGTCGCATACGCAACTGCGCACCCTTCTGGTTTTTTCGCAGAACGTCGCGGAGTCCAAGCAAGGTGAGTACTAACATAAAACTTTGCTCTACACGGTCGTTCATCGACGTTTACACATTCCCACAGGTCTTAAAAAATTCAAGGAATTTCTCAGTGAGATTGGTGCCACGGAAGATGAAGACGAAAAGGCCAAAAAATTCCGCGTGCTCAAAGGCTACTGCGATTCGCAGATCTCCAACTATGCTGAGGACCCCATCTGCTTCCCGGATCTGATCCAGACCTGGAGCTTTGCGGACACCAGCAACAACGAGGGTCTCTTGACGACTGTTCCCTCTGTTTTGGCGCTCTTCCTCAGGTCTATCTCCAGCCGATTGGAATTTAGAGAGTTCGGCTTGGCGTTGTGCAAGCATCTGCTGCACAAGGACCAGCTTCGACTGTTTAACCGTGGGCTCACGGCTACGAAGTCGAAGGAGCATCTGATTTCCCCGTGTCTGCGTCTTCTCACTGAGATTGTCAGCTTCGATGGCGGCGCTGTGGCGCGCTTGGTTTACTCTTCGCGGCACATCACTTTCAAGCGGATTGAGGTTTTCTTGACGCCGAACAAAGCCCAGCTGGAAGAGAATGATGATGACAGCCGAAAGTCTACGCTGCGGCGCAATGCTCAACGCTACGTGCTTGCGAATTTGAGGTTCCAGCATGCGAGCGCCAAGGCCGACATCATTGAACAGACCAAGGTGATCAGAGCGTTCCTCGAATTTGTCCGGAAGGACCCCCGGGATATTGTGCGAGATATCATCGCCATGATTGAAAGAGACATCGTTCAAGACTCGTCGCTGTCTCGTAACACGAGGACGCGGTTCTTCAACCGATGGAATATGGAGCGCCTTGTGACGCTTTACGGTTATGACCGGGAATCCGAGGACCCAAATCCGACCGGTATCTCCATCGTAAATGAGGTGCACAAATTGCTTATGAATATCTGCAAGGACTCGAGTCTCGGCGTCTTGCTCCCCGAGACTGGCTGGTATCCGAATACCAGTGACCCCGAGACTCTGCCGACGGAGGACGATACATCGATCGAGCTGGGGCTCGACTCGGCGGTCTATGTCGATAGGTATAGGGACAATGTACCTGTGCGCAACGGTATTTTGTCACACGTCGCCCAAGTCCTACGTCCAGATACCGATAGTCTTCAGATCGAGCTCCTCGTTACCATCTTCAAGGCGGCACCGGAGCTTGTGGCGGACTTTTTCTCGAAGAAGGTCATGTTCGTTTCTGACCCGAAGCCGACACCCTCCTGGCTGGCGGAGTCCGCCCTGCTCTTCTCGACCGTCAGCTTGCCCGTTCCGAGTAACTGTGGGTGGAAGGAGAAGATCCCCGCCATGCCTCCTCCGGTGTCAGTGGTCATCGAGAGCATCCTGCCCCGCCCACTCACGCAGAAGACTTTGACTCGCTGTCTGAACCTGAATACCGAGATTATCACTCTGTTTGCGGTCAGGATCCTGACTATTGCATTCAAGAAGTTGCGCAAAGTCTTGGATATCTTCAATGCCGACCACGGGATCAGTCAAGCGTTTTGGACGCAGGCCGCGAACAAGTTGCTTGTAGAGTTTTCTCTTCGGTGCCCGGCTGTCAAGGACGTTGCTACGCTGTATAAGCGCACGGCGAAGGAGGACCTGCAGCAGCAGGAGGCCGTTGCGGAATTGCTCTGTTGCTTCTACGAAGTTGTGCCTGACTCCGCTTTTGAAGAAGGGTTCGATGCTTCGCTTTTTTTGGTTGATATTTTGAAACGCCTTGACGAGCCTAAGCTGTCAGAAGACGATTCTGAAATGCTGCTCGGTCAGTTGCAGAGTATCCTCAAGATCGCCCAACAGTCTGCGTCGATGCGTTGGTGGCAGTCTCCTGGTGAGTGGATGCATATCCCCCGTGGACGAAACGAAGCTAATAAAAGCAGCATCCATTCAATACTCCGCCTTCACGTCTATTCTCAAAGTACTAGCCGAGGCTGCCTCGAGGGACTCTTTGAAAGATATTGACGCTCTTCTCCGTTCTGTTCTCGTGGAGAATTCGGTCCTGCAGGCCTCTTCTTCTTTCCCCGCGATCTTGACTAGCTTCGAGACCTCTAATACCGAGACCTTGCAACACCAGATCGCGTTCTTTGACAACTGCGCTTGCCGGGTGGCCAAGAAGCCCGTTCACTACCAGGATTTACTGGGGGGTTTGCATCAGGATGCATCGAAACCCGTTAGTCCTCTTGTGTCGGCTATCACCGAGCAGTGGCCTTTTGTTGTCAAAGCGGGAAATGCGAAGATGGAGTCTGCAGTGAGTGCGTGGGTCGCTCGAGTACTTGGGAAGCTGAGACAGGTGGGAGAGGATGCGAAGGTGTTGAAAGCCGCTCGGGACAACTTGGTTGATGCCACCCAGGATAAGAAGGTCAAGTCTGCTCTCAAGAAGGCATTGAAGGGGACTGAGGAAGATGTCGATGATGCGAAGAGTGTACCTGCAACTGCCCAGCCCGCTTCCACTTCGAACCAGGCCCCGCGGGTAGATCTCGAGGAGGTCTTCGGCGCCTTGCCCACGGAAGGGAAGACGCACAATGAGTTACAAAAGTGGGATAGAGAGGATCTCGAAGACTCTATCGAGCAAGGTCGCGTCGGCGAGTTGATGCTGTGTCTCTGCTCTGAATATGAAGAGATCAGACGACAGGCTCTTGCCAATGTTTCGCGGTTCATGACCAAGCTCAGGGTATGTTATTCCACCCCACACGTCCTGAGAAGGTAACTGACAAAGTAAATAGGAATCCAAGTATAACGAGTGGAGATCGGCCTTCCTCCTCAGCGGTGAGTTGGTTGAAACCGTGAAGCAACTCGGACTGGAGTCGCCCGTGCCCTGGATTGTGGGTGCGTGTGCCGCCCGCTGTTTGGCGGTTCTCGCGGATCCCATGCACAAGCTTTACGGCAAGGTCAACCAGTTTCTCCAGAAAGCTCCGATATGGGAGCCGGAGAAGATCCCCTCGTACTGGATCGACCGGATCTTGCTCCACGAGCCGGAATTGGACGACGGCTATTTCGAAGAGACGAACTGGCTGTTGGACCTTTTGTTGAAGGGTCTTCGCACTGAAGCGGTATGTTACCTACATTATAACTACCATCGTATCCCCATAAGAACCCATCGCTGATACCTTTCCCAGGACATGGAGATCTACCGTCGCGCGAACGTCTTCGAGCGCATCCTGGCGTTCTACGAGTCACCCGGCACCGGGTTCGCCGCCCGACGAAAGATCCTGCACATCATCTACCGGGCGACCCAGGTGGGCGGCAGCACGACCTTGATCACCCGCGCTGGCATCATCGGCTGGGTCCAGGGTCAGATCCTGACCGGTCCTGCGAAGGAGACGCCGACTTTCAAGGCGATGGCCGACTCCTTGCATCCCACCTCGGGCGAAGATCGGGTTGCGAAATGGAGTGGTGGATCTGCGGTGCAGGTGGTTGAGAACCTTGTTGGCTAGGGATTTCGATTACCGAGTGTGATTCTTTCAGCGGGTGATCTTGGAGGGCTTTGATGTACTTGTGTTTGGGGGGTGTGCTCTGTGTGGCGCGGTTGTTGTAGATAGGGAAGCTTGGTCAATAGAGTCCCTCTTTGTTTCTTCCACAATTCAATACAATGACCATAATATAATGATCACTACTCTCTATTATTCTATAATTATCCTATAAATTCAAAGCTATAGTTCAAAATGACATGTCAATAGCTCTATAGGACAAGAATAGTGGATGGCGGGTTCGCCTGATTGGGCAGTGGAGTTGCGGCCTGGCATTACGGGCATTACACACTGAACAAACTCCAACTGACCTAACTGACCTTGACCTACCTTACTCTCTTCTCCCTCTTTCTCTTCTCTCTCTCTCTCTCTCTCTCCTCCATTCATCTCTCCATCTCCATCCATCCCCTGCTCTCTCTCCTCTTCTACTTCCTCTCTTCTCGAGTCCGCCAACTGCATCTGATCTTCTTTCCATCACAATTACCTTATCCTACTTGGATCAAATCCCTGGAACCTAAATTTGCACTGATTCACCGTGCCCCTCATCACCCTCTCGATTCCTTCCATCCTCTCTCCTAAAATTGAGTCCTGGACCCCATCGAGCGAATCTCCGCTTGGCTTGCCACGGGCCGGTGTGGCCGGGCTTTGCTATTCTGCATCGCTTTCTCACCTCTCTTCGAACTCCCCCCTCCCCCCTCTCGCCAGCTTACTATTACCCCAAAACAAATCGGCCGATCGGCTTCTTCCTTCCCTCTTTTCTCCCTTCTCCAACTCTACTTTCCCCCCTGATAAGCTTCTTCCCGTTCCCCGAATCTACCTTTCGAGCTTGAATCCGCCAAAACAACCAATGAGATTTCCGTGACCCGACTCCCCCGAATTCGACCTACACCGATTCTACCTGATTCATCTGCATTGTCGCACCCGAAATAATCATGTCGCGACGATACCAGATCGATGAGTTGCTTCATCTGCGCTCATCGCCTCTGGCTACCAAACCGGCTGGCTTACCGCCGGTTGAAGATTGGATGGGGTAGGGAATCAGTTCTGCTGCGCCGATAGCTTTGTGGCTTGGTCTCCCGCTCGGTTCTGACGCTGATGGCTTGTCCCTTTTAGTCCAATGCCCGACCCGACAACGCAACGAAAAACGTCCACAGTAACTCGAGATCCGACGTCTCCAAATGACACCACACCTCGACGACCGAGTCTGTTTGAGACTCGTCATACCCCCCGTGGCTCCACTTCAGGTAAAATCGACACCGTGTCTGTTGCAGATCTAAGTGATCGGGTCGAACTCTCACTAATTCTCGGTGCGTTTGATAGAGGACATCATCCTGGGACCGCCCAAGACCTCGTTTGCCTCGGCCTCCCGCATCTCCGGTAAGGGGTTGGTCGACCCGACGGAGAGTCCGTCTCGCATTTTTGATACCGACGAATCGAGAACCGATCGCTTCAACCTTCGGGACAAGTTCCTCAGGGAGAGGAACACCGAGGACCGAGATATTGATCGCCGCGACGGGAAACCGGTGACCTTGAATGGCCGCCGGGTGGAGCGAGAAGATTGGAATAGCGCTCGGTCCCGTCGCACCTTCGGCCACGAGGAGCCGGAGCGGAAACCGAGACGCAACGGGGAATTCGATCGGTGGGAAGGCCGTGATCTCAATCGCGACCAAGACCAGCGCGGAGAGAAGGATCCCCGATTCTTGCCTCGTCGGGACGGCCAGCCCCCACGGGCTAGACACGAAGGCAGTTGGTTCCGCGATGACAAGAACAACCATCACCATCACCAGCAGGAGGGTCCCGACGCGGACGAGGAGAAGCCCTCGGTGCGACATCGGGAATGGCGCCGGGGCGACAGGCATGGTGCAGACCGCGATTGGACTCGCGGGGCCAAGTTTGAGCAGGAACCCGAGTGGCTGACGGCAAATGAAAAGGACGAGCCCCGCCGGGCGCATACCCAGGAAGACTTTGAACGCTGGAAGGAGAAAATGCGGGCCGGATCTGCCCAGGTGCATACTGAGGAGAAGAAACCGTCCGCGGCCGAACCCCTCACCCTCAACGCTCCAGAACAGAAGCCGGAGAAACGGCCCACGGACGGGGAGATTTTCAGTAGCAGCGGCTTGCCGTTCCACGGCGATGCAACCATGGAGCGCTTCTTCGGATTGCTCAGTGAGGGGAGACCCCAAGAACCTCCCACACCGTCGCCCGCGGAGGCTATGACGAAGGAGATGGCCCCTGCTCCTGCTCCCGCTCCTGCTCCTGCTCCTGCTCCTGCTCCTGCTCCCGCTCCTGTCCCTGCCGCTGCCCCGGCCCCAGCCCCCGCTCCGGCTGCGGCTGCGGCTGCAGCCGCGGCTTATGCACTGCCCAAAGGCAAGTCGTCTCGCTTTGCTGGGTTGTTCAGCCCCCCTCCCGGAAGCCCGGCGATGGAAGAGAGCGCCTCTCCGCTGGGACACCGGGCGTCTCCGGTCAACGCATCCCCCAAAGACGCAGACCAGGAAGGCTTTCAGCGTATCCTGGCAATGCTGGGTGGAGGGGGGCTGGGTGGAGGCGGGCCCAAATCCCGCAACGCAACGCCTCACAATGACTACGCACAGGTCACCCGACCCTCTCCAATGGTCGCGGCCGAACCTGCTTACGCCGCCATTCCGTCTCCATCGCGGGACCACATGAACCGGGCCGACTACATGCCGCGACAAGACGGTCCGATGCGGGGTCCGGATCCCGCCCTGAAGGACGCACTCTTCCCTCCGGATCTTTCAGCCAAAGATCCCCAGTCTCGGGAGCATCTCTTGCGGTTAATGCAGCAAGTCCGCGTCAGCCCCGGTGGGCCTCCGAGTCACGGTGCACATGGTCCCCCGCCCACCGCTGGACCGCCCCCCGGGCTGTTGAACATGGCTGATGTCATGCCGCACCCACCGGGCATCCCGACGGCGCACAAGGGGCCCAGCTTCATGGATGACCCCGCGATTGCCGAGCTCTCGCGACCGGAGGCGGAGCCGCTTCGACGCCGTCCGGCTAATGGACCGCCGCCGCCCCCCATGGGCTACTTTGATGACATTCCGTTCCCTCAAGGCAATCATCTGCCGATGACACCTGGTGGATCTCGCGCCCCTCAAGGTCAAGGTATGCCTGCCATGGGCATCCAGCGGCCGCCCGGGTTTGAACATATGCCGCCCCCCGGATGGGCGGGCCCCAGATGCCGCCGCCGCCGCAACAGGGTGTCGGACCGGGTCCCTTGGGCCCTCCCCCGGGAATCCCCACTCCGACGCGGGGGGTCAACCCGAACTACATCGCGAACATGATGCCGATGCCGGGTGGTGTGCCCCCGCTCAACGAGCGCCAGCCCTTCCCGCGCGGCGCAGCCGGTGCGGGAACCCCGGGGTTCCCCCCGCCCCCGGGCATGATGCCACCCCCGGGTTACATGAATGGCCCTCTTCCGGGTGGGTTCCCACCCATGCCACCCAACGTGGAAGGCCTGATGGGCATGGGCCACGGTGGCCAGGGACCGTTCGATGGCGCCCCCGGTCCCCAAGGGCCTCCTCCCTCGTCCCGACACCTGCTTGAGATGTTCGGTGGCGCTGACATGCGGGGAGGGATGGTCGGTCCGGGACAATTCCGGTAAGGCGACGGTGTGTCGGGACAGGGAATAAGAGACATGTGTAGATGGCAGATAGTACGCGTCCAACGTGTCCACTGACATTGGTCGTGTTCGTCTGTCCGACTGTATCTTCCCTTCCATGCAACGGTGAGATTGTTAAAGGCAGAAAAGACAAGTAATGGAGATTGGAATTTTGACATGTCGACGGTACTCTAGGTGATATACTGCAGATAATATCTAGGAACATCTGTACTAGTGGCTGGATAGTTTCAATCAATCAAATCATTACTTGTGGAGTTCTCTAAATAGATGTAGATGTGACTGTTGTAGTTTTGACGTGCGCAACGGACGTCCGCGTTGCGCAGTGATTACTTTCAAGGTTGTGCTATCTGTCTAGTGAACAGGATTCCCACTCATGGATTTGATATTCGCTATCCAGCATCACCCCCATTCACTCTCATCCATAATATAAATTGCGCTCAACCTTTACTTTAAGATTGCCAACTTCTTTTTCTCTTACTACATACCATACACCAACCCCAAAACCTCCTCTAGTAAATCAACAACTACGAGACTTTCGACCCAAGCAAGCAAATAACCATCCATCCAACTCCTAAATCCCTCCCCATCAACCATCTCTTTCATCCTTTCTAATCACTCAACCTACAGTGATATTCACTCTCCCCAGTCTTGCACAGCAGTCCTACTATTGCTTATAAATTGGGCCACTTCTTCCTCTAGTTGACTGAATCTGTTGGTCAATCTCGTGTGCTATACTTGGCCGAGAATAAATTAGCTGATTTACTTACTTCCATCCATCCTTGTTTATCCTTATTTTGCTTGGTCTGTTTAACGCAGAGGGTCGATATGATGGATGCTGTGGACTTTGAGTTGTGTCTTGACGTGGATGAATATGTGAGTCTCTCCCTCCCTCTGTATTCTTTTCCATCAGAGGTATTTCATGTCTCTCTCTGTCTTTCGATCTCGTCGGTTTACTTCATCCCATCTACCCTATCCCAGAAAAATCCCCTATCTCAGTCCACACATACAAGCCATAAAAATAAAGACTAAACCATCACAGCGCAAAAAACCCCAACCTCAGAACCAACCAGACGCAGAAACCAAAGCAAAAGCAGAACCAGAAACAACTCCCCTTCTAAACAACGCACCCCCCAAATCGCCCCTCGTCCGCAAATACGCCCAGTTCGTCGAAGACGAGTACACTACACTCAGCAGGAAGAAGGAGAATGACAACGGCCACAACGATACGGGATTCTGGCTTTCGCTGCCTCCTAAACGGCCCAGACTCTCTCCTTCGGAGTTGGGTGTAGGTTTGGAAGAAAGGGCTTCTACTGTTATTGAACAATACGGGACTGTTGGATGTATGGGATCTACTGGTGTTCAGGGACGTGGTGAGGGTGCTTGTGCCGGGGCTGGAACTGATGCAGGCGTGGATGGAGACGGAGATACGATGATGGATGTCGATGCTGATGCTTTGTCGGATTTACCGATTCGTACTACGATAATAGCTCCATCTCCAGCTACAGCTACAGCTACAATTACACCTCCACCCTCAACCCCAACCCCAGGTCGAATGCCAGCTCGACCGTCAAGACCACCCCCCTCCGCATCAACCCAATTCGCAATCTACGAAGACCCCGACACAATGGACGTCGACGACACTGACATCAGACGTTATTCTACACCTCTCCACAGCCCTACGTACAACACTACACCTGGTGATGGCCAAACCACCACCAGTAACAACAACAGCCACTACATCCACCCCTACGTCTCCTCTCAAACAGACGAAGACAAAGAAAACACCGAAAACGAAAACGAAGACGATGAAGAAGACCGCAACACAGGTGAGACACACTCCTCTCAGCAAAGCACCCTAACCAGCCTCACCGAAGGAGACCACCACCACCACCATCACCGCCAACAATACCATCAAAGAGATGGAGAAAACGAAGACCAAGAAAGCCAAGCCGACGACGAAGCCGACGACGACAACGACGACATCTACTCCCGCGACTCAGCAACCACCCCATTCAGAAGCCCACCAAGCAGAAGAATGACGTTGACGAGAAGACGCCGCCCACACCAGTACTACACCTACCACCCACACGGGTACCTGGGTCAGCGGCCGGGGTATGAGTATGGGTTCGTGGAGGGCGGCAGTGATACGAGTACTAATGCCGATATCAGTACCAGTGTAAGGGGATTCGTCGGTGGGGAACCGAGTTGGAATCGTTCTCCTGGTTCGAGCTCTACGATTACTGCTTTTGGGGGTAGAGAGGGAAGGGAAAGGGGGGACGTTACTCCCGGCATAGAGGACGGTGGTGGTATTGCGGATAGTGCCGACCCCGTCGATATCAGACAGGAGATGCTGAGCTCGACGGCTGTTCCGGGGGATTATCACCGTTCGCGAGGGGGTCTACGTCGGGTTTATCCTTGGAGTGCGGGTGGGAGTTCTGGACAGGTCTAAGGTTGTGAGGCTACAGGGTTAGTACTCGATCAGTACGATTGATGGAAAACCTCCATATGTCACGATGAAACCCTTTTACTCTATGTTATTCAAATATGCAATCAAATTTAGACAAATCAATACAGAGTTACTAGAGTAGTGAAGAACACACCGCTCCTAAGCATTCCAAGCGCACATAAAGACCCAAACCATCTTTCGCACCAAATATAGAGTTCATTTTTACATACAAAACTCAGAATTCCATGATATCTCATATAGCCGAGTGCTAATTCCCCTTCTTTTCAATTCCGATCCAGTCAAAAACCCCCAGGACAATATCGTCAATATCAGCACCGAATTTGATAAACCCCATCAAGTCCACGTTGAATGACTATTGGCCGCGAAACGTGTCACCTCTCAGTATCAGGGCTATTAGCCGTCTTCAGTACGTACATATTCTGGTCTCGCTTGAGGAAGGAAACGAAGGAAAGACCAGCACCAGTTCTCGCAACAGTATCCTCTCAATCTTCGCATTAAAGCTGCGTCCTCGCAGTCAAAGACATAAAAACGGAAAGCAGTCGAACAAAGCAAGCCAAAATGTAAAGCACCGTCGCATCCCAGAGAATCTTCACTGCTCCTGATAACTAGCAGCCCCGTTGCCGACGACACCCCCATAGCAGACGCAGAGGCTCAAGCAGCTTTACTTCTGTTATTCCAATGTGGTCATTTCCTTTGATGACCGCTTATAGACAGACGGGCAGTTCCAACGGCAGGCGAACGTAATCAGTGGAAGTGATGCTAGAGTATTAACATATTGAGTAGAAACCAGAAAGTGACACAGAGATATCGATATTCCAGATGTCGCCGGATACTGTCAGACTATTATGCTTCTCTGGTTGTAGTTGGGTTATCGCGGTCTCGAGGCTGGTATTGCTTTGTTCAGACCGGCAATGCAGTATAGGACCCCCAGTGTAGAAGTCTTCTCGCGTCTTCGCCATGGAGGATGGTGTACATTTCGTGTGGAGTTCGTATACACACACCTTTAGCTTTTACCTTCGTCATCGTTTTCTTTGAAGAGCCAAGCACCAAGAGTCTGGATATGAGCCTGCCATATGGATTTATTTCAGAAGACAGCGGGGTTCTGATCCGTGTATATATATCTATCTATCACTGTCCTCGTTCCAAGATGAAAATCGTCAATGGGTTGTTGTTGACAGTCTCTGCACAAAGATGTTTGAATGAGACAATGATCGTGGCTTGGACTCGAGACTGGAGGGTTCACATCGACTGATAGATGAGAGACACTTTTATCGGCTTTCTGGAGTTTCTCGGAATGGTTGTCTTCGATGTCGTGAGTAACTTCCGCATGCATTTTGAGGATTTGAGAGAAGCCTCCCGTGGGCCAGGCTGGGGGTTCGTGGATTGCGATCAGAAGATTATCAGTCGGGGGTTCAACAACGCTTCTCCATAATATGGAAGTGGTAGTGGATGGCCCATAATATTAGACTCCTTGATCCAATATCCAAGTTATTAGTGCGGGACGTGAGCCGGAGCTCGCATACCAGACACTCATAGTCTGATAGTAATTGCTCAGCCATTATGACACGGTTAGAGTATGAATCCAAGGTTCTCACTGTCCAGGCCGTCTGCAAGAAGTATGCCAGGCGTCGCTTGATCGTTGCTCGGGTGTATGTAGACATATCGACTACTGCATCAAAATACTGAATCTGTATTTGATCAGGCTTGATATGGCTGATATCCCAGCAAAATATCCAGGAACAGTAGAATAGTTTCTTGACTGGGTTGTCGCTTGTGCCAATACTCGAGGTAGGAAGTAATAACGTGACAAATGATAGTCAAGTACCTATACAAAGGCAGTTTGGCAGGATTCCTAGTTCAAAGAACAGATGATGTACCGGTTAATCATACTGGCAGTGGATCTGTGGAGGTTGATTCAGGGCCATCGTATATTCTTCCCTCACAGAGAGAGTAGGACTTAAAGTGAATTGAACAAACCATTTCACTGTCTAGGAGCTGTGATCAATGTTGTTTCATGATATTGGATGCTTCAATATCCGAAACACTTCCCCGAAGATTGCCAATCACTATATTCAAGTGTTATTCAACTATCCAACTTCACTCATCCTGTCGTTCAAAAGAAAAGACTATGGGCTAGGTAACTACATCATTCTCTTCTTTATATCACTAAAACTTCTGTGAGCTTTTGATATTCCTTCATGGAGTTTATTGATAACCCCAGGACAACTCCGTATAGAGATATACTAGCATTGTATCAATCAGGCTGTCTTCGATTGATACAAAATCACTTAGTCTCTTCACATCAGTGGGAGATGCTTTCTGATAGACAGATCTAGACATTATCGCTACTATAGTCAAGCATCATGCACCAAGTCTATAATCCAATCTGTTGAGGTGGGAAATGGAGGGTTGGACTGGTGGTCAGACCAAGTACATGGGAGATGTCTAGTCGATTGAGGGTTCTTGTCAACCTCGGCGTATCTTTTCTTTCTTCCTACTATCATATTTTTACTACGCATACGATAATTAGCTAGTGGAATTGATGGGAGTTCCATGTAATATTGTATTCTCCTATTCTAGAAGAGTAATAAGAGATATGGAACTTGGAACTGCAAGTAAATGAACTCAATGGGGTTTCACTGGGAAAGAAAAAATTGCTCCCAATTACCATCATAGATAAAGTACCACCTTGTTTTAGTATTTCTTGTTATGAAAGGAAAAGTGGTAGTAAACTGAAACATGAAACAGCTGGGTATCAAAACGATAAGGGTAAAGTAACTGCAAAATTGAATAAAGCAAGTAGTGAAATGGCAGAGATATGGTGCTGAGAATCCAATCCGAAAAGTATGGCATCAACTTTGGCGATGTGACCAATTTCGCTGTTCCAAGGACAAATGTTGATAGATTGATGCATCATCATCTTGCATCTTTTCGCTACTTTCGATTGCGTGTCACAATGAAAGCCCCATTCTCATTCTCCTCGACCGTGGCCCCGAACATCTCGAGCAAGGATCTAACAGTATCACGATCCTTCAAGACATCCAGACCCATTGTATTGCTAATCTCGGCGGCTTTGCGTGCCTGGATCTTCAGAATATACTCATCGATTGAGTCTTCCACGATCATCTTGACACATTGTACGGATTTGGTCTGGCCTATTCTCCAGACACGACAAAATGCCTATAGTAGCAATCAAAGAAGACGATTAGCTTAGAACTCTAAAAGGACCGTCGAGAGGGGGTGCGGCATCATACCTGATCTTGCATAGCCCCATTCCACCACAGATCCACGAGAATGCATTTATTTGCGGCGGTCATGTCAAGCCCGGTTCCTCCGGCCTTGAGACTGGCAATCATAACCCTGATGTTGGGATTTTCGGCGAATTTCTTCATGCTTTCTTCGCGGCACTCAGGACGCATCTTTCCAGTCAACTAGATGTATTGTCAGCGTCTGTCTATTTACCTGTGATCAATCTGGATAAAATCTTCACTCACGCAGACACTTGGGCAGTTCTCCCGCCGTAATGCGGCCGCTAGATTTTGGACAAAATTGAGAAATTGAGTGAAGACAACAATTTTGACGTCTGGATTGTCTTCAATCCAACCACGGATGATCTCTTGTATCTTGCTCAGCTTAGCGCCAGGCATGTCTCCATCGCAGGCCCTAATCCAGTCGGTTTTTTCATCCTCATCTTCGGACTCATCGCTCTCCTCTGTCCTGGGTGTGGCAATCTTTCTAAGGGCGTTTCCAGAATTTCTCTTCGTGTTTCTCTTGCGCTTATGCGCCTGCTTCCTGCCGACCGATGCCGTGGCTTGGGACAAAGAGGAGCTGCCCAGCTCTATATCCTCATTGAAGCAGCATTGTGCAGCTTCTTCGATGTGTGAAGTGCATTTGACGCACACCCGACTCGGCGTTGCAGAATTTGTATCATCGCCAAGAAGGTAGAAGCATTCCTCGCAGTATAGATGCATGCAGTCTGTAACGACAGTATTTACCGGCTGTGATGCACAGGTGGCGCAGGAAGTCCTTGCCAAGCGCTCATCCCAGTCTTCTCGCTCATGAAGCTGGCACATGAGCTCGTGAAACCGTTGAACAAGCTTCATTGCATCCCCACGAATTTCATCCAGCAACTGACCAGCCTCTTCCGAATCTGGTTGTTTTGCGATTCCCAAACCAGTGTCCCTTTTCATAGCTACAAGCCATGAGGTTATTCTCTTTGATGTATGACGAGTCACTTCATCTTCATCGTTTGAAATAGTCATAAGCTCTCGCATCAAGGATCCGGATAGCAGTTTCTTAACCATCCCTTGAGTAGTAAGTATGTGGCTGCAGAACATGCGCAACACCAAAAGCATGGTCAAAAAGCATCGAGTCTGAGCGAGTCTACCGTCTTCCACCGAGGCGTGACCTATATTCCATGTTAGATCGGCTTCGGTCAATCCATTGTACTGTGGGGCCTTGTTATTCTAACCATTCATGTTTTTTATGAAGTAATCAACAATCCTTTCGTAGATAGTGCGCTCAGCTTCGCAAAAGTTCACCTTAACAACTTCCTCACCAAGGTCAGGGAGCTTGATGACCGGGAGCGAGAAAAGTCTGCTCTGGTGTGTTCGCTTGATCATGAAAGAGCGTAAAAGATTTGTAAGGCGTTGCTCTGCTTTCTGGTCCTATTATAGAATTTTAGAAACATGATCAACGATGGTGCCAGCCACACTTGCCTTGCAGTATCGTCCAAAGAAAGTGTCGAAGTTACCAGTTTGGGGAACACTGAGGAAATCGAATTGGGGATAGAATTCTTCGATACAACTATAGCAACTCCATCAGCCGGCTTGCCATACTAGCAAGTATCGAAATCCCTGCTCATTCGAAACTCAACAGAGGTTAAGTGACCGCATTATTACTTACTTGTGTACTGGAGTTCCACTCAAGATCCATTTGTATTTGCCGGTGAGGGCACGCACCGCGATGGAGGTGTGCCCGGTGTAATTATTGATGACATGTCCCTCTAAAACGTGGTTAGCTTGAACACGAGTAGTTTGGGACTGCTTACCATCAAGAATGATTCTCAAAAACTTGTTTCGATGCAGAGGACCAGCGTGTTTCTCGTAGGTTTCAATCCACCATTCCCATGTTGTATTTTCATCCATGGGTTGTTCAGGTGCCATGCAACGGGGATAAGATCTTCTGACCTCTTCGTACGTCGTGATTCTTTTTTTGAAAAAATTAACATGAGCTGTCTATAATAATTATGAAAAGGTGAGACTCACAGGATGAAACTGTTCTGAATGGATTTATCGATGTCGAGTGTCAGTTGCCTTAGATGTCTATTGTAAGTTTTGACTTCTCCTCTGGCATCCGCATCGCAATGTTTGGCTATTTGGTTTCTCCTGCTGATATTAGCTGTTCGGGCTTCAGAAAATAGATACTCAGGAACTATACCAGTGCGACACAAGGTGCGCTGGGACAACGATCAAAGTTGTTCTCAAGGGGTCATTAGGGTCACAAGTTTGGCCATCCATAATATTAGCTATATTGGTATTTGAATCAGCTCTGCACCATCTGAACCGGCCGACATATCTCACCTAAAGCCTGAATTGTTTTTCCAAACCCCATGAAGTCACACAAGAATCCACCAAATGGAGCGTGAGTGGAATTTTCCCGGTCACGCTATGATTGTTAGGGAGCTCTCTCAAGGCTCAAAGGTTGCTTACCATGAAAGCGGCACCCAAAAGCTACATCTCAGTTAGTTCGTTGCATGATAGGGAGAGAGAAGATTCTAACCTGATGGTGATAGAGGCTTGTCTTCAAGCCTCTGATTTTCCAGCCGCTTTTCCCATCGCTTGTGGCTGATTTTGTGAATTTTCGAGTGGCTTTCAATACCTGCTGTTTGTCGGACGCTGCACCTTTCTGATCTATGGTGGGGATACTGGCTATCAATTCAAAAAGAGCCTTTCCTTTGTTTTTGGCAGTAAACCCTGGAATCTCTGGGAGCGGGGAATTTGCGTGGGCATCCTCAGTCAAGCTGGAGCCGAAAAATGACCGCAGAGTTATGGCGTTTTCTTCGTCATTCTTCTTGCTCTTTTTCATGGGGCCTCGCTGGGTTGAACTGTGGCGGCAGTCGTGCCTGCGTTTTCGGGGCTTTCTTTTGTTCGCTGCCTGCGCCAAAACGACGTCAAACCCGACCTGCATGCTGCGGCGTTTTTCACTTGCAGTGATTTTATTGGATCTTTTGCGCCTAGACACCGATGGTTTTGTATCAGAAGCCCCCGGATTCCCGGATTCTTCCCCATATGGTAATTGGCTTTGAGATGTGTTACCAAGTCCATACTCGTTGAAAGGAAGTTCTTCGTCGTCAACAAGTCGCTGCTCTTCAAGAACTTTTCTATTTGCAAGCCTTTTCTGGCGAGCATCATCATCCAATTTCGCCACCTCATAGCGAAATCTGTCTTCCATAGAGGGATTCGAAAGGCCTTCAAACCATGCTTTCGTTTTTTCAAACCTAAGAAGTTCAACATAAGTCCAGCAAACAAGGAAGGGAAAAGTACGTACTCTGACGAATCTTGATCGTTGACAGAATTGAGCAATGTTTCTGGCCACTCGGGGTCCTCACAGTGAGTATCATCGTTGGCAGCGGTGTCACCTGGAGGAACAGCAGGTTCTCCGTTCACCTGAGCCGATGCAGGAGTCGACGGGTTTTCTTGATTTCCATTGAGTGTCTCATTCATCACCGAGGGTTGGCCGTATGTGAAGGCTTGCAATGCTCCAATATCGTCCATTGTGATGTCGTCGAGTGGCACGAATAAATCGTTGTCCTCACCGCCAGCAGTAGGAGATTCGGCACCGCTGGTAGAATGCTCCGCACGGCCAGGAAGGACAGAATAATCACCAGTAGAACAAGAGGGTTGTGTAATTTCAGTGTCTAGGGGTCTATCAGCAAATGGGACAAACGCCCCACCTGCTTGGCTCGATATGGCTGCCATTGGAGGCGTTTCGTTACATTCCATGTTGAGTGTATCTGCCATTCCACCGGGATTGATTGTTTCGGCATCTTGCGCTGTCTTTGGAGTTGTCCCGTTGCTTTCCGTGTTTGGTGTATTTTGAAAGCCAGTGTGATTGACTGTCTCAGGAATCTGGGTGATATCCGTGAGGATAGGCTTGTTGCTCTGGGCTAGCTGCTTTTGAGCAGCTGCCAGCTTGGCTCTCCTATCGATTGAAGGCACAGCATGGGGTTTCAGAAACTTGTCCTTGATATCAAGCAACTCGGGCCCTGTTTCAGTCGTTCTGTTGGGTTCCTTGTCTGCTTCCATGTTGGACGAGGTGGTAGGTTCGTTGCATGTCTCCATACTAGGCTCAGTGCTAAGTCCGCTGTTGTCATCCATGGCAGGCTCAGTGCTAGGTTCATCAATGGGGTCCATACCATCCAAGGTGCTAGGTTCACTGTTGTAATCCACGCTAGCCTCAGTGTTGAGGTCCTTATTGATGTCCATATTAGACATAGTGCTAGATTCACCGTCGAGGTCCATGCTAGCCAAAGGGCTAGGTTGATTGCTCTGATCCATGGCGGGCTCAGCGCTAGGTTCACCATTGAGGTTCATATCAGGCTCATTGCTAGGTCCAGTGTTGTCACCCATGCTAGACTTGGTGCTAGGGTCTTCATTTAAACCCATATTAGACTCAATGCTAAGTTCGCCATTGAGGTCTATGTCAGCCAGGGTGCTAGGTTCACCATTGTGATCCATGCTAGGCTCAGCGCTGGGTTCCATATTCAAGTTCATATCAGCCTCGGTGTTGGATTCACCGTTGAGATCCATATCAGTCAAGGTGCTATGCTGACTGCTCTGATTCATGGCAAACTCGGCGCTAGGTTCACCGCTGCTATCCACTCTAGGCAGGTTGCTAGGTTCATGATTGGAATCCATGGCAGGCTCAGTGCTGGGTTCACTGTTGAGATCCATGCTAGGCTCAGTAGTAGGCTCCTTATTGAGATCCATGCCAGTCTCAGTGGTAGGCTCACTACTGTGATCCATGCTGGACCGGAGTTGGCCTAGATGAGCCGTCAAGAGGGACAGGATGTAATGTGGAATAGGGATGGATTGAGACTCGGTGTATAAGATAGGAAGTTGGATGTAAGAATGAAAGGTGGAAAGGGAAGACAGCAGGATGAATACACGAAGAGGTCGAAAGGGAAGATAGGAATAAGGATGTAGGAAGGAAAGGTTAAGGAAGATAGATGTAAGGAGGAAGGTTGCAAAGGGAAGATAGGAGGTGGGATGTAGGAAGAAAAGGCCCCAAAAAAGATATCTGGGAAGATAGATGTACGAAAGGGGTATTCAAAGGGGAGATAGGAAGATGAATGTAAGAAGGGAGAGTCCAAAGGGAAGATAGAAAGAGGATGGACAGATGGAGAGTGAAATGTGTATGTTGAAGACAAAAAGGGAGGATCCAGTGAGGTCTGAGTGAGGCTATGTTGGTATCTTTGAAAGATGTGAGGTGAGGTTAAGAAGCACGCAGTGATGATCAGAATGGAGAGACAGAAATATAGGAAGGATAGAAGTGATGTGAGGCAGAGGAAAGATGGGAGGATAGAAGAGATAACGGAGGTGGGAGAGATGAAAGAAACCAGGTCATTGGTGGAGGAAGGTGTATGATGCAGCCAGAAAGTAGAAGGAGATGTATGTCAAATTCAGAAAGTTTTCGAGCGGAATAGAAAATGTGAAAGATGCACGAGGAAGGCGGAAGATTGAAGATGAAATTGTAAGGTCTCAGCGAAAAGGTATAGGTATCTTAGTATGAAGAACCACGTAGTGGTGATGGGACGAAAAGAGATGATATGAACGATGTGGAAGTTAAAGGAACGATGTATGTGAAGATATTTGCAAGGAGAGGAGAGCTTTGGGGTATAAGTTAGAGAGAATGGCAAGAGTATAAATCAATCTGAGGAGGTGCTCAAGGTGAAGTCTCCAAGGACACGAGATGAGACAAGCTTAAGGGAAGATAGCTGGGAATAGGTGCGTTGGAAGAGATGTGACGGTTGAGACCCAGAGACTACTCGATATCACGGGATAAAAGAAACCATCAGTCGAGATGAGGCCTTGTCACCTTCAGTTTTTCTCAAATAACCGCAAAAAGCAACAGAGTAATCGATATAAACCTCAGTTCATTTCACATTTCATTGAGTGGTTCAAATCCGGAATCCCAGAAGCGCCAGACCGATTATTCTAAGACTAAACTGATATCAACAGATCTACCCCATAAACCTAGACAAAAAAAAAACAAACACATTCATCACTCATCACTTGCACCATGCCATCCCATAATCCTGCACGCTTATTGGTTTCTCCGGTTTCCCCGTTGGCGATCTTCAAATATATCATCGGGGGTGCAGTTGGGATGTAAGACGTAGACTGTCCGCGTTGATTGTTCGTCCTCGGCCGAGTCGACCAGCCCTTCGCCTCTGATCGGCATGAGGATATTGTCCTGGGGGTAAACCATGTTAGTTGGGAACCTCAAAAGGTAGACAGACACATGTGTGCCTGTTTTAAAGGAAGACAAACCTTGACCATGCGTTTCAGCACCTTCATCGCCAGATCGCGCTCCTTCTGCAGATCTTCCTCGCTGTTCAGCTCGGACTCAATCTGTTCGAGATACCACACCATAAGGTCTTCCTGCTCGACGCCTTCGCCAGCTGCGGCTTCGTCCTCGTGGACGCGACGCACGACGAGATTCAGGATCTTCATGTAATGGTCGAAGGAGACCTTGGTTCTTGGGCGTTGCTGCGTTTGAGCTGCCTCGCCATCGTCGCGCATGGGGCTGTCGCCTTCGCGGTCACGATCGGCCATCTCTTGATCCTCTTCGCCGTTCCTTTGGCCGGCAGTCTCCTCCTCGTCGTCGACCTCAACGTCATCTTTCTCGACGGTGACGATACTCTGCCGGAGAAGATCGTACGCTTCGTGCACGAAATGAGGGGCGATTTCTTCAACGCAGTTGGCCTTGGCCACTGCTTCGGAAAGACGAATCAGAGATTCAAGCTGACGGACGGTAATCCGGTAGGAAGAGCGGCCAATGCCGCCCTGGGCGTCGTTCGAGCGGAGCTCCTTGTACTTTTCGACCAGCACGGCCTTGGCTGCGTCGGTAAAGACAGGTCGGAAAGTCCGGGCAAACCGGATGTATCGCTGGATTTGTTCAGTGCTGAACTCTGGCTCCACTGCCTCGTCACGGTTCATGTGGACGTTGACGATATGGTTGGCCAGGTTGCGGTCCACGCCCTCGTTCGGCTCGTCGCGGATGATGAAGAACAAATCGAATCGACTCATGATGGGAGCACTGAAGTTTAGGTTCGCGCGCAACGGCACCTTGGGGTTGTACCGACCACCGATGGGGTTCGCGGCGGCAAGGATAGAGGCGCGGGCATTAAGGGTGGTGTGGATACCAGCTTTGGCGATGGAGATGGTTTGCTGTTCCATCGCTTCGTGAATAGCGACTTGGTCACCGATATCCATTTTGTCGAACTCGTCAATAGCGCAGATCCCACCGCCGTTCTAGACATCAAAGTTAGCTTCTTGTACGGGGAACTAAAGTGCATGGAATAATAGCAACATACAGCCAACATGAGCGCACCAGCCTCAATGGTGAATTCCCCAGTCTCGGCATCCTTGACGACGGAGGCCGTCAAACCTGCTGCGGAGGAAGCCTTACCACTGGTGTAGACGGCACGGGGGTGTAGCGAGCAAATATACCTAGCAAATCGTCGTTAGTGGCGAACCTTGCTAGTAAGGAAAAGGGCAGCTTACTTCAAAAATTGGCTCTTGCTTGTCGACGGGTCACCAACGATACAAATGTTAAGGTCACCACGCAGTTGCATACTCTCTTGCTCGGTTGACTTGCCCACACCGCCGATCAGCTGCAGAAGCAAGCCCTTTTTGATCTGGCGATGTCCATAAATCATGGGGGCAATGGAATCCACCAGACGAGAATAGATGTAGTCGGAATGAACCAACTTCTTCAGATCGTCGACTTCATAGGGCGTCAGGCTGTGGAGAAGAGCCTCCTGGGCCTTGTCATCAGTCGACTCGGCCTCCTGCTGGTTCAAGGAGGCCAGGATGTTGTTCGACTGGCCATTCAACTGCTGGTTCGATTGCTGACCAGGGGTGGTTGTGTCGGGTGTGACCATACAAGAGAGGAAGGCCAACCGGTAGGTCAGATCTCTGGCACCCAGGGCTTTCAGTCCCGAAACTCCACCACCACCTGCTTCCCCAAGACGGGAAGACCCCGTGTCGCGAACAGCCTCAGGCCGTACACCCGGGAGTCCGAGCTGACTCACATCGGGAACCACAATGAGGGTACCGGTGAAGATACACCGTTCACCCGCTCTGGCACGGTCCACCATCTCGCCACGAAGGATCACATCCATTGTACGCGGCATACTGCCTGTGGGAATTTCGTGCGACGACTCCTGCAGTTTAACCTTTTGCCAGTCAACGAATGTGCTCTTGTTAATATCGAGTCGCCATCCATAACGGTTACCGCAGGTCCGGTTCGGGCACTGCGCCGGCTCCGTATACTTGAAAGTCTGCTCAACGTCCTTGACCACGGTCTTGCACGTTTCGCAAATGAAGGTTCCCAACGCCAATTCCGGCCGGACTTCCGACGTCCGCGTCACGGTGCCCGAAACCGAGAGCAGCTTTCCGATCTGCGAGGTGCGCAGCTGGCGGAGTCTCGAAACGAGCGGGAGGTTGTAGAAGGCGACGGAGAAAAGTCTGTCGGTCTGCTGGTGACGGGTCTTCTCCCGCATGGATTTCGCCAACTCCGGCATATCCGACATACTCGCGCGAGAGTCGGCGGCGGCCATCGAAGTGCCGGCCTGCGAAGAAGCGCTCTCCGCTTGACGATGTGTTGCGTAATACTCCGGCTCGTATTTCTCCATGAGGTTGTGCAGGGCATTCGTCAGGAACGGCTGGAACCGGAAGTATTGGTTGGCGATCGCATCCGCCAAAATGGGATTATCCAACGAGGCCAGGTGCCTAAAGTCCACGTACAACGTGGAGAGGTCGAATTTCCTCATGCCATGGATCTGAGCGAGATAGTATTTGTCGCTTAGCATCTCCGACGACGGTGGGGGTGCCGATGACGACGGCTCCTCCATGTAGGTTTCCAACAACTCCTCAAAGGCCTGCTGTACTTTCTCGCCGACCACATCGACGACGGGCGGCGGGCCCGGGACGTAGGGGTTTTGGAGACGGTTGACGGACGAGCCATTTGCACCCACGACCTGGTCGTCAGGGAAGCCCCCATGGGCGTCGCTCATGGGGCCATTGCTCTCGGAGGGAGGCTGCGGTCGAGAACTGGGGAAATTATCCGAAGGAATGTTGCGAGAGCCGGCCGTCGAGCCCAATTCAGACTGGATGACAGCGTCAAACAAGGAGGACATGGCGGTCAATTGGCGGCCAAGAAGTGGCCAGGGGGGAGGTCAGGTCGATCAACTGGTTGTTGCAATTGGGGTGGATGTACGGATGGGAGGGGTATCACGCAAGATAGAGTGTAGAGTGGTCAATTCGTAGGGCAATGACCGCACATGAAGTTAGAAAAATGGTCTGTTTGGAGATCTATCCTGCTTTTCGTTTTCCTCCGCCCTTCAAAGCGGGACTTTTCTTCTTTCGGTGGGACGCGTGTGTGCGCGCCCGACGCGTCGGGGAAAGGATAACGCGGGCCGACGCGTTAAGTGGTTTTGATTTCCTATTTGGGATGCTTACCTTATCATGCCAAGAATGACACCCAGACACTGAAGAATCTGACTTGATATTTGTGTTTGTTTACTGTGGGGATACCAAGATAGATCTGAATCAGATAACTACGGGGTGCGGAGTACGGAGTATGTGTGGAATAACTCCTACTTTTATATATATGACTATGGCTTCGTCACTTGGAAGAAATCATTACTGCAATACAAGATACAATAGATCAATCATGAAGCACACGAAGCTGTCATCAGCATGGAGCAAGTAGTAACACAGGCTTAATATCATGAGTGATTTTTCTATTACTCATTTTTGACAGGATACATGCTTCAGCTAGTATCTTAGTATGGATACACTGCAGAATAGTTATGTTAATGAAGTAAACTTTGCCAATGACTAAGTGTTTATTCCAAGTCTCGAGCCATTATATAGCTCAATCCTTATAGATACTGTGTACTCCGTACTTTGTATGTTGAAACAATATCGGTTCAATAACTAGTGTCAGCTCTGACTGTACTAACCAATATAAGGAAATAGTCCACCCCTGTGAATCGTGGCCTGAGCATCTCCCACTTAATATAGGGGTCTGGGCGTCACACAACCAGGCAAATCACATGCATGTCCAAACTATAACTAGTCTCGTTTTCTTTTCTTTTCCCTGGATTACTCGAGAGTCACCATTGTCGCAAGTGCAATATGAGTATATAATATTAAACACGAGAATTGTCCTTTTCTATGTCCCGACTCGTATCACGAGAGAGACGTGTCTATCCAATCTCCCGCACGATGATTGCCACGACAATAATAAGCAAACACCAACGGACGTCCAGCCCAATACCAGTATAGTGACGCTTGCTCGATACGGATAAAGGTCCTCGGCTCGAATCCACATCTGAACATGCAGACAGCACCAGCCAACCGGTTCACCTCAATCCTTTTCCCAGCGACCACTTTCCAGTAGGGGCACATTTCTGCCCTCCGCGACCAATCAACCTACCAACTATACGAGGCCAAAGCTCCTACCACCCAATCAAAACCGAGGTTGACGGACGCAGCCGAAGGAGACAAGCAGAGCGGGTGTGGATGGATCTCAATCCTGGCGCTCTCCACCGACTGGGGGAGTCTAGGACAGACAGAGTAGTCGACCGACTGACCGTGGACTCGGGCCAACTTTCTTGTTGCAACTACCGTCCTCCCCCAAGTCCAAAACTCCCCTGCTCAATGGGGCTCGTCATATTTCCTCCATTCTGGCTAATTCAACCACTAACAAGGACTAACGACGGAGTTAGACCCGGCCCTAGAAACCCCTCTTCAAATTTGATAAGCCCCGGAAGTTTAACTATCTCACAAATCCTTTCTCCTATTATTACCACCGACAGACACGAGGATGACTTGGTGACCTCCTCCCCGGTCTTCCTCCCCCTCCTCCCCCTTCATATATAGTATCATTTCGTGTTCCTTGTCAGCCACGCCGCCTTTGTGCGATGCAATGACTACGAAAGGGGAAAATTAATCCTGTTGCGCCCCTGTTCTGCTGCTCCTCAGAGATGCTTGGTGGGCAGCTTTGACGAGCGCAAGCTAGCCCGTGAAAGTCTGTCGCATCCTCACGAATAGCTCATCTTTTTCTCCCCGTGTCGTGTCTGGTTGTTTTTTTTTTATTATTTCTTTTTCCGCCAGAGGTACCTCGCAATGCCGGGGGATAGCCAACCGTCCGCTGATGTCACTCATGCCGAATTCCGTCACGGTGCTGCTTCACCGCAAAGTAGGTACCGACATGCTTTGCGCGCCCCCGCTCTGGACGAACCCGCTCCAGTCCAAGGCGTTGGACAGGGCAGAAGCGACGGGCGCTCTCAACCCAGACGTTCCGATCATGATCCTGAGGGAGCCATCAACCTCAAGAAACAGGGACGTCTGGTAGGGCCGGGGCTCAAACCGGTGAAGAGTCAAATGTTCTACTTTGTCGATTCCAACTCGTCCTCCCGAGAGAAGCGGGCGCATGTGATGCGTCACCACGTTCAAGAGAAGCGAAAGCAGCGCAAGCATTGCAAACACGGCGCGGAAACAGAACATCCCATTCGGCCTTTACGATGTCTGCCATGGCAGCAGAAGCAATTCGGTCTGGATGCGGTAGACAGTGAGGACGTTGGGCCGGAGCAAGTCCAAGCCGATCTGGACGATGAATCTCTAGTAAGTTGTCCTCCAGTGAGGGGTACGTCGCGCATCCATTGCGATTCTGACCAAGATGGCTTCTAGGCTTCATCTGGACCTTCCTCCCTCTCACCCCCGTCGCACCCGTCCAAGATTCCACACCTTGAATCGCCTCTCACGATGCTCGATGCATCAAGAAAAGATCCGTTTCGCAGTCTGCCGATGGAGTCGTCGCCCGAGAACGCCGTATTAGTCGACTACTGGACAAACCGGCTGACGTACTGGTCGGGTCAGAACAAATACATCAAGGACCAGATCTTTCGATCGGCCATGTGCCATCCGTTAGCTTTTCAAGCAGTCATCCTGTCTTACTGTTCCCGGTGGAGGTCGCATCTCCACCACTTGGAGGACGGCGATCACGTCCACAACCACCACCGACAAGTGGTTACAGGCATCGACAAGGTCATGAACGGGTCTCTGCCAATGGACGCAGACCACCTAGGAATGACCCTGTCAGGCCTGGCATTGCAGGAAGAGCGCTTCGGCGACCGCCAAGCCTCAAGAGGCTACGAGGACCAAGCCGTCCAAATGTTGCGATCCCGCGGCGGATCCAGCAAAATCCACGAAGTCATCCTCCACTTCGTCCGGTACCTCCTAATGCCATCGGAATCATCCATCAGTCCCGAAGGCCAGCAATGGCTCGGCACATTCCTCCGCGGCGCCGAACAACTAATGTCCGCCCAAAGCTCAGACGCATACCTCACATCCGTCCCGCAGCGGCGGGCCGCATTCGGCATGGACAGCCCGCTCTTCCCGCTCCTCTCCAGCGGGCCGCACCCAACCCAAGTCCCGCTCGACTCCCGCGTCTACGTCGTCCAGGGCGTGCCCACCCAGGAGGTGATGCGCACCGCCGCCCTAATCTACATCACGGCCGCACTGTGGGACTTCCAAGACCACCCGGGCAAAACGGCGCGCTTCCTCGACCACATCCAAAAGGCAGCCAAGTCGCACAGCCTCGACCGCACGCCCGCCTGCGAGACCTTCACGTGGCTGCTGCTGGAAGAGTCCTACGAGGCGGACCTCAAGGACCCCGAGCGCGGGTGGTCCACGGGCGAGCTGCTGAAGGTGCACAAGCAGCTCCGTCCGGATCTGCAATTCCATTTCAACGAGATCCTGTTTAGCTTTCTGGCTCTGACGCCGCCGATTCGCGGGATTGACGCGTTTGAGAGCGAGTTGTGTGCGTCTTCGGGGCCGGATGACCTCGATGATGTTTGATACCCTACTTACCCTTCTGGCTTGTGTTGAGCGTTTTGAATGTATTGGATTTGTACATAGATTTTGCAATTGAATTGATTAGCGACTTGCAGGCAGTCGCTTAGTAGTATTTAGGAGTTCTTTTTTGTTTTACATTGTAAGATGAATAGAGGGCACACACTTCAGTCATTACCTTTCCAGGTTATATTAAACCCATCAACAACCTTAATATCATCGTTACTGATACTGTAGTTGACCCATTCCCCTACCTTACCTAGCGAATAGCAAAAAAACCCAACCCCAACCCAAAAAACAACCCCACTTAGCAAATCCTACGTATAAACTTGTCAAATATACACCAACTCCATCCTCCAGCCCCCCACCCCCGCTCTCCGTCATATTTTATAAACTATACAAAGATAGTAGCGCCCCGCCCCGTGTCCCTGTCATGACCTCCCAGCCACACGGCATACATACACCATACATAGTCCGTACATGGATATGGGGCAGGATAGGTGTTTCATCGATAGCACGTAGTGGCAAAAGAAAACCCCTGCACTCACCGACTGTCTGAGCTGTGACAGGTCGAGACATGACATCGTGCTTGGCGGTTGTTTTTGTTTATTAAAGTTTATTGAGTTTTGTTTTCTATATTTATATTCATACTTGGAGGTGAGGGCGTTGTGTGGGGTAATTGACGTACTCTTTTATAGGTATGTAGATCTATATGCATATGTAGGTGTATGTGGGTGGTTTAGTTATCATACTGGGTGGTTGAGGCTTGAGGTTGATGTGGATGAGTTATATATATATACTTATTTTTTCTACTTTTCTCTTTTCCAATCCATTCTAGTAAACAACGCCTTGGACTCTAACTAAAGAGATAAATATACTATTTACTATAGCAATGATAAGGTCAGAGAAGAACAAGCATCAACAATTCTATACCTAGCTAAAGAGCAAATAAGGATAACCTTAAGTTCTTACAACAGTGTACTGATCCTGTGTACTGATCGCATAAAAAGTGGCGCAATCTCTCCTTTACCTACTTTCCCCATTATATTATTCCTCACTTGTCAATATATTTACTAGGTATCATATTCACCCAGCCACAAACTCCTCAACCGAGGCAGCCAAACTAGGCAAACAGCTGTTGATGACAATTGAGATGATGATCATGATGATGATGACGATAGACAGACAAATCAGTCACACAAGAATGCACCACATCGTGCGGAATCTGCTCAGGTAGATCGGAATGACGACATCCCTGAGTGTAGGTAATATGTATAACCAGCGCCGTGGAACTATCGAGTGTGGCTTGACAGGGGCTATGGATTGAGTTTTTTTTCTTCTCCTCGTTCTTGGTTTCCACTTTCCAGCTCGGACGACGGACGGAGATGCTAAACTACACTAACGATAATAAGATTGTGGAAGATGATCTAGGTCTTGGCAAGGGTTTGTTAGTTTGGCAATGGTTCGTACTAGATGGGTAGGAAAGCCTGTTTTATAAACTATTTGTTAGTTATCCATGGGTGGAATTGGTTGTTCTTTGGGAGGATACAGGGGGGATGGTTGATTCTAGGGTATACTTTCCGCACACATAGATGTGGATAAAGCACTTTCTTGCGGTGTTATCGTCAGCTGTGGCTCAGGTCGATCCTGTAAGTAAATAATGATAAACGGAGAACATTCCCGGACGAAACTCCATCAGAAATGATTTCATCTGCCTATTACCTCCATCCTATCCTCACGGAGATGCCGATCGTCGTCGTGTCCAAGATCTGCATTCAGACGATCGGTGCCGCCGTGGTGGAGACACGGGCTGCAAATACCACTGTCCCATGAACAGGACAAGACAATTGTGGCGACATCCACTATCCTTCCGTAGGGATCGGGAGAGAAAGGGTAGTTATTTGGAAATCATCCAGGACGCAAACAAATTCAGACGGTGGCTGGAGGAGGACCATGCTGATAGGAGGACCATGCTGATAGGAGGGGACAAGAGGATCGTGGGACTATCCTGGGTGGACCCGGTTGGATTAACTGGGAATAGTTTGATCTGATCAATGGAAATCCATTTCCTCTTGAGGGACTAGCGATGTCCCTTGCTCCAGCCTCCCCTGGAGTAGAGGCATTCAGGAAATGAAATTTGGGGTTCATTGCTGTTCGATTGACGTCATTCTGATTGGGGTATTTTATCCCTTGGTATGAGGCAGTAAATAAACAATGGATAAGATAAAAAGATGGACTGCATAGAAGATAATAGGATTGAAGAGGGGAGCGATGGTGGTAAGGGAATGCAAGCGCCCGGCTGAGCTCCAGATGAGGTGGACAGACTGACTTGTCACGATCGAAAAGAAACTTTCCCTCAGGGCCCGATTCGGGTCCGGGATTCAGGATGCATTTGCCAATGATAGATAGAGACAGTCGTGGCTGAACTGTCGTCACCCACGGAACCGCCCATGGCCCACCGATCTCTCCCATTAGATCAAATCGGGTTACAGATTCTTTTTCTTGTCTCTTTTTTTTTTCGCCTCTCAGGTGGGGAACAGCTGGACGACCCTTCCATCCCTATCGATCGAGTCAGTCAAATTGGTTCTGTCCATGGATCGAGAGGGGCGAATTGGCATGTGTGTCTTACTGTCTTACTGTTTTCATTGGAGATGAAGATAGAAGAAAAGTAAAGTTAAAGGTTGAGACAAAATTAAGAACGTAAACAAGACCCGATCTGGATCGCCCCTCTCTGCCTTAGGTACCTCTAGTCTCTCTTCTCCTTTGTTTCTCGTAATTTGAGATTTTATTTCTTGCTTTTTTACTTTTTACACTTCCCTGCATCCTTTCGTTCATCTTTTGGGTCGCTTGTTAAATTATATTAATTCTTTCTTTTTGTTCTTTTCTCCTCTGACCTCCCGCCTCTCTTTTTATTCCTCTCTCTTTCTGTTTTTCCTGTTGTTCTCTCGTCCAAACACTCCTTATCGCTACCTGTGTGACTCTCTGACGTGGTCACCACGGTCGGCTTCTAACCCAACAGACATTGAAGCTTCATCTCGACACACCAAGGGTCATAAGACCCTCGGTCATCATGAATCTCCGTGATGTTGGCCTCTCTGGCCTTCATCAGATGGCCCGCCGTGCGGAAGAGGATCCCAAGGATACCTCGAACTCCGGCTTCGGCCTCGTCACCACCATTGTCCCGACCTTGGCGGTCGCCCTGATCATGGTCGTGCTCTTTATCATCCTGCGCCGCAGTGAGCGCCGCATGTACATGCCCCGAACCTACCTCGGTGTCTTGCGACCCGAGGAGCGCACCCCCCCGTCCTCGACCGGGGTCATCAATTGGCTGCGGGATATGTACAAGATCCCTGATGAATATGTCCTGCAGCACCATTCCATGGACGCCTATCTTATGCTGCGCTTTCTGAAGCTCATCTCGATGATCTGCTTTGTCGGCACCTGTCTCACCTTCCCCGTGCTGCTGCCGGTGAACGGCACGGGCGGCGCTGGCAAGAAGCAGCTGGATATGCTCAGCATGTCCAACATCAAGAAAGAGGGCTATGGGCGCTATTTCGCCCATGCTTTCATCGCCTGGATTTTCGTCGGTAGGTACCTTGAATGTTAGATGGTAGGCCTGGAAGTCGAGTCTAACCGCTGTGGTCCAGGTTTCATCTTCTACACCATTACCCGCGAGAACATCTTCTACATCAACCTGCGCCAGGCCTACTCCCTGTCGCCGGCGTATGCCAGCCGGCTGTCGTCCCGCACGGTGCTCTTCACTGCAGTCACCGAGGACTACCTGGACTGCGACCGGATCCGCAGGATGTTCGGCGTCGAGAAGGTCAAGAATGTCTGGCTGACCACCGACACGGAGAAACTGCAAGAAAAGGTCAAGGAACGCGACGACGCCGCCATGAAGCTCGAGGCGGCCGAGACCAAGCTCATCGTCATGGCGAATGCCGCTCGCCGCAAGGCCCTGAAGAAACAAGGCCACGTCGACGACGGTCCCATCGCCCTGGAGAACATGGGCGGAGAGCCTGATGATGAGTCCGGCTCCGTCGCCAGCCGTTGGGTGAAAGCCTCCGACCGACCGACCCACCGCCTCAAGATGATCATCGGCAAGAAGGTTGATACCATCAATTGGGCGCGATCGGAGATCGAGCGCCTCAGCCCTGAGATTGAAGAACTCCAGGCCAAGCACCGAGCCGGCGAAGCGAAGCTCGTCTCGTCCGTGTTCGTGGAATTCTACTACCAGGCTGACGCCCAGGCCGCTTATCAATCTGGTACGTTCCCATCCCTGAGAACTCATTAAAATAGACGACCCGTTGCTGACATCCGTAGTCGCGCACAACCTGCCCCTGCATATGGCCCCGAGGTACATCGGCCTGGACCCCACCCAGGTGATCTGGCAGAACCTGCGCATCAAATGGTGGGAGCGCATAATGCGCTACACGCTGAGTGTTGCTTTCGTTTTTGCTCTCGTTATCTTCTGGGCGATCCCCACCGCCTTTGTCGGTGCCATCTCCAATCTCAACGCCTTGACCAACATGCTGCCGTGGCTCAACTTTATCTACAATGCGCCCAGCTGGCTGCGCAGTGTCATCAACTCGCTGCTGCCTTCGGTCTTGATGTCGGTCCTGATGGCCTTGCTGCCGATCATCCTCCGTCTGATGGCCAAGATCGGCGGTGCGCCCAGTCTCGCGGAGGTGGAATTGACCACCCAGAACTTCTACTTCGCTTTCCAGGTCGTTCAGGTTTTCCTCGTCGTGACCGTTGCGTCGTCGGCGTCCAGTGTGGCTACCAAGATCATCGAAGACCCGACGAGCGCGGCCAGTCTCCTCGCCAACAACATCCCCACCGCCTCTAACTTCTACATCTCGTACATCATCTTGCAGGGCCTGTCCTTCAGCTCCGGTGCTCTCTTGCAGATCGGCGGACTGATCGTCGGCAAGATCCTGGGCATGTTCTTGGACAATACCCCGCGCAAGATCTACACCCGCTGGTCGACCCTCGCTGGTCTGGGCTGGGGCACGGTGTATCCCGTTTTCACTCTGTTGGCTGTTGTTGGTACGTACTGCCAAGGTTGAGCCTCGGAACCACTAAACATGCTAACTCAATCGCAGCGATTACCTACTCGTGCATTGCCCCGCTGGTAATTGCCTTCGGCGCCATCGGCCTCTACCTTTTCTACTTCGCCTACCGGTATAACATGCTCTACGTGTCCAACGCCGACATCGACACCCAGGGCAAGGCGTACGTGCGTGCGTTGCAGCACATCACCGTCGGCTGCTACCTGCTGATGGGCTGTCTGATCGGTCTCTTCGCGATCGGCGCAGCCGGGAACTCCGTCGCCGTGGGGCCCCTGATCCTCATGATCATCTTCCTGGTGTTCATCATCCTCTACCACGTCTCGCTCAACAACGCGATGGACCCCCTGATCAACTACCTTCCCAAGAACCTCGAAGCCGAGGAAGAAGCGCTCCTGGCCAGTGAAAAGGCCGACATGCACCAGTCGCCGGACCCCCAGCCTGAGGGTTCTGTCGCTGGCGGATCGGGCGAAAAAGGCCGCGTGAGCAACATCGCTAGCGTTGACTCCGCCGAAAAGGGCCTGACCGGTTCCTCCGACGTTCCTCAAGGCAACTTCCTCGTCCGCTGGCTCCACCCACACCGGTTCAGCGGCTACACCCAGCTGCGCCGTTTGGTGCCCAATGCGCACGATACGACTAGCTACGCGCCCGAGGTCGAGCGGAACGCATACTTCCACCCCGCCATCTCCGCCCAGCCACCCCTGCTGTGGATCCCCCGCGACGAGCTCGGCATCAGCCGACAGGAGATCCAGCACAGCGGCAAGGTGATCCCCATCACGGATGAGGACTCGTGGCTGGACGAAAAGAACAAGATCCACTGGGATATGGACAAGGGCGTTCCCCCTATCTACGAAGACAAGATCCGTTTTTGATTGTCTGCACGTGGTGGACGTCTAGCCGGTTGCGCTTTGCAGTCGCGGCTACAGGATGGATGAGGTCTATGTTACACTTCTTGATACCCGATAAACCACTGCACGATGTGTTGTTATATACGCTGGAGGTTAATGTTTGAAGTAATGTGCCAGTTAATGTTGGCGAGTGGTTGTTTAGAGTATATTATGGATGGTTTGCATCAATCGAGCAACTACAATATTTGGTAAATCAGTAATCACTTTAATCTGGTAGCGGTCCTGAGCAGAAACGTGGAATCCCTGTGTATAGACTTTCGAGTAAGATAAGTGGAAATGAATGTGGAACCCACTATCAAATGTGGCTGGTTACTATTGATAGCCCAATCAAACCAAACAAACAGCCAGATCGCCACTCATCCATCACAAGCCAGACCAGACCGATCATCTAACTGTGCATCCCAACACGCCATCCATCCAATTCAGCCAGATCAAACCTACTAATGTGATGGATGGTATCCTCTTAACAAATCTCACTATCCAGTAAAAGGACAAAAAGCAATTAGAAGAAGAACAGCAAAATGGCGCCAAACATCCGCCCAACCCTGAGTCGCAAAGACTCCAACGCCTCCGAAGACGACTTCTTCGACATCCCCGACGAACCGCTCCTCGCAATCCTCAAACGCCAACTCCGCCACGTCCGCACCTGGGTTGTCTTCGCCCTCATCCTCCTCTACCTCTTCTGGCCCAAGTCCGACCCCCCGCCTTACCAGGCCGCGCCGCGCCAGTCGCACGTCGACTACGACCTCGTCGACTGGTCCCGGTATGGCTACACGGTGTACGCGACGTCTAGCGCCTATATCTGTAATGCGCTGATGGTGTTCGAGGCGCTGGATCGGCTGGGGAGCCGGGCGAAGCGCGTGCTGTTCTATCCCGAGCAGTGGGATGTGTTCATGGAGAGCGATCGCGGGAGGGACGAGTCGTTGTTGGTGGCGGCGGCTGAGAGGTACGGGGTGCAGTTGGTGCCTGTTGATGCGCAGATGATGCGTGGGGGTGGAGGTATATTTCCCTTTCGCTTTCTTTTATCTTTTTCTTATGTTTACTTTTCACTTCGGAAAAGTCTACCGACAAAGCTAATTTCTATGAAAGAATCCAACGAACCATGGGACAAAAGCATCACGAAGCTTCTCGCGTTTGGCGAAACCGAGTTCGACCGCGTAATCCACATCGACACCGACGCAACCGTCCTCAACAACATGGACGAGCTCTTCTTCCTCCCGTCCGCGAAAGTAGCTATGCCACGCGCATACTGGGCCCTCCCGGACACAAAACAGCTTTCCGCCCTCGTCGTGGTCATCGAGCCCTCCTACCGCGAATACACCGCGCTAATGGACAACGCCGGCGCAGCAATCTACGGCCAAGTCGGCGTCAGCGAAACCACCCGGTACGACGTGTCTCTTCTAAACGACCGGTACGCGGACTCTGCGCTGGTGCTGCCGCACCGGCAGTACGGGCTCGTGTCGAGCGAGTTCCGCCGCGATGACCACCGGAACTTCCTGGGCAATGAGTACGAGGACTGGGATCCGGAGCGGGTGCTTGCTGAGGCGAAGATCGTGCATTTTGCGGACGCGCCGCTGCCGAAGCCGTGGATTATGTGGCCGCAGAAATTACTGGTCGAGACGCTGCCGAAGTGTAAGATTAGTCCGGGGACGGCGCAGGAGAGTGGTTGTCAGGATCGCCAGGTGTGGAGGGATTTGTATAATAGCTTTCGTCGTCGTCGTCGGGTATGTTTTATTTTTCTTTTCCTTACCTTCTTCCCCCCCCCCCCCTCTTCATATGCAATTTACTAATACTGGTAACGAACAGGACATCTGCCGTCTCCTCAGCTACCCAGCCCCGGAATGGCCCCCCAAAGACAACAACCAAGACGCGGAGAAACAGCCCATTCCCGAGAACGAGGAGCAGTTCTAGCTCGGTCTTATGTCAGTATGAGTGGCGTTTGGAGATAGGGATGATTGTTTATATGTGTTTATACATTGATTTCTTATACATTGTGATTATATGTCCACCTGGCTGTGGATTGTTTTACTCTGGTTCTATTATCATTGGATTTGTAGTATAGTACCTGTTATTATGGAATATCATTTTTACGTGTTTGGGGTAAGGTAAATTGTACTATCCTGTAGTGATATTAATCGAATCTCTCATATCTCATTGAATACCATCCATTCATCCATCATTTAAACCAGCCGTTCACCATAAGCAGACACCTCATAAACCTACCCACCAACCTTTATTCTACTAATCTAATCTAGCAAGTAACCAAGCAAGCAAGCTAACATACCGTTAACATACCAGATCAAAAGTAATATCAATCACTGCAACTTCCCCCCCTTAATCGGCCCAAACACATCCGTCCACAACTCGCTCGCCTCGCCCAGGAAATAAGTCAAGTCCACATCAGCGAGCCCCGCCTCCTCATCCCCTTCCATCGTCTCCAGCTGCGAGATGAGGTTCTCCAGACCGAATGCTTTCCCTGTTGCTTGGGTGGAGCCTGCTTCGAGCATGACGTTCACGATGTGGATGTGGAAGTGGTAGTAGGTTGGTTGGTCTGAATACGTTAGTCGCAAGTCGTCCGTCATCTCTGGATCTCAACGGCCTCAGAAGAAGGGGAAAGAGTGAAGAAGGGAACATACAATGCACATAAAGCTTCAGTTGATCCACCTCAAGCTCAGGAAAAGCCCGCACGGTCCCCTCCAACAAGCGCTTCCTCAAGACCCTCAACCAAGGCAAATGCCTCTTCTTCAGATCGCGCAAACTCCAAATATCCCTTCTCTGCACGAGCCCCAACAAATGCAGCGACCCCATCGTCTTCCGATCCCAGTTCAAATCCGGCAACACGAGGAACGCGTCCTCCCCTTCACCATCCCGCATAATCACATCCTCCTGCTCCGTGCGGCCTTCCAGAATATTGAACACCCAGTTCAGCCGGCCCTCCTCGCGCTTAGCCTGCATGTAGGGACGCACGTGCGTGCTGTAGATGGAGGGCGTTTCGGTCACGACGCGGAGGACTTGCGAGGAGTATTTGCGGATGTGTTGTTCTGTGCAGGGCCAGATGAGGTTTAGTTTGAGGTCGGAGGGTGCTGCTTCTGTTGCTTCTCCTGCTGGGGAGCCGCATGAGGACGCCATGTACCAGCGGTAGATGTCATTATCGCCCAGGTTGGTGACGCGCGTGATGGCTGCGTGGAAGGCTTGCAGCGCGGCGGGGGATTCGGTCGCGAAGGCAGCGCGCTCGGCTGTTAGGATGCCTTGTTGGTTGTTGATTGTGCCGAGGAGGGTGATGCGTCGGCCGTTTTGGTCTGTTTATGGCTTTGTTAGCTGGAGGGCGGGGTTGGTGGGGGACATGTAGGTGTAGTTACCTTGGTTGAGGAGCCGGGTGATCTCGAACTTGGAGACCAGGGCCTCGGGCGATTCCTTCTTCTGGGTGTCTGCCATGGTGGATTTGATGGCTTGGTGGACTAGGTTGAGTGGATGAATGGTTGGTGAGTTTGTTGATGATGGTGTTTACTTGAGGGGCAGAATTGTTGTTGAGCCTTATCAGTGCCTTATCGGTTGGTTCATGCCTGAGGCAGGCAGTGGCGTGTGGGACCGCATTTCTACTCCGCATATCTTTACCATCACATCTATCATTTCATATATCATGCTATTATGGACAAATTATAGAGATTCTTATAGCGTTTATCCACTGTGTGGGCCTTAAAGTGGCGACACCTTCTGTCGGTCCACCGGATATACACTCGCCCGCCCATCCACTCCCCGCAATCTGGATGACCGTTCTCGCGGAAGCCCCCGGATAGCTTATAGCTTCATCATGGGAAGAGCGTTTCTCCGCCTCGTCTAGAATAACATCTAGAACAATGGTGTCCACAACGACGAGCATAAAAGCAGCCGCGTCTCTCACGCGATAAAATAGCTCACATGTATACACTCCTTGGTCCAGCAATTGTTACAGCTAAACACCATGCCGACCCCATGGCCCCCGACAACCATCCCAAATGAGCCAGGCATCGCCACATTCTCCCTAGGCAATTCCCAATACCACAAGTTACGAACCCGCCTCGAGGAAGCTGCCAAAGCGGGATACAAGCAGATCGACCTCTTCGATGAATGCTGGGCTGCCTATCTAGAGGAGCACGGGCTCCCGGGGGCCCAGCTCTGGGACGCCACGGCGGAGAACCTCGCCGTCGCACAGAAACTCGGCAATCTAGTGAATTCGCTCGGGATGCGAATAGCATGCACACAGCCGGCGCGCAACATTGAGGGCATCAAGGATGCAGCCGAGCGGCGAGCAGCGCTGGACCTCGTCGCGCAACGGTTCCCCTTCATGCGGGCCTTCGACACCGACCTCGTCTTCCTATGCGCCAGCATCCGTAAAGACCCCGGCGTAACGTCCGATCTGAAGACGGTAGCGCGGGATCTCGCAGAACTAGGCGATATGGCAAAGACTTATTCAGACACCGACGGCGGGCGTCCACTACGGATCGGATACGAAGGGTTATCCTGGGCAACGAGAAACACTTGGTCATCAACATGGGAAGCAGTGCGCATGGCGAATCGGCCAAACGTGGGACTCGTGCTGGACGCATTCAACATACTGGCCGTGGAGTTCGCGGACCCGTACAACCCCGCTGGTCATGGTCGTGTTTATTCAACGCTGGGGGAGTCGATCGACGTGCTGTGCGCGTCTATGGCGGCGCTGGTCGCTACCGTGCCTGGGGACCGCATTTTCTTTTTCCAGGTTGCTGATGCGGAGAGGGTGGATCCTGTGGCTTTTCGGCGGCCGACGGATGCGAATGTCCCGGCTTTGATGCCGTGGTCGAGGGCTCATAGGCTGTATCCTTTCGAGGAGTCTCGTGGTGGGTATATGCCTGTTCAGCTGGTGGCTGCTGCTGTGGTTGCTACTGGGTATCAGGGACCCATGTCGTTGGAGGTCTTTAATAGCTCGTTGATTCAGCCGGAGAGCGATGTGCCGGCTGGGCATGCGCGGAGAGGGATTGAGGGATTGAGAAAGCTGGCTGGTGCTATTCAGGAGGTCCCCCCGTTTTGGGAGATGTGGCAGCAGGGATGTCGGCAGTTTGGACAGATCACGTCGTCGATGCGTCCTGAGCGGTTATGACAGGGTGTGAGTGTGTTGAGCGGAGATGAGTGATGTAGCTATGTTACTTCAACATTTCGGGCGTTTTGCGCAGCAATCATGACGGAGGAACTCCATGTTTATATGATTGGGATATCCTCCGGAAGGGTTCACATTATTTACATTATCCTGATCTTTTATACTCTCATCCCTGTAACTAATCACAACATAGTATTACTAGACTTACTACTCGGCTATCAAAGGTATCATGAGACTTTCGGCCTTCATAAGCGACCTTAGATAAATAGAGACTAATATTCCAATATCAAAGACGGAAGAAACAACCGCAGAAGTAGATTGGAGGAACAATAATGATGATTCGAAAGAGAGAGCTGCTCCCAATAAGCTTACTGGAAATGAAGAAGATCAGGCATACACAATCAGCCAGACTAAGATAGTGGTAGAGTGCCTTGCAGTTGGATTAGATGGTGAGTGGCTTGAGATCCAGCAACGGCAGGCTTCCAAGTATAAGCAATAAACGAGATCATGAGCCATCTGCCCTTGTCATACTAAAATGGAATGTTCTCTTTTTTCTGTCGACAGCCAGCGACCGTGGGCTTTCCCGATTTCTAAGTCGCTTAGACGAGTCTATCCAGTGGTATCAGAAACCAGTGAAACCCCGGCCCGTTTAACTTCAAGGTATATGGTACGCCAATTCAAAGATCAGCAATGTCCATGGCGTGTTATAGACATTCTCCAGAGTTAAACATGCGGTGGCAATTGCTGGATCCACTTTATCAAGTTCATGATCTCGACGTCCTTCATCTTGTCGGTCATATGTACGCCGAGTATGGCAAAGGTGGTTCAACCAGAACACAAGGAAGCCATGCTTGTCTCAACGAAGGAGCCACCAGACGGGTCAGACAAGGAATAAAACTGGCAGGTCTCTGTCAGTGACTGGCTAAGCGACCCTCTGGCATTTTTTTCCATGTGGATTGAAGTAAACTCGATCTCGTATCCATCAAATCTCGAGTGTCCGAGCTCGAAGATTCCTGCGTTGCAGGTGCGCTCTTAATCGCCCAATATTCCCACACATCGCATAGCTGGGTGTTTTTTCAAGAAAATTCTGTCAGAATCTTGAAGTACCAGAGGCGATAAACCAGAGGCCATTTATTGAGTGCGTCCCCTTTGTAGATATGACCTGCGGTGATAGGAAGGCCCGTGCCTCTCTCGTTGAGCTCGCAGAGATGCTTAAGAGATGGCTGTGGGGTCGCATGGCTGGTAGACTTTAATCCACCATGGCAGAAATATTGACGTATATATATAGCGTATATATAGCCCAGTCCAATATGACGATAGGCGTTTTAGTGTGTCCAGGGTGTTTGCCTGCTGGCGCCTTGTCCCGGCTTCTGCCCGGAGGGCCTGGAGGGCATCGCAACTTCAAGAGTTTAAAGCCCCGTCGTTCGTAGCTTCACGCCGAGAGCGCAAGCACACAGGGCCCAAAGCGACTCTAATCCAACTTCACCCAAAACCTTTGCTGTAAACGTTCTTCCAAGGGATTGATTTTCGAATGACCTTAATTTATCGGTCGCTAGATGTACTCATTACGAGTAATCCGAGACAACGCTCGTAAAAGGCCTGTTTAGCAACAGACAATGCCACAAATCCATTGTCGCCGCGCAAGAGAGGCAAGAGCTGCGAGAGCAAAATCAAATTCAGGCTTGTCTTTCTTGTTCGAGCCCGCGATACCAAACTGCCGTCGATGTGCTAGCTCAACATTGTCGAAAGCGGCGGCGAACCGGACAGGAAGAGACCACGACTCCTCCTCGGACCTTCATGCATCTGCACCGGAGTCCAAAAGTACTTCGCTCATTCCACCATTCTCACGAATTCATGGGCATCTCCCAAGACCCCGGTGTTCGGCTATCGGAAATCAGCCCAGTTTGAACGAAAACGATTAACGAAGCGTACCTGGTCACACTCCGCATTTCGAGAGGAAAACTGGCGCCAAAGAACTGATTCTTTACAATCCATAAAACACTGCACCGCACAAGGTTCGTCGACGCGAGTGCCGAGCCTCGCTTGGCAGCATGTGCATAGCAGTAGTCGATGAAGTAGCATACATCAGCATTGCTGCAGCCATCTAACAGGTATGCAATATCGTCTGCAAGGCCATAAATATATTGTCTGGAGTCAATGGTATTTCCTTTGGATCTGTTTCAACTAATACCAGACCATCTGCAACGTTCGGTCGACCATGGTCAGTGTACTATCATATCACGACGCAACACCCGTTGGTGATAGTTGCCCGGTTGTTGATATCTTTAACTTTGTGTGGAGCACTAGACCAGGTCGTTTGTCACTTCTGGGAAGGACTATCTCTTCGGGTGGCGGAAAATGGAACTTCTCAACCATTTTCTTGGAACAGGTACCATATTCCATGCTAGCGTATCATCAGCTTCCCATCTGATTGTCGGGGAATGGCCTGTTGATATAGCGAATTACGCTGCGCCACAGCAGCTTTAGAAGCTGGCTCTTCGTAAATAGCGCGGAGCAGCACGGTCGACAATTTGAAAGCTATATAAGCATAAGTTGTATAACAATTCAGGTAGCAAGAATAGGCGATGGTTCCCGGAGGGAGACTCCGTGTCTCAAATAGTGAAGCGGATCTCTGTTGATCGGGCATTTTTTGTGAAAATGAGCAAGACCGTGTTGTAATAAATAAGATGGATTTGCCACTCGGCTACAAAAGATATCATGATGTTTTTTTTTTTTTCGAGATTTGTAAGTAACCCTATATTCAGTGCGACAGGTTGAGATACAAGAGTAGGTAGAGAGACAAGATAGAAGAGATTAGAGAGGAGGAACAACAAGAGAGAAGATAGAATAGAATAGCTGTATTAGAGTGAAATGTAGGTGATAGAATTGTTAGATAGTGATCAGTCACAGAGAACAGAAAGGAGACATCTATAATATATCACAAAGTTGACAACATGTTTGGGGCCCCCTAGAGATGTGAATGACCAAATCCCAAGTGAATCCTATCATAGACTGTTAGCGAATACTCCAGACACCGAGGAATGGTCAGTCAGCTCACCCAACACCATTCAATTATGGTTGCATGCCAGCAGCAACCGTAAAGTACCACGGTGTTGTTTCATAAATCATAGCCCCTAGGTTTTGTAGGAAGGCGAATACAGTGACAGCCACCTTGCGATTGGAATGGAACACATTCTGAAACATTTTGTGGAACATTTCTGGCCAGAACATCATGGGAATTCTGCACCTTGACTGGAGAATCAGAGACCCAGTCGTTGTTTCGGCCACAACCATGGCCCCTTCCATTGTATTCCACTGGATTGTAAAGCTTCAAGTATTTCAGAAACTAATGCAGGCGCCGAATTCTTCGCCCACCACATTTTCCCATCGAGCTCCCCCAGTAAAACAGCCCAATGCATAAGAATGAGCAACGCAAGCGGCTCCCGGCGTCTCAAGGTGCAGAAATATTCTTTGTCTATCTCAGCCAACCACGCAACTACGGACGTAGAATCCTTTGCGGCGCTGTATCTCGAAAAGCAGCTCCGAAGAACATCGATGGCCCCTTGGAAGACATGCTGGTGCTCCACAGACATGGTGGACGCCATCTCACGACCCAGAGACGTTAGTTCATCCAAAGCAGTGTTGGTCTCTGGGTCAAGCTCGGAGGTTTCAATGTCCCAGAACCCGCTCTTTGAGTCCAGTTTTTCTTTCAACCAAGGCCGACTGATCCGGACGATGTTACTAGGGCCTCGCAACAGCTCTGAGACCACGATGATGTTCTCCGTCATGCTGGACTTTGTTTCTCGCTCCATCGTCATCTGCGGTAGAGCGATGCCAATGACAATTAGGATCACCGAATATGCAAAGACGACGTCACAATTCGATGGCGTAAGATTGTCTATTGCTCTCCGGAACGGGGCAAAAGCTTGCGTGTGATATTCGAGTGCCGTGTCAATATATGAGAGCACCTCAGGTGGTTCGCGTAACGAAGCTATATGTAAAGAAGCGACGGCAAGGATTCCACACATTAGGAAATCACAGTCCAACGCCCTACGTGGCATGGTTGTTCTCCAAAAATGATCATCCGCGGGGCCACTGCAGAGACTCCGGTACGTCTCGGTTGAGAATTGGTGCATTAATTCCAGCGCTCTCAAGTTCACGGCTTGGAATAAATTGATAGACCCATTGTCTGCAACATCGGCCGTCTGCGACGTGCTCTCTAGCTGTAGGGGTGTTGGTCTCGCTGCCGGTCCATTTACATCGCTAGTCCTTGGGACATCCACATATGTGCAAAGCAGCTCACGGGAGATGCAATTGGAGCATGGAGGCCCTTGTTCGTCACACTTGCAGTACCTATGGTCAGATTAAGAAGATCTAGAGAATGCAAATGGTGTGGTCTGGTATTTGTGGGTGAGGGGAACTATTGATGCAGGAAGTAAGGAGAAACTTGACCCACCTTGACTCTTCTTTTCTTGCACTGCACACATCCATTCCGCGACTTTGTATGCGTCCTCCGAGGCGGCATTGCGGGGCAGACGGCTTTTGAGCCCCAATGACCGAAATAGACAGCAATCTACAAGATGTTCTGGGGTCATGGCAATCGAGATCTTGCGGAAATAAATGGCTGCACGGGGGACATGGCGCATGACATCACGTGTGCCCCACCCACTATTTGACAGGACGTTGTTTTCTCAACCACACATCATCTTATTTCTTGGTGTTGGCTTATTACACTTTCAGGCTTTACAACTATGAAACAGTACAAGAGAAAGAAAGACAGAAAGGAATACAATGAAATGAGATGGAAAACAATCAATTATCAATACTAAACCCGTCCCAAACATCCCCGCTAACCAAAGCTTCAGCGCATAGACCATGGTTTCCTTCCAGTATAGGATATCAGAAAGCCTCAATCTTTCCGAAACTTCTCAAACGCTGATCGTGACAAGCAGCTCGCCAGTCTAGTCGGCATTATGAACATCAGCTCAGGTGGTTACCCCTCAACCAGTCGAGAAGGTTTGGCACGGGGCCAATGGCTTGTTAATCCGGCCGGATGAAGCCCAAACTTCCTGCTGTGATATTGCCCAGTTCAAAACAACAACATATGTACCATCCTTCTCATAATTTCTTCCATGTACAATCAGCTTGTGGGTGGTGGTCCGGTCATCTCGCCAATGTTTCCTCCAGGGCACACATCAACTGTTCAAGACGCAAGTCCATCTCCCTGCAGAGGTTCTCATGCCTTCCCATTCCGCACCGTGGATCTACTTTACCCAGGGCATCCACCATCCTCGACAAACACGTGCTGGCGCGTTTCAATTCTCGCATTAAGATGCTACGGCAAATGATCTTTTGCTCAACGAAATCGATCTCGAAGACTCCGAAACGTATCAATCGATCCGAGCAGCCCACGGATTCGTGCGCGTCTAGTCGCATTATGAAGTCTCGGTAGCCAAAGCTGAACAGATCGAGGATTTTGTTGAAGGCGACGAAGAATAGCAAGTGATCATCATATACCTGCCCAAAATTGGGATTCACTGTGATTTGCAGCAGCGTCGTCAGAAACTGTTGGTTGGCCGCCAGCACCGAATCAACTGTATGCCCACTCTTGCTCTGTTGCCGCCCGATCTGAATCGTTCTCTCGATGTTTTGGATGAGGTGGAGGTACAACGTGCAAATACTTCCTGGCGTCAATGGATCCATGACACCCATTGGGTATGAATTCTCGTCGAGGAACAACTCCGGGGGTGTCATCAGCTGTGGAACAGGAGGCGTAGATGCTTGGCCCACTGGAATGCCGGAAGTGTCGGCGATATGCCCTCCTGTACCGTCGGTGTTGCTGAACTCTTCCCCTTCGGTCTTCACAGTGTAGTTCCTCTGACAACCGTGCGCCCAATATCCATCGTTCACAGGACTCGTTAAGGCGGGAGACAACATGACACGGGTGGGTGGTTCTATCTTTGCGTTCCAACTGTTGTCGTTCATTTGAGCGAGCGCCATGTCTATGTCATTCGAAGCTGGCTCTGTGATTCCAGTATAAGATCCATGTAAGCCGTCGGGCATAATCAAGGATTCTGGTCGACTGTAGCCTTCCGAATGTAATGGCTGGTCGACAGAACAGACATGGGTTGGCATTTGGATTACTCTTGAATTCATATCTGTTTCGTGGGCACCATATTGTACCCCGCTGATTGCCACATCAGACACATGGCTTTCCGACCACCTCCTAGCATGTGATGAATGGAGTTCATTGACGGTGATCTCTGGTGACATCAAAGAAGCCGTGGAGCTACTTATGGAACCCGTCGAATTCGAAGCTAGGGTTGAAGTTGATGAAGACGCCGCCGCCGCCGCTGCTGCTGCTGCTGCTGCTGCTGCTGCCCGATTTGCCTTGCTTCGTTTCCCTGGGACTTTTCCTATCCTTGAAATGGCAAAGATACATCCTAGGTTCAGATTCGCGCAGCGTTGGCAGCCTGTTTTCTCCCCAGAACACCGGACCTGCCAAACGATCGATGAGTTTGTTCCTACCAAGGGAAAGGGGAGGGCCATGCTAATCACCTTGGCTGCGTGGCACTCGTTGCAGGCCGATCGTAGCTTTGGAGGCCGCTTAGAGGCTGCTCCGTCACTTGGAATATGGTCAGCGGGCCATATGAGGCATACGCCACCGCAGGAAACACTTACGGCGACATGGTTGATAGAGAGACCCTGTATAGCCTGGAACGTATCCCGAGGCTGACAGGATGCGTGCCCAATACCTAGAGTGGTGGACTTGCAAGAAAAGTGAGGTACCAGCGCCATCGAAGGACTCGCCCTTCCTACACAACTGTATATATGTAGTGAGTACTATACCGGTAGATATCAATGACCCCACTTCGTCATCGTGAGCACGGATAAGGAATTCTACGGCGTTCTGCTCAGACAAGCCCAAGCTTGGACGGCTCACGGACGTGCGACGGAACAAGGCTAGGTAGGCAAGGAAAAGGTGCCTCATGACGTCTGTCTATTCGTCGGAACTGTCAACGCGCCTGCGATTATCTGATGGAGGTCAATGATTCACGTTCGACATCCGATAATTTTAGCAGTTTAGGTGTGATCAATTCCAATACCAACGTCCAAGTTACGGATTGATGACTCCTCGGGTCGAAAAGTCAATCCGGTTTTGAAACGCACGGGTTTGCATATATGCTGCATGTCGGTATCTGAGCATATTTCTGAGCCCCCAATAGTCGGCAAGTCTTGCAAGAGGTGGCGAATTGGATTAAACATCGCTATACTCCTTTTCTGCCTATTGCTTGACAGCCTGGTACATGATGTCTCCTATATCGGTCTCTCCGCTAGAACTCCATTATTTGCATGGCCAGAATACTGCAAGAGCGTGTGTTTCACCAGAGGCTGTGTCGCGATGGTCCACTGAGACGCAGGTCGGATCAGAATAAGTCGGTTGTGGAAACGCTCGCCTCTTAGCTAAACCGCATAATGAGGCTAGGATTGCAACAGGGCTCTCCCCTCAATGTGGGGGAATTCGCCGCAAAACGTTTTCTCTAGAACAATGGGGCATCATTTATGCCTAGCCATACGAGGTATCCACAGGCAAACGGCTGACCAGCCTGTTATCTATGCCGCAGAGTCGTCAGCAAAAGGCGATTTGGGCCCAAACGTACGCCAAAACTTCTCATTAAGATGGTTATGGTGCGGTGATCACTCATGTCCTGTCAGACCTCCATCAGGTTCCAACATGTTCATCCCCGGAATCCGATTGGGATGGGGCCATGTTGCAGGGGATGGAGGCGTCCCTGGAACAATTACTCCTGTGGTAAGTCAATATGCATATCGCATATCCCCGAGTGACACCGGATCGTAATGCTGGCACCGATCCTTGCCGAGCGCATCTGAGTTACCAAAAAGCCTAAATGCATTTCGAGTTGTCGTATCTTCGTGCAACACACGCAACGACGGGAGACCCATCCAGCCGACTGAATATTGACATAACTGCCCAGGCTGCTGTATCTCGCGTTGCCCCAGACAGGGTCACGAGGTTGATATCTCCATTGTTCTAAACCTTTGCAGAACATCGCATGGCATGGTTAATGATCTTCACCCGCCAAGAACAATGACCCGTTATGACTCTAGGGTTGATTCCCGTCCGGCACGGTATATTCTCTATCGAGGCCAGACCTCGCCAGGTGTGACTGTACCCTAGTCAGTCACGACAGGCGTGCAACCGTGACCAAGACCCACGATCGCACAATCGTCAGACAATCCCCCACGAACCATGCCACAAAAGTGTGTCTTACTGTGACCTCGCACGAACGACCTTATATAAACCAACGAGAAAAGCATAACTCGCTCCCCATTACCTAACTCGCTTCACAGCACAAAAGAAACCCCAACCCACGAGTCCGTGCGCGTTTCACAACATGCTGCGCCGGCTCTCGGAATTCCCCTAGCCTCAAATCCACCGTTCGGACAGCCCCCGCGACAGCCGACGGGCAAAATACTTCCGAGCAGTAGTCCAGCCTGGGGCGGTCCAAATTTCCGAGTAGCTTCGGGCGGCATTCTACCGCATCGGCGGAAGATGAGCGGTGCGGGGGGAGGATGGTGTCGATCGGTGCTGACCGGAGACCTCCGCTGTGTGCGGCCACTACGTACAATCTCGTTTGAGAATTGTGAATCTAACTGATAGTAACTTGGAAGAATTGTCTCCAGGTGTCGACGAGCCAGTTCGGGGTACAATTGACGATAGAGACTGGATTGAAATGAACGCGTCCTCATAGGGTTTGACACGTCTACTCCGGTGGTCACCGCAGTACGTATACGGGGAGGGCTCTTGAACCTGTTCATATATGGGGAAATTGATCAGTATGCCGACCTTGGGTCTGGCCTGGTGGGACAGGTACGTGGGGTTGCCAAAACACTTATCCCCACCACTTCCTCTGTTCGCCTTGACACATCCAAGGATCATGCAACATGTCATAGCTTCAGGCTTTCGGAAGTAGACTCCAGGCGATTGAGCCAGCTGATCACCTCCGTATGTTTCATACTCGGCATTGTTGATGCCCCTCGCCACCCTCTCTGGTCCCTGACAGATCCTATCAAGGTAGAGAGTTTCCTTATCCCTACTCATCATCTATCTTTGCGAAGAACTCGTTCTGATGGCGTCATGGATGACTAGTGACTATTGCCAACTTCACCTTGTGCCAGTCAACACGCAATTCATACAGTCAGCCGGCTGTGGTATGGTTGCCTTTCTGTCTACCTCAGGTATCTCCATAGGTCGGAGGTTGATGCGAAGCCAACACCGACTGCAGAGGATCTACGTCCATACCATTGACCGTGTCGCAAAGTTGAGACAATACCTACGGCACACCCGGAAGCCTACATCAAACTTTCCATTCCAGGCATTAGATTACATCATCTTCCATCAATCAACGCCAGGAAAACTTAGCAAAACCTTCTTCTCATCCACTGTCCACCAGTGCGAGTCGCATGTAGTTCCAGGGCTGGTCGGATATAGCGTGCATAAGAGCCCTGCTCTGCAATTAAAAGGTAATTCGACATCCCCACATAGTCTGTCAGTTTTTTCTCGTTTCCACTAAGGCTCTAACACGCTCTACCACACCCAGAGTTTAAATGGGTTTCATTCTGGAAATCGAAATAGGGGTCAAGGATCCACCGTGGGGCGGGAGTGGACGATCGCCCAGGGGATTGTTCCACCCCATTGGACCCGATGGCTGGTGGTTTACGTGTAAGAAAGGCCCTTGATCACGCCGACCACGGGATCTCTGGCCGCCTCTTATCGCCCTATCTTTTTCCTTTCTTAATTTTTTTTTTTTTTCCCTTTCTTTTTCCCCCTCTCTTCTTCCCGTTTTCTTCCTTTCTTCAACCTCACTCTCTACCCATCCCTTCCCCCCCGTCCTTCATCCCCCCACTCCCTCACAGTCTTTCCCGTCACATCTTCCACCTAATCCGTCATCATGGCAAACGATCGCACGTCGCAAGACGAACGGAAATTAGAAAGCGGAAATGCCGCCAACTCCGAGTCGAAGGACTTGAACATTCATCCCGCGGTCTACATTGGGTGCGCTTCCCTCAGTCCCCCCTGGACGAAATACAAGACTGACAGAATCTAGTCTGTGGATCACGTTGAGTGGCAGTGTCATTCTGTTTAACAAATGGGTTCTTTCGGCCGCCAATTTCAGTGAGTATTGCCCGGATTTCAATCCGTTTCCCCTGGTCGCAGGGGTTTGATCGCTAACTAGAATATCCGCAGACTTTCGTGAGTTTCCCTCCGCCCGTCTTCGATCCGTCGCAGAATCGCCCAGAACCTCATACTGATAATAATAGCCCTCTTCCTTACGACATGGCACATGGCTTTCTCGACGGCCATGACCCAGATCCTGGCCCGTTTCACCCATATCCTGGACTCGCGACACAAGGTCCCGATGACTCCGCGGACCTACGCGTGAGTGGAATACCGCCCTTGCATACGAATGCGAAATGCTAATCTCGGGACTACAGGAGGGCCATCCTGCCGATCGGTATCATGTTCAGCTTGAGTCTGATCTGCGGTAACCTTGCCTATCTCTACCTGAGTGTGTCGTTCATCCAGATGCTCAAGGTAAGCCATTACAATTCGGAAATTGGCTGTCCGTCAGACTGACTGGTTTGCAGGCCACCAACGTGGTGGTCACCCTGGTGGCGACTTGGTCCTTCGGCATGGCCCCGGTCAACTTCAAGGTCCTGGGCAATGTCGCTCTCATTGTCGTCGGTATCATGATCGCCTCGTTCGGCGAGATCAAGTTTGACATGTTCGGATTCCTCGGTACGTCCTATTCATCCGGAGTGGGTCGGTTCACAACTAACAGCGTGCAGTCCAGATCGGTGGCATCATCTTCGAGGCGCTGCGTCTCGTCATGGTCCAGCGTCTCCTCAGCTCCGCCGAATTCAAGATGGACGCGCTGGTCTCGCTCTACTACTATGCGCCCGCCTGCGCCTTCTTCAACGGTGTCGTGACGCTCTTTACTGAAATCCCCCGCATGACCATGACCGACATCTACACTCTGGGCATCTCGACCCTCATCGCCAACGCCCTCGTTGCCTTCCTCCTCAACGTTTCCGTCGTGTTGCTGGTACGCTCTTCTTCCCCGCATCATGCCCCCCAGTTTCGCTAATATGACATAGATCGGCAAAACCTCCGCGGTGGTCCTGACCATGGCCGGTATCCTGAAAGACATCCTGCTCGTGGTCGCCTCCATCCTCATCTTCGGCGACCCCGTCACGAGCCAGCAGTTCCTCGGCTACGGCATCGCCCTCGTCGGATTGGCCTACTACAAGCTCGGAGCCGCCGGCATCAACTCGTTCATCTCCGACCTGCGCCTGCAGTTGGCCAACAACTCGGGCAAGTCGAAGCTCATCATCGCCGCGGTCATCGCAGGCGGGTTCTTCTTCTTCATGTATGCGGGGTCAGGCTCGTCGCCGGCTCCCGTCGCGGCCCCCGTCGCGGCCCCTGCGCCTTAAATTGCCAGCGTGGGAGGACGGTCAAACCTTAAGACGACCTTCTTCTTCTTCTTCTTCTTCTTCTTCTTCTCCTTCCTCTTCTTCTTACTTTTTCTTTCTTATTAAAGATTCAGTGTGTATCATAGCTAGACAGGTATTTCGTGGCGTGGCAGGCCACCCTGCTAGGGTTAGTTAGACTTTTTGCTGGATGATGTATGGATAGTCATGTTACCGATATCCGCTTGCTTGTTTGCTTGATTTTCAGATGACATTGTATGTACTGGAATGACCACGGATTGGCGTATGCAGTGATACTCGGTGTTGGATATTACTCTTGCCAGTAGTTATTCAATAGGATATGGTGTAATGATGTTTAGTATCCGTTTAATATGAAACTTGATTTCCAATCCGGAAGTTCAGTCTTCCCTGATAGTCAGGAAAGACATGCGTACAACAATATTGGCACCTGCTAGTATTTTCTATCGTTCCGTAACTATCTCAACTCTTCGGTTTCTATAGACTTTCCACTATGCCCCTCCACATCCGCGCGGATACAAACTTTGTTTGATACAACTCTTCCCAGTAGATAAGTAGTGTAATGAGCTATATATGACATGACCCAGCTATCCAATTCCCAAAATCCAAAGTCTTCCCCAAAAAAAAAAAAGAAGGACATGCATGGCATATAATAAGATTCTCACCCGCTAGCATCCTCCATTGGTACTCCAACATCTATAACACTTTGGTTTCTGAAACCTTCTCACCTTTGTTACTCTATACATTATCCACTTGTGATACTTTGTAGCTTATTCACTTATATTTCTACAAACCTTTCACTGTTTTCCTGTGGATGCACTGATATCTAGATGTACAGATACACAGTTTATTGGATATCACTCTTACCAGCAAGGTGGTTATGATGAACTATCTATGATATAACCTGTGATATCTAATTTATCAACTCAAAAGATTTTCAGAGACAGGGAAGGACATACGAGATTTCTCGTCGGTAGCAGTTTTCGATTGTATCCTGAAGTCCAACTTCTTCCAATATCTACAAACTGTCAATATCTACAAACTGTCAACATCTACAAACCGTCATCCCTACAAACAGTTAACATTTACAAACCCTCAACATCTACAACCATCCCACTCCAACCTTCCCACCAGCCTGTCTCACTCCACAATACAATCCAAACACAATGTCTCGCACAATCTACCTAGCTGTATTCTCCAACGGCCCCAAACCAGCCCACCAAGCCGTCTTCATCCCTACCGGCGATGCAGCTACAGGCAAGAAGGGAAATATTATCCACGTAACCGGAAACCCCGCCACGGGCTTCTTCCTTGAGTTCAAGCGGAACTACGATTTTGAGTTCGAAGATCGGAAGTACCAGGTTGTTACACTTGTACAGGTCAATGCCCAGTACATCAGAGATACTGTTGGGAATGGAGAGCCATCTACTGATACGATTGCTCGTGATCGTTTGGAGTCGGTGGCGACGGTTGTGTCGCCTCCGGGACCTAGTCCTAATCCTTTTGGTTCATTGGTAAGCTGGTGTCACTGTTGGAATAGGTAGACATGTATACTGATAAGTGTTATAGGCGCTAAACTGCCAGAACTGGATGCGAGACTATGTCGAGAGACTTGTTGTCGAGGGCTTGGTCCCGAGTAGTGCTGGATTAATTATGGAGAGCGCCCCGAGACTGCTGTGAACATATCAAAAATGTGAAGCATCATACCAATCTGTGGTAACCGGTCTAATGAATACAATCTTTCACGGCTGACAGAAGTTCCTGTACTCGACTACTAATCAGTGGCGGTAGGCCGCGAGGAAGGATATCTAACAGTGTGTAAGTAATGACTTAAGGTCCCATTGACATCGTGTAGTAGTCCCATGGACCCCAAGTACTAGCAAACTGAACCAAGATCATGGGCAGATAGGTCGTCGACCAATCCTTGGTTCTAAAATAGGTATATTGCGCCTTGCAGGATTCCCAGTATTCGGGAAGCAGACCAGATTGCTCCCAGTCGATAATCGCCAGGGTATGATGAGGGGCGGAGCGGATAACAATGATATTACTGGGATGGAGATCACCATGAGTGAACTTAATTGCACAGTCGTCCGGGAGGTCATAGCGAAATGGTTCCACTGGAACGGAGTACGGATCTGGCATGGGTCTTCGGCAAAGAAATGTAAACCAGTCATGAAAGTCGCGAACGGTAGTGAACGGTCCTGCTTCATGCATATAGCTCACGTTAATTACTCAATCGCAAAGAGGTCCTCTCGTAATGTTGCCTACAGCAGAATGATTAGCTCACGGCAATCAGTTATCCACAGGGTACGCAGGATATTCGCACCTATGAATAGGTCCTCTGGGTCCTGTTCGACCTGGCGTAGGCGCTGGAAGATTGTCCTGAGTTCGCGACAGATGACAACTTTGTCCTCATGTCGCATGGTTGACCATACTCGGTCAAGATGTGTTCCCTTCACATACTCCATGTAAATGTATCTTAAATCTCCGTCGGTGCGCCAGCCATATACTTCGGGCACAGGTACATCGCCTTTAACAAATCGACGAATGGCATATAGGCACTGAGCTTCGGATATCTTGACAGAGTTTCCCACTTGACAAAAAGGCCCATCTCCTCGAAAACAACAGGTGGCGGTCGAACATATGGGGCTTCCAAATGGACTCTCCTTGGGTCTGGATACATTCCGGCGTAATGCTGCGCCTTAGCGCGCGCCAGCACTTCACTTGGTGAGGGTAGTTGAACCCATTTCTAGAAGAAAGACGAGTCTTGGACAACGAAATTGGGAGAGCTGAGGACCTTTGATGGCGGAAGTTGTATGTGTTCTCCTTCACAGGCCATGATGCATGTAGCTCTGACAGGCGTGGTCCAATACTTGGGGCGTTCGAGGATTAGCTGGATTCATCGTCTACTTCCAAGTACGTGCCCTTTCCTCTGTCGCAGCTCATGCCATTGAACGACTTGGACTTCTTTGCGTTCCCTGACAGTTGTTGGTATTGACGATTCCTTGGATGATATATGATCAAAATACACTAAAAACACAGAATAGATGAAGTACGATGGTACCTAAGGTTTACTGAGAAGATGGTTGTCATTCGTCAAGACTGAATGCGGGATCCACACCTCAAAACCATGAGTCTTCTGCCATTTTCCTCCGCTCAGGTGACTTCCACCGCGACAGTATATTGGCAACCCGATTCGTGTCTACAATACTAACCATCCGCTATGAGGGTTGATCATATATTGAGGGGCGTCTTTCTTCTGCTCAGGAGGTACATGCTACGGAAACTGGTAAACATTACTGATTTTGGGGACTCGAATTCCTGAAAGTGGATATTTGGGGATTCTCTATTACATAAACAACTTTATCGTGAAGAGAGAACTATATATATAGTCTAAAGGATGAGAGCTAATGATATATACTAGGTCCCTATCTTTTTCTTTTTCCGTAAAAATACAAGCATGCTATGGGAAATAATACTTTGAACAAAGCCTTTCAGGCATTTACTTTATTTTCTCCGGTCTATCTTCGCCCGGTGTCGACATCCATCTACCTACCACTGACACAGAGAGGGAGGGTGCCCCAAACCGAGGATTGATTTCTTGCCTAGGAAAGAGATGGAAAGGAAGGAGTATTAACATGCATACAGCATGCAGGAATGCATGTATGCAAGTAAGTACGGAGTAAGCAGGCATGGAACACGGAGTAGACGAATCTCAGACTGAGAGTGGACAGAATGATATATCTCATTGTTGAGTGGGCCCGTCCGCCCGTGGTGAGCCTTGCAATTACAATGCCTTTAAGAAAGGGTACCAATCAGTATCCATCAGATCCTTACCTAGGTACCAGCTACCAAGGTAGGCTGAGTTGAGTTGTTTACTTCGTAATTCTGCATAGTCCGTCTATTCTGGATGGTTTAGCCTTGAGGCAAAAGGTAAATAGGCAGGTTACGTACCCAGAGTACGTCAATATGATGAAGGATTGAAACTTGGAAGACTGGGATGGCTCTTATGCAGTCTATGGGCTAGTTTGATACTTCGCCTTGGTACGGTGTAGCATATAGTTAGTATATGTATCCGTACTCTGCACCTTCGCAAAAGAGATAGGATCTACTTGACCATGATACTATCTAGGTAAGAGAGTCTATGTGTAAGGTGGGTAATACCAATAGCCATCATGATCCCATAAATCAATGCCACACATTTAATATACTACCTAGGTACCTATATATATATGGTATACATTATAAATATCAAAGAACATTAACCCTCCAACCAAGAATAAAACAAACAAAACCCACACATCTAATCAATACCACGCAAGTATCCGTAATAAAACATAACCAAAGGTGAAATCAAACCAACCCCAAACAGGCAAAACCCACCGATCACGCCCCGGAAGCGCTTCCCCCCGACGCCAACAACACTCAACACCCCCAATCATACCTAATAGTAATAGCTCTCTACGCTGGCGGACCCACAACTCATCCAACAGGAACTGGTTCCCGGCTGTTTTATTTTTATTTTTATTTTTTCTTTCGTTTTCGTATATGGTGTTTGTTGTTTGTTTGTTTGTTTGTCTAGTATTCATTCACCCACTGCTTTATTTACCATACCTTACCAAACCATACAGACTATACTGTACACACTGCCTCGCTTGTTATATACTAACTAGGTACTCCGTACTCCGTAGTTAGTTATACAAACCACATGATAAAAAGAAAAAGATATTGTCCGACGACAGACAGGCTTGGCTTGGCTTGGCTTGGTTGTGTTTATTTGATGTTATTTTATTCTATTTTATTTTATCTGGTTGGGTGATCTTCCCGCCCGTCCGCTGTCCGCTGTCTATCACTCACTCTGTTCTGGTCTGATTGTTTGGTTGTCCCACACACGGTCCGTGGTCGTTTTGTGTGTCAAGTGTCAGTGTGTGTGTGCCATCCATGCTATCTTTCTTGCCTACGATTCGCTATGCTGATCAAGCACAGCGGGATCCTGGTTTGACAACTCATCAACTTGGGGGCACTTGTGTCATGTTCGCTTTTATATAGACAATGTTATTTTACAAACCTTTCTTATTCTTTATGTGGTGTTGTACAATTCTTTCTTCCTGCTTTCTTTTCTTCTCTTTTTCTGGTTATTCTCCGAGTCGGGTTTAATATGGATAGGATGGATACTCACGCTGCTAGTTATTATTTAAATTTGTGAAATTAGTAAACAAACTAAGGTAGAGTAGAGTAAGTAGAGTAGGATCATCATCGTCCATTGAATAATATTTATGTATAGACAAAAACAAAGTAGAATATCATGTATCATAAAACACCCCCAACGCCATGCTCTGCGATCGAGCAACAGCTGACCGATAAAAATGAATGAAAACTAGACCGGCGATTACAGCCAATAAAATCGAAACGAAAGATAGGGACCTCAAAGCCCGTAGATGTAATGACCAAGAGTGGAATAAAAAAAAAGTTAATGGAAAGGAGAGTTGGTCCAGGTATCATCGCTAACAAAAGATACGCTAAATCAGAGAGAATCTGCCAATATATCAATCTGTGCAGAATATGGCAGGTTATGTACGATGAACCACTAGCCACGCATCATCCGTCGTGTGGACCGGAACGCTGTCAGGTCCAGCGACTCGACGGACTCTGTCCCGTCGTCGACTTCGATGGCGTCTTCGGTTGACCCGTCTGGTTTGTCGGCTGGCACGGATGCAATTGTGATGGAAGGTGCGGGCTCCTCGACTGGCTTCTCTTCGTCTTTCTCAGGCTGCTCCGCCCGGAGTCGTCGTACTTCGGCTAGCGATATCTCGAGCAAAGCCTTGAACTTGTCCTCCACGCCGCGGAGTTCCGTGGCACATTCGCCCGTTCGGAGGAAGGCGTACGCGGCTGACTCGCAGAAGCCGTGGGCCAGTTCAAGCTGTTTGTCGGCCACGTCGAAGGCCGATTCCCGGGGTGGTGCGGACACTTTGGGCGGCGGCGGGCCACGGCGAGAGCGGGCACTGCGGATGTTGGCCAGAATTTGATCTTCTCCGCCCTTGTCGTCTTCTTGACCGAACGAGGGTATCGCAGAGCCGGGGCGGGAGCTGTGTCCGAGCATGCCGGTGCGGAAGCCCTCCAGGGGCAGCTGCGACATCTTGGAGCGACGCAGGCTGTTGCGCGCGGATCCAATGTCACGGACCATCTCCTCCAGCGACTTTTGAGTGTGGCCATCGTAGTGGATGACCAGGCGGTGTCGGCGGCTCACCAGCGTCGGGTGGTCACCGGAATCAATTGAGGGTGCATCGTCAGCGCTTCGCTTGCGGGGATTACTGGGCTCAACGTCGGTCTGTAGATCGTCGGTGTGGATAGAGCAGACGGAGCTGTTCTTACGGCGGCGAGGCTTGACGGTCGTCAGTCGGTTGAACGCATCCGAATACTCGACATGTTTAGCCGTCGTATGGGCGCTCAGCTCGGATAACCGGGCGGTCCAGAGGGGGAGGCTATCGGAGAGGTGGGTGAATGCGACCAAGGGGTCGACGGGGACAGGCATGTTGCGGTGGGTCGGAATGCCGTCAAGTCTGATGCCGGAATGTCGGGTGTTATTCCTCAAACGGAGAGAAAGATCTGAGAGCAGACCACGTCCAACGGACCAGGGCGTCGCGGGTTATGTACAGTGGATAATCGTCTCGTCGTGGAATGGGTCGTGACCGTATCTTCTGTTCCGGAATGTGGCAGAAGCCGAGGCAGCGTGGATGCCAGTCTAGACGTTGAGTTCCATAGACTGCGGCCAGAAAAGGGAATTCGAATCAACGATGTCGATAGGGGAAAGGTGATGGATCCAAAGATCCTGGGGATCCGTTGAGGGTGAGATAGACGACTCTGAAGGGAAGAGTAGGAGAGGAGGAAGAAAGAAAGAGAGATGTCAAGAACAGGAGGTAGAAGGAGTGGATTAGAATGGCGAGTGGAGAGAAGCGAGGAGAAAACCTAAAGAGAGAGTGGACAACGGGAGGAGGAGGAGGAGGAGGAAGAGGAGGGGGGAGTGAGAGTACCCGGCCTTAGTACGAAGTACGAAGTACTAGGTAGTACGCGATACTTGGGGTAAGGATGCGATACTACTCTAGTATGGGGACAGTAAGATAGATTGAATGTCAGGTATTGTCACGAAGGAAGCGGGTGTGTATGGATCTAGCCGATCTGGGTTTAGACTGAACGGAATGCCCGAACTCGCAGCCTGAGGTGGGTCAGGAAAATACGGAAAAATACAGCATGGATCTTGGATGACAGGACGAGTACCATGGAACCAGTCCAGTAGTCTCCTTAGTACTTCATGCCGTCTTTTCGATGGTTTATTTATTTTATATGAATACTCTATTCATTAATACTCTATTTTATTTTTTTGATATAAATATATAAATGTATATATTATCTTCTACTCTATATTTATTGTGAGATAATAGATACACAATTAGATTAGAATATAGAATTGAAGCTGTACGGACGGAAACAGACCCGCATATCAATCTTGGCGGTGAGAATGTTTCATTCATGTGGCTTCAGATCGTGATTCTGGTCGAGAACACCTCAGGATGGACAAGGAAGGTCTGGAGGCTGCACATTCAGTGATCAACCTGGACAGAACTATACTATCTACTCCGTATGGAGTACTGACTATCAGTATCAATCAGGCAATTCGTACCCCGTCCAAACCGTTCATCTATTTCAGACACCACCGGCTCCATCCGACTCGAATAGATGGAGAATTTCCCACGAGGGTTAATGTGGTATTGCAGCTTGCATACATCTTCCACACCCATCTCACATTCCATCTTTCCATATTGATTCCATAATCCGGACCTTTTGATCCACCACCGTCAATAGACCACAGAGAAACACGGTCAAGGCGGCCCTGGGTCTGCACGTTCTAACGGCATCTTTACCCAAGACAGGCATGACACGTAACGGTTGTCTGCTGCGACCGGACAGTCAGAGACTTAGATTAAGTCTAATGTCCAAAGCACGCATTATTATTAGCTGGTGAGAGGGACTAAATCAGCATGAAATCCCCAACTAGGTTAAGGAGGTACTTCTCCAGGCGAGAGTGGATCTGCCGATCCGTTGCCGCTTGCTGCCGCTGTTTTGCCCTTTCCCCCATTTCTCGTCCATTGCCCCTGTTTGGATATCGTCCGCTCAACTCGACTGTCCTGTTCGGCTGGGCGGCACGCCTCTCTAGTGCATGGACCGGGTTAATTGACAACGCACGAAAAGGGGGAAGGGGTGACTCCGGGGAGCTGTGGCTAAGTTGGAATAGTCGGATCGAATTGATTAAATCTGTGATCCCATGGACAACAGAGATTTATGAAACAGATGATCCTGGATGATCCCACGAGGGTCCTGTGAGAAGATTGATCACAGTGTGGACCATCCCATATCGTCTAATGCGGACTGCACCATAGGACTCGTACGATGGCGCGAACAGTACAGTGTGATATCCGGGCTTTCCAACGGTGGATCCCCGTTGGTGACAAACAAGTGCCATCCCTTTCAAGTTCCAACTTCGATCTTCTCCTTGCTCGTCGCCCTGCATGTCTTTCAGGGCCATCCACTCCGTCAAACTAACGACTTTGGGCCACCATTCTCCTGTGCCGCAATTACTGGCGGCTCAGGATTGACTAGGATCGCCGATGCGATATATATGCCAACACCAATGGCAGCACCCCTCTGAGCCCCGCAAACGACCCCGTCGTACAAATCCACAGGTTGGCATGATTCTCGAATAGGGATTGCTCGGTGCTATGGGCAACACCTGAAACTAAGGTTGACCCCCGGTCAATCAGCTTCTTTAACGCCTCCAAGGAAGTGCACGGTGGGAAAGTTGCCCACTAGATAGGGGGCTAACCCGTCAGCACTTGCAAGGCGAGAATCCCCATCTAGTTGACGGCGACCTGCGCCGCACGAAAGACCTACTTCGATCGTCATCCGCTATTACATCTCTCTCAATATTCCAGGTTCAGAGCTCCTGGCCGACACACGAGCGCAACCGCACCCTGAAAAGAGCCATTCCCTGCTTAGTATGGCCACAGTGACTATTACGGGGAAATGACATCGCCCCGTTGATTGACGAGGAACAATCTCTTTCTTTCTTGAGTGCTTTTTGTCAGGCGGATGCTCGCTGTCTAAGGGATTGCGGGTCCGCGCCGCCAAGTTGCCCGACGAACTGGCGGTGTCCCCCCCGAGGTTATTTCCAGAAGACATGGAGTTGACGGAAGATGCCGTGACGTTTTCGTCTTCCTACCATCTCCAACGGACATGAGGATCTAGCGGACTATCTAGCGTTAGTGTGGGACTACGAAAAGACAGTCGCTGCTGCTGTCGGTGTATGACACTCGCATCGCGTGCAGTCCAGCCGTCAGCTAGCAATCAGCTTTGCCTAGGAGATGGGAGGGGTCCCCAATCAGGGCCACTTTTCCGGACTGACCGGTTGAGTGTGGGCGCAGCGACTTTTGTCGTCTCAGTCACATGGAGTGATCTTGACCTGCCACTGCAGGACTTTGCTATAATCCGGCTAAAACTAACAAATATTAGTATGGTAAACTGGTACGAAGGATGATGCCAATTCTCCGGTGTTGGTCAATAGCTCGCTTCTCAGTACGTTGCCTAGTTTATCCTATGGCAACACCGGGCTTCCATGTATTGAAGAGAAGTTCTCTCGCCTGGAGAGTTCCACTTATGATGACCTTCGCTCCAAAATGTCCAATTGATAAGGATTACATCCAAGCCGACGCTGGAAAAATGCCCAAACGCCTAAACAAAAACACCCGTCAGGGAGGAGGAACTCTACAACTAGCTTTCCCGTTCGCTTCGAATCTTCTCATACTCAGGAACAGCCCATTTCACCTTCCACTCAGCCTCAAGAACCTGCTGGGCAGACAGGCGCTCTTCCGGCCTAAAAGCAAGCATCGAACGCATCATCTCGAAGAAAGCATCCCGCTCACCTGATCCAAACGGCGACATCCCCTCGCGAACCCGCGCTTCCCGGACAAACAACTCAAAAGCAACCTCCAAAGACCCATACTGCGACGTAGCCCGAGTGTTCAACTCACCGCTATCATTGAAATGATTTCTCCGACCCTCCCATCTCCCCCACCACTCCCTCGGAAGCGGCCCCAGCGCCGCAATCTGCTGACACGTCATCTCATCTTCATCCGTGAGAAAGCCCTCGAACAGCGACCGCTGGGCTACAATATCCCAGATAGTACACGCAAGCGTCCAGATATCAGACGAGAAAGTAAGCGATTGTGTCGGCTCGAATCGAGACTCAGGGGGTCTTATGGGAAGGGGCGTACGGGAGCCGAATCTCTTCTCCCGCGCTTGACAGAACGTCTCGCCGAAATCCGTAAGAACGATGCTTGCTTCTAGGAGTGTCACTTTTTCGCTTGATGCCCCGAGCCAGATGGGCACGACGCCGTGCTTGGGGACGCCTGCCGGAGGCGGCTGGCCGTCATATCGATTGACAGGCTCAAGGTCTGGCTCTCCATACAACTCGTATGGCTCCTTCGTAGATAACTTATCGAAATTGAATTGGGATTGTAGGCGGAGGAGAATATTCCCCCGATGAAGATCCCCATGCACAAATCCCCGCTCGTGCATATACCTCACCACCATCCCAAGCTGCACAGCCAGCGCCCTCGCCACCTCAATATACCGAATTGGTATGTTGGTTGGGCTTGATGTGACTGGTATCCCAAGTTAAACTGGTCTGTCTGATTATTGTATTGTGATCATAAATATGATAATTTCTAGTAGTATTAATCTGGTAGGATATATCAGTATATTAAAAATATTGTGGTTCTATACTAAGATATATAGTCATCCCAACAATGATATTATGTAGCCCGCAGAAACCAATCCCACGACTAGTTGAACTACCTCGCCCACCAAGTAGTATCTAGTATAAAACCATATATACCATCCAAGCACCACATAAAAAAACATCACATCATCACAAACCAAATCAAGGCCACAACTCCTCCTCAACCCACTCCCCACTCTCAGAGCCCAGCGTCCACCGCCGGCGCGTGACATTCGCATAATCCGACAAATCCAGCCGCTCTACCTCATCGGGCAGGATGACCACCACGCGGAAATTAGCCCTAGCTACTGGGTCATTCAAGTCCTCGAGTGGTTGGCCCATCTTGTAGTTTGGGTCTGCGGGGACTTGAGAACGGGGCTGTCCTGGGGGTGGTGCTGTAAACGAGCCTGTAAAGAGGTAAGCAATAAGCCATAAATAAACAACCAGTCGCAAGATCGAATAAAAGGAGAAAAGCAAAATCACGACACAATCAAATTCCAGGGGGAAGGATATACGAACCACGCATAACAGGCGACATATTCGCAAAATAAGCCGTCACCACCCTCTCCCAATCCCAATCCTTATCTTCCCCCGTAGCCTCCCCCATCCTCCTCAAACGACCCATAATCCTCTCCCTCGCAGCACCCTCCTCCTCCCCTCCCCCCCCAATAGCAAAAGCACACCCCCTCACCCTCCACTGCACCATCGCGCCCTTCACCCAAAACACCGCCTCAACGGCCCCACCAGACTCGCGCAATTGCGCCGTCTTCTCCATACGGGCATCCGTCGTAAACGAGAGCAGATCGCTTTCGTAGATCGCCGGGTTGAGGGGTACATTTTGTGCGCTGAGGGCCTGCAGCGCGGAGGGGTGCAGCGGCGGGGTGGGGAAGAAGCCGCGGAATTCGCAGGTGCGGGAGCGGGGGACGGGGAGGTTTGTCTTTGGGTCGAGTGTTGCTGTTGAGAGGGTGAAGGAGGTTGTGGAGTGGGTTGTTAGGGTTGATTCGAGGGGGGTGCGCCAGGGTGCGGTGGTGGAGGAGGACATTCTGGGGGATGGGTGGGAGGGGCTGGATAGGTGGGAGAGGAGGGTGGTGAGGCGTTTGGTGGCCACTTTGGTGGTTTGTACTTTTTTGTTTTGTGAATTGGGTGAGTTTGTAAGGAATTGATTGAATTGATTGAATTGAAGGGTTGTTGGATATGGATAGGAAGAGGAAGAGGGGAATGGGGATAGTAGTTGGAATATTGGACGATGGCCTGACGTCGTCGCTTCTGTCTATCTTATCGGGGTATCTTATCGGCATCGGATTCCTTGTCCGTTTTGCCTGTTAACTATTCCACTATTGTATGGTTTACCTTATAATGCTGCTCGAGGTTGTCCTTCTCTATTAGGATCATCAATAGCTGCTGCTATTATACAATACAGTCATGCACATACTGAGTGCCATCACTCAACCGCCATAGAATGTCGCATCTCCGCCCCGCCATCCATCGATGGCGTCAAGACATCACCAACACTGGCAACAACTGTACAACATAATCACTCGGCCAACTGTTTCAAACAAATCCTTGAAAAGTGATTTGCATATCCGTGGTTTGAATCTACGTTAAGCAAAGACAGCAATCTGTCGATATTCTTAAAATACCATCTAGAAAGGACGCGTGATAGCACTGCTTCAAACCACACACAGAGGAAACTCCGTATAGCGCATACTACTAGTTCGTACGGCCATGACCAAGTACGAAACAGACATCAACGGTATCTTCAAAAGCCAGATCTGGAATGCCCGCGTAGCACTTGTCTATTACAAGATCAGATCAATCTCACACAAGAATGTTTTCAGATGGTCTACCCTCGCCCCGCGAGAATCTCCCTTGATGTAGCCACGGACGTCAAGAGGCCCATGTTGAGGCACTATACTAACGATATGTTCATCTCACTCGTGGTATGTGTACTCCACATTCTGTAGCTTTGATCTGAGAGAGAATAACGCTTTTCATTGACAAATCAATCGCAATAAACCAAGTAGAGAAAAAGGGACAATGGCCACTGGCAGGGGTACAGCATGTCACGATGGAATCGAATTGAGACCTGTATAGCTCGCGGACACACCTCTCGTTTAATGGTGTCGTAGGGTAATGCTAGATCTTATCGATCGGAGTCTGGGTACTTTCTATTGACTGTTCATACTTATTGGTATCCGTCGGATACTTGATATCAGGTGGTTAAAGGGTTGGTCCAACAGGACTACTAAATTCCTGGAAGGCAAGACACAATACGTATAAAGGTATCCAATCTAATATACGAATAAGCTGATCATCAAGAGTCAAAATTACCCTTATTTATAAATATCATATAATGTGATAGATAATCACCCCCTTCCTTGATTCACCATATAATGCCATATTCTTCATATGTAAAAAGAAAAGGGTAACAACCCACACTCAAACATCAAATATCAAACAAACAACGCCGAACCCATCAACCCTTTCAAACAAACAAAAGGACCAAAAAGTAAAAAAAAATACGGAGGAAGAAGGTTAACCTCACGTCTCCATCCGATCCTCATCCTCATCATCATCATCATACCCCACACCCCCACCAGGCCCCCCCGGTATACGGCCCTCATTAAGCTCCTTCTCGAGGCGCGAAATCTCCGCCAGACTCTTCGCCTCGCGGATCATCCGCTCCACCCGACGCCGCTCCTTATCCGTCAACTTAACCCGCACCGTCTTGTCGCCCTGCGTCGTGTCTGCCCCCGGAGCAGCAGACGAGGGCACGTCGAACGTCCGTGACTTGATGCCCATGATCTTTGATGCGAGGGTTGTTGGCTGCGAGGGCGACTCGCCAAAGAGTTCGCGCGCTTGGGCGCGCTCTGCGTCTTTTACTTTTTGGTAGTCGAGGAAGCGGATGGAGGGAATGCGCCAGATGATCCAGGAGCGGTAGTGCTGTACACGATCCGCATTAGCGTAGTTTTTGGTTCAAACACCGGGGGGGGATGCGGGCAATATATTTGCCGTCCTTATTCTCGGCAGTGAAAAGAAACCGGGGAGAGGGGTGAGGAAATACCTCTTTCTTGGTAATCGGATTCTCCAGCAACACCAAATGCGTCAACTTAGGCAGCCCGCTCAGCGGATCAAGATCCGCCAACTCGGTCAAATTATTCGCCGTCAGCACAAGCGTCGTCAAATGCGGTAGCGAAGCCGGCAGCGAAGACTGGATGTGTTTGATGCGGTTGCGCGCGAGGAGAAGCGTGTGCAGGCGGGGAAGAACGGGAAGTTCCCTAGCGAGGAGAGGTCGTTGTCTGTGAAATCGATCGCATCTTGTTCCTACACATGTCCCCGCCATCAGTTTCTTTCTTTCTCTACTTCCAAATCGTGCATTCGATCTCTCCGGATGGGAATAAAAAAGTAAAGTGTGACATACCTTGGCAATACCCAAGTTCTCAATCGCAGGAATCTTATGCCCTACAACCACCAAGATCCAAAAACACCAATATCAATCCAGCTCTTCCGCGTAGTATCTGTTCTTTTCAGGGCGGCGGTTTGTATTATCACGCACCTCGGAGGTCCAGCTCGCGGTCCTTGAGCGGGTTGATGTAGGACAGCGAGTTTTGGATGAGCTCGACAGTCAATCGCATGGTGGGTGGTTTGTTTCTGCGTCTATGGGTATCATGCAAAATAAATAAAACAAGAGAGAGAAGGAAAGAAAGAAACCGGGAGTATCGAGTTGTTGGAATGTGAGGCGTTGTCGTGAAGATATCTGCGCTGGAGCAAAGCAAGCTTCCCGCTTTAGGATTTGCCGGGCGGTGAGGTATACGTCACGTGACTGATATCTACCGACTGACATGGGTTTGAGGTATACCTATATCCCACTACGAAGTACTTTGTATGAAAATAAGGAGTATGAAGAAGATCATGTCAGTCTAGCTGACTTCTATGGTACATAAATCATTAAGCTAATCCTAGTTCGCTGGTGCGAACTTCATTATTATATCAAACAAAAGGGAAAAAAAAACGCCACCACCCGTCGACTAAAGCGGCGACAACGGCCTCAGACCAACTCCAAAATGCATAAAACGTGATGGACATTAATCGTGGGACAGCGGCGTCATGCTTGGAGACCGATGCTGCTGTGTTCGACTGGGACTGCCAGTCCGCGAACGCCGGCCGTTCATCGTCGGTCCCAGGGCCACCGGCGCCAGGTGATCGCGGCTCTCTGTCCGCACCACCAGACCGGCACGATCCATGGCGGTCCCGGACCCCGCCGAGATGCCGAGGCCAATAGTCCCGGTCGATGCATTGTCCAGTCCAAATTTCAAGCTCGGCGTGTGGTTGGTGCCCCAGCTCTGGGCCCGCCGCGGCGGGGCGAAGCCTGATTCCGCGTCGGAGTTGTGGCCGTCAGGCGAGCTGGGACTCGACCCGCCACTGCCCAGGTCGAACTCCTGGGGGCCGTCTTCCAGTACACGCTCGTAGGATGGGGGCCGCGCGCTGAAAAAGGGAAGTTTGCCTCCGAGGAACCGCCGCTTTTTGGGGTGGTTTGGGTGCGACGGGCTGCGACGGAAGAGATTGCTGCATCGGTGGTACATCCGGAGACGTCGGCCGCGACCGCACAGGAAAAATGTCGCCAGAAGCATGATGAGCAGAAACAGAATAAATCCAGGAACCCGACGTGACGATTGGCCGTGGAGCAGGGCATCATGCCAGCTCTCGCCGTGGGTGTCCGGTGTCAGCATCAGTTCCACGCTCGGATATTGGAAGTCGGCCGGAACCCCGGCCACGTTGCTGCCGAATCCAACCGGCAGCGAGTCTTCCGCACCGATGGGTACCTGCGACGAGGCGTACAGAACCATCTTGCCCAGCGTCCAACTGACCTCGGTCGAATCGATCTTGTTGACGGGCTGGAAGGGGTCGAGGTAGCCTTTACTCTTGGTTTGCGACAGCAGCTCGGCGGTGCCGTTGTGCTGGGAGCCTTTCGTATCCTCCAGCCCCACGCGGGGGAAGCCAATGCCGTCGTGAAGCACATTGATGACCCAGGAGGCCTTAAAACAGATCTGATGCGCCTTTTCCTGGTCCAACTTCTTGCCCCACTCGTGGCGCTGCATCCCACTCTCGATGGCGGCCCAGTCCTGCGAGCAAAACGCTTGGACCCGTTCCTGGTAAGTATTGAAATCGTAGGCTTTGTCCTTGTGACCCATCTCAAACACATCGTGTGTCGTATGCCAGTATTCGCTGATCCCGATGAAGTGGTTCACGTCGAAGTCGATCGCGGGGGCGTGGATGCCATGCAGCAAACACGGATGATCCAGGCACGGCGCATCCTTATCGAGTAACGGGTAGGTCTGTCGCAGGCACTCGTCGAACCGGCCGGTGCCCACGAGGTGGGTCCCAGATAAGTCGGAAGACCAGGGTTTCCCGTCCATCGTGGTGCGCAATCCCGCCGGAAGGCAGGGATCGGGAAGCTCTCGCACAGAGTCGACAGCGCTGGCCTCCTGGAGGCCTTCGATATAGCGGCGCCGGGCCTCGTTCACGCCAAACTCGAGCCAGGAGGTGACAAATACCCGGTGCTCCTGAGACGAGCCATCGACATTTCGTAGCCGCATCAGGGTCAAGTCGTTGGCATGTTTGGCGCTCTCGGTGGCATTAGGCGCGAAGGCGATCTGGGCCGAGGCGCCGCCCATGTCGAGGAAGCCGTACGTGTGGTGCCCGTTCCCGTGCTCGTGCGCCTCCGGGGCGTCAAACGCCCCGAGCAGATAATTCGACGCCACCCACCCGTACAGTCCCTCCGTCACCCCGGGAATGACCTGGATATGCACGTCGCAGTCGGGGAGCCAGAAGTCGGAGTTGGCGCGGGTGTACGAACAGATCTGGTCGAGGAGCAAGGTGCGCTCACGATCGGGCAACAATCGCATTCCGGCGGTGGCGAGTAGGAAGACCGGGGTTTCTTTGTGAGATTCGCGCGGGACGATCTGACGGGCATGGTCGAGAAGCTCGGCGAGGTGTTCGGGGCCGACCTCTTCCGGTCTGCTGGCAAAGGATGATATCCCTGGACGATATGAGCGGCGTACAAGATGCGTGGCGTTTCCGACACCTACCGGGATGCGTCTTCATAGTCCAGGACGACTTGGTCTTGATCTCCGGGAGTGACCTCAAGTCGTCGTCATCGGCGGCTTTGCGCGCCGTCGAGTTGTTCAGCCATCGATATACGTGCGCTCGGGTCCCCTGATGGCGATGAGCTTCGAAACCGGGACAAGAGTCGCGATACTTACAGACGAGCCTGCGTCCAGGACGACACCATAGTTCCCTGGGTGCGGGTCAGCGGGGTGAGACTCGGGGACCAGATGGGGGAAGAACCCGTACATTTGCCCATTGGGTTGACGGTTGATATTCGCGGCAGATCACGCGTTGATCCCGATCAGCATGGCCTGGACGTATAACTCGAGAGCGAACGGATGTATTGGCAAGCGAATGGAGTGGACGATTCGAGTGGTGAAGCTTTTATTGTGTTGATGCCGTGGCGTATCGCAAGGAGGCGGGGAGGGGGGTCAATTATGATTATTAGGGAGGTGAGGATCAAGAGGGTAATAAACGAATGGCCCTTGCTCGAACGGAGCAAGATAAGCAGGAATTAACGACGAGAGTCGAAACTAGAAGAGAGGACGTGTGGAATGGAGGAGGAGGGGGAGGGGAGGGGAGGAATAGTGGGTAAGGGAGAGAGGAGAGAAGAAGAGAAAAGAGGCGATAAGAGAGAGAGAGAGAGAGAGGAAAAGATAGGCCTGAGGACGCGACTGCCGATCGCCGGGGTCACGCTAGCCGGATGGGGTTAGTCAGCTCTCTGGCTGTAACGTTTTTCTTTTTTTTCTTCTTTTTTATTTGATTTTCTGTACTTTCCTTGCTGAAGTTGGCCTTATCTTGTTTCATATAGTCACATTCAACAGTCACCTCATTGTATACTATCATCACCCCATACTTTCATAATATACAGGATGATATATAGGTATGAAGCCGCGTGATCATATCCCACCTACAATGTCTCATGTTCATGTCCATGTCCATGTCCAACCCTCCGAGAAATCAAGGCAAAATCTAAAATTAACCAAACCCACCGACCCATCGCAATTATCCCGGATAGATTAAATGAACTCTCAACCCAATTGACTTGGTCCCCACCAATCCCACACCGGACGAGGAATGTCGCATTGACGTAAGCTCGACCCAGGGTTTCCAGGGTTGCCGGCCACTCCCCGTCCGGCCGTGCCTGAAGATCCAATCATGGGCCGAGTTGGTTATGATGCATTCGTCATCACCGTTTCCCGCCTTACTTTTCTGGGTTTGGTCGAAATTACCCTGTTCATTTGCGCTATGGGGTTCTTGAATGGGGTTCTGAAATGAGGTGGCCCTTTGCTTGTCAATATTTGACACACGTGGTGATCTTTCTCTTTTTTGAGCTGTCAGTAATCAGCACGGAGCACTGACTGTTAAATGACAATGTTTATATAGAAGTAACTAATGATGAGCCTAGTGAAGCGGCATGGCTCTAGGCCCGTCTCGCCCGTAGCGGATAGTAAGGAGACCAGCACAACTGCTGATCGTGTCACATACACGAGATGAACATAAATGGAGATTTATTATTTATTAAAGAGATAGGCAAGCTTGCAAGCTACAGTGTCAAAGTTCAAGTGGGTCTAGGGTAACATGTTCAGTTAATTGTAGGTGGGTCTGACTCATGCTGCATTGCTGACAGGGTCTGTTTATGCAGGGTTCAATACGGAGGGAATAAGTAAATAGAGGATATATCTACGGAGTATATCCATCTATAATCCATTATCTGTAGATTGATATATTCCCACACTACCACCGCCGCCCAGTTCCTGCTTGTGCTTTCCAGGCTACAATCACGCTAGCTTGCCTAATACTCTTGAGGGCTATCCAAGGCTATCCAAGGCTATCCAAGGTAGGGCTACACTGTATAACTTCGAACACACTCTGCAGTCTCACCAGCACTCTTGTTGGACCGTTCGACCGAGTTATCATGCGGGGGATCGTACCGGGGTCTATCCATGTCCTCGAGTCTTCCTTCCCAAGACATAGCATCGTCAGATGGATGTTCTCGATTTGCTTCCTGCTCGTCTGGATTCAACAGTGCCCTGATGTTTTGCAAAATCTTAGTCTCTTCCCGGCGTTGGGGCTTGACAAGCTCATTGGTCATGATTTGTGCGTAGCGACGAGCTGGCGCCAGCTCTAGTTCCTTCATCATAGACGGGAAATGATAGATCTGATAACCGACAAAAACAGTCATCATATAGATAATGAATATTGAGAAATATGATATTCGAGACTTCGCAGAACCCACGTCGCTGAACGCCAGACAGCCGTAGTAGATGCCAAGTCCAATGATGAAAGCTATCAGTGCACATTTCAAAAGGAGAGTCGGTGCCTTGACCATAAGGATAGAAGGGAAGGAAGCAGATTTCCATTTGTTCTTGTTTTTGAATTGCTTGATCATCGACTCCAGTTCTGTCATCCGTCGATGTCTTTCGGACTGTTCATCACCGGGGCTTTCCTTCGTCATGTCTGATATCAACTGATCTAGGTGTGGTTCGAGGGATTTAAATTTCTCTGAGCTGTTGGGCTGGCTGAAAAAATCCTTAACATCATTGGTGGTGAGAAGACCACTCATCGTTTGTTGAACCAAGCAAGCACAAAAGACTGAGAGACCTCCAGCAGCCAAGCTGGCCACAAATGCTGCTTCTGCAGTCCAATGAACCTTGTCAAGCTCTGCAAGTCCTAGGGCGGTAATGGCGACTTGCGCCACAATAGCTCCCTGTGTATCTCTTAGACGAACGTTCGCTTTGATATCGTAGTCAGGACATACAGCAACAGCTAGCATTGTGCAATCTTCGGACGTGGATTTTCGTAGCATCATCGGCTCATCTGCTTCAGCATCGAGCACATGCTTCTCAATTCGATCCACAATATGCTTGGCATCGGGAAATGTCATTAGGAGGAAAAGTGCCTTTAGCGTCCCGAACTTATGTCTGAGGTCGCTATAGGTCTTGCGGGAAAAACGGAGAGAGAAAACCTCCCAAGCAGGGTAAGTAGACTTTCCTGTGGTGAGAGATTCAGATACCAGGGTAACGGCCCCGGCAACACGAGCTGCAACTGACATGGAATCCATCTTGGGAGAGCAAAGTTTGGCGCAAACAGAGTAACAGCGACAGGGCTGGGACAGCAGAAACGTAAGTTTTCAGCTGGAGGTGAGATGTAGGTTAGTAGCCCTGAAGAGGTTAGAAAAAGCGGGGAGCAGGTAGAACGGAAGCATTGGTTCAATCATGAGTTCCTCGCCTAAAATCAGGACTAATATACCTATCCTGGTAGCTTTGCCTTCGAAATCACATGAGATAGTGATAGTGGTGCATTGTGGCTTTGCGTCTTCGATATACTTCGGCAAATCCCGTTATGGGTCAAGAACTACTAGACCCACAGCCCAACCAAACCCAATCCATAACTCATTGGGGAACATGTTTTTGAATAGTCTCTACTCTGAATTTTATGTACTGTGTTCGGCTATATATTGCAGTACTAATTCTCTGTTTGCCAGGTAAGACCGTCTACAGGGGTTATCTTAAGGCTGAATGTGACCGAGATGCCTAGTCACACGAAGCTGCAGCATAATAATAAGCAAAGGTTGACAAAACTGCACGGATAAGGTCCCTTAAATTATCGATTTATACCTATCAACTTAGCTTTACATCTTTCAGTCACTCTGACCTCTGCAATGCAACAGCCGCGGGATGCGCCGGGGGGAAGAAAGGCTTGTTGACATATTGCCAGTTAAGACGGTCTCGTATAGCGAATCACTTTAGCATCGAATCAGCAGCCTTCCGGACAGGATAGTCTTATTTTTACCCCGCTTCATGCTTTATACTAGGGAAAGAAGCAAACACACAGATAATCTACTACAGTAGTTATCCATAAGACCGGCGTATCGTGAGGTTATAGTTTGAAACAAGTCGTCGTATATATAAGATCGAATCCAATTTCAAGTGACTCGGCATTCATATTTGATATGGATGGATGGATGAATTGATAGATAGGTAGGTAGATAGACAAGAATAATATAAACAATGTATATATAATCAGTTTCGAAATAAGATAGATACCACAAGGATTTATGCATCCGACTTGGTCTCCACATCGCGCCCCACAGACAACGACCCCTGCTCCTGCTTGACCCCCACCAGCATCGGCGACATCGCCAACCCATCCACCAAAGTCCAATCCCCAATCTGCTCATTAATAAACTGTGCCCGATCCAGCCCCACCATCTCCCCCTGCTCATCAACCCGCAGCTTCATCCCGGGGATATACTTCAACACAAGCAACAACACACACGACACCGCAAACGAGTAAGCCGAGATCGCGCATATCTCCACAATCTGGTACCCCACCTGGATACCATTACCATCAATAGCGCCAGAGGCGAGTGTAGCACCGTCTAGCGACGAGATAGACTCCGTAGCGAACAAACCCGTCAGAAATGCGCCGACGATGCCGCCGACCCCGTGAAGCTTGAACACGTCCATGCCCTCGTCGATGTGCAGCCAGTCGTTGACGTTCTGGAGCAGTGAACATACTATCCCTGTTATGAACCCGATCACCACTGCGAGCCAGATCGATACGCAGCCTGCGGCGGGCGTGATGCCTACCAGGCCGGCGATGGCGCCTTCGCAGGCGCCGACGACGGAGAATTTGCCTTTGTTGCGGAGCATGTCGACGAGGACCCAGCCCAGGACGCCCATGCAGGCTGCTGTGTTGGTGTTGAAGATGGCCATTAGGGCGCGCATGCTGGCGTTGAGAGTGGACCCCCCCTGTTTCTGTTAGTATCGATCTGCGTAGGACGGGGAGAGGATGTCGGTGGAGGGGAGGAGAGGAGTGATACTCACGTTAAAACCGAGCCATCCCGTCCAGATAAAGACAGTCCCCAGGAAGACAAGGGTAGGGTTATGCGGGCGTCGCAGCGAGGCCTCGCCGTCGTGGCGCCGTTTGCCTAGGACGAGAGCATACGCCAGCGCGGAACACCCCGACGCAATGTGGACGGGGCCTCCACCGGCGAAGTCAATCGCGGGCAGGTTGTACAGCCAGCCTTGGCTACTCCAGGTCCAGCGGGCCAGGGGACAGTAGACGATTGTGGCCCAACAGAAGCTGAAGATCAGAGAGGGGACGATGTTGCCTCGCTCGAAGGCCCCGCCGACGACGATCATCACCTGGTTGTGATCAGTGTACATGAGCGACAGTCTATGAGGCAGAGAGAGGGAGAGAGAGGACATACGGTGCAGGCGCAGAACAGCAGCTGATACAGACAGAACAGGATCTCTGGGAGCACGGGTGACCCCACTGACGGGGCGACCAGCACGTCCATCATGCCGAAGTTCTTGAGCGTGCCGATGAATGGGCCCCCATCGCGGGAATATGCGAGCGAGTAGCCCCAGAATAACCACTGGAATGTTGTTCTGCATGGATTAATTGTTGTCACGGTCTCACTTGTTTGGGGGGGGGGGCATACACAGCTAGGATCATGAACGCCTGGAACAGCAGCGAGAGCGCCGACTTGCGCCTTGCCAGACCGCTGTACAGGAGTCCGATTCCGGGCAGGATCAGGTACACGACAAAGGTACAGGCCAGGATGTAGACGTAGTTGAACTCGAAGCCAGCGTACTGAGTGTTGACGTCGACCTTTGTTGGATCGCCGCCTTGGGGGACGGAGGGGTCATATTCGGGCTGTCAAGTGTTGTCAGCGAGGCCTATCCATATTGCATGGTACTGGATGGATCTACCTCAGCCATGGCTCTAGTATATTCCTGTCCCAGGTGTTTCGTCTATATCACCAACAGTCAATTCCCACACCCAAAACCACAGAGCGCCGAACACCCATTATTATATCCCCTCTCCCCCAACGTCAATATCATCTTGGCTGGTCTATCTATCAATCTATCGAGATACCAAGCTGAGAAGAAAAGCAAGCCTTATCTAGCCAAGACGACAATACATCACCGCGATAACCCAGCTCCAGCTCTACGAAAATCCACTACTGAATAGAGTAAGCTGGGGTCAATGAACTAGCAGCACGAACCCCAAGAACCCTGATAAGAGAGGGCCAAGCGTGTAGTCATTGGTGTAGTTGTTGAAGCAAGGATCTGAAAGCCTTACTGGGTTTAGACTGCGGGTGTTGAAAGCGTGGGGTTATTGGTGGGAGATAGGCGATCCTTGCTGCTAATGCAGCCTGCTGGGGAACTAGTAGGTTTGTTGGTATGAGGTAGATAGGTGGGTTTGATTATAGCTGGGGATGTTTAGGTCTATGATGGGTTTGTTGATGATTTTGGGGATGCATGGGCGGGGAACCTGCAGTATACATGTGCCAATAGTACGGCTGAGGCTATTGATGCACACCAACCTGACCATTACAATATCTGGTTATCAGTGATAGATAGACCTTGATAAGTTAGTCACCGAAGTAGATAGCCTAAAGATCACGATAGTATCACACCCTCAACCTCTCAACCTCCGCAACAACAGCCTCCGTCACCTCCTTCGTCGTCGCCTTTCCACCCAGATCGCGCGTGAGAATCCCCCGCTCGCAGACATTCTCCACACACTCCAGCAGCTTCTTCGACGCGTCTTCCTCTCCCAGCCAAGCCAGCATCTCTGCCGCCGTCCAGAATGTCGCCACAGGGTTGGCGATGCCCTTTCCCGTGATGTCAAACGCAGAGCCATGGATTGGCTCAAACATGCTCGGATTCTCACGAGTAGGGTCGAGATTTGATGTAGGCGCAATGCCAATTGATCCGGCCAGCGCAGCTGCCAGATCAGATAGGATATCCGCGTGCTAGCACCTCGTTAGCTGTGCCCCAAGAGACGAGACCAGAAAAAGAGAAGAAAAGGAGAGAAATACCAAATTCGTAGCAACAACAGTATCAATCGACTCCGGCTTCAACACCATCCTTGTCGTCATCGCATCCACAAGCATCTTATCCACCGTAACATCAGGGAAATCCCTTGCCACATCCTTTGCCACCTCATCCCACAACACCATCCCATTGCGCTGCGCATTACTCTTCGTAACGACCGTCAGCAGCTTCCTCGGGCGGCTCCGCGCCGTCTCAAACGCAAAGCGCATGATGCGCTCGACGCCATGGAGCGAGAATATAGCCGTCTCGGTCGCGACCTCCCACGCCTGTCCGCGGTGCGAGCGTCCGCCTTGCCCCGCGTACTCGCCCTCGCTGTTCTCGCGCACAATCACCCAGTCCAGGGAGCCTGGGGCGCAGTTTCTGAGCGGGGATTCGGTGCCGCGGAAGATCTTGGTCGGACGGACGTTGGCGTACTGCTGGAAAGGTTGGCAGATGGCGAGGCGGAGGCCCCAGAGGGAGATGTGGTCGGGGACGTCTGATTTGTCAGTGGATATTTCTATTCATACTGATATTCATTCTGCTTATTTTGATTTCTTGTGTTTTCGACGTGCGGGGTATGGGAAGTCACAGACCGGGAGCACCAACTGCGCCAAAGAGGATGGCATCGTGCTTTTTGAGCGCCTCGAGCCCTCCCTCTGGAATGTATGCCCCGGTTTTCTTGTACGTATCCGAGCTCCAGTCGTAGTTTGTGAAGTTTAGGTTGAAGGTGTTGAGGGTTTTGGCGAGAGCTTTGAGGACTACGATGCCCGCCTCGATGACCTCGGGCCCGATGCCGTCTGCGGGAATTGCGGCGATGCTGTAGGTCTTCATTTTGGTTTCTAATATAGAATAGACAATAAGCTGAAAAATGAGTTATAGCTAATAATGGATGAGCATCAATTAATGGCTTTACGCATGAGTCAAAAGAAGCAGGATCTGATGATGCTCGGAGGTTGTCCGACGGACATTTGAATAGCCGGTGTGGGGTCGCTGCTTGATCGTTTACCCCGACTTTCACCGGACTTGATTCTGCTTTTGGACTGGATCTCAGTGTTGACGTTCGTCTTGAATTTGTTTATATATATTTTGAATTCCTTTATCTTCTCATGCTGTGATGAATACTAGTCCTACTCACACTGTAAGATGTACTCTGTATACTCGGGCTATATCTCCCGTCTAGGGCTGACTAGATCATTGTAATTTTATGCTTAGCATATATTGCACTGAATATAGGGTTACTTACGAAAGCTGAAAGTGTCATGATATCTTTTGTAGCCGAGTGGTGGTTCCCTTATCTTCTGCAGTATATAATATATTAGCCTCACTTCACTAAATATGATATAAACAGTGAAAGATACCTTGAAGACTACGACAAGCAAGACAGCAAACATTGTTGTATACAGTATGAGCATAAGAAAGCCAACTAATATTAGTGCTTAGGACTTTGATATCAGATCATTCCCATCTCTTTCAATGCTTTGCGTATCGACTATTGTGGAAAAGATGAGTATATGTCATGTAGGCTAGACTAAAGGACGTCAGCATGTCATACTTATGGTGGTTTCAATACCCTACTTGGTAATTTTTGCTGCTGATCGACACAGTTGGCTAAAATACCATGTTCATTGTCACAGGAAAGTCGTAAGCTTTGGAATATGGTCTTTGTGATATTCGGAAATATAATAGCTCTCTTACGGCGAATATGAATTATGAACTAAGCGCTTGATTGATGATGATCAATCTATCAGGTCTCTCTATTAGTCCATTTCTTGCTTGATTCTGCAAAATCTCCAAGGCTCGTCAGAGTCAAGAGTCGGACACCAGAGGTGTCAATACTGTGTCTTCTCTTGTGTAGAATACACTAGGGCGAGGTACTGGACTCAGCATCTAACACTCTAACATGAATCAAGGATTGTTCTGAATAGTGCCCAGGCATACGGTGGAAAGGGGAACTGCCACGATAGAACAGCTGTGTCTCCTGCGCCGGTTGAATTTCATCTGGATAGTTGCTAAACTGGTGATACCAATAGGTGTAAGCAAGGTCTTCATGCGTCGATTAAGAGTCTAATATAAGGCCTCTTGGTACTACGCCATGTAAAATGATCTTATTATAAAGCCTCGAGGTAGCTCATGGACGTCATAAGATAAAATGCTATTGTTGCTGGACTGGTCTAATAGTATCTCCACATCTGCTATATAGATATTCCATATTCTGTAGCACTGTGTTGTTTGATTTACTGGGATAGGGCATGTTGAATGTGTCTTGGGGTTTATAAATGAATAGCTTCATGCGTATAATGCACTATACGCTCCAACTCAACCGAACCTGGAGATTGCTCAAGAATGCCCAAGTGAGATCCGGCTGTTTGTTTTAGTTGTTCTTTATAAATTTGGACACGTTACTGGTAGCTAATCTCGACAGCAGCCAAATCACTTCTAAGTACACCCACTCATAGGTTACGGAAACAGTGAATTTGATCGGTCATGCATGATCTGATCATGCAGGCCTTGTATACATATCTTTTGCCAATTCATATATAACTTGCAGTGTTTCTACACCTTCAAAAGCATATGAAACTTGAAGCTTGACAAGATTCTGCGTTGTCATCTCTTTTCCCCATAGATAACCATGCCTAGAATCCTAACTATAGAATCCTGTTGCTGGGACTCTTCAGGTGATGGTATCTATTTGAGACCAGCTGCTAATAAGCCGAGATACCTTTGTGGTATACAATTATCGCTCTTTTGTACTTATATCTTTCTCTTTCGATGGATCCTGCTAGATTCTATCTCAATGTAAAAGGATCAATCTATTCAATAACGTTACATTTAATCATATAGTGACAGAGGACAAAATAATTTCAATTTAAAATGATAGAAATCCATGACCACTGTGCCATCGTACATCTTTCTACTTGGACTTTAGTAGTCTTACCTTTGTCCGTTTCTTTTCTTTCCCCCCTCTCATTTTATAAGAAAAACATAGCAGAAGTTGGAACAATTCCAACGCTTAGTAGTAATCTCATAAACCGAAGCCCGTGATTCAAGATAACCGCATGACTGCATTTGAGAATAAAGAGCAACATAGATGTAAATCGAGAGTGGCTAGCCAGTCGATTCGCCGCCTGGATCACCATTTTGTCATCTCTTGTAGATGCATCTCAAAGTGTGACGTCGGGGCGGTTATCTGCGGACTGTTTACTAGAATTTTCAGATCTAATGATTGTATACGCTACTCCGTACGGTCGATCCCTGGGCTTGGGTTGATAGAGTCAAGCTTGCCTTCTAGGTTACTGTAAAACATGCGTGGCAGCAAGTATGGGTGAATGAGCCGTACCCTCCATACAGACACCAAACACTCCTAGAATAAACAGATGGGGAAGAAATGAACAACCAGTTCGCAGCAAATACAGAAAATAGTCCACTCTGCAGTGGAGCACCTGCCGCAACTCGCGCGTATATGCCCGGCCCGATCCCAGGTATGTGGGGGGAATTAACCTGGAGAATGCTGTGGAGGAGAGAGTATGCAACCACTTTGTTATTAGGTTTGGGCTACGGGCCACGCTTTGCATACACCCCCGCATATACACATGACCCCCCTATTCAGTGAGAGTCGGGGTTGATCGGCTATTTTTATTTTGATGTAGTATTCATTTAGTCTTTTCTCACGGGAACCATAGACTGGAAAGTGAACACACGGAGTAATACAGCCTCGTCGATGACGCACCTAACCACGTCGTTCAAATAAGCCTGGAGGGGCGATCAGTGGCGGCAATGGCTGGCTTGACTAAGATGAGTCTGGTCTAGTGCTCACTGTCCGCCCACCAGCGGCCTCGTATAAGCTTTTGTTCCCTATCATTTCGTCGGCCTGCTTAGCGGCACGGGTGGCCGAGTGAGGTGGGGGTAGATTTATGTGTCAGGGGGAGATTGTGTGTGTAAGATTAAGTGTTCAGGATGTGTGCGTAAAGAGTGTTTACAAGTGCTGGAGTGCTGGGAATCGTCGAGATCACTACCGATTTAGGAGATCCCGAGCAAAAGACTTGGAACGATGGCGGGGGCGCTGACGGTGTGAGCCTGACTTGCTTTTGTTATAGGGATCAGCGTACCGAGATGGGAAATCCTGGATGCGATCGCATGCCGCTGGTAACTATGGTCGCTTTCTGATGCCACCATTCGCATCCTTCGACTTCGAGAAGCTCGGGGATCCTTGCGCCCGTGGTGATCCTCACTATTTTCACTGTGTGTCTTGTGAGGGAACCCCCTACCGCCATATGGTGCGAGCGGTCCTTCTCCCCAGACGGGCTGTCAGAGTCTTTCCACACGAGATTTCTTGGGCCAACTTGGCCAACTTGGCCAACTGGGCCACCTGGACCAGCTGGACCAACCAAGGCGGCGAACAACATCAATGGCAGTGCAGCCCAATGAAAGTCACGCCTCGAGTGCCAATCGTATCAAGCGTTGCCAACCGATGCTTGGTGCTCCACCCTGACGCTTGATTCTAGTAGTGCATCCTGCTGGCGCTCAGATAGTGAATGACCAGAGCCTGAGGCACATTGATGCTCGATCAACCCGGATTTACTGTATCAGGAATCGACCACACCACGCGGGGATTCATCTTCGCCATGTCTGATTGGCGAAGTGGTTACTTCCGTCGCATGATGCCCTAACTGTCTGCCCAGTGTCAGTGTTGCGCCCGGATTGCACTAAATTGTCAACGCGGATGGGGCTGTCTAAATGAAGGAAGACCTGTTGTTTTTCTTCGTACATGAGACTGGGGGGCGCTCGCCTACTTGAAGGTCGCAGCCTGCTCTTCGCGATCGGGTCGACTTTCTATCTCTCATTTCCAGCCGTATTCGTGAGCATTACTGTCACGACAAAGTGACTCCCTCCGCCAAAATGTTTGGCATCCCTCTTTACTTTGGCATGCGAGGCAACACCCTGAACTGGGCCATCGGTTTCATTGCCGGTCTTGATTTCCTGTACATCCTCCCGCCCCCTTCTTTCCTGCTCACCGGGAAAGCACGAGAACGTACCCACTAACATGTGCTAAACAAGGCTCTTCGGATACGACCAGGGCGTAACAGGCGGTCTGCTCGACCTCCCGTCGTTCGTAAAATATTTCCCCAAAATCAACCCCAAAGAGGAAGGCATCTCGGAGGCGGAGGAGACCGCGCGCAACACCTATCAAGGAATCGCAGTGGCTGCCTACAATCTGGGCTGCTTCCTGGGCGCCGTGTTCACTATCTTCGTGGGAAATCCGCTGGGCCGTCGGAAGACGATCTTCTGGGGGTCGGTCATTATGACCATTGGTGCACTGCTACAGTGCTGCGCGTACGATCTGCCCCAGTGGATTGTCGGCCGCATTGTGACCGGATGGGGAAACGGCATGAACACCAGTACTGTTCCTACGTGGCAGTCGGAGACGGCGCAGGCCCATGCACGCGGCAAGCTTGTCATGGTCGAGGGTATGCTGATAACGGCGGGGATCACCATTAGCTATTGGTTGAATTATGGTGAGTCCATATCATTCCCGTCAACTGGATTATCCCGCATGGAAATGGAGGAAGAAAAGAGACTTATAATGAGACAGGCATGGCATGGATTGGCGAAAACGAAGTCTCCTGGCGTTTCCCGCTCGCGTTCCAAATCGTATTCGCCCTGATCATCTTCGGCACCATTCTCAATCTCCCCGAGTCACCGCGATGGCTCGTGATGCAGGGTCGCGACGAAGAGGCCATTGAAGTCCTCGAGGTACTCAATGAGAAAAACCGCGATGACCCGTTTATCCAGAACGAATACAGATCTGTGCAGCAGACGGTCAAGGAGATGTCCCAGGGCTCGTACCGCAGTCTCTTCCAAATGACCGAATACCGTGAATTCCACCGTGTGGCTCTGGCATACGTCTGTCAGATGTTCCAGCAAATCTCGGGGATCAATCTTATTACTTACTACGTATGGCCAGCCACATTTCCACATCCCCTCTCTTTCCACCTATTATGGTGAGGCTAGAGGCTGACTTCACAGGCCCCAAAACTATTCGACGAGATCAATCTTTCGGAAAACAACTACCCCAAGCTGATCGCCGCCTGCAACGGCACCGAGTACTTCCTGGCATCTCTCATTCCGATCTTCATCATCGAAATGGTTGGTCGTCGCAAACTCATGTTGATCGGCGTGCGTCATCCTTTCCACCCACTCTCAGTCCAGATGTAATATACCATGCTAACGATGAATTGAACCTGAAGGCGGCCGGAATGTCCCTCTCCATGGTCGCCCTAGCAGTCAGCTATGAGCAGCTGCACCAACCCGAGAAAAACATGAAGGCAGCCCCCGCGCAGATCGTCTTCCTGTTCGTCTTCAACAGCTTCTTCGCACTGGGCTGGCTAGGCATGACGTGGCTGTATCCGGCTGAGATTGTGCCTCTGCGTATCCGCGCACCGACTAATGCGTTGTCAACGAGGTATGCCCCTTACTTTAATACCTGCAGCCAAGACAAAGTTACTCACACACGGGGTGGGTTCGCAGCGCAAACTGGATCTTCAACTTCCTCGTCGTAATGATCACCCCCGTCGCGTTCAAGACAATCGGGTATAAGACCTATGTTATTTTCGCAGTGATGTACGTTCTCCCCCTCCCCATAATCCCAAAACCCCTCTTTAAAGAGGCAGAAATAAAACGGCAAAGATACTAACAAAGAAAGCAACGCCGTCATCTTCCCCATCGTATATCTCTTCTACCCAGAGACGCGCTACCGCTCGCTCGAAGAAATGGACGATATCTTCAAGAAGACCACCAACGTCTTCAACGTCGTGCACCACTCCATTAAAGAGCCGCACCGCTTTGACAAGTACGGTCAACTCAAACCTGAGTATGCGGAGGAGGTGCGTCGCCAGAGTATTAAGGAGGCGGATGCGGATGATGTTCATGAGGCGGTTGAGAAGGCTTCGTAGATGCACTTGAGAGTTGGATTTAGCTCTGGATTTAGTTAGGTTGGTATCTTGTCTTGGTATATACATATAATTTGTTGATTTTCTTTTTGTTGATCGTGGGCTGGCCTTTGCTTTGTCTGGTTCCCCGTTCTTTTCTGGGCTTGGTTGTGGTGACGTATGGATTGTATAGAATCGAACCGAGTATTTTGTTGATTGTGTCTTGGAAGATCTCGAGTAGATGATAGCGGTAAGATGGTTGCTAGATGCTAACATCTATTATCATGGCTCATTCTGGGAGGAGGGGGGTTGTCCCAGCCCCTTGAGACAGCAATTAGTGAAAGTAAATGGAATTTTCCAAGGCTTTGACAAGACAATGTCGTTCTCTCACTCTTCTCGGCTGTCATTATTTGAGATGTTCCACTGTCAAGCGACTGATGTTGTAAACGGTAGAAAGGTGTGTAATCAACACAGCCATTTATTGATATCTTGGGCAAAGGGAAACGCATGAACGTGTGACAATCACGGAATAGTAAACGCTCAATCTGCATAGACACGATACCAAAGGAAGTACATGTTCAGTTGGGATTGCAGTCAGGTGACAGTGGCCATTGGTCTAACTGAGTGCAATCACTGCTATCTTAAACAGGATGCAGCTTTGTTTCCAGACCAGAGTCTGTTCCATTTCTGCATTCTGTTCGAAACTCTAGAATTCGCAAGGTGTATTGGGCTATTCCCAGTAAAGATCCAGCCAGTGGTAATGTACTGATCAGAATTTTTACCTCCATGAATACACACGTTATCAATTATAAAAACTCCAACCCAGCAGTAACATCCCCAAACCTTCCAAAATACATATCCGAGAGATAGTCCGTCCGCGCAACCCAAGGTCTCGCCGCAGCCGTCCTAGGCATGTTCTTCTGCGCGCGCACCAGATACGTCGAAAACAAGCGCATCGCCGGTTTCCCATCCGTCCTCTGCACCCCGTCGCGGACAGGGACGACAGCGGTGAGTCCGCCCTTCTCGAGCAGTTTCAATATGCGACAGGTCAGCTGCATGCACGCGTCAGCGCCGAGCGTCCACGACGCGTTGATGTATCCGAGGGATAGGACCGCGTTGGGTAGATCCTGCAGCATGAGGCCGTTCCACATGAATTTCTGGGGAATGTCGAGCGGTTTCCCGTTGACTGTTATGGGGATGCCGCCGCAGTTTTGCAGTTTGAGGCCCGTGGCTGTCACGATCATATCTGCGGGGAGGTAAGTGCCGCTGGAGAGACGGATGCCGTGGGCGTCGACTGTGGAGATGGTATCTGTTTGGATAGCTGCCTTGCGGGACGCGAGGGCCTTGAAAAAGTCCCCGTCTGGGGAGGCGCAGAGACGCTGTTCCCAAGGGTTGTAGCGCGGCTTGAAGTGCGGGTCCAGGGGAATATCCGCGGGGAGCTGGGACCTCGCTCCGCGATCGAGGAACGCTCGTGCGGAGCCTGGGAAGGCACGGCAGTATCGGAAGAAAAGTTGACCGAAAATGAAACTGAAAACTCGGCGGATGTAATAGACGCAGGACTTGGGGAGGAGTCGCGCCCACCAGGAGTTTAGTGAGGGATTAGGGACTGTGATGATGTAAGTCGGGCTGCGTTGGAGCATTGTGACGAGTTCGGCGCGCTCGGCGAGCTTTGGGATGAGTGTTACTGCCGTCGCGCCGCTTCCTATGACGACGATGCGCTTGTCGGTGTAATCGAGGGAGTCGGGCCAAAACTGCGGGTGGATGACCTGGCCTTTGAACTGGTCGAGACCAGGGATGTCCGTTGTCAGGGGCTGGTGGTAGTCGTAGTAGCCCGTCCCGAAGATGATGAATCGAGCGCGGATGGTCTTGTTCGCGCCGGCGTGTTGGACCTCAGCTGTCCATTGATTCTGGGCCCATTCAAGCGACGAGACGCGGTGATTGAAGAGAATGTGGTCCTTGAGGCGATAAGTGGTGGCCGCATCATCGAGGTACTCCAAGATATCAGCGCCTTGGGCGATCGGGTTCGATCGATTCCACCTGTGCCAGGAGAAGCCAAATGTGTAGAGATCCGAGTCGGACCGTATACCGGGGTAGCGAAACAGGTCCCAGGTCCCGCCTATATTATCGCGGGCTTCTAGGATGGCAAAGCGATAGTGTGGTAGCTCTGTCCGGAGGTGGTAGGCGGCGTTGATTCCAGATATACCTGCCCCGATAATGAGCACGTCAAGTAGCTTTTCTCCATCGAGGGGCTGGTGTAATTCAGTCATTTTGGCTGCAGAAGTTTGTGAAATTTAAAATGTGTCGAGTGATTGAAACCACGGAGCGACGTGGCTTGATATGCCGTGCAACCATCTATCATTCCCCTTTCGCCATATACTAGCACATTGATCAGATGTGAAGTTTGCCAAAGCCTTACCTCACAAACCACATCCATTATCTGCAGGCCCACCTTCGAAAGTATAGACCGCGGGTGACAATGCGATTGGACCAAGCGGTTCCTTTTTACCCAAGAAGGGAAGGGCCCTTCGAGTAGTCCAGTGGAGATTGTTGATCAGTAAGATCTGCAGCGGCCCCTTTTAGCCCGATCGGGTTAAAACCCTCCGCCTCCAAACTGGTCAGTATGCCGGCTGCCTGGTGCAGAATTCCTCCTGGGGGAATTGATGCGAGATTGCGCAATAATAGGGCTTATAGCCGAGACAAACATACTCCACGCACCAAGGAATGCTGTGAGCAAACCTTTGATAGTCGCATATAAAAAGCCCCAGAAAACCTTGTGAACGATGGCGTTAAAACCACCCAGAGTGGCAGAAATTCGACATGACGAATAAACAACTCCAGCTGTTATTGCATACAGCACAGTCGTTGTTATCTGGGCTACCAAAAGGATTTCAAAAAGTGCTGTTTGACTCCCGTGTACAAAAAGGTCTAGCATTCTTCTTAGCCTTTCGGCTTGCGAAAGGGGCCAACAGCTATCTCTCAAGGCGCGTGCAGAATAATTGGTTGGAAGTCGACCGGTGGGACCCGACTACAGAGCTGATAGCCCTCACGGGGGGAGCCGGTGGGATTGGGAAACAGATCGTGAAAGATCTCTCGCAACAAAATGTCAAGATCGTGATTCTGGATGTGACGGAGCCGGACTATCCGCTGCGTAAGTTGTTGTCTCGCGTGCGTCGAGATTCGTTGCTTGGCTGACCGTTCTATAGCCCCAAATGTCATTTTCTACCAGACAGACATCACCTCCCGAGCGGCCCTCAAACAAGTGGCAGACCAGATCAGGAAAGACCACGGTGACCCCACGGTCCTAATCAACAATGCCGGGGTGGCATTGGAAGGGTCCATCCTGGACGAACCAGACGAGCATATCCGCCGCACCATGGAAGTGAACACGCTTTCGCACTTTTGGACGGTTAAGGAGTTTCTACCTCGTATGGTCGAGAAGGATCACGGCCACATCATCACCGTGGCGAGCTTAGCCAGCTTTGTCAGCTTCGTGGATTGTGTCGACTATTCATGCTCAAAAGCCTCGGCCTTGGCCTTTCACGAAGGCCTCACCCAAGAAATTAGGCATATATACGGCTCAAAGAAAGTCAGAACAAGGTGTGTACAAACCTATGCTGTTCTCCACAGAAAAGACCACGTTGGTTAATTGGTGACCAGTATTATCCATCCTCTCTGGGTTCGCACTCCGATGATCGATAAGATGACGCAGGCTGGCAGCCACTGGAAAGAACCAGTCTTAGAGCCCCATGAGATCTCATCCGCTGTGGTTGGCCAAATTGTTGCCGGCAATGGCGGGCAGGTCGTTGTTCCTAACTCGTACGGGCTAACTGCGCTTGTGAGGGCGTATCCGAATTGGATCCAGGAATGGATTCGCAACACAGTGTCTGAGAAATTTGTCACACTGCGACGTCTGGAGAGAGAGATGAGTAAGTAGATGGGGTGCTGATAGGAGTAAACTATGTGGATGGCGATAAGTTCAGAATTTGTGACAAATTTATCTGCACGGCTATTCTGGCCGCGCACCTGGTACTGGGACAATGCCATCTGCAAGCTCAAGGCAGAACTACAAACGTAGGACCACGATCGACCAATTCAAAGACCGAGCCATTGAAGCCGGACAACCTCTGTTCCCAAAAGTATCGATGGAAGGAGATTAATCGATCAACGCAGATGGGACGCACACGCAGTCGAGTAGAAGATTCCCACATATCATCTATCGACAGTGGCACTTCCAATAGTGCTAGAATCAGAGGCAGACCAACATTCTGAAGGGTAGCGTCGCTGCCCTGTCTGCTGAAGAATGCAGTTCGCTCGGCCAGAATCTCATTTGCGAGAGACGCGGCGGTGTCGTCGTGGGAGGTTAACGGGTATCGTAGACGGTGGATGAGCAGCAGGCTAGCAAGTTTGTACATAACCGCTTGTGTGCGCATCAACGCGATCTCTATTTGGCTACAGCCCGAAGTCTCGAGCGCTCTGTAGTCTGGTGTCCACTGACGTATCTGAGCTTCAATATTATCGAGTCGCGAGACCCGATCAGGATCTGTCCGCATTTCATGGCCAACCACACACAAGTCATAGAGAGTAGGCAGCAAGGACGCACACAGACCAGCTAAGCGGTCAACAACAGGCGCATCGCGCAGCTGTGGCCGAATCACCGGCACTTCCCGGTGTGCCAAACAATCCACGATATCCCAGAAAATGGGGCTAATAGTGACGGGGTCGAGGAATTGGACCCGTGCAAAACTGGGGTACCACGGTCTGACCAGAGACAACGCGTATCTCAGAATGAAAATCGACCCCGCAAAGGTGACGAATAAATCAAACGCCGCTAGCGCTTGACCCAACATTAAGACGGCCAGGGCGTCCTGGGCGCTAGTGACCTCGACGGTGCGCAGCTTCTGCAGCGACCGGGCGCCGCCCTTGATGTCCACTCGTTCCGAGGTCGTTCGGCTAAAGCGAGCCCACTCCAGGAACGTGTCCATGGTGATGAACATCTCGTGAAGTAGCCAAGGGGAATTTTGGTGACAGTAATGAATTGCACGGTGGAAGTCGCGTGCGAAGGAAGAGCCAAACATCCATATGTCTAGTGCCTCGTAGAAAGTTGAGTCGTCTAGATCTGGGAGGGAAAGCTGCTGCTGGATTTCCCGGCTGTGATTTGACTGGACTAATTCCGCGGAATGGACTTCACGGGGGGTGCTAGAGCTGGTCGACGGCGGCTGCGCAGCATGTTTTCTCTCCACTGTATTGCCAGTTGATGACTCCCAGATGTCAAACGTGCCTTCTTGGTTGGATAACCCGGTGTTAGGTGGTCGTCCAATGCGCCCTGGACGGCGTGTTCTAGTGCACGACAGAGACGAAGTTTGGCAGCGAATGCATTGCATGGTGTTGGGGGCTGGGTGGCATTTTCTTTTTCGCCGGAAGCATTCGTCGCAGGCCCCGAGAGAAGACATCTTATGGACTAGGGTGCAAAAGTAGACAGGCGAGTATCATCCAAGGATAGATGTAAGATTGTTCATGGAGGTCGGTTCGGTTAAGGACGAAGTTGGTCCGCATCCACCAATCAACGGTCTGAACTACCTACTCCGTACCTGACGTACATTAGGTATAGTATCTTCTGGTATTCACCAAGACAGTCAAGTCTTTGAAATTATAATTATATTTTGAAGGTTGTATTGTTGATTTCATGTACAATAGACTAAGACTATGCAAGACGGGGTAGTGCATCTCGTGCTTACACAGTATCAGCACAAAAGGATATGTACAAATATATACGCCAAATAATAATAGACAACGGGTATTGAAAGGGGAAGAGTGATCGCGCCAAACGAAGCACGCCAAAAGACCGACTTATAACTTCGCACTGGGTTCGATCTCATTTCGCCGCATCGACCGCGTCGATACGTCTACATCCCCGGCCTGCTCAGGCCGCTTCGTGTTCGCAAACATCTTCCGGCCGGTAAGGTCGGACATGATAAGTACCCGGGAGGAGACCGTCGCGCCGTCTCGTCGATTTTTACTACGTTCGTTAGCGTGGGCATAAACTGAGTGGGAGACACTGGCAACATACCCTTCCCGTCGGGACTGTGCAATTAGTTCGATGAAGTCCCAAAGGCGCCCGCGGGCTACCAGGCGGTCTGTCGACGGATCTCTCTGTGGCATCCACTCCGGTGCCAGACGCATCATGGCAACCGAACCCTTCTCCTTGCCCTTGGCCACGAGGATGATGCCCTCTTCGACGAAGCGCTGGTACGAGTTCCTGAGGGCTTCTTTGTTCACGGCTTCGAAATATGAGAGGTCGCCTTGGTGGTAGAGGGTTTTGCCCAGCTGGGAGGTCGGTTAGCGAACCATTCCGCGAGGATTGCATAAGGAAAACTTACAAGCTGTGCGTTGTCCTGGGCCTTCTTGTAGTCGAGCCAGACATCTTGGGGAGCGTTGCGGGGTGGCGTCAGCCCCAAGAGAGACACGGCCCCCAGCCACGAAGCTTCAATGAACGGCCAGGTCAAGAAGCAGTAAAAGTCGTAATTCTCGCGGCCGCAACGACGCTCGGCCTCGCTGAGTTCCACGAACTGAGGGGCCCCTGCGCTGTCCCTAGTGATCGTGATCACGTCGTCTTTTTCTAATCCATGGAGGGTTTTATCCAAATTGGTGGCTAGACCCTCGGGCGGGAAAATAAACTCGCCGCGGAAAAGCTGATCATGCGTTAGCCGTTGACTACTGGAAGGAGGTGAAATAACATACCTGCGAGAGGAAGGAGACCTGACTGAGAAGGTCGGCAAAAGAGATCCTCTGATTAGAAGGCCCGCCGCCTTGCTTCACCCTGGTATACATGGCTGAGGACACCAGCGCCTCGGTAATGAAGAGGTGGATGGTCATATTTCGGTAGAACGAAAGTTGGAAACGGTCCACTGCGTAGTATGTCCGCTCCGCGAGACCACTGATCTCCCCAACAAGCTGTGGTCCCAACACCTCGAGCGCCCGGTCGATGACCACCTCGGTGGGGTACCGGTAGAAGTGCGCGACTCGACCCCCCTTGGCGCGGACACGCTCGCAGAGCCATTCGACGCGGCGCACCAGTTCCCCTTTGCCGACGCCGCGCCCACGGAGAGTCAGCAGCACCGTTCCCACCAGTGCGGTAGGCATCATCACGGAAGCATCATTGATGTCGGAGAGGACGCGATAACCGAGGGTCCGTAGGACACGACCCCGGTCCGTATAGCTCAGGGGCTGTCCGCTTATGTGGTCTGGGAGCCGCGTGAGTTGTTGACCAATGAACTCGCGAAGGCTCCACGGCTCGTGGAATCGGACATCCACCCGACCGAGTTTCAGAGATAGGACCGAAGAGGACGAGAGGAAGTCTGACAGGTTTTCCTTCCGTTTGGGTTGACCAAGTAGCTCGCTAATATATGACCTGGGCGATGTCAGTAGGGGCACAAGTATATCCTGCGCTCAGATACATACTCTGTCTCGATAACCTTGTCGTATTGCGTGCTGACAGGACAGATGATCGTATCCTCAACGCGACCGGAGAGTACACTGTCCAAGATGAAGCTCAAGATACCAAATTTCGGCGACAGGAGTTTTCCGGTCCTCGACCGTCCGCCCTCGATGAAACACTCAAAGTTGAAACCCTGCTGCATCATGGTATCGATATACGACTGGACGACGGTATTGTAAAGCGGGTCGTTCCCGAAGCTTCGTCTAATCCACATGGCACCTGTAGCTATGAGCATTGATCAACACGGAGAGCGCTCTGAACCATACCTGCATGTTGTAAAAACGAGCCCAGCATGGGAATGTTCAGATTATCGCCTGCCACCACCACGGGAAGACCGATCCCCAGACGGTAGCAAATCAGCTGGAGCGAGACGTAGTCCACGTGGGATTTGTGACAGGGTAAAAAGACAATCGAGCGCTTCTTCTTCGCAGCTTCTTCGGCCACCGACCGTAGACGGAGCACCTCCTCACTCGACACATGAATCCCCTGGTCATAAGCACGGGTCAGCAGCTGCGTACAGAGATAGTACGCGCCACGGATAAACCGCTTGCTCTCCATCTTGCAGATCATATTGTCCAGCATCGAATCCACGACCTCATTCAGATTCCGTTCGATCTCGCTCCGGCGATGCGCGCGGCGCTTCTCAGGCGGCCCCGGCTGGACAGATAGCAGTCCCTCCTTGTCTTCCACGCCCAGTCGCACCTCCGCCAGTTCCTTGACCTTATTCTGCAGCAACGGGCTGTCCAAGATGAGCGACTTCATGCGTTCCGAAAAGCCGGAGTAGAAGATGGGCTGGCCGATCACATCGTCGTAGGCTCGCCACCCCGTGCCGGACATGTGTAGACTGACTTCGCGGAGGAAGTGAAAGGGGTTCTCGCGAAAGCGCGCCATGTGGTGGACCAGATTCCGCTCGGTTATCTGGCCATCTTGCGGCTCCTTTTCTTCGTGGCCACCGGTGACCGCGCTGGGGTGGATGGTGAGCTTATCGCCGACGATTTCGAGATCTGGGGCCGACTGGCCCATTGGGCTCTTGTCCGATGCCATGACCACGGGTGGCGGATGTCGGAGACGGCAAGGTTCGCAGGTCAAATTGATCTGTCACCGTGATCTATCCAGCTCAAGGTTTGAACTGGCAGATGATCGATCGATTTTCAGGCACAACACGAGCGGGATGGCGGTTGAAACAACCGACTGGCCATGAAATATCGAGCAAAACGAGGAGAAAAGCAACGGAAGAGCTGCAATGAGTAAAACAGCTGCGGAATGAGGTGCGGCGAATCCTGGACACTGGCGGGAAAGCCCCGGTTCGTAACGGCGTCTCTCACTGGCCACGATTCCCAACAAAAGGCAACGATCATCCCCGGTTTTACCCCAGAGAGACCTCGGGTGGCGGTCACGTGGACGCGGTCATGCGGATACAAGACCGTCGGTATGAATATTAGGTAATTATGCATGGCTGAGTCACCGTGGATAACCGCCCCGCTTCTCAACAGATTGAAGCCAACAATACCATATATATCCATATATTATCGGTAGAGATATACATCATATCTGTCATTGTAGGTCTCTCTGTCTTTAAGTACAACTGACGGATAGCATCCGGACGTGTACAGCAGTCAACCGTCCCAATACCACCCGTTAAACGGTATCATCAAAGACAGTACTTTTTCAACACATCAGGCAATTATGTCATATATTCAACCGCCCCTAAATGATCGCCCCGGCACACACTAACGGGAACAGGCAAAGCCCCGTAACTCAAGCGCAGGTTCCTCCACTTACTGTATGACTCCACCAGCTTAGGACGAGAACCACGCCGCAGTCATCAGCACGCTTAACGATCACATATTATCCTGCTGGGTCAACACCATGCAGAACGGCGTCCTCGCCCCTCCGAAACATTTCACATTCCCTCGGCCCTCCTGATCCTTGTATTGATGCTGGCTGTAGCCCTCGGTCTCTCACCAGATGTGGTACTGATATCCGGGACGCTCCACAGTGGGACAATTCGACCCAAACCCATACGTGATTGATAGATAGCTCGACGACGACACCCACAATGTTCTCCTGGCGGAGGTCGGTTTTCAGTAAGGAGTCTCCTATAATTTTCCCTACTTTCTTCTGGGCCCAGGTCTGACGGTTTGTGTTGCAATTGACAGCCGCCGCCTCGTTCCTCCGGTACTCTTCGACAATGGCCACTCCATCGCACTCCTTCCAAGTCTTTCGGGAGGTGCCTCCCCTCCGACAGTTCCGCAATGATCTCCGGCTCTCCCGTCGCACAGTCGGGTTCGTGCCTACAATGGGAGCCCTGCATGAAGGACATATGTCGCTAGTGCGGCAGGCCGCGGCCGAGAACACGGACGTTGTCGTCAGTATCTACGTCAATCCGACTCAGTTTGGCGTCAGTGAGGACTTGTCCAGCTACCCACGCACCTGGGACAGCGACGTGGCGAAGTTGGAGGAACTAAACAAGGAGCTCACCAGCCAGGATGGCAACGCGGGCCGTGTCACAGCCATCTTGGCTCCGACCTCCAAAGTCATGTACCCGACTCTGCCGCCGTCGTCCGAACCAGACGGGGACGGCTCATTCGTGACGATCTCTCCTTTGTCCCAGCGGCTGGAGGGCGCCTCACGACCGGTTTTCTTCCGAGGAGTCGCGACCGTCTGCATGAAGCTCTTCAACATCGTGATGGCCGACCGCGCCTACTTTGGCCAGAAGGACGTCCAGCAGACCGTTGTCATCAAGCGCATGGTGAAAGATTTCCATGTGGGAACCGAGATCCGCATCGTGGAAACCGTTCGCGAACACGACGGACTAGCCATGAGCTCACGGAACGTGTATTTGGGTTCGCGGCGACGGTCGGTCGGTCTGGTCCTGTACGAGGCCCTGAAGGCTGCCGAAGCCGCCTACCATGCGGGTAAGGTCACGCGAGCCGACATTCTTGGCGCTGCCACTCTCGTGACCGACCGAGTACTGTCGGAGCAAAAGGCTCTCTCGCCTGCCGAGCGGGCGCTGTACGATGTCGACTACATTTCCTTGGCTGATCCGGACACCCTGGACGAGGTGGAGGTGGTTGACCCCGCCAAGGGAGCCATTTTGAGCGGCGCGGTCAAGATGGCTCCGATCGAGGAGTTGAAGGCCGGAGAAGACGCTGGTTTGGGAGATGGAAAGGTGCCAGTGCGACTGATTGATAACCTCACCCTTCAGCCTCGTGCTTAATCTGCCCCCTCTGTGGCTTCCTTGCAGCATGGACATACTTCTTTCTATACCCTGATGCTATCCGATCAATGGCATCTTTGTACCATTTCTGCCTGATCACACATGTATCTAGAAACCTAATCACAACCTACTCCACTAGATTTCTTCTAGAAAAAAAACCTCATAAATATCAACTCCACCCAATAACTCAGGTATTCCGAAAGTTCATAAAATATTTACTTGTACAATGAATTGGCTAAGAAATACCAGACCTCTCAATCAGGAAAGTAGGGCAAAAGTCGAGGGCTCGGGAGCAGATCGGGCCGAGAAAATTTCCCAGCGGCGTCCGAGCGTCTTTCTTCCACGCCGAAGAAAAGCAACAGAAGTCACTCACTCAACCCCAACACAACCACCGAGTCAGCCAAAAGGTCTATACCATCATGGCGGACGACGGCCTACTCCTGAACTTCTCCATTGGAGATAATCTCAACTACACGAAACAGGAGAAAAAAATCACCGGAGGAACCTGGCGCGACCGCCTCAGCGCAAAGAAAGCCGCCAAAGACCGACTGACGAAAGGACCGGGCGAAGAAGGCGGCGACAAATCCGAGAAACGCCCACCGCGCAACCCGAACCATGTTCCTCTTCCTTTATCACGGCCGCAGAAGCGACAGCGCACGGATGGCGGCGGCGGCGGCGGCGGTGGTGGTGGAAGCAGCGGGACGAAAAAGTACCTCAGTACCGACTCGTTCCAATCGTCGCTGTTCACGTCGAATCCGGAGCCGCAGAATGAAAACGAGCACAAAACCGGAGCGGACGAGCCCGACGCGAAGCCTACCAATGCGCCTCTCATCGATGGCCTCGATACCTTCACCAACCTGGGCCTGACGCCGACCCTGGCGGCGCATTTGCTCACGAAGCTGGAGCTGAAGGCGCCGACGGCGATTCAGAAGGCGTCGATTGGGCCGCTGTTGAAGGAGGAGAGCGATGCGTTCATACAGGCGGAGACGGGGTCCGGTAAGACGCTGGCGTATCTGCTGCCGCTGGTGCAGCGCATCATGGCGCTGTCGCGGTCTGCGCGGGAGGGGACTGCCACGGAGGGGGACGGGGTGCATCGGGATAGTGGGCTGTTTGCGATCGTGCTGGCGCCGACGCGCGAGCTGTGTAAGCAGATTTCGGTCGTGTTGGAAGGCCTGTTGCGGTGTGCGCATTGGATCGTCGCGGGGACGGTCATCGGTGGAGAGAAGAAGAAGTCGGAGAAGGCGCGGCTGCGCAAGGGGCTGAATATCTTGGTTGCGACGCCCGGGCGACTGGCGGATCATCTGGAGAATACGGTTGCGCTGGATGTGAGTAATGTGCGGTGGTTGGTGCTCGATGAGGGCGATCGTCTTATGGAGCTGGGGTTCGAGCAGGAGCTGCAGGGGATTATTCAGAAGCTGGATGCGCGGCACCGGCCGAGTCGCATCCCGGGGGTTCCGGCGAAGAGGGCGACGATTCTTTGCTCGGCTACGCTGAAGATGAATGTGCAGAAGCTGGGTGAGATCAGTTTGAAGGATGCGATCCACATCAAGGCCGATCCGGAGGACGAGGATGGAGAGTCTGGAGATGCGGACGGGGATGAGGATGCGTTCCGAGTGCCCGCGCAGCTCAAGCAGTCCTACGCTCTTGTTCCGTCGAAGCTGCGACTCGTCGCTCTTACGGGCTTCTTAAAACGCACATTCATGAGAAAGGGGTCAGTGATGAAAGCCATCGTCTTCGTCTCCTGCGCCGACTCGGTCGATTTCCATTTCAAGCTATTCTCGAGACCGAAGGAAGAAGAAGAAAAGAGTTCCGACAAGGAAGAAAGCGACGCCGAAGAAAAACAAAAGACCGCAGAAGCGTCCGCCAACGGGACAATCGCGCCCGCCACCGACTTCTCCAACCCTGCCAACCCCGTCACGCTCTACAGACTGCACGGCTCCCTCCCCCAGCACGTCCGAACCTCCACGCTCGGCTCATACGCCAAGAACCGCGAACCCTCCGTGCTGATCTGTACGGACGTGGCGTCTCGTGGTCTCGATCTTCCCAACGTCGACCTAGTCATCGAATACGACCCGGCCTTCAGCGCCGAAGACCACCTTCACCGAATCGGACGTACAGCCCGTCTCGGACGAGACGGGCGCGCACTGCTCTTCCTGCAACCCGGCTGCGAAGAGAACTACGTCGACATCCTCAAACGCAGCTATCGGGACGGGGGAAAAACATTGGCTCGACACACCGCAAACGACATCCTCCAGCGGGGCTTCGGCGGAAACGTCCAGTCAGGAGGCAAAGGCAAGAACTGGGAAGTCAAGGCGACAGACTGGCAGATGGACGCCGAGCGCTGGGCCCTAGACAACCCGCAGAACCTCGAAATGGCGCGTCGCGCATACCAGTCGCACATTCGCGCGTATGCCACGCATATCGCGAACGAGCGGCACATGTTTAACATCAAGGAATTGCACCTCGGTCATTTGGCTAAGGCCTTCGCATTGCGCGATCGTCCCAGCAAGGTCAATGTGCCTGGTTTGCGACAAGGCCAAGAAGACACGAAGAAGGACTTCAAGGCGAAGAGAAGCGGCGGCGGGACGAAGAGAAAGGCTGGTGACGATGATGGCGCTCGTGGCCCCGCACCGGACGCACCGACGGCCGCGCAGAAGATGCGGGCGAAGATGAGGGAGCATATGGGCGGTGCAAGCGAGTTCAATCTTGCGTAGGTCCGTGTTTTGAAAAGAACAGAGAAAAAAAAGGGCAAAAAGGAGAGATACAGGAAAATGTACATAGCATGTCGCGTTCGAGGAATAATCCTCAATAGATATCCCACAATGAGATCTTGCCGTCTTTCGAGCCAGCAGCCAGCCAATGCGTGTTCTGGACCTTTTCGTTTCTCTGTCGTTGTAGTGTTGCCAGAGATGATCCCCCTTGTGTTAGCTGGGTCTCAGCCGCTGTTTCGTCGTTCTTTGCTTGCTCTGCAACCGATTGCCCCGAAGAAGCATCAATCGCAGAACGAACATCCGCAAACGCAACAACGTAACACCCTTCTTTATGCCATTTCAACACAGCCAACTCCTTCATGCTTCTGCAGGAGTAGACTCGGACCCTGGAATCCCACCCCGCAGTCGCAAATATCTTCCCATCAGAGCGAATCCGCACCCCCTGCTGCCCCGCATGCTTAGTATTCACATTCTTCAAAGGGGTATCCTCCACGACACCCTGATGGCCTCCAACAGAAGCAAGCGGCGGCACAGGGTGCTTAACCAGGAGCGCATCAGCAGACGAGCTGACAAAGTACCCATCAGCAGCAAAGACATCGATCGCCAGAACAGGCTGGCTATGAAGCCGACAAGCGTAGATCTTCTCCCATTCCCACGGCCCCCCACCACCAGCCTCCCGCACAACCTTCGCACTGAGCTCCCCACGCCGCGCGAAAACAGCAACCCGCCCATCCTCGTACCCAGCCGCGACGTAGAGCTGCTCTCCCGGGCCCCGCACTAACAGCTTAGCAGCCATCACCATCCCCGTCTTCACGGCCGGATCAGCGGGGATGGTGCATACGCGCCTCTCAACAGGAAGCTGGAAGATATCGAGCGCGCCGGAGTCGAGTGCGTTAGGCGCTGCTATCAACGCCGACGATGATAGCGGCGTAGCCTCTTCCTGCGTCTGACCTTCTGTCATTGCAGCGGAAGAAGCATCACTATCCTCAGCAAGAAACAGCAACGAGAACGCGCAGAAATTCAGCGCATTCACAGGAAGCGAGTGCACCATCCACGGCTGGACACCTGTGCCAGTTGATTTCCCGTCGTCATCGCCGTCGACTACGCGATCGACGGGGAGGACTTTTTGAAGGATCTCTTCGTCCTGGGCGCGGAAGCGCCATACGCGGAGTTTGTGGTCTCGACCGTGTCTGTATTCATGGTTAGTACTTGTTGTTTTCTCCTGGACTAGATACGATAATGCGTGAGGAGGAACGTACGTGTATACCTCTGTCGTCTTGCCAAAGCCAGAACTAGACGCCTTAGCCTCTAATACGGCTCCGTCGTGCGCCTTCCACGCCACCACTGGCCGCTTCAGGACCAGATCCCATACTACCACCCAGCCATTTGCATCAGCTGAGATCAGACGGAGGTTGTCGTGGAAGACGTGCAAGGCGTGGATGGGGGCTGCGTGGCCGCGCAGAATGTAGACCGGTGTTGGGGGTTTGGGTGTGGTAGACATCGCTTATTTCTAGTTTGTAGAGACGGCCGAGCTGCAAGTATTTGGAGTTGTGCAAATTTGCAGTCTTCTCTCTATTTGGGCTTTTGCATGGTCCTTGGTGGTTTGATTGGGGTAGATGCTGTCGATTGCATTGGTGGATGTTGAGCGGAACGAGAGGAATGCTGTGGAGTGCTCGGGTCTTGGCACCTTTGATCACTGCAGTTGCGGCACGGATCTACAACTACTGCATGTGTTTGAATAATCACAATAATTATAGAAAAAAATGGAAAATATTTACACTTTGGATTTTAGTGTCTATGAGGTGAAATGGGTACACTCTCACAAATATGAAAAAAGAAAATAATCAGATTTGCTCTGAAGGCTCTAGCCTGTTACACATGCACGGAGAAATATATATACACTCAGCGCCCTCCAAATGAAAAATTATAAAAAACAAAAGCAAAGGTATCAAAAGTCGTAAGACGAACATAAATCTATAGAGTATCTTGAAGATGCATATAACCAGTTAAACATATCATTCAGAACCCGCACGAATGCTGATTGGATTCATGCGGCGCGACATAATATCCCTGATACGGATGATTATCCATTGAAAAATCAGCGCAGGCCATAATAGGGTTGATGATTCCGGGCGGCATCTTGAGCTGCGTATATACAGGCCCATAAGAATCAGAACTTGTGAAATTAGATGGGGTTTCAATGCTGGAACAGCCAGCTGAATTCCAGCCCCAGACCTCTTGTAACTCGTGTTTAATAGATTCTGTCGAATAGCCTGTTTTCATAGCAATGTCGTCTAAGATCTTAAGAGTCTCTTCCTGTGTTTCTCTCGTCTTGAATGACTCTGCGACAATTGCTAGGAAGCGCGTGGATAGACCGGCAATTCCTCTAAATAGCGCTGGTCAATATTCGGTAGGTCATATAGGTTGATTCAGAAGACATACCGGTCTCGAACATGGGCTACAATTCCGCAGATATCATGCGAGTGACTTTGCTGCATACTTTGCATTTCGGGGCTAAATTCCGACTCCAAGGGGTGGGACTTGGAAAGGAGTATTCTTGTCGTGTGGTAGAATAACCGGGCGATGATGATGGGATGCTTGACGAGCCTACACAGGGTTAGCATGTAGTAAGTAATTCGTCGGTTAAATCGTACCATATCTTTGGGAATGCTGAATTCGAATTGGCCTGCCAGGGCTGGACGTAAGAAAGAGGCATCATGGACCGGGGTGCAAGTTGCGCCCACTGATTGCACCACGCGTTATAAGTGCACCATTCCTGGTATCGGTGGCTAAGTTCCGGTTCATGGCCCATGTACCCGTCGGCCTGAACTTGGAGTGAAGAAGACCTGAAATTTGACACTTTGGCACAGATGTAGACCATGCGATGAGCCCACGCCTCTTCATTACCGGCAATACTAGGCCGGGCCTGGTGCATGTTCATGTCAACACCCCACAAGTCTGGATCCCAAGAGATTATCCATTTAGAGTGCAGGCAATCGAGGAGTTCCATTTCGACATTCAGCCAAAAGCACGCTCCGCCCAGGCCGGGCGTCGTCGCATCCCAATGACATTCCTTGATCAGCGCCCTGGCGCCAGCGATGTGATCCATGCCATACACGAACACCATTGATCCAGAACACATCGCTTCATAGACATTGAGAATCACTGCCGTTGTGGCACAAAGAGCCGAATCACGTGCTGGGTCCCGTAGTGAGCGAAGCAGATCTTTATAGGCCATATCGTGGAAATGTACAGCCTGTTCCTCGCCATATGAAGAATTGACCCGTGATAGATGTCGCGCCGCACAGGCCATAACGGCCTGTAATAACATAGGCTCTTCTAGCGCATAGAATGGCAAGATATGGGAAAACTAAGTATGACAGTCAGAATTAGGAATATCTACATCGTATTGATTGCGTGACTTACATAGTTTGCGGCGTTCATCGAGTCCATCCATGGTCCTACTTCTTCCACAAAGGTTTGCAGGAGAAGCGTCTCGTCTAGTGTCTGAAGACATGTGTGATTAACAGCGTTTATTGCCTTTTGACTTGTTGACCGGAAAGGACTGAGTGTAGAATTTTGATAGTATTCATTGGACGGTGTCGTAGCGTGCGAATGTTGCTGGAATGTCGTTTCTAAGCTCCCCAATGACTGAACAGCTCGATACACTGGTTGATCAGTTGTATTCAGCTCGACTGGCCCACCGAAGTAGGGGAAACTATGGAGATCCCCACCCAGCAGAATATCCTTCTCTGGAGTAGGATACCTCTCAAAACCCCCGACATACTCTGACGCTATGCGCCTCGACTCGTCACAGATGGAAACAGGGTTCCATAGTGGGGGCTTGATATAATGAGGAGGGGCTGAAATCTGAGTATCTATAAAATTGAGGCGAATCCCACGTCGGCAGATTCGACCTGCCTTTCGGCAGTTGTGGCATCGATGCAGAGCTTCATCGCATTTCAGATGGCGCTCGCGACATGTCAAACAGCCTGTGCGTACTCGTTTTGGTTTCTTTGCACTGGCTTTGCTCCCGCTGGTGGAACCACGCGGCGCACTCAACGGGGTACTACCTGGAGTTAGTATGTCGCTTACACCTGAGGGGATTTCCTGTTCTGCATCATTCTCCGTGATTAGTTTGTCCGGAAATGCAACTAGATCTGGTTCCGATTGGGCTCCGGCGGCTTCAATGTCCACAATACATGGAGTTCCAATAGCAGTGTCCGCGCCTAGAGGCAACAGCACATTGCTGTCGCCAGCAGAGGCCATGTCAAAGAGAGTATCTTGGTTCAACCTTGCTAGGATACAGCATATCCAAGACCGCAGGGAGCGGGTCATCCAAATGTCAGATCACGAACACGTGTATCGATTTGGGACCATGATGCTAGCGGAAGAACTGCTTTCCTCGTTCAGTAACCCGTGTTTGAATATGCATTGTTCAGACCTACCAGATAAGTCCAGGAACAGGTCAACGTTTTCATATCCGTTGGAGATAGGTGTTGATAGAGAAGCCGATCGGCACATGACTAGACCCGTGATCCGATCTGGACACCTGAGGTTCAATACGATGCTGCTAACCACGCTTAGTCATGTTGTATGCAAGGCCACTGTAAGATCCTTGAAAGATCAGGCTCTTGTTGAAGATAGGCAGAGAGTTCTAGCTATATTGTTTCTCTATCCATAATCTGACTCACACGCACTTCTCCGCACGACGATGCCCAAGGGACTCTGGAACTTGCACGTTGATGGTATATAACTCCCGTCACTAACCGAGCACTATTGACACCGTTGTAGGGAACTGGTACCGCTGGTTCCACCGTTCCAGTGCAGACTCTCCTTCCCCAGACGCGCCATCAATTCTGAAAACCGTCCGCAAAATTCTTTCAGGAAATAACAATTTCAAATGGGGGACTGTCCCATTTCCGACACCGCTTCATTTCCAACTCGATTTTGTGTATACCGTTGACAGAGATGCTGGCTACATTACAGTCACCCGCTGGAGATCGGTGGACGGAGGTTTATACCCGAGAGCCCAACGGGCAACGTTGACCAGTATCCGAGAGACGTCGCTCGGCACGTTGGAGGCTCTTCTTGAAGATGTGGCAGAGGTTCCTAAGTATTGTAATCAGTCACTGAGCGATGCACATGCTGAAGTTGGCGTGCAACATTTATTGGAATCCTTTGGGATCGATCCCATGGTCCCCGCGCCGCTAAACGAGCTGCAATTCAAGGTCTTTACGGACTTTGTCCTCACATGGCGGTTTTATTTAGGCGAAATCTCTACTTGGGAACGCTCCTTTTCTCTATTCTCTGTACTTGCAATTGGACTGCTGCGTATCGCGGCATGGGACTTGGAGATTAGGAATACAGATTACAAAGACATAACCACATTTTCGTTCCTCCCGGGATGGAAGGCGCCAACTAACGACGTCTTCTGGTTTCATGGATATCTAGTTGTGTGCTGCAGCTCCGACGAAATTCGCACTTCAGTGTCTACAAAAACAAGGCATTTCGTATCCCGCAGTAACGGTCAAGCAGTGGCGGTACACGGGATAGCTATTTCCATACGACAAGTCGTACTCTTTGAGATTCGCAATGGCCACATGGTTTATTCCCCACCTATTCCACTTGTTACCAATGATTCGTCAATACATTGCTCTCCTGGGTTCAGGCTGTTGGCGTATGTGTTTACCTCGAATCACTGGAAGGGATCATCGGAGCGCTGGGGAGTTCCAATGCCCACGGAGCTTCTCGAGATGATAATAAAAGCATCTGCGCCGAGGCCGAAAGATTTGATTTCAATGGCTCAGGCGTCTATGCTGCTTGAGCAATGGTATTACTCTTCCATTCTACAAGTTAATGGCATCAATATACACCAATACCCCCTCTCGATACCATGTTGCGGCAAGCGACACACATCAGACACCATTGGGATTTATTGCTCAGTCTGCTATGCCTGGTTTCATACTGAATGTGCATATCCGTCCTCTGATATGTCTTCTGAACGCATTCAATATATCTGCTCTGGTTGCCAGGAGAGCAGACCTTGCGCTGTTCTTGAGAGTGGTGGGATCCACCAAGCCTACCGTGCAAAGCGGGATCGGAAAGGATGCAGCGTGGTCCATGATGGAAAAGCTACAGATTTCCACCTGCGACCTTGCAAACCAACCCGTCACTTTCCAGATACATGGCACATGTTCGGTCTCGCCGCCCCTGCTCCAAAGAGAGCCGATTATACAATTTATTTCAGTGGGGTATTTTCCGGTCTTGCGTATGGATTTGATTAGTGGCACAGTGACTACAAAAAGATTTAACAATAAGATGTTGAAACCAGTCAGGTTAAGCCTTATACCAATCATTGGTCAACGTTTTGGCGTAGCGGTCATGATAAGATCCATGAAATTAGATTGCCTCCTTCCAAATCATCCGTCCCATGAAACAGTTTTATATGGCGCTTGAAATTTTAGCGAGAATTTGGGGTCTCATGTTGAAGCATATGCGTCAACATTTCATCAACTGAAACGCTATCAATCCGCACATAGAATCTGTCCCTGCATGGCTGAGAAGGGGGACCCGTAGGAATGAGCCGGTAATCCACGGGAAGATGCTTGTGCTATTCAAAGAACAGAACATCCAAGCCGTGAAAGAGGATACCCCAACACCGCCCAAATTCCGTGTTCGTATGCTCAAGGGCATCTTCGAGCTGTTTCATAGCACCGTCTATATCGTCCACTTCCTTCTTCGCTTCGGCCACAGTATGATCAATCACATTTCTGCTTCCTGGAAAACTTCGTTGCACCCGAAGAACGATGAAGTCCGCCAAGTGGTTGTTTCGGTTTTGCTTTGGCGCAATAATCCAGCCATTGGCGATGGGGAAGTAGTAACTGAGCATTGAGCTTGCTAATGCCTTTACCGAGTTCTCATAGGCGGAATCGCTCCCCACAAACTCGATAAGCTCTTGGAATGCGGGCAAAGATAGGTATGCGGCCATTGTTTGGGTAACACTATGTCATCGTCAACGCCTGGACTAGTACCATAGGGTTCAAGGGAGGGATATCATACTTGGAATAAGGTATGGCTAGGTAGTATGGTAAAATAGAAGCATTTGGTGTTGGAGATGAATCTGTCGACTCTGGCCAGGTAGGCGCAGTGGGAACCTGGATTATGTAGGCTCATGACGAGTGGGGAAACCGCCATTGACTATCTTGAAACGTTAAGAAAGCGCCCAGCTGATGTTTAATGCAATCACGGCCAACATTTCTTGTCCAATTGATGGATCACTAAGCGCTTGTCAGCCCCCAGAATTGAGTGCTCGGGGTCCTATACCTAGGTAGGTAAATACTCGAACCGCCTAGAAGAAACGAGTCTATAGAGATGGAGAATCGTTATTATTGAATTAGATATTTATAGCCTCTATAGAAAATTGTAAAATCGCCAACATGCTTTTTCGTATACATCATTCAGACACCATTCGACAGTCTTTCACCCACTGGGCTTAAACCCATGCAATAATCAAGCCATGAAATCAAAGTCTATCCAAAACAGCAAACTTTAGACCGTTTGCCATCTAACGCAATGAACGACAATAAAACTTTTCGACCAATCCAAACAAACAAGGCTTATAAAAACAACGGATCAAGTTTCATAGCATCATTCCGGAACCACACCTCCAACCCGACTAAGCCGTTTTGCCTTGCTAAAGATGGGAGTAACAGCGGTCTTCCAAAACATGGACCAACTCTCCCAGGTCCAAGGTTGTTGAGTATCCTCGTTGCGCTGTTCGAGCTTGCTGGGGGCACTTTCGGCTTTATTAGCAGTAGGCGCAGGCTGGTCTGGCTTTTTTGTAGTGTCCGCGCGCCGCGATGGCTTGGGCTTGTCATCAGACTTGCCATCAGTCTTGCCATCAGTCTTGCCATCAGATTTGCCATTAATGGGCGCACACTTAGCCACCAAGTCCTTGGCACTCCCAGCGCACTGCTTGCACGTCAAAACCACAGGAATCATATCATCAGGATTCTTCTCAGCGGATTTATCCTTGACAACCTGGACAGCACTAGTCGAGCCATCACGATATCCAATCTTCTCCGCAATAGCCGTCGCAGAACGACCAATCGAATCCCTGTCTCGCCCAATCAGTACATAAAATGAGTACATCCAACAAAACCCCGAAAACCCACTCACTCACCGATACTTAATCTCCCTCTTCACCGCATCGCCCAGCATACGCTTCCTAGCGTCATCATCCGCAGCGAGATACTCCCCGCTCGCCTTGATCCTCCTCAACCGACGATTTACAGCCTGGCGGTCCGCATTGCGGGCGTTGTCCATGGTGCGGTCTGCACCCGTGAGCCGGGCCGTTCGCGCGCGGGATTTGCGCGTGTACGGGTTTTCGGAGAGGTCTTCTTCGTGTTTGCGTTTCTTGTTGGGTGTCCCTGGGTGGGGACCTGGTATACCGCGGGGCATTTTCGATTATTGGTGGAAGAGATATAGTTGGGATAGATGGGATTTCGAGGTAGGTATTAGTAGAATAGGTGGGCGGTATCAGTAGAATAAACGAGTATTAGTAGAATAAACAAGACAACAGGTACACCTACCCATGGATGGGCGACTGGGAAAAAAATGGTAGAGCCGTGGATACGGGACACGTGAATTGATTAGTGCATTGGGGGAGGCCCCACTCCTGACGGGTGGAAATTGTTTGGTGCTTGGGATAGGGCTATGTTTGTTTTGAATGGTGATGATTTAGGTACTGCGTTTGATTTTGTATGTTTTGGATACTAGAGAGAGCTGTGCGCTAGTTTTGATGTTGTTTCTTTATCACAGAATCAAAGTGTTAAATCTAAAACTGGTTAACAAAGAGTAGAGACACTGAGACATGTATAGTTCAGCAGTAAACGGGCGAAAAGTATCACCCTCGATTTACTCCCCGGGATAGAACAAATCTGCTCACACTCATAACAGAGAATACACTTTTATTTAATGCATTTATATCTTATACTAGATAAACCACCCATTCATCAAAACATTTACATCGTTACCATATAATATGCGCCGACTTTTTCCCAATCTTTTCCCTATCCGGCATCGTGACATGCTACCACATAGACGGAGGGACTTACATGCAAAACATAAAATGATCCACACTCAACATTTACTCCCCAAACGGGGCAGTTTAACCCGCAAGTGCAGCATGAGCGTGATTGCTCCGCAGACGGCGGCGAACAGGAAAGTAGCCCGGAGAGCAGTGGCATATGCCCCGATCACTAGAGCTGTAAGTGATTTGTTTTTGATATTATAAAAGGGCGCATACCTTGCTGCTGGTGCATCGGGTCGAGGTTAACAACGGCCTGAACCGATTTACGGACAAGCGTAATGACACCATCTTTGTTCGGACCGGTGACCGTCTCCTCGAGTTGGTACAGTAGAGTGTTCTGGAAAATCCAGCTACTCAGCGACACGCCCATGACAGACCCCAAGTTCCTCCACAGGCCGAGAGTCGTCGTGGCGACAGCCTGTTCGTCTTGATCGCTGGTAGCCAAGATGGACACCATCAAACTCGGGAACGCGAATCCCTGGCCGAGACTCGAAAGAGACACGCACAGCATGGCGACTTGATCGGATGTGCCAATGCCCATTGTGGCTGCTGCACAGCCGCCCAGGAAGAGGAGCACGTCGCCCACCATGACGGTCGGCTTGAGGCGCTTGGTCCAGGTGATTAGGAATCCCGTGGACACGCTGGAGACCGTCACGGCCAGAGTAGACGCGACCAATCTGAGGCCTGAGTCTGTAGGGCTGGCGAGCTTGACGGCCTGAAAGTAGAGTGGTGCGTTGAAGATCATGGTGTTGATGGAGATGGAGCCGAAGAAGTTTCCGAAGATGATGCTTGCGCGCGGGTTCTTCGAGAGTAGCGAGATGGGCATGACGGCGCGCTCGACGTTGCGCTCGTAGCGCACAAAGATCACAGCTAAGACGACTGATAAGATCAAGGACGAGATGACCAGGGGATGGGTCCAGCTGAAGACATTACCGCCCAGGTTGAGGCCCATGATCAGGGCCGTGACGCCCAGGACAAGCATCACAGAGCCAACCAGGTCCATACTGCCGAGAAATTGCCTGAAAGTCATGCGTTCGACGCGCGCGTGCTTAACGCCTAGGTCACTGGAGGTAGTCCACGCTGCCACTATGAAGTAAATGAAGATGAAGGGCAGCTGCACGTAGAATGCACCTCTCCATCCTACCTGGTCGCATAGGAACCCGCCGAAGGCGAGACCTAGGCAGCCGCCGATGCCGAGACAGAGGTTGATGTAGGATTGGTAGACGCCGCGGTATTCAAGACGCACTAGGTCGCTGGAGAGGATCATGCCCATCGAGAAGACGCCGCCTGCGCCGAGGCCGCAGAAGGCGCGCGCTGCGATGAAGCTGCCGATGCTTTGCGCCATGGCGCACCAGGCGGTCGTTACGAAGAACACGGCGATCGCGAAGAGGTAGACGGGCTTGCGACCGAGCGTGTCCGAGATTCGTCCAAAGAGTGGGAGGAAGGCTGTGGAGGTTAAGAGGAACGCTGTCGACAGCCACGACGCCGAGTTGGAGGCGTGGAAGTGCGAAGTGATGACTGGGTGACTCGACGCCATCAGGGTGGAATCGAAGAACCCAATGATGTATCCTATGAGGATGCCCGAGAAGATTAACCAGAATCTCATGGGCGATACGTTGATGAATCGCGAGGCATAGTTCTTGTCTGTCCCCGATGGGCCGCCTTCGGCGTCTGCTGTCGTCTTTCGGGCCGCCTCTATCGACGCGATTCTCTGCAGGTTTGGCTCGATCTCCAAGCCAGCTGGGACCGAGTCGACTTGTGTCAGAGCGGGGAATGTCGCATCTTCTTCTGCTGCGGGTATCGTCGAATATGAACTCGGCTGGAAGCCATGATCAGTCTCAGAGTAGGGAGGTGGCTGAAGTAGCGGAGTGGACTCGTTGAGCTCCGATGGCAGTTTTGAGTCCCCCGCCATCATGCAGTATATTCACAGATCCGTGAGAAAAAGACGCTGATCAACCAGACAATCGCAGCCCGTCGTAATCAAATAGTCAACTGGATCGTTCTATTGAGTAGATAGAAGACGGATTCCGGGGAGGGATATCTTTTCTTCTAGATCTCCGGGGGGTGAAGAGTTTTCAAATTTCTCAATGGGATCTCTGTCTTAAATTGTGATTTATTTCCCCCTAGGCTTCTGATAAGAAAAACAAGAAGGGATGGCCCCCATTATCGTGCTTGTCGAATTTTTATCTTCTTAAATATCTAACACAGCAGATGACTGGGGTCCCACACTAATGCAGGCTGTAAAAAATGACTCGATGGGGCCTGAGCTTCTCCACCCTCTGATAGGCTCTTTTTACCTCGAGAATTCCGCTCAGCCAAACAGAACCAATCAAATCTATATCCCTTTCACTTTCAATGTCTCACGCATCGGTTTTCCTGTTTGATGCTCCCATGCATACTGCTATGCTTTGATATTGGTAATCTTATAATAGTTCTTCTCCCGATCAGGAGTATTATTACCACAATCCGATCTCAAAGTTCGTCTACATCCAGCTATAGATCAGCTACCCCGCTCTGTAGTAAGTAGTCGACGATGGACGGACTGCTAATACTATACTACTCCCAGCTAAGTGGACTAACTGCGGGGGTCCTTACCGACCTCGGAGGGTGTCTCCGCTGCCGCTTTTCCCCTACTCATCCAACCGCAGTTGACTTATTCTAGCTCAGATTCCTCAGCTCCCCACATCGTGTATGAACGCCCGGCCCTAACGATGGTAGCACATCAGGCCCTGACCTCTGTTCTTTCAAGTCGTTACTAGTACAAATCAAGCATGTCTCATGACAAGAGCGCATAAAGTGTCTATCGAAGTGATCTTGTTTTATAGACCTGGTTTGTAAGCCCCATACTATACCCAATGGCCAGAACCCACATCAGCCCAGTAATATCAATCGGTACGTGGTATGTGCGGCGGATAGTCATTGCTTGGTTGTAGTTTAGACCCCGCACGGACCTTTGCATAGCCATATATCCGTCCATGTACAATTCCTGTCCCATGCATGATGCCTGTCTCTACTGCAACATGAGACCGTGACTGACCGCATCCAATGGTAGAGTTCATTGTGTCGAATATCACCCCTAGGCTCTATCGCATAAGCAGTGAGTCATTTTTTTGCATCGATTGCTTACCATATCTCTTGTTAGGTGCAGACAATCCTTCGCCCGTGCTGGGGTCGGATATGCGACCTACTCTTTTCCCTGGGAGGGTGTACGGAATTTACTGACTAGATATCATGGACAGTCAAAACTTTGAAGATGCTAGAACTAATTCCGCGATCTACTTTGAATACGCCGTTGCTGATATTCGCTTCTACTCAGAGAGACGCGATATGGATGTAGTACTTAGATGTCCTACAATTTACTTTAGTACTTGACGTCAGTTCTACAAACACACTATGACTATAGAGCATTTAGACCTCCTTATCTATTGATTGTCTTGTAGATAGCTGTCTTTCTGTGTATCTAATTAAATTTTAGTGGCGTCGACCGTTTCGTCACTCACGATCTGTCATGTGATAGGTTGGCCGAGATTAAGCTTAAGTGACGTCTTACTTACCGTAGATGTACAAAAACAAAGACAACTCGACTTTTCGCATCCCTCATCCCAGATAGCCATCAAGTTCTCCATCTACCAAAACGCTCAAATAATCTCTGTACGGATCACTAACGCCCCGCAATTCTTGATAGCTAATGATCTACAAGGTCCAGCATCAACAAGACAAGAATGGCTGAGAATATTCCTCCCAATCTTCCACCCCCCTCGCTGATGGCGAGGAAATTCATGGCGTGGGACGGGACCGTACCGCCTTTGGTCAAAGAAGAGGACCGCCCCTTTCGAGAGAAATGGTTCTTCTTCTACGGCCCCCTGGCGAATCCGGAGATCCTAATTGGGATTCTCAACCGCTCGGAAAAGCCGGAACTCCCCCATGCCATTGTCTTTGGCCACGAGATCTTATATTGGGGAGACTTACCGGCGGCTATTCAAAAGGGGGCAGAGAACCCTATTGATGGAGTAGTTTGCAAGATTGAATCACAGGAAGAACTCAACCGGCTGGAAGCTTATATGACTAAAATGTTCCGAGTTGACGGCTGTATGGCATGGCGGGATGACCACTCGGAGGTTCCGGGGTTCGTGTTCATTTGGGATGCCGACATGTCGCTTCTGAGCGAAACTCCTAGGAATGTTTGATTGTTTGATTGAAGGTAGGCCGTCGGGACTTAGAGGCTTGATGGCCCGAGTTATTGTATTTCCGACTTTAGAATGCCCTCCCCACGGTATCACCTACGTCTAAGAAGACGAAACATCATCCAGACTGGTCCTGGACTCCTGATAAATACTGCACAACCTGGAGATAGCCGGAAAACCCCATTCTAAAAAAGACGAACAATAAACTATAAAATTTCATCGTCTTTACTAATATCAATACTCTCGTTGGAAACTACGTGAAACGCCCATCGCCCACGACAGTAAACTCCCATCAACAGTCTGACTATTAATACACTATTCGAGAATTGTACCGGCGGTGGACATGGAATCTTACCATCATTCTGCAAACAGGAGTCTCATCTTCATCGAAATGAAGTTCTTCTTCTCGGCCTCTGCCTGCTTCCTCGCTAACTTCTCCTGCTCTTCGGGGGCGAGGTCGCGGATAAGTCGCGGGCCTAGTGACCCGGATTTGCCGTGAAAGAGTGGGCGGGGAATTTCACTGTCTGCCGCAGGTGAATTTTCTATGATGAATTTCCAAAGACCTGCGACGTCATCTTTCTGCCCCAGTAGCTTGGTAGTAGTGACCCCCAATGCCGCCTGGGCGAACCGGATAATCAATTCAATCCATGCAATGCATGGGCCAATTGTACAAACTCCAGGTCCCCGCCGGAACTCGACTGTCTGAATTCTTCCATAGTACAAATTCACAAAATTCCAACCATAATAGCGATTCCCTCCATCGTTGAGGAGGTCGGCAACATGCACGGGGTGTGTGCATTGGTCTATAATCTGGAATAGCTCCATCCCAGACTTCTTACTTAGGCGGGGATTGTCAATACGATTGCTTCTTGCATACTCATTTCCACGTCTCTCTATGGGAAGGAGTACTTCGAATGCTGGCTCAAAAAATAAGATTGCGCGGCTGAGAGCTTTCAGTGTATCTATATCCCAGCCACCAACTGGGGCAAAGTGGACGTGGAATCCGCATGATTGGTTTGTCTCGACTCGGCACACTCGATTGAGGTTTTTGAAAAGGGCCATGATTTGGCTCATCCACTCCCCGTCAGGCCGGTGAAACATGACGGGACTTACCACTTCGATAGGCCCTAGGTTTTAATTAGCCCTAGCAGCTTCGCAATGGAGACAGCCAAATCTATACATTGCTTAGGAGAAGAGGTTTCAATCGTGACATCATCTGTAAGATTCCAATGATTCTCGGCACTAGAAATACCATCGATGTCGGATTGCATCGCTATATCATCTCTCGCGCGTACCCTTTCGTACCGAGATACAACGTATTCGGCAAATTCGACTAGATTAGTGACACAGGGCCCCTGTGCAGCAACTACTGCTAGCAACTCCAATGTCACTTCAATCTCACAGCCGACGGTGAAATCCATGATATCGTAGCAGAGCGAAGTGGGTTCGTATGTGTTGTGGAAAGTAGAATAAAACGCCAGACGAAAGCGAATGTAGGATAGGCTGGTTAGAAAATTTGAGCAATGCCTTTTAGAAGTTACGCAGTTGAAATTGGGCTGTATGAAAGAAGGTAGATTGAAGTCACATTATATTCTTGCTAGAAATGCAAAGCACATAACAATTCATCGACTACTTAGGGGCCTTGCTATCCTTGCTGTCAATTTTGAAACAGCTATTATGTATTATATGTGACTATAGGTACTAAGCAAGAGCACTGCTAGCATGTTACAAGAGGTACTCCAGATAGACTTGTGCTGTCACATTGGTTTCAAAAGGGCTGGTTCTCTAAAGCTCCTACAACAATTGGTATTTCTTCTGTTTCACGTATCATGGCTTTTCTTCGACTTTTATTGGAACGAGAGATATTGTACTTACATTGGACTAATTGAATTGAACTAATAGATCCAGACTAACAGTGAGCCTAAATCCTGAGTATACTCTCAATTGGACAATGGATTTGTTTCAACGAACATGGATAGGGGTGGTTGGTAGATGATAGCTGTGGGAATATCTGATGAAACCAGTCACAATAGTAATGATATTGATCTTCAAGTTATGAAAAGAACATACGAGGTTGCAAGATTACAAGACAAGCCAAAGTCCAGATAATATGGGAAAGCTCTACAAGGTCGAGGAGATTGGCTGATATGTTAGCTGATTGCATTTACTTAACCAAAATGGCTACAGATACTACGCCATCCTCTATTGTCGTCTTCTGATATGGTTTTATGTGAAGTGCCATGTTTCAATTGAATAACATTCTAATTCGGACACAGAAAGGCTGGTGATATACAAACATGGAAGTGTCAGCTACTCGATGATAGTCCTTTAGTCCGTTGTGAGCGAAAGATGGTAGCACAAAAACTCGAATACTTTACCCGGTGCTTGTAATGTACACCGAGTATATTGAGGCATTGATCCATGCATGTAAATATAAACAAAATAGGAACTAGAAGACACTAGATATAGCCAGACCTGACTTCTAAAGATACCTAGCATTCCCAGCAGCTGGGATGTGCTGATTGCATCTGATATCAGCGAGGGATGCATAAAAATAAAACAATATCATTTTCAAAAAAAAGTGAGTCGATCCCTATTTCGAAGGCTCGTTTGATAATCAGGTCTTTTGGCGACGTTCTGAATTCTGGAGGCGTACTTTGAGCAGTTGGTATTCCTAAGAATGTGATGACTCTTGAGAAAGTTGTAATGGGCTCTGCAGAAGATGCGAGTGGTGGTTCTAAGCTCATTTCCACTGCGATCCAGAAGGGCCATGAGCAACAGAGAAAAGCTCAGACGGAAACCCATGGAGATCTGCCTGCAGTACCAGGGATGGGCCGAAAGGATTCGCCTATCTCGAAGTGCCTCCCCCCCTCTCCATTATAAGTGGAGAAAGACTAGTGGAAATAGTAAAAAGATAACATTGATGATATTCTTGAAATTATGAATGTTGCAAATTGTATTCAAAATGAAAAACAAAAGCTGCATGAGAAAGTCTGCAAATTAGCTGACGCTTGGCTAATTGCATTCACTAATCTTTTTACTATATACTACCTACATAGATCAAGGTGAGTGTTTTGTACTATGATTGACAGACCCCGGTGGCTTTTTTGGTTATCTAAAACAATATCATTGTATTTCTTTTTCACGTTGTCATTATATTAGTACTATCTTATTGTTATTTCCCCCCAAAAATTATCTGATTATTACTTTCTTTCCAGATATTCCCGAACCGTTATAGGTTGTCTGTTAGCTAAGTAAGAAGGTGCAGGGAACTATACAAGCTTTTGACACCCAAGCACTGGGCACAGTAGGTATAACACGTAAAAATCAATATATAAACAAGGCACGGAACGTGGAACACGCTGACTAAGTCTATGTGAGGTCATAGTACCTTACTAGTGCCCCTGGTTTGCCCCTTCAGACCATCAACGTCGCCTCTCACCTCGGTATCGCCATGCGCCCCCCGCTCCGAATCGCTGTCTTGGAATGTGACACCTCGGCTGGGAGTCTCGATGCCAAGTATAACGGCTACTATGGAGTTTTCTCGCTTCTGCTGCGCGAGAGCGCAGAGGCCCTGAGACAGCCGGACAGGCTGGACCCCATGTCCGGATTCGATATCTCGCGATGGGACGTGGTGACTAAACAGGAGTATCCTAACCTGGAGGATGTAGATGCCCTTCTTCTGACTGGATCAAGTAAGTTCATTAGCCCTTCCGTGCGGATTGGTCAATAGTCAGGATGTAGTTCGTGTAGTTGGCAGTCAAGATGCCGTGTGGCAAATCTAGCTCGTTGTACTAAGTCTATGTTTCCAGAACACAACTCCTACGATAATCATCCCTGGATTGTCAAGCTTGTGGAATACACGAGAAAGGCGATTGAGCATGACCGTGTGAAGATACTGGGTATCTGCTTCGGACACCAGATCATCGCGCGAGCGTCTGGGATGAAGGTCGGCAAAAGTGGCGTGGGATGGGAGATCGCAGTGTGTGACATGGATTTGAGTGATCAAGGCAAGGAAATATTCGGCAAGGAGAAACTGGTAAGTCCCTTTATTTCACGTCTTGGTCAAATTGCTTGATCCCACTATGGAGTCATATTGTCGATCCAGTGCTGATACCGTGTTCCATATGCAGCGCATCCAGCAGATGCATCAGGACATCGTCTTCGACTGCCCACCAAATGCCGTCTGCCTCGGATCCTCGCCACAATGCGCGGTCCAAGGGATGTACCTGCCCGGCCATTACATTACGGTGCAAGGACATCCCGAGTTCAGAGAAGACATTGTGACGGAGGTTGTCAGCCTCAGAATGGCAAGCAGTGTCTTCTCGAAGGAGGTAGGCGAAGATGCTCTCAACAGGGCCGTGAAGGAACACGATGGCGTCGCAATCATGGCCACCTTCTTGGATTTTCTGCTGGACGGCAGTAAATAGATTGCTTGACATAGATTGTGTTTGGGCGGATTTTGATACCTTTGATAGAAGCAACCCTTTGAAGATATATAGACAGCGATCCTCCAATCAACCGCATTTGCACCAATATCGCCCCTCCTATGGATCATAACCATAAAATGCAGAATTATGTAGACAGCGTACATCAACCACGACAAAAAACATGTCTTTCACGCTTAAAAAAGAGAGACCAAAACCCAAAATACAGCACCAATTACCCAGAAACCGCTCAACCCGACTGCGACGGATCCTCACGTTCCAAAAAGCTCGGATCCAGATCCACCTTGCGCTCAAACTTCGTCCACCAATCCCGGAAGCTCTTCAACGGCACGACATCCTCGCCCTTATCCGCAGTCGCAAAGCTCGCCAGGAAGTTAAACGCATTGCCGATAATCCGCTGCGCCAGTACCTTGGTCGTCATCTGCTGCTGTGGTCTCGTCTGCCGTACGAGCTGCTTCGACGCCCCCGCGCTAGCCTTCTCCGCCTCCAGCGCAGCCAGCTGCGGCGCGACGTTCTGCACAGGCTCGAGGGAGATACCCAGCGTCACCATGGCGTCGGGCGGGCCGCCCGCGGGGTTCTCGTCCTGCATCGCATCGTCGTCCTGGCCTTCGGCATTGGTGGGGCGCGGCGGGCGCACGCTGAATATCGACGAGGGCTTCTCGTTCGCTAATGCGCCGATGAAGCGGAATTCGGGCCCCGTGGGCGGTGCGTTCGCGTCTGGCAGCTGAATGTACACTGCTGCTGCGGTGTCTGGGGGGAGGACTGTTCCGGGGAGGAGGAAGACGACGAGCTCGGTGAAGGCTGGGTATAGGGGGAATGTGAAGGCGAATTTGGTTGCTTGGCCGTTGGGTTGCCCGTCTACTGCGACGATGTCTGTTAGACAGGGTCGGTCTGGGACGATGACGGAGAACATGATCTGCGGAGGGGTAGTAGGGGTCTCGATGGCGATGGGGGAGGTAGGCGAGGGGTGAGAGGTGAATTGGTTGGTTTATAGGTTATAAGAGGGTCAGAAAGCTATTAGCGACGATCAGTATACATTGTTTCGAGAGAGCTACAGAGCTCTTTCTAGAACTGACTGGTTTTTTTTCCGCGATGAAAGGTGCACGGTGACGAAATAGACCGGGTGGATGCCTTATCGATAAGGCTGGCATCCGCTGCCCCTCTTCGGGCATCTTGATTGAGCTCCGGGCATGTTTATCGTGGTCCGCATTTGGTTATCATATTGCAAGCATTGACTTGTGTGTGCTTGTTATTCCCTCGACGCCATGGCTAAATCGAACCTCGATCTCGTTAAAGAATGCGACAGGTGCTTCTCATCTTTCTATAGTAGCGATACAAGCTTCTGACCTTCTTTAGATTCCCGTATTACGCGGATGACCCCGCGTTTTACACGGCTCATATGCGCAACTACCATGCCTTTAGAGTCAACGGATGTGATGCCAACCTAGGATACATTCTGAACTCCGTCATAAAGAAGCTTGAGCTACCTGCGAACTCCTGGGCGATCGACTCCGCCAACCAGACCGTCACGCTGATGACCACCCCCGATGCGACACCGGAGCAACGCAGTGAACTGGTAGCGGAGACGCTCACACACGCCGTGAAGCGGGATACGTTCGAGATCCTGCGAGGATGGCGCAATGAGAAATACCCCATCTACGCCCCAGGCGGCAAGTTCCTCCTGGAGATGGAACGCTCCGCAACGCCGCTTTTTGGCACCGTGTCTTACGGCGTCCATTCCACGTGCTACGTTAACGACGACAACGGCATGCGGATCTGGGTCCCGAGGCGGTCGAAGACGAAGCAGACGTATCCTGGGATGCTCGACAATTCGGTGGCGGGCGGGATGAGCACGAATGAACATCCGGGTGAATGCCTTGTCCGCGAGGCCATGGAGGAGGCATCGCTTCCTGAAGATGTCGTGCGGAAGAACTCCACGGCTGCTGGGTGTGTTACGTATTTCTATGTGCGGAGTGCTCAAGCAGGCGGTGAAACCGACCTGTTGCAGCCCGAGGTGGAATACGTCTACGATATCAAACTGAGCGCCGACGTTGTTCCCAAGCCTTGCGATTCCGAGGTGGAGCAGTTTTACCTGATGACTGTTGACGAAGTCAAAGCGGCGTTGGCAAATGGAGAGTTCAAGCCTAACTGTTCTGTTGTTCTGATCGACTTTTTCCTCCGACACGGTATCCTGACTCCCGAGAACGAGCCCAACTTTCTGGACATCATCTCCAGGATACACCGCCGTTTGGAATTCCCCACTGCCTCTCATTTTGAGGGTTAGAATGCATCCGATAGCAAGAAATAGACGTATCTTCAAAGTCTGCAGAATACAAGATCTGATATATTCTATCTGATACCCAGTCACCAAATCTAACGCCAACGCTGCAATATAAATATCCCCAGAAATGCAAATCGACTTTTCTTTCTTTGGCGATCCGTGAAGCCAACTCAAACCAAACCAGGCGACCTATCCATATCGCGACACAAGAAAAAAGTGAACGGTTGGAATTGTAATTATTTCTTCAGGAGCAGATACACGTAGTCGATCCTCAAAGGCGCCAGCTTCTTATAGGGGCCCTCGAGGTAGAGCAACAGACCACCGAAGGAGATGAAAACCGCCCTGTACAAAACCTCAATTAATACTGGCCCCAACGAGCGTGGAAAAGGGTGAAACACTTACATGTTCCCTTCACCTGCACCCTCTTCAAATCGGTAGACCTTGCCGTGGCAAACATAGTCATAGTCGTTGGCCAAAGTCTGCTCGCCCATTCCGACCTCCCTCCAGCCCTTGGAGCCCGTGTCTTCCTTGCCATCCAAAGACAGTGTCGACGCAAGCGCCATCGAGACCGACTCGCCAATCGCACACGGATACAGCTCCGTGTTGACATCGAGGGTGAAGGACGTCAAGGCATCGGAGGAGGTGCACGTCAGGCGGGAGACACGGTCATATTTCTGCGCGTTGATCCCGGTGATCGTGAAGGTGTCTTCGAAGAGGAGCGGATCCGACATGTTCGCGGCGGTGCGATCGACGCAGTATTGATGTTCAGTTTCTGAAGATTGGCGCTTTGAGAAATGCGCTGGATAATTGCGCGACAAGAGGCGGTTGTGTCGCGGTGAGAATGGCGGAAATTGGAGAAATCGGGAAGGTCGTCTGGGCTGCCCGCAACTTTTTTTGCTAGACTTTTAGTGCACCGCCGCTTTTAGGCCCGAGCTCCGCCTTCACCTTACTGCCCCGCAGCAAATCACATCCGGCCGCGCAGAAAAAAAGAAAGATTCTATGATCGCAGTCACAACGAACACTACCAGATACTTATTTTATGCACAATGTCCTTTCGCAAAAGGAACATAGGGCTGTCGGCCGGTGCCGATCGAGCTCCAGCTCCTAATGCTGCTACAGCCCAGCCGGAACAAGCTTCGACGACGCCAGAATCGAACCCAGGAATCCGACCCTCGCCCGATGATGGACGGCCGACTACTTCGACGGGGTCGCTCTCGTTGGACAATCTACTAGCGGGACATGGGGGTCTTCCAATCGGGAAGATGCTTCTGATTGAGGAGAATGGAACTACGGATTTTGCGGGCGCGTTACTTCGGTACTATGCTGCTGAAGGTGTGGTGCAGGATCAGAAAATCCATGTCATTGGCATGCCCGAACAATGGGGGAGAAGTCTTCCGGGCTTGTTAGGGCCGGCTGATGCGGGGGATGACAAAAAGTCCGATAGGCGCAAAGGAGATCGCATGAAGATTGCCTGGCGATATGAGCGCCTGGGCGAGTTTGGTGCTGGTGTCGCAGGATCCCGAGGTTGGTCTTCCCCGATGAAACGGAACGCGCACGTTCGAGGAACCCAAACACTGACAAGAGTAGCTCCAGCGGCAACCTCAGGAGATCAAACGATGACGGACGGGGTCCAGCCGGCATTTTGCCATTCCTTCGACCTTACAAAGCGCCTCACGCATCCCTCGATCGCAAACATCAATTATATCCCCCTCGTTCCATCCAACGAACCGCTCTTCGCCTCCATACACAAAAAGCTGCAGCAAGCCATCTCCCAAAGCCCCCCCAATATAGCGCACCGCGTTATCATTCCTTCTCTTCTGAATCCCACGTTATACCCCCCGGAAACCAGCCAGCCCGATATCCTCCTCCCGTTTCTCCATTCCTTGAAAGCCCTCTTGAGTGCGCCTACCACCCGAATCACAGCAATGGTCACGATCCCGTTGTCTCTCTTTAGCCGATCATCCGGACTCGTGCGGTGGATGGAGATAATAAGTGATGGGGTCATTGAGCTCTGTCCGTTCCCCCATTCCGCCGACGCTCTTGGGGCATCCGGTGCTGCGACGTCCCACGAAGAGCCTCCACAGGGGATGTTGAAAACCCATCGACTACCAGTATTGCACGAACGAGGCGGTGGCAGCGACCAGAACATCGGACAAGACTGGGCCTTCACTCTCAGTCGGAGGAAATTCGAGATCAAGCCGTTCAGTTTACCACCCGCGGAAGGAGATAAAGAAGCTCAGGACGGGGCCGCTTCCGGCGGGATGCCTAAAAAGGCCGATCTGGAGTTCTGATCGAACGATGTATCATCACAGAGAGTAATAGGCGGAAACACACGCTGGTGGATCATTCCTCGGGATCCGATTCTGCCAGCATGTTCTCTAGTTCGATCTGTTCGGACATGGCGGGCCCGGAATTGGCCATTGTTCGAAGATAGTTCCTCCCATAGGCATCGGTACTAGGTCTCAATGAGAATCCTGGTAGTCGGGAGCGAAGACGACCTCCTAAACAAGACGAAGCAACAAGCCACCCTGCGAGTTGTCAGCGAACCTATGCGGTTACGAACCACGACACGAGCCATGTATATAGTACAATACTCACCTACGAACAATAGGAGAGGTGCGAAGAAAACCAGGAACATCAATAGAAAGAAGTTCATGGTGATATTGTGTACTTGATGCTGGAATGAGTCCACGGTATGAGACAAGGTCAGAGTCCAATCAACATAACAATGGACTCGCTCTATGCGGAACTCACCGCCTTCCATTTGCCTGATATATGGTCACATGATACGATACTGAGCGAGGTGCATTTTGCTCGATTATAGAGGTTCCTGAACACTATACTCCTGGGATTACAAAATTGAACCACTCGATATCTACACTTTCTGGTACATATGTTGGTGCATAGGATTCCACGATCCTCGCTATATAGCTTGCATTTGCAGCCTTAATCCCAAGGCTGCATACACAATAGGCGAACTTTCAGCGGGCCCGCAGTGGGCACGCCCGAAGAGGATTAGCCCCAACCTCCCAGCACCATAAAAGAGCTTTCTCCCACCAAAATTTATTTCCTTCACTTCAACACCCACATCTTGGATACCGACAAGTAGCTCTGACTTTGCAGGTCAAATATCAGGGTTTTCTCCACTCGACTATGACCTTTAACATTTGATGGTAAGTCTTTATCTTTTCTACCAAGATATGCGCGTTACGTCCTTTACATGATTATTCAAATACTATAATCTGTCAATCCCCTGAAGCTCAATTATTATATCTCACAATACGAGCACATGTGACTGAGAAATGTATCTTTTAAATGATTCGGACTATCATCTTGCTATTTGATTTCTGCTTGGACCATGTCTAGATTATATGCTAATGACGGTGTCTTCGCAACAGTGGTCACATTTCTAAGAATCTTTTACTTTCCGTTAGACAAAATGAATACCGAACCTAATCTCCCTATTCCAATCTCCCATATTGCGGGTAGTTACTTTATCTTCTCCATCGATGCAGTCACGTATTTACGACGGGAGCATCACATCTGTGGTGTCTTAAGCGGCACCCTGCCGCAAATCCCCCAGCAGAATGTCTTCCTGGGTTTGCCGCTGGAGCTGATGGCGGAAGAGGCCCGTCTTCTGGTGGAGAAAGGTGTAGCATGCATCGTAGATGAGGTAAACGTCCAAACCGATGGGATGAAGGCCCTCATGGAGGCAGACCGGCAGAGATATCTCCAGGAGCTGCAGGCCCAGGGCACCCAGGTCATGCAGATGCAGGCTAGCCGCAAAGAACAGCAGAGGGAAGAGGCGCTCAAGAAGATAGAAGAGAAGAAGGCTGCAAATGCTGCGAAGAAGAAGGCCTCCCAGCCACCTCCACCACAGCAACCTGCAACGGACAGTACCACCAGAGACGATGAGTCCGTCGTCGGCCTCTTTGCAGGCGACCAGAAACAGCAACAGCAGCAAGGGTCTGATCAATCATCTTCACGGCGTCCCTCAACCGCTACTGCCTCGCATGCCATGGGAATCACACCCGCTACATCGCACTCGCTCCTTCCTCTCGAGCCATCGGCAAAGCACAAGCTACCTCTTCCCAACGTGCCTTCCTCCTATCCTCTGTTCGCCCATCTCCACTCAGAAGGCTATTTCCTTTCCCCGGGCCTCCGGTTCGGATGTCAGTACCTCGCGTACCCGGGTGATCCGCTGCGTTTCCACTCGCACTTCTTGGTTGTGTCGACGGGGTGGCACGAAGAGCTAGATCTGATGGAGATCATCGCCGGCGGACGGCTGGGTACGGGCGTGAAAAAGGGTTTCCTCATTGGAGGAGCGGACGAGACTGCCTCAGACCATGAGTCGCGAGAAGCAGATGTTAGAACGTTCAGCATCGAATGGGCCGGAATGTGAGGTGGACTTTTCGATCCTGGCATATCCATTGTGCCAGCCGTCTCTACGCTGCGCCGCGATGGCGGAGAATCCCCATGATTCATAGGAACCGGTGGTGAAGACTCAAGACTCGATCTCGTCGATACTTTGCCCAACTCCGGATTATACTCGGGGTGGATTACTGGAGTACATACTTGGGCCATACTGTGCCTCGACGCCAGGTTTCTCTTGCAGAGCCGCGATGCATCTTCGCCGTGAAACAGCAGAAAGCATCATATGTTTCTACAGCTCTATTCTGCTTTACTTGTTGGCTAGCTGCGCCAGTGTGACTGTCGAGGTCTCGGCTCTTATATGGGCTCACAAAAGAAACTGAGTTTGCCGTGAAACGCGCCTTCGCTTGAGAAGGCATCGGAATATACTCTTGCGATAGCAAACAGAAATTACCGACTTGTTTGTTGATTTGAATCCATACCAAAGTTTCCATCATAATTCAATACTTTATAGATATTTCAATGATGGCACTATGATAAGATTTGACAAGGCATAATAATGGTAGACCCAATCAGCATGGATTGGTCATATACTGATCGCAGGATCGCTGAGTAGCACTCTGGCTCTCAACAATGGTTGCAGCCAAGTCACGAGGGTGGAGTGCCTGAACAGGGATCATGTGCTACACCAGACCCGCCAGACAACAGGTAGTACACTGCGGGCATATATAGCTTGTATTTCTTGGGTATAAATTCGCGAGATGAGACAACTAGCCTTGGTGAAATCCAAGGTTCGCCCACAATACTGCCTTTCCTGTTTATCCGCACTGCGTCGACCAAAGGGCGTGGCAGTGCCACCAATCTCGTTATCTATAAGAAACCATCCTCCTCATGTCATGACCAGCATCAATCTGAGAAGTCCCTGTTTCTCGATAGACTCTTTAAGACGATAATTAGAGTTTGGGGGCTCCAACTAAAGGTAATCCACATTCCTCCATTTGAACTTTTTGTTGGCTCTGTCGACCGGCCGGTTCTCAAACTGGCTTCCGTGGAGCTCGAAGACCAGATTCTTGCCGGCGCTTGTATCACCGCTACCTTCCGTAGTGTCATTTTGTGGCTCCGGTAAGGGAACGCAAAACCGAAAGACAGTATGCTCTTTCGGCACAGCTAAAACAGAGACCACGTTAGAAATACTCATCCCATCTCCACCGTCCAGAAATACTCACTTTTCACCTCATCCTTCTCCGTAACAAGCACAAACGTAAACATCGTATCCCGAACCACAATCCCCTTTGTACTCACCCGGCCCGCGCACCGACTACGCACAACCTCCACCTCAGCGCCATGAAAATCCGCAGACACCAGCTTACTCCCATGCGACAGCGGAGTCACCGCAAACTGGCCCGGCCGATCCTTCATATCGAGTATGTCATGCATATACTCCACCCACAGCTTATGCAGCTCTTTGAAGACCGCATATTTGCACTCCTCCTTGGGCAGGTCGTACAGGCCGGAGGCGCGTTTCTGGCGCGCGGAGAGCGGCTTGGGCTTCTGTTTGCGGAGGAAGTATTCCTTTTTGCGGAGACGGTGTAGACGTCGGCGGTTGCGGTTGTCGGCGGGGGTGGGAGATGTTGGGCGGAGGTAGAGGGGTTTGTGTTTTATGCGCTCTGTGAAGAGTTGCTCGGCTGTGTCGGGGGCGTGCGCGCGGGAGAGCAGCTCCTGGCCGATGTGGGGTTTTGGGGTTGTTGTCATGGTAGTTGGATGGTATTGAGGGAGGTGGGCTTGTTTGGTTATAAGGTGATGTGGGTGGTCATTGTCTTTGTCTGGTGGAATGGGTTGTGGTTGTCGTCGTAGAAGTGGGTGTCACTTTGAAGGGGAGAAAATGTTGGTTTCTTATCGGGACTGATAAGGTTTCATCGCACCATTCCGCTTTGGGATGCCGCATCTATGGCCTAGGATAGATAGCATCATGGATCCACCTGGTTTGTTGGCCTATGTTTGCAGTCTACCTTATCATGGATATGTGGCATGCTATGCTCGCTGCAGTATTTGATATAGTTTAGCTCCAGTGATAAGTTAGTCTTGAAGGCTCTAAAAGGGTCCGTCGTATAGTAACTAAAAACAACAGGTGAATACAATGTCCTACATCCTGGCAACCGGACATCATATAAGGAATTTATGACTTACAGATAGAGTCAGAAGGACTATATTATGAATCTACCATACTCTCGCTGGTACAACAATGCATAAGATGTGAGCAACTCGGGCTTTGTCGAGTTAGCTTTATCCTCGGCTGTGACTTTCCCCGCACGCGACGCAACTTTATATCTAGAGGCCTGTACCGGCAATTCATAAGATAGAACTACACCTCCTAGATTAGGACACTACTTGATCTCATTGCATCGGCTTCGGTCTTGCAGAATCCAATATGGAGCCTGATCATGACAACTTCAACGGGCTGCCCCCCTTCCCCTCAGACGTTCCAACCGCGCCACTTCTTCGCCTGTCTCTCTCAAAGCTCCTAACCCAAGATGAAACAGAACTCAAACGACTGATAGAGACGTCTGAAGAAATTGGTTTCTTTTACTTAGACTTGCAAGAGCCGAGCTGTGGGAATGGACTCCTGAATGATGCGGATAGGCTGTTTCAGACTGGCAAGGATCTGTTCTCTCTTGATCTCGAGGAGAAACAGAAGTACGATTTCAGCAGTCAGAATTCCTATTTTGGCTATAAGTCACAAGGCGCAGCGGTTGTTGACCACCAGGGAAATTTGGACCGTAATGAGTTCTACAATGTACTAATGTCTATCGAGTGGCATGAAAACAACACTAACAACTCGCAGGTCTCGAAGGACGACATCCTAGGAATGATGGATCCGCTTCCTGCTCCAGACGTTCTGCTCCAGAAGCGTGACTTGCTGGAGTCATTCATGAGATCCTCCCACTCGATAGTCACTCTCATTCTTAACCTCCTCAACACCGATTTGGACCTTCCAGACTCCACGCTGGCGAACCTACACCATTTGACCGCACCTAGTGGTGACCAAGTCCGATTTATCAAGGCACCACCTCAACCTGTAGATGACCGTCGCACAGCCATGGGTGAACACACTGATTTTGGTAGCGTGACTATTCTCTTCAACCGTATTGGAGGGCTTCAAGTTCTCCCACCGGGCGAAGACGCAGAATGGGCGTATGTGCGGCCGTTGCCCGGACACGCCATCGTCAACTTGGGGGATGCGATGGTGAAGTTCACGAATGGACTCTTACGCTCGAATATTCACCGTGTGGTATCTCCACCGGGAGACCAAGCCGATTCGACGCGCTATAGCCTTGTCTATTTCGCCAGGCCGGAAGATAGCGTGATGTTGAGGAGGTTGGAGGGAAGTAGTAGGATTCCTGTTCTGCAAGATGGGGATGTTGAAGAACATGTCAACAGTAAGGATTGGATTATTCGGAGGGCTCTGGGCCGCAGGGGAGATGTTAAAGATATTGACTTTGAAAAGTCTGCTGGAACTGAGATGTTGAGTCGGAGGATCAAGGTTTAGGATGTTTTTGTCCAGTATCTACGAAATCTTAGGTTTCAAATTGAATGACGTCTTGACAACTGAAGGAAATAAAATTGATATATAGTGACTGTATATCAAAGTATAGCTTTGGCGAGGTAAGCCTGCTCTTGTGTTTTTCTGGTTGTTCTGGCGACAGCCTGCTGTTGACAAGTGCCCTAATCAGTGAAGTGACAGCGAAACCCACAACATCCCCAAGCAAGCATTTATCTCTGGTGTACCTTGCATTAAATATCTCTCATCTGCACGTCATCCCATACTCCCAAGGCTTCCACGTTTTCTTCCTGAAACATCTTCTGTTCTGGCTTCATCCATACCTTCATCTGTCCTCACACCCTCTCACCCCCTCTAACCCCTTTACCTCGTCACCAGTCACTAGTTGTCTCATGAACTTCATTCATTGTTTCCTAGTATTCACAGCGCCCCTTCAATACTATTAATAGCTTACTGTCACTTCTCTTCACCTCCGTGATAGCAAACTCGTTCCTCATAAACACCGCAGTTCATCATCCATACAGTGAGTGAAAGCTGATAATCAACAGCCTAGAACTCTGAAAGCAGATTCTCATTGGTCTCATAGTATCTTGATATAGCTACCTAGTTCAAGATCTAGGGTTCTGTCAAAGCAACCTCAAGTATTCATCACTATAATGGCGGTGATAATATTGGTGCACTGTACCAAGCCCGATCAGCAGGATGGATTATGTCAAGCATGGACGACCTACAAAAGCCATCTATCTCTTTCTTCTTCTGTCCTCTCATCTTGCTTCATCTTGCCTTCTCGGGAAAAATCTAGCTTGCAGTTGTACACTGATCATCCGGTCCATACATGGTGCTACCCTACCAACCATGGGCAACACAGCTTCGGAAGAGATGCCTCCCGGCTTCAAAGATAGAGAGAACACCCCATCACCGCAAGATGAACCTCCCAGCTTCCATACAGGATCAGATACTCTCTCTTCCCCTATAAGCAGTCCGTTGAGGACCCCCAGGTCTTCTTTCTCATCCGACCTAATTTCACCATGCTGGTCACATAGATCGCAAGGTACGGTTTACTTCTCGAGGTAATCAGTGTGGTTTGAACATAGCTAAAAAGCACACTAGGTCTAAACTCGTTCGAACTACGCGATAAGAGCTCCTCCCCTTCCTCCACCGAGCCGAGCACACGGTATCACAAAAACGCGGATACCTTTACATATCATTCGGATGTGTTGGTCGAAATCGAACATCGGCGAGATTGCTTTTTCGAGCAAATTTGGGGTTTGGTTCAACCGCTTTTGGGCCAGAGGGTTGGCGATGTGGAAGACATCGTCAGCCCTAAAATGCCACAATATCAGACGCTAGAGGCGCAGCCTGAAGGGTAGAGTCTATAAATACACGTTTGCCATTGATGATTTGCTAATCTATGGGCTAGACTGAGGGGACAGTTGAAGCCGTATCAACTGGACGGACTAGAGTTCTTGCTCTATTTAAGAAATAACGGTATCGGGGGTATCCTCGGCGATGAGATGGGCCTAGGCAAAACAGTACAGACGCTGGCTCTATTTCAACACGTTAAAGAGAACGAAGACCTCAGTTGCGCCAATACCGCACCGTTCCTGGTGGTTTGTCCACTTAGCGTCGTGGAGACCTGGGTTTCCGAAATCGCCAAATGGACTCCTGGGCTGAGAGCTATAGTCTACCACGGAGCCCCCGGGGCCAAGGCCGGAACCAGAAGACAAATCTCAAAACAAAAGCAAAAGAAGGAAGGCCATCCACGAGCGCCCGACATTGACGTCGTTATTACTACCTATGACACTTTGATCTCAGACACACTTTGGTTTCGCAGGGTGTGTGTTTGGAGATACGTAGTTCTTGATGAGGGCCATCGTATCAAAAACGACCAGTCAAAAAGAACGCAAGCACTGGACAAGATTAGGGCCGAGTTCAAACTAGTGCTCTCTGGGTACGTCGAGCTGTCTATGCTATTTTACAAGTACATACGCTGACAATATCATTCGCAAAGCACGCCCATCCAGAACGACCTGAAGGAGTTGTGGTCAATTTTCCGCTGGCTTTACCCCGGAGTTTTCTCCTCCGAAACAGCCAGACTCTTTGAGGAATCATTCGTCTTAAACGAAGGCCAGATTGAAACTGACTTCCTTGACCACGTTAAGGCATTCTTGAAGCTTGTCATGCTTCGTCGAATGAAAAACTCTCGCGAGGTAGGGCTTGACATCCCTCCATTGAGGGAAACAATTCTGTCCGTGCCACTCTCTCGGATGCAATATTCGTGGTACATGGGAATCCTTACGGGTGTCGACCAACCTGTAAACGAAGACGGCGTCAGCACTCCATCAGGGGATCACAGCGCCGAGCCAGATTGGCAAAAAGCATTATGGAACAGCGATGACACCTGGGCCCAGTCGACGATCGAATTACAACCCGTCAAAGAGAAGAAGAGGTACAAAATCCAGGCAAACACCCTGATGGAACTTCGAAAGGTATGTTATGCCCTTGTGCTTTTCTGCTCGCAAAATATTAACGTCACATACGGCAGTGCTCAATCCACCCCTACATGTTACGCGCGGCTATCCCCGACGAGGATCCATCCGGGAAGGACTTGGTAGCTGTATCAGGAAAGTTCGTTGTCCTGGAAAAGCTTGTCCGCAATTACCTGTCCGAGGGAAGAAAGATGATCATTTTCTCAAATTTTGACCAAGCTTTGAACCTTTGCGAGGACATGCTGGAAGTTCTCAAAAGCCAGACGACTTTTGAATATGCAAGGCTCGACGGCTCAACATCTAGCGCTCGGCGAAGGCTTTCAGTTCACTTGTTCAACAATGACGCAAGATATATGGTCTTCTTGCTTGCGATTAGGGCAGGTGGCGAAGGACTCAATCTCGTTAGCTCCTCAGTCGTTGTGTTCCTCGACGAAGATTGGAACCCGCAGGTGATGAAACAAGCTGAAGCAAGAGTCCACCGGATTGGTCAGACTCGGGCAGTTGACGTTTTCAGACTCCATTCGAAAGGCACCGTGGAAGAGCAGATGAGTCGCCGTTTGCTGAAGAAGGCATACCTTGCCGACAGAGTCGTTGAGGATCGGGCGCTAGATGTTCCCGGGTCGCCAACTGAGACCTCAGTTCCATTAGTCTGTGACGAACTCGAATTATCAGAACTTACCGTCACCGATGTCAGCGCATGTGACTGGTATTCAGTACTGCAGAAATGCACAGCTAGCCATACGAGAGGACTAGATAACCCAAAGAGGCCGACTTCCTCTGTTGACGAGAAAGAGTGGTTGAAGAGAGCCGAAGGCGTAAAAACGAACATCTTCAACGGTGCAGTCATCGACACCACGTCGACATCCTGGGCGTGGGATCATCACTCATCCATGACTCTCAGTCGGGCCGATCGCCGCATCGGCAAGCATAGAATTACATGCGTCGACGACTGGGAAGTTCTAACGGAAAACATCGTCAATGACGGGCGGACAGTCGCTAGCAAAGAGACTCAGGGAAAGCATAAAAGAACCATATCTAACGAGCTTGTAAGTACAGCATCGAAGATACGATAACCCAAGGCTAATAATTTCTAGACATGCTTTCTTTGCAAGAAGTTCGATCCTTGTCCCTGCAATATATGTCCCCGGGCATTCCACGAGCAATGCCTCGACCTGGTGAATGCAGTTTACCATATCGACAAGAAGATAATAATCTGCCCTGCCCATTATTGCACTAAGTGCCTCCGCTCATCATCTAATTGCGGTGGCTTACTTTATTGCTGCCAGTCGTGTGAATGCTCATATTGCGAAAAGTGTCTCGACTGGAACAGCACTGACTTCGTTGGGACCAATCTGGCATACCAAGCCGTTGGCCATCTCCCGGGAAACATGTTCTACGTTCACTGCGTGAAGTGTGCCAAAAAGAGGAACGGACTATTTGAGGTTGACCGCACTTTGATTAAACGGCCCAGACTGTCCTGACACACTCCCCATGCATGTCAAGGCTTGTTTACGGATGGTAGGGCTGGATGGACAGCGTTTTCGCGGTCAACTATTCGCTTGAAGGAGACCCCTGGTGCATCAGATTGAGAGATGGGATTGGGTCGCTTGACATACAGTTTCCCTTTGGCCCGGTGTTTTTGCTTGGAGATTGCATCAGTCTTGCAAGGACAATGGTTAAAGTTGTTTTTTTCACGCCGAATGGTTGTGTCGAGAACCTTAGTCTTTTTTCAAATTAGGTTGCAACTCACATGAGTGCCTCTTCGCATATTCTGTGGTTCATATAGTCTACGTACTGCATTCCCTAAATGCGCTAATAAAATTCTTGTAAGTCGAAAGTACAAGTCCAGTGAGATTATCAAACTTCATCAAGTACCAACCACGGCTTGTTGATAGACAAACATCCTATTGACACAAAACCAGCTCTCATAACTTACACAGTTTACCATCTGGACGCAGGATAGACAGATAAGATCTCTGAATTTCGCTAACAGTCCGACACCTGAAACAACAATCAACTAGGCACCAGCAACGCAAAGAGAAGGAGAAGAATACTAACCCAGCCAACGCCATCGTTATTCTCAATTCCTGGCGTAGAATCTCAATTGCTAGCTCTACGCCCTGTTGCCCATTATACTTCTCTCCGTTAGCACAGCGCACATACACAGGAGACATATCACTCACAGCAAGGCCCCAAATGGGAATCCTTCCAACAAAGCAATAGTCTGCCCCCAAAGCCAACGCTTTGAAGATATCTGAGCCGCGCCGAATTCCACCGTCAATGGCGAGAGAAATACGTCCGCGGGCAAGTGGAGCACATTCTCTCAAGGTGTCCAGCGTCGCGGGGATACCGTCTAGTTGGCGGCCACCGTGGTTGGATATGACGACGCCATCGATGCCGTATTGGATGGCTAGTTCTATGTCTTCCGGACAGCTAACTATAATTGCACGGCTTAACATCTAGTATGGCTTGTTTGTCTTGTCTCGGTGGTTATGGGCTTACTGACTTCCTTTCAACCAAATCTGGAGGGAGGTGTGTTCTCGAAGCCATGGGATGGTACTCTCCCAGTCGAGACTAGGATCTAGGATGATCAGTGGATGACTCGGCTGGCGTGGTATGGAGAACTACTCGCCATATTCGGTTCTGTTCGACGTGTCTCCGCCATTGCTGAGAATATTCGGCCACTCCATATCTTCTGGGAGCTGGTAATTGTTGCGATACTCGTTCAGACGCTTGCCGAGAACAGGGACATCGACGGACAGAAACAGAGCTTTATATCCTGCTTCTATTAAGTTGAGGAAAACCTTTAGTACAGGGACTCGAATTTAGAAGAAACGCAAGGCATACTCTCCGCGCGCTTGAGCAGTTGAAGCGTAAGTGACCGGTCCCGCAGCACACACATCTGCATCGCATACGGATTTCCTAGGCCTTGAACTGCCACGTCTTCTAGCGAGTAGTTCGAATAGGACGAGAGACCCATACAGATTCCGTGTTTGGCGGCCGCGCGGGAAGTCGCGAGCTCGCCGTCTGGATGGGCGAGTTTCTGAGATGCCGCGGGACTAAATCCGAAGGGGAGTGCGACCTTTTCTTGGGATTATTACTAGATTTTTGAACCAAGAAATACGGGAATAGTTGCAAACCTTGGTATCTAGTATTGTGGTGCTTGTGTCGATCTGATTGACGTTTTTCAGAACCCGGGGGCGGATCTTGTAGCGGTCGAAAGCGGCTTCGTTCTCGCGCAGGCTGGTCAAGTACACATTGTTAGAGGAAAACATGGCGGGCTGTTGGAAGTGGGGCTACTGTACGTTATGAGGTCCATAGAGCCTTCGTTATAGTAGTCTATTCTTGTCAGCAGTGTAGTGGCAATGCATTGCGTAGGAGTCTAACCTCGCACCATCTTGGGGAGCTGGCTGCTTCCCAGCGCCTTGAGGTCGGCGATACATGACACGTCCTTGTGGAGCGACTCGCTACGATGGGCCATTGCAAAGAAAAGAATTTGCTAGACGGGGATGGGAACTTGAGCCTGAGGAGAGAAATGGTATTGTGGCAAGGGAATACTTTATACTCGTCGCATATTAGGCAATGCGCCGGATAGGCGTCTTAAACCAACCGTTTGAACCATTATATGGTATTAGCCAGCAATTTCACAAGTGCTCGCAAACCAATGATAAATTAAACTGTATGAATGACCATCTATCGATCCTTTGAATTTCAATACCCCAGGAAACAGTTCCCTATCGTGTTATCTCCGCTTCTCCTCCAGGACCGGAACGACTTGCCTTGTCTGTGGAGTTGAGCAACATCTTAAATACCAACACCACATGCCCCTCAATGAGGGGTAATTAACATAGACACATATTCTTTTCCGTCAGGGTATAACACTCAAACTCTGACAAGCACAATGACGCGAATCTTTCTGTGCGTTTTCTCTACCTTGTAGTCAGCAACAATGTACTAATCCTTCTTCACCATTGCAGCACAGGTGCCTCGGGCTACATCGGCGGAGATATTCTGCATCTCATAAAGTCAACACACCCTGAGTATGCTTGCAGCACCTTGGTTCGTGACAGCGCGAAAGCAGCTGCCATATCGAAGGAATACCCCAATGTGCGTGTCGTCCTAGGTGATCTTGACTCGGCAGCCCTGCTAGAGCAAGAAGCTAGTCAAGCGGACGTGGTTATCCGTAAGTAAACCAGATACCCAGAAACGATACTTGCTAAACTGGTCCAGATGCTGCCAGCTCTAATCATATCAAAAGCGTCGAGGCCATCGCTCGTGGAAAACCAGGTATGTATGTTCCAAGCTATCACTGATTCAAATACGAAGTGCTGACAGCACCAGCCTACTGGATTCAGGTATCGGGCGCAAGCATTCTCTCCATCTCCGACATTGTCAACGGTACATATGGGGAAGGGACCGACAAGACTTTCAGCGATCTCGATGGCGCTGACGAGGTCCGCGAGATTATCCATCAGAACTCCGCCACACGAGCCGTCGACGACTTTATCCTCAACCTCACCAGCCCCAAAACAGCACTGGTGTTCCCTCCAATAATATACGGCCAAGGCAGGGGTCCCACCAAGCAGCGAAGCGTGCAGATTCCCGAACTCGCGCGAGTTGCAGCCCAGACACGCGCATCAGTGCGGGTTGGACGTGGAGAGGCTACGTGGAGTAACGTGCACATATCTGATATCAGTGGCATGTTTTTGAAGCTGGTTGAGCGAGCGGCTGCTTGTGATGGAGATGGCGATTTGTGGAATAAGAATGGATTATACTTTCCCGGTATTGACGCGATGGTTAGTGGGTATCTTCATACTTTTTATGGGCATGACATGACTTACTTTTGCAGAATTTCAAAGACCTTGCACAGATCATTGCAGACGAGGCATACAAGCTTGCATTGACTGATTCTGCAACGGTCAAGGAGATCAGTCATGAAGAGGCGGATGCCCTGTCAGGACATGCGGGGATTCTCTGGGGTACCAACGCCGTGCAGAACTCCCAACGGGCTCGTTTGTTGCTGGGTTGGACCCCAAGTGGAAGATCATTACAAGAAGAGATTCCTGTCACTCTTCGCCTGGAGGCGATTCGACTAGGGCTGCTCTGAATACGGTAGCCAATGTGTAGCATCTCTTGCAGCACATGTATAGTTTGAAGCCCAAGAACTGACGTCGATAATCTTGCAACACAATAGAGAACATAACTACTGGACTACAAGAAATAGACCAACGCTTTTGGACTTCGTATGTAACCTTGTGTCGCAATATAAAATAGTGCATAAAAGGGTACCCACAGAGCTTAGAAGATTCTAGATATCTTTTGTAGCCAAGTGGTATCCTTTGCGACACCTTGTATCCTTCATTGAGTCAGGGGCTCGATTCTGATGCGCTAAGTCCCCGTTGCGATGAATTGAGGTAATCGCGGCCTCCAAAATAATCTTTATTTACTTTTTAGCGTGTGATTTGTTCTTGAATAATTCATTTTTGGATTGATAAAGCCTTAGAGACATACAGTTGTAGAGAAACGTCCGACTATATCGTCAATCTCGCAAGACCAGATTAGGGCTAATTCCCAACCAGGAAGGAGATCCCGATCAGCTGACATCAACAGCGGGACCAACTACCCATCTCAGCGGGGTTGTCCAATCTCCTACCATCTCATTCCTCTTTCAATCAATTGATTTCATATGATCAATACGCATTGGATTAATATAACATCATATTCCAGGCATCTTTCCATTCGATTACTCTGTCCATCGTGCCCCGCACCAATGACCCGATGACGCACTCCTCATCAGGGTCGCTGCGCCCGCGTCGATCTCACGCCTTGGGAGCCTGTTCGACGTGTAGACGTCGCCACGTGAGATGTGACCAAAAAAGACCCGCCTGTCGCTCTTGTCGCACCCTGGGCTTGCGCTGTGAAGGCTTTCCGGACAAAGTGCGCTGGATACGCTCCAGCGGCGATGCTGAGGATGGTGCTGAGGATATTCAGCATGGATCTCGTCGGCATCTTTATACCGGTGAATATACGTTCCTGAACTTTTGAATTCAGTACCCGGCCTGATTCTCCTTCTGTCTGTCTCATGTGACAGAGCGTTCTAGGTTGTCGATGAGCAATTCGCTAGGAGCGGATCTGGTATCAGGCTCAATAGATGCCTCCTTGGCCGAAATCGACCTCAGATCACGAGACCCAGCACGATCTTCAAAGAATGAGATCATTGTTGGTCCATTCTCAGTTCTGGATTTTGCTCCATGCCAGCCGTCGGGGGGTTATGTCTCTGCTCAGCCGGCTGCTCAGGAGGTGAATCAGGAATCCCCCGTGGCTCCAATGCCTCTAGCTGCACCCATCCCTTCAGGCAGTACCAGTGTTGAGCACACATCTACGTCCGGCCCCGCACCCTCCATGCTAGAGTCTCTCGAGTTTATGGACGACTTTCTTCGCTGGTCTGATATATTGGGGTTCAGTCCCGACCAACTGGGATCCTCTTTACAGCCTCCGTTCGATGTCGGCCTAAGTGGCTACGGAGATTCATGGGATCTGACTTCGGCAACCATGATTGGGTCTAGCTTGTTGACAATGTCAGATCATATCCAAGACTCTTCCCAGGACCTAATATCAAATCACAATGCTGTGGGTGTGGGATCGGGACAACTGGATATCCTGGCGGATGTACCCTTCTTATTAAAGCATTTTCAGGATATCGTACTCCCAAAGATGGTAGCGATGCCTCTTGGCCAGAAATCTCCATGGAAAACGCTCAACATTCCGGGTGCTATGGCCACTTTCGGCGACTTGACTATCCTCGAGGCACAAGACATAAGCCTTGCCCGTTTGGCAAACCTTTATGCCATTTTGGCATGTTCTGCGACACACCTCACCCAAAGTCCCAGCAGCTGTTTGGAGCGGTCTGTTGACCATTGGCAAAGTGTAGCGAGTCAAGCGTTTGAGGAAGCTAAAGGCCATATGAAGATGTCGCTAAAGAATGAAACCGAAGAACCGAAGAAGGCCAAGTATAAAGATCAGCTAATGGCCCTTTGTGCCCTGATCGAATATGCGGTCAGTGCATCACTTTCCGCATAGCTATCTGTAAAGCGTTGCTGATCTTAACAGGTTATTTCGGGCCAACAAAATTATGCCCGATGTTTCATGGTCGATGCAGAGCGACTTCTGCGCCTTCGGGGCCTGTCAAAACATAGAATTTCTCAGAAAGCCCGACTTCTGCATCATGTCTACACTTGGCTACGGATTGTAGGTGAAAGTACCTATGCATTACACGACTACAGTCCATCCAGCTCTTTCTTAGTGAGCCTCGACTCTAATTTTCGACCTCGTCGTCCCGGTGACAATGCGGCGGCCACAAGCGAGTGGAATACGCGGTTAGACGACTTCCTGCGCCTCGAGTCTCGGAATCCAGACTGCGATCTTAACATTAATGAGCCCAAGGACCGCGAAACTGGTTTTCATGACATCCATTTGCAGGATTCAAGAAGCTTTCCGGAGACCTTGTACAAACAAATCTACGGTATTTCAGAGACATGGTTGAGCTTAGTGTCGCAGACCACAAGGCTCGCAAATGTCATGGAATCTTTCCGTATCGCGCGAAAGTCATACAAGGGAATCAATGTTGAAGCATGGGAGACCCTACATCGACGCAGCGTGCTCTTAGAGAATATGATCAGCTCCTTTAGCCTTGGCCGATCGCGGGATGGGAAAATAGAGGACACCGACACCTCGACGGCAGCACGACATATGCTCCAAGCACTGAGCGCAGCTTTGGTGATTTTCTTCTATCGCCGCATCCGCCAGGCTCATCCTGTGGTACTAGGAGGCGAGGTGGACAAGGTGATATCAGCATTGAACCAATTCAATGCCGCAATGCCGCATGAGAGTCTTACGGGCCCGGGGACTGCCTGGCCGGCGTTCATCGCAGGGTGCGAAGCGATCACGGATACACGGCGTGAAAGAATTATGCAATGGCTTGACGAGGCGGGCTCCAAGTGCGGATTCGCGGCTTTCCAAACGGCCAAGGACATCATGACCGAGCTGTGGCGCAAACAAGATCAACACCTGGCTACTGATCGTGGGGAACCTGTCCCGACGTGGATTGACATCACGAGACAAGCGCAATCGTGGCCCATGCTTTGCTGAAACACGTACCACATATTCCCTTCCATGTCGAACACAGTCTATTTTCAACTTAACCTCCCATCCCTCGCCTCTTTTATTTTTACGCGGTATGAGCTACGGCGTTGAACGACCTCAGAATCAATACTATACTATTTGCTGTTAAGTTTGGTTTCAAAGCGTATCCATTCAGACTCAGGTAGAGATACTGTCTCAAAAAGCAATAATCAAATAGTCTTAACCCCGGCATCTTGTAACAAGCGCTTTAGTTCTACCTGCAAATCCTCACTAAGCAAAGCAAACGGCTTGCGCAAACCCCCAGTCGACTGACCCCTGAGTTCCACACCCGTCTTCACAGCAGCAGCATAGTTATGCGACTCGAGGAACTTGCAAACCGGCCAAGCCTTAGCCCAAAGCTCGCGACCTCTCTTAAGGTCTCCCTTCACGGAAACAGCCTCCCAAAGCTCAACCGCCAACTCAGGAATAATGTTCGCAGCTCCCCAGACACCTCCCCTTGCCCCAGAAGCTAGACCATAAAAAGTTAGGGTGTCCCAGCCATTGAAGGCAGTGATCTTATCCGACAGACCGAACAACAGCTCCGTCAGCGCAGGCGCATTACCCGATGTATCCTTGAGATACTTGACACCCACGTCAGATAGACCAGCAATCTCCGCCGGACTCAGCGCCAGCCCCGTGGCAGATGGGATATTGTAGTAGACGATAGGCAACTTAGACGCGCCGTGAATCTCTGCCATGAGCTCCCTCAACTGCTCCAGGTTGACGGGGTCGTAGAACGGCGGCACGACCATCAGGGCCGCGGCGCCGGCCTGCGCCGCGTGCACGCCTAGTTCGACGGCCTCGGCCGTAGAGGTACTCCCTGTTCCGGCGATGACGGGCACGCGGCCTGCAGCAAACTTTACGCATAGCTTGGTGAGCTGCTTGCGCTCGGGGAGGCTCATCGTTGTGAACTCGCCTGTGCTGCCGCCTGGGACCAGCCCGTGGACACCGCTTTTGATGAGGTGCTCGATGTGTGCTTGGAGACGGCTTGAGTCGATTTGGGTCTTGTCGTCTGTGAAGGGGGTAATTAGGGCTACCATTATGCCGGTGAGGTCTGCCATTTTTTTGGGCTTTGGTGGATGCGGGAGGTAGACTGAGGAATAAGAAAATTCGGATATATAGAAATAGAAAGGCGATATGAAGCAAGACAGCCGAGAGAATATATTCCATCTTATATATAGTCTTTGGTAGGCATACTCCGTCGTTCCACCATGCGGAACTGCTTTCCTCGTGGATGAGTCCACTGTTATCAGTTAGGGTTAGCGGGATGACCTTCCTGGAATGGTGCGCAGACTAAACGCGGGGCAGAGAGTGAGCCCCTCCAGATATATTCGAGACAGTGCAAATAACAATTATAACCAGTGTGACTGTATAGACATTCTAACCCTCGGAAAAGAAACCATGGCCAATCTCTTCGTGGACCTTGTCACCCCCAATGGGCACCGCTATCGGCAGCCCACCGGCCTCTTCATCAACAACGAATTCGTCCCCTCAAGTGGCCAGACTATCACTTCGCTCGACCCTGCGTGAGTAGACCGCCTACTCTTATTATGTCTGCTTGATAGAGCCAGTTCCTAACGTTCTGCAGAACGGACAAACCAATTGCCACCGTCCACGCTGCCAGCGCCGAAGATGTCGACCGCGCCGTCCAGGCAGCCAAGACGGCACTATCTCACCCGTCCTGGAAAAAGCTCCCTTCGACAGACCGCGGCCAAATGATGGCCAAGCTCGCCAATCTAATTGAGGAGAAAAGAGAATTATTCGCCTCAATTGACGCATGGGATAATGGTGCGTACTATCCAACAAATATAATGAAGCGCACTAACTCACAATCATCCAGGAAAACCATACCACGTCGCGCTAGACGAAGACCTTACCGAAGCGATCACCACAATCCGATACTACAGCGGCTGGGCCGACAAAACATATGGCCAAACGATCAGCACGACGCCGGCCAAATTCGCCTACACGCTGCGCCAGCCGGTGGGCGTCGTCGGCCAGATCATCCCCTGGAACTATCCCCTGTCCATGGCGACGTGGAAGCTGGGCCCTGCGCTCGCCTGCGGGAACACGGTCGTCCTGAAGCCCGCGGAGCAGACGCCTCTGAGTGTTCTAGTTCTAGCGGAACTTATCAAGGAGGCGGGATTCCCGCCCGGTGTGGTCAACATCGTTAATGGGTACGGGCGCGAAGCGGGCGCTACGCTCGCGTCGCACGCGCTCGTCGACAAGGTAGCCTTCACTGGGTCGACGATGACAGCACGAGAGATCATGAAGATGGCAGCTGGCACGCTCAAGAACATCACTCTGGAGACAGGCGGGAAGTCGCCGTTGCTGGTGTTTCCGGACGCGGATCTCGAGCAAGCTGTTAAGTGGTCCCATTCAGGCATCATGTCCAACCAGGGCCAGATCTGCACCGCGACGTCGCGCATCTTCGTCCACGAGAGTATCTTCCAGCGCTTCTTGGACTCGTTCATCGAAGCTGTGGAGAGTGCGCCTGTTGGAGATCAGTGGGATGCGTCGACGTTCCAGGGTCCGCAAGTGACGCGGGCGCAGTACGAGCGCATTCTCTCGTATATCCAGATGGCGAAGGATGAGGGCGCTACGTGCGTTACCGGTGGAGAGGCCTATGCTCCTTTGAAGGATGACAACAAGAACGGGTACTACGTGCGTCCGACGGTGTTCGTCAACGTCACGGATGAGATGCGCATTGTCCGCGAGGAGGTCTTCGGTCCCGTGGTTGTTATCTTGCCCTTTGCTACGGAGGAGGAGGCTCTGTCTCGTGCGAATGACACCACGTATGGTTTGGGCGCTGCTGTCTTCACGCGGGACTTGGAGCGCGCGCATCGTGTGGCGGCGGAGATTGAGGCCGGCATGGTGTGGATTAATAGTAGTCAGGATTGTGATCCGCGGGTGCCGTTTGGGGGTGTCAAGCAGAGTGGTATTGGGCGAGAGCTGGGTGAGGCTGGTCTTGAGGCTTATAGTCAGGTCAAGGCGGTTCATGTGAATATGGGTACTAGACTGTGATGGAGTTGAATTGTTCTGTGTATGTTCTAGATAGTATACTATGGATTAGCTTGTCTGAAAGCCTAGATAGAATGATAGTGTTCTTTCGTACCGAGGTCATAGTATATTATATCTGCTAGATGAAAATGAAAATGATATAGTGCGGTGGTTGAACTAGAATCAAGCATTCCCAGCCCATATTAATCTATAAATATTGCTTTAATCTACCAGCATCAGCAGAAACCATATTCACTAGTGATGTAGAATAAACACTGGAGTGACTATTTCTTTACCAAGCACCCTCAGTAAGTACTGGACAGGATAGGACTTAATCAGTGTTTACTTCGACCCTAATTTGACTCGATGTTATCCCCCCCGCCCCCTTTCTTTTTTTTTCTGTAATAGTTGACTGAATATACATTGATAGAGAAACTGGATTTACGTCTAGTATATACATATCGACACGACGGCATGAAATTTTCTACAGACAGCTAATAAATATATGCATAATCATATACATATACATGCCACAACACACTTACCCATCCACGTGTATATCCAACATCTGAATTCTGAATTAAGGCAGGTGGGTCGCAGTACAATATGACCTCGCTGGCAAAGTATGCTTTCTTCTAACTTGTCGTGACGTCCACAGAGTTTGGTTGAGACGGTCGTGGTTTAGACTTAATCCACCGCTTATAACATCTCAGTAACATATAAGTCAAGTTTGAGACACGTAAAAAGGTCATACCAGTACACTCAAAAGACCGTTTAGTATTTACCTTTTCTTTTGTGAAAAGCAAAAAAACATCAGGTAATTTCGTGGGTTTGGTCTACTTAATGCTTGCCTTCTATATCTCTGACTAAGTCTCAGCGCCATCGGGCAGTCAATAGAGAACCCTGCAGCCCCTACCCAAGGTTTGCTCGAACTTTGTCCAGAGAATAGACATGTCACCAAGCAGGACAATAATCCTTCAATACGAACGTGTCGGACGCAAGGAGGCTCTACAATTGTACATCCGTCTTATATTGGACGACTCGGAGATTTTGGCGACGCAACCAGCGGTGTGCGATTCCAATCCCACCACCTGGTTGTATAGCAATGCTCTCAATAGTGGCTTAGCACGATTCGATTACGAATGAAGTAACCTTGATTATAATTTTCTTAGCATCCATGTTGATCTACACTATCCTTGAAATAGGATGGCTCTGTCGCTGTCGGAGCCCACGAGGATGTATATCTACGCCATGTCACTCCTGATAAGTGCTCCGGTTGGACCCCGAGGACGAACATTCTCCACTAGAGATCTCCTCGTTCTGAGCTGTTCTGCCTAATGTATTACCTTAAACTCTCTTTGTTGTCCAGTGTTCCTGGTGTAGCTGAGGTAAAGTCTAGACACATCTCTCGACGTCACTCAAGTCAGACAGACCGTCTGATATAAAGCGTCTGGTATGCAACTCGACTCCTGGAAACTGCTACAGATCCTGATATGAGAAACTGTCTGATCAGTTGTTACCTCACTCGACAGTTGGAAGGATGCAATCTATAACAACCGCTGCAGAGCCTTCCCACTAGCCATAGCCCCTTGCTCTCTCACATCGCATGAGTCCGATCATGACACCTGTTGTGGATAGCGGTCTGTTAGTCCTTGCTTGGTTTGAGAGTTTGGCAGTCAATGTCATGTGTTTCTTTTGATGTGCTCGTTCTGGTACTTGGGACAGAGCTGTCGCCATCCAGAGAGATGTCTTGTCGATTCCCACTACGATCTTTCTTTCGTCTTCCGCTCAACGACCGTGATGACCCTTGATACAGCCATAATAGCAGCAGTGATATACTTATAATGAGCCCAGAAATCGAAAACCGGTCTCGCGACATAGAGGCTGTCAATGGAGAGAAATACCAACCAGGAGACACCGACGTGCTGGACCCAGACGTGCAAGCCGAGTGCCCCATACCCTACCGCGACGACGCCTTCGGAGACGAGCAAGACGCCGAGATCAAATACAAAGTCCTCAAATGGTGGTATGCGCAACTTCGTCACTCCCATTTATCCACGCTGACCCTGGCCCGAACATACACAGGCAGTGTGGCCTGCTAATGGTCGCCATGACCATCTCGCTGGGAATCCTCGCGTTGCCAGCAGCCGTAGCCGGCGTAGGACTCGCCCCAGCCGTTGTCATTCTCATCGGGCTGGGCATCCTATGCTCGTACACCGGGTACGTGATTGGACAATTCAAACTCAGGTACCCTCATATTTCTGGCATGGCGGATGCAGGTGAGGTGCTGATGGGCGGGTTCGGGCGCGAGCTGTTCTTCGGCGCACAGCTGCTTTTCCTCATCTTCATTATGGCCAGTCATATTGTTACGTTCATTGCGGCCATGAATACCATTACCGGCCATGCTACTTGCTCGATTGTTTTCGGGGTTGTGGGGCTCGTGGTGTCTATGCTTCTCTCTTTGCCGCGGACGTTGAAGAATATGTCTTGGCTGTCGATGGCGTGTATGTATCTTTTTAGCGCACCCTGGGGAGTATAGTTTGTACGCTGTCGGCTTATTCTTCTCAGCGTTCACGAGTATCTTCTGCGCGGTCCTCGTGACGATGATTGCGGTTGGTGTGCAGAGGAAGCCCCCGAAGGTTGGTCCCATCGTGGATACGAACCTTGTCACCGGTTTCACGTCAGCGTCGAACGTCGTGTTTGCATTTGGTAAGCTCGCATTGGAGAACAAGGCATAAGAAGGGAAGCGAAGAGACCGAGTCTGACACAGCCCAGCCAGCCACAACGCCTTCTTCAACATCATGGCCGAGCTCAGAGACCCCAAAGACTTCACCAAGTCGCTTGCCCTGACCCAGTCACTCGACATATCGCTCTACCTGATTGCCGCCGTCGTCATATACTGCTACGTCGGGGAAGACGTTCCCTCCCCGGCGCTGGGAGCCGCCGGGCCCGTCGTCTCGAAGGTAGCCTACGGCATCGCCCTGCCGACAGTGAGTTCTCAGCGGGCCTTCTGAATTCGGAACAGAGACCTAACAGTCAAATTTAAACCAGATCATCATCGCGGGCGTCCTCACAGGCCATGTTGCAAGCAAATCTATCTACGTGCGTGTCTTCGCCGGCACAAATCGCATGCAGAAGCGGGATTTCGTCGCCGTCGGCTCGTGGGTGGCGATCGGATTGTTTCTGTGGATTGTCTCGTGGATTATCGCGGAGGCGATTCCGGTGTTCAATAATCTTCTCAGTTTAATGGTTCGTGCATGACTTTTTGACGCCTTTCGAGCAACGCGTACTGACTTCCTGGCAGACGGCGCTATTCGCCAGTTGGTTCTGTCTAGGGATTCCGGGAATTTTCTGGCTGTATATGAACTATCACCGGTGGTTTTCTTCCTTCAGCAAGATCGCCCTGACCTTCGTCAATGTTTTCTGTCTCTGTTGTGGGATCATCTTGGTTTGTCCACCTAGTCTTATCTATGTGCGCGTTGTGACTAACGAGGTTCAGTGCGGCTTAGGGCTGTATACCTCCGGCAAGGCTATACACGACAATCCTCAAAGCCAGAGCTTTTCGTGCGGAAGTACTGGATAGCATCAAATCTAGTATTGATTTGTTCTATACATTTTTTGATTCTCTGTAACTAGCATGTTGATTTGGTGGGTGTTGATATGAATACTTTGGGGCTCTTTGTTGAAAAATGCTAAGTACTCGGCCGTTTACTCCTGCAGTAGCAAAGCACGAGCTATTAGTAGGTGATGGCGACTACCATAGCACCCTTCTCTTGCAGCAAACTGATGGGGCACAACAACTCCCGATGACAAGGTCTGTTTTTATAGACAGGGTAATACTCCAATATCCATAGTTATTACCTAGTGACAAGTTTTATCCAAAATAAGACCATCCAGACTTATGCTCAAGCATAAAGACAGCCTCACTCCTGGGAAATAAAGCTCAGACAATAGACAATGACAACCCACCCCACTCATGAGATACCTTAAACTCCTGATTTATGTCCCATATTTAGAAAAAGCATAAACATAAAAATAAAAACAAAAAGCTTCGCGCCATCGACAAGTCGAGCCCAGATATGACATGCCAGACGCGTATTTCCCGAGACCCCGGCATCTAGAGAGAATACACATACCGATCTGACGGAAGAAGACATAAATATCCCCAACCGAGGCATGTTCTGTCATTTCAATAAGCTCTCCTATCTAAGGGGATAGAAGAGAGTGGAAAGGAAGGGGGAATCCCGAAATATCCCACTATCAGACCCACCCTCTACTACTAACCCACCGAGTCCTTCCTCTTGGGGTAGGTCCGATCTCTAAAATTGTTCCGTCGGAGGATCGACAATGGTGATACATTTCTTTTGGTCGGTCCTGTCTATTGAATGTTTGGGGGTTAGCTAGAGTCCGAGCTGGTCCTGCAGGTGCTGCTCGCTTTGTTACGGATGATTCTCCCGGGTGCCCCTGATTCGAAGGTGTTGATCTTGGAATGGTGCCTGATATTCGTTAAGCCTCGTGGGAGGCCTGGCTTGGTCGCCGAAGCTAAGACAGTGAGATGTAGTGGGTTGTACGGGGTCTAGTCGATCGACGTCGGTTTTATTTTTTCTTCTTCTATTTTTCTTTTGATTTATTCTCCATTAGTTGGTTTAGTCTAGTTCAGTCTTCAAGGTGATTTCACAAGACAGTATGCGGAACCCCGATATCAGATTCCCGACACGATCCAAGAACCCCGAGTATAGTATCGTCTGTAGAAAAGACGCCTCGTTCAGTACTAAGGATCGGCTTAGAGGCTGACGATTGAACGGAATGATAATAATAGCTTAGCTACTCACTAAGTACCGAATCGGCATTTGGTCGGGGTTTGTGTCTGATATCCCAACACAGTGTACTCATCTATTCCAAGCAAGAATTAGGGCGTCAGCTCTCGATGATTGAACCCATGTGTATCTAGATTGGACAAATCCAATCATAAACTATTTCAACAGTGCTTCTTAGGATTTGGTCATTTGCTTCTATCTTGTATTTGCCAAATCCACTGTGTTTTAAGATATTCGGTGACATATCAGTAGAGTGAACTTCAAACTATATTCAGACAATGTATATACAGCACTCCTTCCCATCGACTTACGAAACCACCACAAAAACTTCCTATCTACTCCGTACTGAGTAGTATACATAATATACAATATACTCCGTACATATTACATCAATCTACATATCAAGCCTAACTGTAAATCCCTACCAAGACAAGTCCCTACCAAGATCCCGACGTCCATCCACACAATCACCGATCGAAGGGCTCAGCCGCACGGATGTTCTTGATATATCCACGCTAGGGGTTTGCTGCTCAACCGGTGCATACTCCCTATACTTGATTTGATTTGTACTCGACGAAGATCAGTCTAGACTACCCGTACATTAGTGGATAAGCACTCCGTACCAATCCCTAGATGAAGCACCATTGACAGGTGTCATATAGTGCCTGGGCGTCGTGGGTGATGTAATTAGAATAGGGATAGAACATGTCAGGGGAAAGCTTTTTCCTATTCCATTGTATTCTCTATTATCCCCGAGATGACACGAATATTCTCCGTGTTATCCATTCACTATATCCCGTCCATTGGAAGTATCAAGAAGGAATACAATACACAAGTCTCACCTATCCATCCTACCCGACCTAACCAGCCAGCCAGCCAGCCAGCAATCTATCCCAAACATCGCCTATACCTACCCACCCATCTTACCATATGTAGCCACTGACCACCGAGTCGGTAGACAGGTAAACAAACAAACAAAAACCCACCCTCCCACCGTTCCGTTCCCACCATAATAACAACCCAAACCCAACACCACGGAACCCGCCCCGTAATCCAACCCAACCCAGCCACTAGGTACCTACACCCACCCCACTAGCGCAGCACTAAACCACCCACTACTCCAATAAGCGCGTAGAACGGAAGCCGATGGTCTGACTCGGCTAGCTGAATCAAGGCCAGCACATCCCATCCGCGCCCCACTTGGGGCCATCCACTGCGTTGATTCCTACGGGCCGGGCTGGTCGGGTTGCTGGCCGGCGGGATTTGAACGCGCGGGTCGGTCTTTGATGGGTGTTGTGGGTGGGGTTTTTGGGGAGTGTTTGTTCCCCGAGGGTGGTGACGGGGGGGTATTTTTGATCCTTTGGGATGGGTTTGGGGTTAGAGGTAGCTGTTAGATAGTAGGGGGGATGGACTGAGGAGAGGGAGGAGGAGGAGCAGGATGAGTGTATTATACTGAGTTATGAATGGATGAGTCTTTACCAGTAGGTATTAGGTATATACGGTACCCTAAGTATTACATTGAATTCATTAAGGTAGGATATCAGTGGATTCCGATCGATGTTCTTTCTTCTATATTATTCTTTCCATAAATTGATTATATCAATTGAGTTAAGCTAGAAAATTCCTGCACATATTATACTTCCGAACTTCCATCCATAAATCGATAGAGTTCAACTGAAAGAAAGCAATCAGATACTATAAATATCAATCTACGCCAGTATCAAGTATTACCTAGATGTTTGCTTGAGCAATCTTCCTCCAGAACGCAAATAAAATACCATCATGGTCTGTTTGACTCAAAGTAAAAAGTCAGACCCAGACAAACTCATGACTCGTAAGTCCGATCCTACCTTGTCTATACTCTGTATATTATAGTGTCTCGTTTGATCTATTCAGATATACCTACCACCTATCTAGACACCTACTGTCGCTTCCCAGTAGTCCGTGGATTATGTAGGTAGGTAACACAATCCAACGTCCGTCTTCGTCCTAACAATATAAAATGATAAAAATACCAATATAGAAAAAATAAAGAATAAAAGGAAAAGTAGGAAAAGTAAACATAGTTCAATCCCACCCACGGATCAAAAAAACCCAACCAGCCAGCCAGCCAGCCAACCAGCCCCACCGCGCCCTCCCTCCCTCCCTCCCGTCCAGCATCCACTCCCCGATGAATCCACTCGTTCCGAGATACGTACATACATACATACATACAGACCTTACTCTTTTCCTCGCTTGTTACCTTGCTTGGGTCGATCCGACCAGGTAGGAACTTAGCTTGGTTTAGCTGGCTAGCTGGCTGCTTACTTCCTTACCTGTCAGTTCCAGACAGCTGGGTGGGTGGGTGTGTGCGTGTCTACCACGCTTACGCGCGTGGTTGGGTATAATTTTACGGATGTGGTACCGGTGCGACGCTTGGGGAGAACGTTACATGTGTACGTACATATTATACTGCAGGTGGTTGTTTTGGGAGAGGTGGTAGTAGCCGGCTAGTTTTACGATTTGCATTGAACTGGTTGAATGGTTGGTTCGCTTGACTGGGTCAACTGAACAACATGGGTGGTGACATTGTGTAGTGGTGTGTAAAATGGTTTGATGAATAATAAAAGCTAATCCAGAGACGGATGATGGCCTTCTGCCCGTAGGCCCTGGGCAGTGTCTCTTCGCTGCGCTTGGAAGAAGTAGAGTATAATGTCAAGGGGAATCGTTATCGTAAGGAGTGGACGCAAAGTTGGTTTTGCTGCCGAATGACCGGATAAACTGAGTGAGGTGAAGACCGCGTACGCGGATAGATGGTTGAATGTCTCTGATGCTTATTCGCCCGGTTTCAGGTCCAGTTTGACCTTGGCCAGTCGTTCCTCCACTTGCTTTACGATCGCGGGGTCGGGCTCGGGTCGCTGCTTCTTGGGCCTGTAATTTATTAGCCTGCTGGTTCAATTGGGTTATGGAATGGGGGATGGGAGGCGTACGGGTCGCGGAGAGTCTGCGGTCCCTTCTCCTGGCCGCAGTTCGAGCACAGTTTCTCGCCCGATCGGTAGACGGTCGAGCACTGGTGGCAGGTGTAGCGGACGCGCTGGCGTGGCTTTCTCCACGCACGCGGGGGCTGCTCGCGGGGGGGTTCGGCATCGCCCGGGTATCCATCGGGATATTTGTGCAGTTTGGGCCTGCCAGTCACAACAATCAGTACAACTCAGATATATACTCAAAGAAAGAGGAACATACGGGTCGCGAGGACACTTCTTGCACCGAACGTGACTGCAGCTGGCGCATTCATTGGTGCCCGAAGCGAAGACAACGCAGCAGCGGTGGCAAGTCCGGCGAACCCTCTGCACGATCGGGCGGCGCACCAGGTCCTGGCCGCCGGTGCGAGAAGGCAGCGTCAGTTCGGGTTCCTTGCGCTTAGTGGCAGCCATGGCCGGGTTCGCTTTGCGGGCGAGGATGGCCTTGAGGGCGGCCTCGGTGTTCTGCTGGCCGTGATCGTGGGACTTGGCGGCGGGATGGCGGGGGCACTTCTTGCAGCGGACATGCTGGCAGTTGACGCAGAGCTTGTCGGGGCCGAAGGTGGTCTGGCAGCGGTGGCAGGTGCGGCGCACTCTCATGCGGATCGGCTTGGTCACGCGTTGGACGGTCACGTCGTTGGGGGACTTCCACTCGCCCGGGTCGAGAGTCATGCCGTATTTGGCGAAGAGGGCGCGAGCCTTCTCCTCCTGCACAACGCTCCAGTGGGACAGCATGGCGGGCTGTGGCGGCGCGGGCTTGAAGGCGGGTTCCTTGGTCGCGACCGGCTTAGTCTTGGATTTAGGTCTGCACACTGGTCAGTTCACTTTCTACACTCTCGAGCAAACCAAGTGAAGACGTACGCCGCGGTCGGGGTGGTTTCCTGGGTGGGAGATCTTTCGGCGGTGGATCCAGCGACAGACTTGGAGGTGGAGGTCCTCTTCAAGGCGGTGCTCATGCGCTTGATATACTTGCCCAGGCCTTCCTGCTTACCCTTGCCAGGGCGGGTGGGATCGGTCGGGCTCGACATGTTGCTTCGGGTGGTCGAGTGGCGCTGGTGTCCAACAAATGATGCTGCTTGAGATGAACCGGTTGCAATTGGGTGAACACGATTCGGGGGTGGTCGATTGCCCGATTGGACGATAAATAGATGGCGATACAGATTTCAATCCCACAATCCAATCGAATGTTTCATGGGCGCCTTCCAGCGATAGTGGTGATATACTTGGCAAGGAATGCCAGCAGTTCGATCGATCCCGGTACGAGGGATATTGGGCGGATTAGCCGAGTGGAAAATTGGCCGAATGAAACTAATGCACGAGAGGGAGGGCGAGATGGGAGAAATAAATGAAGCAGAAGATGCAGTGGCAAAAGCTGTCTCGAGCAGGGGAGTTAGAGCCGGTTAAGTCAGCCTGCAGTGAAATTGGACTGTGACAGGTTGGTGACACGGGGGGACCAAATTCCAGAGGTTTGGGAGGACCCGAGGAGACGGTGTGAGGGAGAAGGATAATATTAAGTAGTAGGTATGGGTATGATCCCAGACGCCGTTTGCTGTATGGTATTATACGTACCTGATACGCGTATCCTGCGGTACGCAATACACTCAAATCAAACCGTACAAATCCTTCAGACCGAACAGAATCGATCGAGGGTGAGAAGAAGAAAAAAAGAAAAGAAATCAAACAGTTCAGAGCGCCACAGCGCGAGTCGGACGCTAAATAAGACGATTCGGGGGAGGAGCCGGGCGAGCGAGAGGGGGTGGTGGGTAAGGTGAGTGGGAAGAAGGGAGAGTGGTTGGCTGGTGGTTTGATGTACAATGCAAGTTATCAGCGTCAGTTGGAACCTTTAGACCTTTCGCAAGTGCGTGTGGCACATGGTTTTGGTAGGGTGACCGGGGTGACAGGGGGGATTATGTATGACGAGGTGTATATACAGGGGATAATCTTGCTTATCTTATTTGATTTTATGTTTTGACACTATTATCGTATTATCTTATTTTATTTTCTATCTATTTGGGTATCTATTTTTCTTTACTCCGTACTTCCCTACATATCTAATCATCTCTCGACGGGTAGAATGGAATATGGGGTGATTCAATATTTAGGGGAAGGGGGAAGATCAGGGATTTCCTTGGGACGTTTTGCTTTTTCACACCTGTTTGCCCGTACCGACTAACATAATATCGACCACATAGTACAGAATCCGACAGAAATTACCAGACAATACAAGCTCATACCGCCCATACCAAGGGGAAAACCCACCCAAGTCAGGTTAGTTACGATCCGTGCGAGCCCCGACCCGGGCTCCACCGGGGCAGTCCCGTGGTTGGTGCAAATGGGGCGCGGATAACCTTTTGTCGGGGGGTGGAGCACACCTTACCCACTCAGGCAGTAGTCATTCCTTCCGGTCGCTTAAACCTGAAGTTATGAACTCTTCGAATCCCGTGGTGGAAACACAAACCCCGAAATGTTGTCCGTCATTCGGGACTTATGATGGTTTTTATGCATGGTGTCCCAATACCCTGGTTTGCATAAGTATGATGCGACCGGGGACGTTGATGATCCATGATCAGGCCATCAATGAACTGGTAGCCACATGGAGGAATATGATAGATAGATTATACCTGATAGTAATCTTACGTCTTTCTCTCTTTATTTCTCTTTATGTATTCATCTGTCTATTGATTAGGGCTCTTCCTATTGACAACGCCGACAGGATTGGCCCCAGCCCGTGACGTAGAATAGCAAATCCCAAGAGCATTGCGGCACAGCTTCTCTAGTGGACTCCAAACCCCGAGATGACCAGACTCCGGGCGCGTCTGGTTCCATACATAGTAGGAGATTATCATACATGGTACTTTATACTCTAGGAGACATGTTATTTTAAGAATCTATTGGTATGATTGATTCTTCATATACTATCCATATTCTTATTTTGATTCTTATTTCTTCATTGTCCTTGTTGTAACAATTACAATCATTGTTCATATAATCATAATCATAGTTCACCCTTAATACTGTCACAAATTACAAAACACCAAAGTCTCCGTAGTCCCATACTCCTTTATTATCTTGATCATCTATCTTTAATCATATAAATATAGCTTACCCTCAGATAAGTATACCCCAGAAGTATACATAGATAATCAACTCCTACCTCCATTCGGCAGGAACCTAACCATCTACCTACCGACTAGCCACCTGCCAGAAAATCCCACGGAACAATAGCTGCCTATATAGTTTCCCCGAATCCAATAGACCAGGAATAGTCCTGGATCGGCCGGGCCTCGGCAGGAGTTCGTCCTTCCTCCTTTCCACTTCCCACTAAACTAGCCATGACAGGAGCTAGCCCATCAGTGGCCCAGGCAGATTGACAGAATGATGGACGGGCTGATCAAGTGAAACTAACCCAACTAGCCTTTCGCGCTGGTCAGTACTGCCCTACCTCAGTAACTAAGTGGTAAGTACCTACGAGGTCGTTGGTAGATCGATCGGTGACCCGGGAACCCCCTACGGGACTTGAAGGTGAGCGCATGGCGTCGCATGGCTTGTTCTTTCAATTCTTTTAATTCTTTTATTATTCAGTTATGAGCCTCTCTTACTCAATACGGAGTAGGAGCAGGATTCGCAGGCCCAATCTCCAGACTCGTGGCTTATCGGCGATATTCCCCACTCTACTGACAAGCTTCAAAAATAAAATGATTAAAATAAGATATAGTCTTATTACCCCCCCCTGTCAATACTCCGTAGCCAGCAATGAGGGTCAGGATGCCGCAGTAATCCCTGACGAGATCGCTGTGGACCATCGGCGCTGTATGCTGTATAAGGCAGTAGCCTTTATTTAAATAGATATCTACCTGGTCTCCCTCCACCACACCACACCACACTACCCATGCAACAATCCCCATTGAAATCCACCACCACAACCACTACAACACGATGAAACCATCCATACCCGATCGTCTTCCTTCGTGAGTCGTGACAGCGGGAGACCCATGCGCCGCGGACGCGCCCATCACCCAAACGAAACACTTAGCACACACCCATTCGCTAAGCCAAGGTAATGCTCATCTATTGCAGTGCATGATGCGCAACACACACGGTCTAGTTAGCACAAGAGGCCAAAGCCAAGCCAAGCCATCACCATCGTCATCGCCATCGGCTAGTTAAAGAACGGGGGAAAACATTCCATGCAGAACCCGAACGGCCCGCTCGCGGATGGTGGTGGTGCGATTAGCGAAATGAAGATTTTACCTTTCCCTCAGTATGCTACTCCAGAGATGGAAGTAGCAATATTTTGGGTAGTCGACCACCCCAGTCGAACACGCGCTGTGTGGTTCGTCAGGAGAGTTAGTTAGAGGGGGGAAACCCGGCTGTGCCACGACGCCCGAGTTAGTGCAAGTTGGGGGTGCAAGCGCTCCCCCCCCCAACCTTCTCCCCTCCCCATCGGAGAAAATCTGCCTACCGGATTGCGACGGTGGTTGTTCCGCTGATTGAGGCGTTTTTGTTTTCCCCGTTGTGAATTGTATCATGCGTGTGGACGGTCTGGGGAATACAGGGTTACTTGCGATGGGGGTGAGGATTGGATGGGGGGATTGGAGTGGTACGAAGTATGGCTGTGGTGGTATCTACGATGGTGTTTCGGGACCATGTGTTCTGGACTGGCTATGGGTAATACTATGGAGAGATCAGTTGAACGATGAAGAGATCCGACCGAGAGTCTCAAAGTCTCAAAGTCAAAGTCAGTCTCAGACAAAACCCCCCAAACACCTATCCACGATTTGGTCCGTGCCGAACTCCCGCACAACTCATTGGCTTGACATCGACGGCAGGATTACGGGGCCTGCGAGAATCCCAATGAATGGTAAGATTAGCCGCTGCTGGGTCCTTACTCCTACTCCTGTAGTGTAGTGGTCGGATGTCAGGACGGATAGTGGTCCAGCTCATGCATGATCCGTTTCTGTTCACAATACTTTACACCATAAATGTATTTACTTTTAGCCCGGCTGTGACTAGCTCGTTTCCAATTTCCGTGGGCATGAACTCACCGATCTGCGGGTCTGCGGTGGATCATATCGGAAGCGCTTCCCTCCAATGAGTTGATTGCTGTCCGCTAAGTGTCACGCAGTTGAAGGAAGTCTCCTACCTAACCGGGAACCCGAGCCACATCTTTTTGCTCCACTGTAGTGCGGTGGGGGAGGACAACGGAGCCGTATAACGGTTCCGGGGAGGGGATGGCAGATGCAACGTACGGACTGCGGATACATTGAGGATCAATAGCATGATGTGGTTGCTGTCTTTTATTGGTTTGCGGTGGAGAGTGGAATGCTTGCTGCCCCTCTTCCCCCTTGGGATTTATGGAGGACTAGGTGCAGGACGGGGAGGAAAGCCTTGCGGAGCCTTCGTGGGACCTGATCAGCCTCTATCCTTTTTGTAACGTGTTGCCCCGTTCTCCTTGAGGTTTACCCGTCGCTCCGTCCATGATCGCTTCAGGTAGGAAGCTCACTCCTTAGTCCTTATCGATAAGTCGAGACCCCTGAGCACCAAGATGTCTCTGGACTAAGATAGGACATCCAAAGCTGGGTATTCTGACAGATATCCTAACCAACGTGGGAGTGACTATACATAAAACAGGTTGCGATGTTTCTATCGATCTGGGTCCACTGTCAAAAACCGGCCAAATACACAACGCCGCCCCTTATAAAACGCATCCATTAACTATGATGTGACCTGCTCTCAATCCGCGCCCTGCAACTTCGACTCTATCGAAGTGATATCGTCCTCCTCGTGGACCTCGATCACGCGGTTGACCTCCGCCGTGGAGCGCATCAGCTCGACCGCGCCCGCATACGTCATGCGCGAGGTGGGGTTGCAGTTTTCGGGGAGCCAGTAGAGGAGGACATACGGGACAGTCAAGCGGCCGGATCCCTAGTCACCAAGAAATGAGCAAATGACGGACAACAATGTGTTGGATGGGGAGAAAATGGAGGGACGTACCAAAGTCAACGGGTAGCTCAACAGGATGAACCGCGGCGACGATTCGGGCAGTTCGTCGGCCAAGTCCTCCATCTTGCTGTAGACCTGTTCATCTTCCGGGCGGATCTCGTGGTTCTTGGAGTCGATGATGTCTGTCGGATCGGTCGTCAATTCTTGGACTTGGACTGCTCTGTTCGGCTGCACGCCATTGGATGGACATGATGGACATTGTCACGCGCGACACGGAACTCGGGCTGGGATCAAAGGGACGGACGGAGCGTACATATGAGGGCTTGCGCATCCTTGGCTCGCGAGGTCCCCAGGCGAAACTTGCGAAGCTTTTCTCTGGTCTCCGGGGAGAAGGAGTATAATCGCGACTCGGACTGTGGTGGGAGAGATGGTCATTAGCAAACCCCCGTCTTCCGCATGCGGTGCGGGGCACGTCCGCTCACCATGGCGCTGTGTGGAAAGTTCGCAGTATCTATAATCGGGCGGTATACTGTGCAACAAGCCAATATAGATGAAACCAATAAAGATCGATAAAGAGAGCTACTCCTGCGTTGGAAGTGGGGTCGAGTCAAGAAGAAAGATGGCGTGGAGGAGAGAGGAAAAGGTGGGATGGGGAGACAGCTTGACATGCTGGATAATTGATTCCCCACCCGTTGGCGTTCTTCTCCGCCCTCTGGCTTGTCTCATCTTTTCCCCTCTCGTCTTTCTTCAGCAGTTGATAAACAAATCGCTTTCTCTGCCATTCTCGCTAGCTTCCAGTTGGTTTTTCTCTCCTTCTACTTGGAGGCATGTTCGCTCGGCTCGGCCAACTCTCCCGCCATCTTTCTCGTCCGTCTTTATCCCAGATATCGACTTCCCCGGCTTTTCCATCCTCAACGTCCTCTCTGCCCCTGTCCCGCGAGCTCTCCCCGAAAATGACATCATCTGCCCTCACCAACGGCCAAAAGACCATCCACACGGCAGCATGTTTGATCATTGGCGATGAAGTACTCGGTGGGAAGGTAGGCACTCTACACCATTCTCTCGAGTCCATTGGATATTCATCCTAGTGATCCTCCATCTTGCCTGGTGCTAATCATCAGGACAGACAATCGACACAAACTCGGCCTACTTCGCCAAATTCTGCTTCTCGCTAGGAATCCAGCTGAAACGCATCGAGGTCATCGCCGACGATGAAGGGGAAATCAGCGAAGCCGTCCGCCGCATGAGCAACAACTACGACTTCGTCGTCACCAGCGGCGGCATCGGGCCAACGTTCGTCTTCTGCCCTCTAACAAAACAACAATAAAGAACGAAACAAACAAAAAGCTAACCAATCTCGTACAGCCACGACGACATCACCTACGAATCCATCGCCAAAGCCTTCGGCCTCAATCTCCAACTCCACCAAGAAGCCTTCGCCCGCATGAAGAAACTCTCCCGCCCGCACCCCATGCAGCCCCAATTCGACTGGGACACGCCCTCCCCAATGCTAACCGCCAAGCTGCGCATGGTGGAACTTCCCCACGACCCCGCTGTCCCGCTCGCCGCGCAAGCCGTCTTCGTCGCCGACGACATGTGGGTGCCCATCGCCGTCGTCAACGGCAACGTTTACATCCTCCCGGGCGTCCCGCGTCTCTTCGAGCGCCTCCTCGATAACCTCAAGCCGTCGCTGCTGCCGCGGCTGTCGAACCCCGATGGAACTGGCATCTACCGGTATCTGTTCAGCACGCCGCTGCCCGAGAGCGAGGTCGCGCCTTACCTGACGGAGTTGGCGGGGAGGGTTGAGGCGCGCGGCGTCAAGGTCGGGTCTTATCCGCGGTGGGAGAAGAAGCGCAATACGGTTACGCTCGTGGGGACTGATAAGGAGTTCATGGATGGATTGGTTGCGGAGGTGGAGCATAACGTGAAGGGGACGAAGGTGTCGCAGGAGGATGAGCTGGATGTGCCTGAGGATGGGGAGTAAGAGTGATATTTGCTATATACTGGATGATTATGACTTTACCCATAGATCGCAATCTGGCTTGTAGCTGGTTGGTTTGGTTTCTGCTCTTGTTTTTGTTTGTGGTTCTTTTTTTTTGAATGTGGCATTTTCTGTCTGCTTGGTTTTGTTCATCACGTACATAGATGGGTAACTCTTCACCTAAAGCATGTATATACAGTACCTATGATTTGTCTTGCGATCTCAACCATTCAAGCTACACTAACGTACCAACTAAAGTTTACCCAGTCGGTGCTGCTACTACTACTACTATATATACCTATATATATATATCCGACCAAGAAAACAAACCCACAACCTCCAAAACAACCAATCCAAGCACGGCCAATAAACCACCAATATATATTTCCCCAGTATAGAGAAGCAATCCCGCGGCGAGAAGAAGATAACCCCCCCCCCCCCCCCAAAAAAGGGGAAACAAAAGGACCACACATTAAGCAAAGCAAATAACACCCCCCCCCCCCCCCACCACCACAGAACAGCATACTACAGCAGATACTCCAGCAAAGCAAAGCAAAACAACCAAGTGACTCACCCACCAGAACCTCACTCCAGGAAGGACTCCAAACAAGAGAGGAGGAAAGAAAAAAAAAAAAAAAAAAAAAAACACCAGCAACGAGGGCGAGCCTACTAACATGCAGATGCACTCTGCAGCACCTCCTTGCTGAGACCAACCCCCCCCTCACACCCCCTGCTGGGGTAGAGAGGATGAGTAGAATCATTCCATTGTGGTATGCCTGAAGTATGTTTATTTATACCTAGCCTAGGTAGAGTGAGTTGATAGGTAGGTTGGTAAGTAGGTAAGTTGATAGATATATAGTATGTGAATGATGAAAGCAAGACCCCGTTATCGAGATTTTCTCTTCTATAGAAACCACCCTAGGTGTATCTACTTCAAATACCTAGTATGTATTGTAGGTAGGCAGGTAGGCAGGTAGGCAGGTAGGCAGGTAGGCAGGCAGGTAGTAAATGAGCCATTATCGTCGCCCAAGAAACCAACCGCAACAACAGATATGGTAGATGCCTACTTTCATTAAGACGAGCTGGCTCTAATATAAAGTGGATAACAGATGTATGTGTGTATCTTCTTTCCTCAAATTAGTGGATGAGCAATGTCGTATATAATCTCCAATATGTAGGTAGTATGTACGTACTAACATACAAGACAAAATTGCGGCTCTTGGCTCTCGTTCGATGGTCGGCCCTTGCTGCTGGATATTAATGGTTTATTATCTTGCTTTACTATTAAATCCAGTCACTGCCTAATCTTGGTGAGGGACGAAGAGTCGATGTTTTGTCCAGCTATCCACGAGAGATGAAGAATACAACCATAGCAATACATACATAGTTTGCAAAAACTCTATAAACAGGCTCATAGCCTTCCTTATTTCTGCCTATTCTGTCAAATATAACAATAGGGATGATCATGACGAAGTATCTTCCATCCAAAAAAAAGTATAAAATAGATAAAATCAATGATAAAAAAAAACAGGAACAAAGGGGGAATCGAACATTCATGGAGACGGTGATAGCATTAGGGTGAGCAGACTCCATCTGACAGCGAGCGAGCCTTCGTATGGTATAATGTCACAATCCAATCCCGAACCCATCCATCCATCCATCCATCACATCAATCAGTCACACACGCGCGCGCTCGCAATTATTCGGGGGGAGGAGGGGGGGAGGAGAGGAAGTGACATTGTCGCGTCGTCAATTTCTCTTTCTTTAAAAATGTATAATCGCAGGTGTTGTGTGTTTTTCGCTTCCAGTTTCGCGTCTCGTTGAGGGGCGCATTCGTGTTTTCCTGGCAACTTCGATATTTCGATGCTCAGTCCACTTCCATTACATCACGATGCACTTTCCGCAGCAGCCCGCGTGGTCGCCGGGCTCGCTCATGTCCATCTTGCCCTCCGGTGCGCGGGATCCGTACGCGCCGGACCCGGACGGGTACGACGACATTTCCTTGTTGTAGCGGCGGATCTCCCGGACGAGCTCATAGAAGGCGTTTTCGACGTTGATGCGAGACTTGGCGGAGGTTTCGATGAACTTGCAGCCGAACTGGCGGGCCAGTGCTTCACCCTCTGTATGGGAGTTAGGGATCGCGATGAATAGAAGAAAGGCGACAAAGCGAAACAAATAGGACGAACGAATAAAGGCATAAAAAAAATGGAGATAGGGGGAAAAGAAATAAAAAGAATGAAGAGAAAAAGGGACTAACCTTGCTCCGTCACGGCACGTTCCTTCTCCAAATCACACTTGTTAGCGACAACGATGATGGGGAAATAATCCTTGTCCTTCACTCGGAGAATCTGCTGCTGGAAGGTCATGATTTCTTCGAAGGATTGTCGCGAAGTGATCGAGTAGATGAGCAGGAAGCCTTCGCCAGTCCGCATGTACTGTTCACGCATCGCCGAGTATTCCTCCTGTCCAGCGGTATCCAAGACGTCGAGCAAGGCGACTTCATCGTCGACAACGCACTGCTTGCGGTAGGAATCTATATCGAGAGAATCTCATGAGCGACGTGTTCGGGAGGGTTCAACCGGCTGTAGCGCTCACCTTCGATCGTTGGGTCATATTCGTCGACGAAGTGGCTCTGGATCAATTGAATCGTCAAGCACGACTTTCCGACACCACCACCACCGACGACCACCAACTTGTATTCTCGGAGGAACTGTTCGATCGGCAAGAAAGACGCGTTAGTTTTGGATGGAATTGATCACGGGGGAGTGACCGGTGTCCGCTTCTTCGGTTGTTTGGGACGTTGGAAGGGGGAGGGGCGAACGACTCGTGCGACGGGGAGACCTCCAGCGACCGGATACGAGAGACAGAAACAGAGGGGAAGGGGGAGAGGGGGAATGTGGATGAGCAAGGACAGGTGGTGGCTGAAGTTCCGACCGAGGCTTACCTTTGAAGCCATCACGGCGGATCGAGCGCAAAATATGCGTGGGAGGAAAAGAAGGGGGAGCGATGGAAACGGGAGAGGAAGCTATCCCAACAAGAGCCGTGACAGCGGGTCGAAATCGCACGCAGCGGTCGGAGAAACAGTCGCAAAGGATAGGTAGGTAGGTAGGTAGGTAGGTAGGTAGTAGTAGTAGCAGCAAACAACCGTACAAAAATGGAGAGCAGGGACAAGAGTCGGGGCCCAAGTGGTCGGGAGTTTTGCGCAAAAAGAAGAAGCGCCTAAAGGTGGACAGCAACAGCGGGTCCAATTGGAGGACTAGGCCAAGCTTAAAGCAGCAGGACGGGGTGGGATCAGGGGGTTCGTGGAACTTGGGATTTCAATAATATAGTGAGATCGAACAATCAATAATAATAAATAAAGTAATAAAATAATAGAACAGGAGAATAAGATAATAGTGGAATAATGAGAATTGTTTAATTGAGTTATGAATGAGGATCACAGAATGGTTGAGAATACACTACAAATCTCAGGGATCTTTACAAAATGAGGAAGAATCAACCGGATGTCCAAGCAAAGACAGACACCGTGGAGAGAAAGAGGAGAGAGAAAGAGGAGAGAGGAGAGGAGAGAGAAGAGAGAGAGAAAGAGAGAGGAGAGAGAGGGGAAGAGTGAGAGGGGAAGGGGAATCAGGAATGATGATGATTAAGGAGAGGTTAAAGTCACTAGTTATGAGGTGGATCGATCTTATGAAAGATGAATATGAATATGATTATGATTCTCTCGTTCTATTGTCACGTCGATTGTCAGGGTAATTATTGTCTCATTTGTCCATTCAATTTGGTTTCTGCAAGGAGCCATCAAATGTATCCGTATTCTGTAGAGACTTGAGTCAGAGCAGACGATGGTAATAATTAGGGGGATTTGGTTATTTGGATACTGTAACTTAAAGTGGACCCAAGAAAAGGATAGACTGTCTACGCCGTACTGTCTATAATGTCTGACCACACTTCATAGCCTGTACAGTACAACAAATCTTCATCCTCATCCTCATCCTCATCCTCATTGTAATATTCAATAAGGGGTTTACCTGGTCTCCAACTGAACTGGTGTGGCATTAACCCGAACCCCACACTATCCATCCACCATCTTAGGGTTTCCGTGATTCTTTAGTCGTCCTTGTCAGATAGAACGAATCACTGCGATTGAGAGTAACACCCACACCCACTTGTTGAAGCCAGAGCAAGTCTAACAGGGGGGAAGACCACGGTACTCCGTACACACCCCTCTTGAGGCACCACTCCGGTGGAGGTAAACAACCAGGATCGGATGATTTGCCCACTATTCTCAACCAGGTAGTCTAGTTTTGGGGCGATTCGAACGGGCTGTTCAACTTCTCCTCCGAGACTAGGCTGGCTATCCTAGGGTCCGTCTTTCTGACGCCCCACCCCTGAACGTTGGTTCATCCTGTCCGTGGCACTCTGCTGAGCATCATAATCCCGTTCTCATACTTCTAATAATAACAGGGTGGTTAGTATTGTCAAGTCTACGAATCGTAAACACTATTCTACCTTACTACTTTACTACGGTTTCTCTCATGATATGCCATGGTTCAGTCTATGAAAGTATATCCGTCTGGTGGCTCGTGCGCCAGGGAAGAAATCGGAGTCCGAGCAATCCAAAATCACCAATCAGGTTCGTCAATCAGGAGACGCTCAATTAATCGCATACGCAAGCGTCGGGGGAACTCCTGTCTGTGGTCGACGGCCGTACCCGGTATAGTTCTCGAGCTGATAGATTAATTTATATTGCTCCGTTCTTTGTCGGGTATGGAGGGAAATAATAATATAATAAAATAAAATAAATAAAAATTATTAACTATTACAAAATATCGAACAACGATTGGACTCTCAAGTAAAATGCCCTGCACGATACGCCACCATTCACATCAACCCACATATAAAAGTCCCCAATGATTGGTGCCCCTGGATGGAAATGGAGGCCAGAAACCACCACCTTCGCTTCCAGAAGCCTTGCCAGTCAGCCTTAATGTAAGCTGCTGTAGCTTTCCATCATGACAGCTTGTCCCCTGACATCATCCCCATCCTCATTCTTCATGATCGGGGTTCACCTTGCCGTTATTATTGACTGTTTTCTTCCCCTCCTCCTCCGGCGTATGACATGCCCTGAAATGGATCAACTAATAGTAGAGTCAAAGTCTTCCCCACGTCCCCACTTGCCACGGATGATAGGGGATCTGTGGTCTGATCATATGCGATGTGGCCTTTGAAAATGCCGAGTACGATGCGATGTGCGTTGCTAGTACGGAGTATGGAGTACGGAGGACACGGAGTTACTACCCCGTATATTATGTGTCTTGTGGCTCTGAGTTGCGTCATTGCCTTGGATGCTAGGTCTGTTTTCAACTGATGGCCCGAGGGAATAGTATTATCTTTAGTTTACACGGGGAAGAATGTAATAATAATTTTACAGAAATAATTGAACAAATACACAAGAATGGTAATGATTTCTTATGAAGAAGATAAACAGCCTGCTGTCTGTCCCCCGGTAGACACTCCAACTACGGAGTACGAAGTAGTAAGTACTAAGGTAGCCTCGGACATTCCTTAGATGAGCATGCTGATCGCGGGAATTCCATCCTCACCTCACTTGAACATACTACGTAGTACTCCGTAGACCTGCCTAACTTGACATTGACATTGACAGGTAATTGACCTGGATCACTAATGCCATCCATCGCCAGAGACTCAGAGATAAATGATAGTCAGCCACCTACGACGACGACGACTACCACCACCACCAATCCAAACAGACTCACACAGCCCTCACCCGGTATCAACTATCTCAGGCAGCCCACATAGCGAAGAGAATAACTAACGGAAACACCCTCGGCCAAAAGACGATCATTCTCATTCTGGGAAAAGCCCCTCAAAGCATCCGATGCTTGGCACCATCGATCATCCTTGTTGTGCGTGGGTATTGTTCTGTGGAGTGAGTGTACCTAACCAATACTTGCCGTACTGGTATTTACCAGGGGATACATATGGACTTACACTTACACTTACAGATGCAGGTGCAATTGTGCTGCCCTGCTTGCTTTATGGTTTCTTAGTTGCGTCCATGTATTTTCCCTGCTTGCATAGATGTCTAGTGCCTTTCCAATATAGGTGGCTCTCTACCTATCTATTGGCTATTATCTATCAACCCGTTAAGTACACTGGCAATATGTATAGTTATCTAAAAGAGGCAAACTACACAGTCACCGAATATATCCCCCTTGTCTTCACAACAATTCCGGCACATACATCCCCAATGACATCACTCAGGCAGATGCAGACGTAGACTTGTCAACATGTACGTACGGAGTACCGGGACGCCCTCCCTTATCCGTGCCATGACTGGTACAAAGGTTAATTCATCCCATATGCACCAGACAACGCTAATCAGACCTGTGTTGCCTGCTTATCTGTCTATCTGTCTGTCTGCTGTGGGGAGGTATGGGGAGAAGGATTGGAGTGTCTGTGCGGTGCAGCAAAGGACCACTGTGGCTGGGATTGTGTGACCGTGCTTTCTCTCTTCTTTCTTGTTTTTGTTTTTGCTTTTGCTTTATGTAAGTCAGATAGAGTTAATGATAGGTGTGGACTCGACGCGGTGTATAGGTTCGAGATCGATAGGTACGGTGGAGATAGATCATATTGTATGCGACGGGGTCTGATAAATAGATCCAGGAGCTGCGGTGTGATGCTGATCATGCGAATATATCCGGAGATACTGCTCCGGGGTAAACATATGCATAGACTTGAACTCCAATTGGTATCTACTATGACACTTTTAGGTCGGTAGTATCCAATATTTTGTCTATGTTGCTCCTGACCCTTGTATGTGGACCAGGCAGTTCTCAACCTACTTGGCATGTATGTCGCTTGGGACTGTCCAAAACAGCGACATTGGAAGAGTCTGTGGTACGTAGAAACAGGTATACCGCAGCATGGATATTTTAGACAAATGATAGATAGTATGGTTGATACTTACCGTCTCGAGCGTGTAGTCGGTTGATGGACTGTTACACAAATATGGGGTTGGTTTGGTTTGGTTAGGACCAGAGAATAAGGTAACATTGGTTATAGGTCGAGGCAAAAGCGTGAACCAGGTACCGTCAACGCCTTCCAAGCCATGGCGTCAGTATTTGGGGTGTCCATGGCGTAAGCGCTCAGATGTATAGCCTCTAGACTGCAGTTCACATCCAGAAATCAAGATTCGATCGAAAATATTCCACACTTGGATGCCCAGAATCACACTGTGTATCACCAAAAGTGGACCGTTTCGAATGAAACTGATATACAAAGAATGAGGGTTGGAGATTGCGGAGATCCAACGTTACTCGGTGTAACATTTGCAAAGTTTATTTTGCGCTATACAGCGTAGGTAGTCTATGTTCATGTTTCATCTAACTCAAGCCATCTGCGTAGCTCCTATCCATATCAACAGGTTCAGTTCTTCTTGTGCAATTGGCCCGGGGATGCCTGGAACATGAGATGTTAGCGATTTGTAATTCCACATGGAGGCATGTCCAATCGGATGCGATGGCTTACCTGGTGACTGGGGAAAATCAAAGTATCCGCCATCACGACGTTTTCGCGCCGACCAGCGGCGAAAACAACGACTTCGGCGATATCATCGGGCGTCAGGGGCTCGCAGCCGCTGTGAGGAGGTCAGTCTTGATCTATGCATGACGTGCCTAGAAGACTCACGAGTAAACGGCATCCGCCTTGGCCTTGTCGCCGTAGAACCGCACGACGGAGAACTCCTATCACCAGCGTTAATGAACAGACATGCACAATAGATAAAGCAAATATAATAGCCAAGGAGCTTACGGTCTCAACTTGGCCAGGGTCGACCTCGATGATGCGGATTCTCGATGCAATCAGCTCCTTCCGCAGAGCTTCCGTGAAGAACTTGACGGCAGCCTTGGTGGCGCAGTAGATGCTGCCACCAGCGTACGCCTCGCGACCCGCAATGCTTCCAATGTTGATGATATCCCCACGGCCACCATCCTCCCTCTTCTTGAAGATGGGGAGGACCGCCTGGGTCATCCCAATCAGTCCGTTGACATTGGTCTGGAACATGGTGTCGATATCCTCCTGGGCAATCTCCGGAGCCTTGGCGACACCCTTGACGAGACCACTGAATAGCAATTAGTATATGATGACCACGAGGGGCGGTGATAGATTGAAGGTCGGGCCACGTACGCATTATTGACCAAGACATCGATGTCCTGGAATTCCGCCGGCAAGGACGACACAAAGTTCTTAACCTCCTCAGCTTTGCTCACATCCAGCTTCACAGGCAAGGTCTGGACGCCGTCGCCGACCTCCTCCTTGATCTCCTGCGCCAGCTGCTGCAGCGACTCGAGACGGCGCGCCGTCACAATGAGCTTCAGGTTCTTGGGCGCAGTGCGAGCAAACTCCTTGGCCGTGCTGCGACCAATACCGGACGATGCACCCGTCACGACGATCGTCTTGCCTTCAAGGCGCTTTGCCATAGCCGTTGCCATTGTGCGTTTGGTGAACCTCGGTTGGGCGGCGGAAACGAAGGGGTTGTTTCGGAGTGCGGGGAAGGAGCCGGAATAGGAAGACGGAGAGGTGATGTGTCGCAGGAAACCGATTGAGCTGCGATAAGCCTGGAGATACTTCATATATGGTTGATGTAGGAACTCGGGAAACGAGGGGTCAAGATCGGGGACAGATGGAGGGGTTGATGAAGGGCCTCGGGATTAGATCATAGGTGTAGGCGAATCGGCTGCGGGGAAGCGGATTTCGTGATTCGGCGGGACGTCCGGTGGAATATTTGACCGATCGGACTTCCATCCGATGATAAGAATGGAGTTATTTACCTTATACTGTTGGGTATCTTTTGACCTTATCATGGCAGGAATTGTTGAACGTAATAGGTATAGTGGATTGATGGTCGGAGATAGAATAGATACAATTTCAATTAGTTGCCATGATTGTTAATCCGGCCAGTCTAACCGTATATATTGCATTGTCTCAAACTTACAGAAAACATAATATAGAGCTGATAGATGTAAAGAAGTAACCTGATTGTGTGGAGAACATGACTAGAACATGACTAGAGTATATAGACTGTTAGATTGGAGTGATGGGCTAAGGTTTAATGAACCAATATAATAGAACCAATACTCTACGTCAGTCTCCCAATATAGTACCTACAAAGAGTATAGTACTAAATCAAATCAATTACATATTAATGGTATTGAGCAGATCACTGTCATTGACTAGAAAAGAAAAGAGCCGAATCAATTTCTAAGACTAATCTATCATTTTGGATTTGCAGGCCATATCTTACATTGAAGTGTATGAATCCATAATAAGCAATGCATAATGCTTGTGTGGGGAAATTGTGAAGTCTCTGATCTTAAGGACCCTTGATTATTAAGATTTGGTCTTAGCTGACCATTTTCATAGACAATGTTACATGTCAAGCCCTTCATATCCTCATCTGAAAACCAACAGGTGCACGTACTTAGATTCAAACTGTCTCTAAGCCTCTTATTGTCCTAATAGCTACTGTTATTGTAGAGTAGAAAGCAATACCTAGCAAGTCTATCGAATTCCTTATAATCCAGTTTAACATGAACATATATATTAGGCTGATCAATTCCCACATATCTGTAATATGGTAGATAACATGCCTAGGTATGATAGGCAGTTGGTTCACTTATTAGTATTCCGACCTGCTAATTGTCAGACAGCTCTGCAGTCACCAGAATGACGGATTCATTGAGCTAATGATAAAATCAATGAGTGACAACCATTTCCCCAATCCAGTAGTGCATGGGGCTCTCTGGCCGTCGATCAGTCGGGGTGGTGGATTTCTGCCTGCTTGTGGAATAGCCACGTTTTGCCCCATGGCTGCTAGCCTTTCTCTGCCGCGTGGGAGCTCTTATCCATCTGAATTATGGAGTATTTGGAGAGACTCGGGGTTTAATCTCCTCTGGACTAACTCGACTGAGATGAGATCTTTCGGCATTCAGCCTCCTTTCTCCAGGTGAGCTGACTTGAGCTTCAACAGAGCACACTGACGAGGACAACTTGCCCTTATTCTATCAATAGCTTCCGCCCGCTCCGCTGAACCAATCCCTTCGTCCTTGTTGCCATCGTGGAACTGAATGCCCAGAAGCTAGACACTCCCAAGACGGAACATAACGAATCGAAGATCCCAGGCGCCCTCAGCCTCCCCACGAGACACGTGGAGATCGACATGTGCTGGGAGTGGGCACTGGATGGGTCAAGTGGAAAAATTTTGCCATGTTGCATTAACCCCATCCCAGCTTCACAGCAAACAGATTTGTACTAGCTCCGAAGGCCGATCTCTCGTGCACATCACTATTTCCATGTGCCGAGATGCCAAGAACTCAGGAGACCCTGTCAAACTTTTATTGATCCTGAGATCTGACCCTATGATTGTGGCTGAACAAACCCCGGTCAGGTCGAATGGTCGAAGACCAGCAAACGAAACGTAATCATAACCACCGAGTTGGCACATGGCAGATGAATGGTCAATGGCTCTGGAACTCTGGTAATGCATGAATCGCGCAAGACCCAGACCCTGAGCGGCTATACGGGAGTACCAAGATGTCAAAGCTCGGCCTTGCCGGACAGCCATGGTCCCCTTGCTGAAAATTTCGGCGACATGCCAACAACCCCGAAGATGAAATAATTATCTCCCGTCGCGTTGCTTTTTGCTTCCCCAATCTCAGAGACAACATGGTCCCACAGCAAATAATGGCAATTAGCCCGTCAATAACCCCTCTGATGCGGACTAGCGCGGCAAGATGGAGATCTTTTTGGCGAACCGGACCCACCGCACTTGAAAATGACCCGGCATGCCGGGTTGGAGGTCAGGAAGGGCTTAGGAACAAACGCCTAGTACTAGTCCTCATACGATCGCAATATGCGGCGCGGGATACTGAACCCCTGGATGGTAGTATGCGAGAACAATGTCACCTTTGTGGTGAGTTTGTAGGTATGTTGATGAACTGCCTCGGTGCCAGCTTTTCAGCCGAGAGGGTAGGCCCACTCGGGCGATCGAGCAGCAATGGGCGCACTCGATCCACATCAGATATTATTCAGTAAGGTTGATCTCTGCCCAACCGAAGTACAATTCTCCGAGATCTCCTATGATATTTGATCCATGGAATGGACAGGGGATAGTGCTAGGGCGAGTGACTGGTCAGGTCCGCAAAACGTGGCAAGCTCGCCACGTTGTATCCCTTACGTGGACTTCTTCCCGAGGACCCTACGAAAGAAGGAGGGTCGTCCAGAAGGGACGAAGATATGAGTTTGTATACCCGCAAGGGTATGGCGCTGGCTGATGGGTGGAGCCACACAATCGAATCAGCATCTGTCTTGCAGACGAAGCCGCCCGCTTGCGGCGCCATCTATCCAAGCTATGCTCGAAGAATCAAAGACCGACAGTGGCGTTCCATGGATGGGTACCCGGCTATCAAGACACATGTGGGGTTGTTCGGCCGGTTCTGCGCTGAGTACCTTGCACTCATTGCGGTAGTGGATGTAGAAGTCTATAGCCCATGTGTGGGTTTTTACCCCAGCTGTTTGAATTAATCTTGGTACGCTATTGATTTACTATCAAGGTTTTCGGCGGGGACGACTCCGAATAAATAACAGTGGTCGTCCTAATTTCGGCCTGCGTAGAAGTGGTGATGCGTACGTTCCTTGCTTGCTTGACTTCAGGCACCTCCATGCACAGCATTTCACCCCCTTGGTCATGATTCCGAAGACTTAGGAGTGCACCTACGACAAGACTGACGCGCTCCGCATTTACACTCGAGTCGAAGCCGAACTACACTCATTCAACACGACTTCCGACCCGATTTCACTCTTTTCGCGGAACACCATGGATGGACACATACTGCACACGTTCATCCCACGGGGATCAAATGACGACGCCCATGGACATCGAGCCGTGGTGGTAGCAGGCGTGCTGACGGCGCTTTCGGTCCTTGTTGTCGGCATGCGCATGTGGGCTCGCCTCGGAGTGATGAAGTTGATGGGTCGAGAAGATTATACCATCCTTGTGTCTTTGGCTCTGGCCATCTGCTACTTTGGTCTCGTTTGCGCTGGTCCGTCTCCTTGCATTGCCAGTGGGCCTGGATCTCTTTAACATTTGAGTAGAAGTACATTTTGGCCTGGGACAGCCGGACGACACCCTGTCCCCGCGGGAATTGAAGCTACAACTTAAGGTATGTCTTGCATATCGCTCAATTCGCCCATAGAGACTGTACTGACATCCGAATAGAGTCTCTGGGCCTCAATCCCCCTATACAACGCCAGCCTGGGCTTCACTAAATTCTCCATCCTCTTCCAATACCTGCGCATCTTCCCCGAAAAGCGATTCCGCCTCGCCTGCTGGGCCGTGCTAGGCATCGTCGCACTGTACACCACCTGGGCCGTACTGAGCGGCTACGTCAACTGCGTGCCGGTGGCTAAGTTCTGGGATCGCGAGATCCCCGGCGGGTGTCTCAACTTTGAGATCGTGTGGTTCTTCAACGCGTCTATGAATATCGTCACCGATGTGGCGCTGTTTATCCTGCCCATGCCGCTCCTTTCGCGGCTGCAGCTCCCGCGGATGCAGAAGGTTGGGCTTATGGCCGTTTTTGCCATTGGTATTCTGTATGCGCCCCTGATTACCACTACAACGCTTTCTCCGATACTGACCCTACCACAGCGTGGTGATCACCAGTATCCTCCGTCTTCAAAGTCTCCGCGAGGTTGCCCGAGCCACCGACACATCCAGTCAGTACCCACTCCACTCTACAACCATTCCCCAAACCAATCCTAACATCAAACAGAAAGCAACGTCGGCGCCGCCTACTGGACAGCAGCCGAATGCAACGTCGCCATCATCTGCGCCTGTCTCCCCTTCCTCCGCCCCCTCATCAGCCGCTTCTTCCCCAAACTGCTCTCCACCCGCAGCTACAACCACTACAACGACACCACCACCCGCAACAAGACCGGTGTCAGCCGCTCCCGTCCGCGCATGGAGCTCTTCTCGCAGGACCGCGACTTCGGCATGTGCACTATCGATGTGGATGTCAAGTCGGGTGAAGGTCATTCGAACCCGGCGAGTGGCATTGAGGTCACGACTACCATGATGCAGGAGTCATCTGGTGGGCGGGAGGATTCGAGTCAGAGGAGGTTGGTGTTGGGGGTTTAACCTTTCTCTTCGTTCTTTTTATTGAGCTGTCTTTCTTTCACTCTCTTTTTTTTTTTACTTATCCACTGGTCGTGTTCACGGCTGCCTCGCCCTGTCTGGGTTTTATGTTGATACCATGTTTAGTATTTTTTGTTCTTTTAATGAACTAATGATGATGCAACTATATAATATCTCTTATGACATATAACCATAAATTCCATTCTCAAAATTTGACTCAACAAAGCAAACAGAGAAAGAAAAAAAGAAGAAGAACTACAAATCAACAACAGCCTGCCCCCTCTCCCCCCTTCTCACACCCGTCCCCAACTCCCCACTCAACCTCCCAATAGTCTCAACAACCCACTCATGATCTTCATCCCCAGGTTCAAGCATATTCACCTGAAACAGCTTACACTTCGTCGGGAATACCTCCACCCTATCCATCACCAACCTGCTCTGCCTTCCCTTCCTCCCCTCGACCCCCTCGTCTCCCTCCGTGAAAACAATCCTCCACAAGCCCCCCAAATCATTCCGAAACCGCCTATCAACCGCGTAATCGTCCACAAAGTCCCCACACCCGTAGATGATCGGCTTCCCCTTGTGCACCTCCACGCCCTGCACGTGGTGCGCGGAGTGTCCGTGTACAATGTCCACCCCGCACTCGTCGATGAGGAAGTGTGCTAGGTGGCGAATTTCGGACGCTGGTTGCCAGGTGTAGTTTGGGCCCCAGTGGACGGAGAATATTTTGATGTCTGGCTGCTGCTGCTGCTGCTGCTGCTGTTCAGTGCGAGGGGGGGAGGAGGTTAGAAGTGTTTTGAGCCGCGCGCGCGTCTCAGCACTGTAGTCTATGAAGTGGAAGGTGGGTAGATTCGCCCATGCTGTGGGGTGGTCCGATGCGGCGTATACGTGGATAGTGAGCCCTTCATCCACGCTTTCCTTGCCCCCTTCCTTTCCACCACTCCCCTGCAACTCCTCCCCACCACGAGGTCTAGACCGAGGAAACCTCAAAACAGCAGCCCCGCCGGATCCCCCCCGCCCCAGCAGTCTCCACCCCCGCGCCCTCCCTAACCGCCCAAACGGACTCCGCCAACCCCGCCTCCCCAAAATCAGCCGCGTGGTTATTCGCCAGCCCGGCGTAGTCAACGCCCGCCGCGCGCAACACGGCACACGCATTCTCCGGCGACGCGCGGTAGTTGAACACCTTGTTCGGCCAGGGCGAGGACGTGTTCGTTACTGCTGTTTCGAGGTTGATGAGGGTTAGGTCGGATTCGTGCAGGAGGAGGGGGAGTGCATTGCCCCAGGGGGAGGACGGGGTGTAGTTCTTTAGGTGGGCGTGTTGGAGGCGCAGGTGTGGGATTAGGCTGCGCTCGGAGGCGGGGGCGTTGGGGACGGGGTGCGGGAGGAGTTGGTCGATGAGGCGGCCGAGCATGACGTCGCCGGTTAGGGTTAGGATTTTGGGTTTCATCTTTTTGGTTTCTTTATTGTTTCTTTCTTTGCTTGGTTAGTGAGTGAGTCGGTCGACGAGGGGGTATCTTTTGGGGATTCTGTTGAGAATGAGGAGTATAAGTTGAGTATGATATACGCCACTTGCTGATAAAGTATATCCCGACTGACAGCTCAAGTCATCATCACTCGGCCCGAACCGAGATCGAAACAGCCCTACCGTTGATGACGGCTTCTCTATCAGCCTCTTTGTTTTTCTATCTTCTGTATGATAAGAGCGTGGACTTACTAATGGGCGAGAGTTATGACACGTGGAAGTATGTAACTGGGAATGTTTTCCTAAGAAGTATGCCTGTTGTTTCCTTGTATTTCGAGATTCAGTGTAGGTGTAGGATAGCAGTATACACAAGTAGAAGAGGATAGAAGGTCCTTTTGTTGTAGCGTACGTTTGAATAGAGGTAATGAGAAGGTATCCAAATGATCCGTTAGAACAGGACGCAGATGCCTGTAGTATAGCCCACAGGACTCTACTTCAATATCCCAGCCTACCAGGGTATACATCTACAATTCGATCTTGATTCGTATACCAACCATAAAGTATGAAGATGCAATTATCTACTATTGATACAAGCAATCAAAAGTACAAAATAGATATCGGTATAAGTCCATCCGAAGATGACAATGCTAGTCCAAGTCAAGATCATGCCACGTCAGGAGTCCCAAGTCCAAACATCACTACGAAGGAAAGAGAATTATCGTATCATCGCACTTGTCGTACGTCGTACATCGATAGCGTTAAGGAAACCGCTCCACCATGCCCACCACCATCTTTTCATTCGGGCCGACGATCAAGTCATGCAGTTTCGTCTCTTGCTAGAGATCATCGCAGTCTCAATCGTTCATTTTCCACAAAAGGTCGATTAGACCTGCTCAGCGCCCCAGCCCTGGTCGGACTCGCGCATGTTCGAAGGGGGCTCGATCGAGGGAACGAATTCCAGAGCGAGGTAGCCGACACCGACGAAGCCGACCAGCGAACCGGCAATGTAGCGCAGGACGTGGCCGTGCAGCATGATCGATCCGACGAAGATGTAGACTGCATCTGTTAGTGGGAAACAGGGATGGGGGAATGATAGCGACTCACAAGCGCCCCGGCCGAGGAAGGAGAAGAGGAACGAAGCGTAACGGTACACGTAGTCAGGGACCGTGGGCAGGAATTCCAGGCCACCGACAACTAATTCAAAGTCAGCATTTGTAAAAAAAAGGTCGAGCAGAGTACCGGCAGAGGAACATACGAAGACCGAAGACAATCACATAGGCACCGACAATGATGGAGCCCATGGACGGAGGGAAGAACTGGGCGATGCCGCCCAGAACCATGATCACGCCCACGGCGATGTTCACAATCCGACTAACGGTGTCAGCGAGTCCACCCATCACAACCACAAAGCTTTATCCAGTGTAGACATACAAGATGTTGGAGAAATCCATGTCTGCGGTTTGAAGAATCCGTCTATTTATAGAATCGGCAGGTGCAGCTTAATGAATCGATCCGGCGGGCGGGACGGTATGACAGACGTCTGTTCTAAATTCTAGATCGAAGACAAGTTAGTCTAGTTCAAATTTCAAATGACGGCTCTCATCACCGCAGACGCAAACCGAGCCTGGAATCTCGTGGCCTAACGGCCTCCCGGTGGGCCGACTGTCGCGTGACGGGGAAAGCGCAAGGTAACCGCTGAAGAATGACCCGACCAGATCAATCAGACACTTACAGAGGTAGAAAAGAAAGGATCGCCTGTGGTCAAGAGAAAGCATACAGCACGATTGCAGGGAGGGAAAGATGCGGACGGAGAAATCAAGGAGACAACAAGGCTCCCCAGCTCATCCAGTTGTTGTTTTGCGCCGTCGTCGGCGGTGGGTCTGCCAAGCGCTGAGTCAGCCGCCGAATCCGCCTTTCACGTGGTCAGTGTTTCTATAAACGGATGGGTGACATTCCGCTGGATTAGGGTGTGATCATTATTGGTTATTAGCCTCATCACACTAGAGGTCTAGAATAGTCAATAGAGACAAAGACAGCCAGGGTTGTTTTCCAGGATGTTGGACCGGGGTATTTGTCGCATGGGGGCTGGACTGGAGATACGGATCGGCATAAATCCATTGCACCAGGATGCTGACTAGCAATCTTTCCATACCATACCGGAATGGGTCCGTTTTTTTACTCCTTAATACGTTATCGATAGGGCTGACCATTTCTCCATATGATACGGAGTAAGTCTGGTTTTTGGACAAGAAATTGTGACCTTTTCACGCTGTGCATCACCACTTTTATGAGTGTTGGTTATACGGCGGGCTATTTGTAACAAAAGGAAACTTGGGCTTTTTGTGCTGTTCATCACATGTATGATCTATTAAAAACCGAATCTCCCACCTAAGTATGGTAATTTGTAGTTGCTATGACTGTACTGGATGATATCCGATATCCCTCCTAGATGGCATATGGTGCCTGGCAGTCTCAGGTCAATATCTCTGCATCAATCAAGCAGCAAACTGTGCCGCCTCTTGGAAATGCACCACTGGCATAGCCTCCCTACAATCTATAGCAAAGAAAACTATTCTCATGTAGCTTGCAAGTAAGCTGGAGTGGGATATCAAATGTGGGCGAAAGGAGATAGATAAGAGGCTAGCGCAACAGATTCAAAGGGTGAGGGATGTAGAAAGTGGGCGAAACACGCAGAGGGCAGGCACTCAATGAAGATATCTTATGATCTTATCTGGCTGATTGACTTGCTCTGCATGAAAAGGGGTACCCTCACACCCCTCATACCCCTCACACCCTCATCACCCTCATCACTCTCACCACCCTTACTATCCTTATTACCCTCATCACCCTCGCCTCATTGATCATGCGTGTAGTTGTCCAGAGAGCGGAAAAGACCACCAGTGTCTTCCCGAGGCCCATGCTGTCGCCGCAAATCCCCCCACAGAACCTGCTCTGACACAAGAAATGGATTTGAGCGGCTCCCTTAAGCTGCCACGCATGCGGCTGAATGGCGAACTCAGAGGGCGTGTCTGCTTGGGGTGTTTTATTCAGAGATAATTGCTGATTGTCAGTGCATAACAATGGTAATAAAGCAAGATTACCACGCACAATGCACTCTTTCTCCCACTTGGCACCCACAAAAATGTTGTACTGGCACTGGTTCTCCATCTATTTCTATTTGCTGGTTCTCCAAATCAACATCCATTGAATCGCTATCATAGTAGGTATCATCGCGGCCAACACCTCCCTGGGCCATATAAAGTTAGCTAGGCTCCATGATTTGTATTATCATATGTTTTTCTTTGCACATACTTCTATCTCGTCAGGAGAGAGCAGATAAGGTCCTCTTGGCGGCATTATGTGAGGAAGTTGGTAATTTGCATCCGCTCAAGGTTCATATGGAATTGACCGGATTTTCTCTATAAGAGAATTGAGAATGGCCTGTTCCTTCTCTTGGATGGAAGACATGGTAGAGACTTGGCAGAGGGAAAGGCTGATGGTGACTCTGGGGAATAGATGATGCAGTGGTAAAATTGGAGATGAGGATGACACTTTTTTTTCTTCATGTTTTTCTCTCACTTCGCAAATCATCGACATATCTTTAATTCACTGTTCAGTCGTCTTTCTTACCACGCTTCGCCTTCTGTGTTTGTTGATGACTGTTTCCTTTTCTCAAAGCGCGCTTTCCATTTTACCTCAATGGAAACGCTATACCACTTCTTGTAAATCGCTGTCAGGTGTATACGGGGTAGTTACGGAGTATAGAGTAGGTAGGCTTTGATATCCTTCTGATTAAATATCCTGGATATGAATATAGACATGACTACTTAAATACAGATCACTTCTCCAGATCATTACAATCCCATCAGCGCATCTTGTCTCTTCTCCAATCGAACGGTCGATAGCCCATTCGCCAACCGGCTCATCTGCAGAGCGTCTCCCTCCAGTTCTTCAAAGATGCTGTTCAGATCCCTGCCAATGCCCACCTGTTCGGCTGTCTGCAGACTCCGTTGATCGAGGAACGGAGCAATCTCCGGCCAGACGCTCTGCACGTTGTTGAAGAAGAGGTCGACGCCCATATCTCCGAGTCCTTTCAACTCCTTGACGCGGTTTCGCACTTCACCCCGGTCATGATGCGCGGACTCGAGGAGGTTATTCAGATCGCCATCTACATCAGTCAGCTGAAGAAGTCTGGAAATCGCCATATCCAAGGAGTGAGTGGTTGACATACTATACTTTTCCCTGATGAACTGCGCCGCCTCCCCCAAATTAGTAGCCCCCTGCTCCCGATACCGGTTATACCCGCCATCGCGCAACACGCCCGTTCGGTCCTCCCAGCTACTATTTCCCAGCGTCTGGATATTGTGATAACCCTCATCCAGCACCTTTTTGACAGCCTGCTGCGACAGATCGTGCGAGATGGGCCGCGACTTGAGCATCGCGTCCAGCAGCATCGCCAGCAGCGTGTCCGGCGTCGCGGTCAAAGGCTTCTCCGCCACACAGGTGCCGTGCAGGGGAGTGCGTCCGAACTGCTCGACCGTCCGCTGCACCTTGGGTCCGTTGGTGGTAGTTTCGTCGGGCTGGTCTTGCTCGTCGCCGAGAGGCGTGTCCTCGTTGGTGTCGTCGCGCATGTCGTCTTCGGTGTCTCTGCCGAGTTCGCGCTCCAGTTGGTTCTCGAGGTCTTTGTCGTCGGCCTCGTTATTGCCGGCCTGTTCCTCGTCGAGGAGTTCCACTTCGTCGGCGTTGTCACCTTCCTCTTCCTCTTCTTCTCCTTCTACATCCCCAACATTGTAGTCCTCCCCAGGCTCCCCGTAAGCTTCACCTTCATCAGTTTTACCTTCACCTCCCTCATCAACCTCATCCTCCTCATCTCCAAGCTCCTCCTCCACATCAACAGGAACCTTGTGCGGCCAGTTCGACGATTGCTTCCCCTCCTGTGTCACATTCTCCTTTGCAGCCCCCTCCGAACCACCCGCCGCAGAACCCTTAGATACCTTCGTAGGCGGCTCGCGCTGTTCTTGCCCCGCCTGTCCACTCTCCTCGAAACCAGGCTCCAGGCTCGCGGGCGTCTGTCCGTCTGGCTTCTCGGGCCGCTTCCGCTTGGGAGGCTCCATGTTCTCCGTGTCGGATGTTTCTTCTTCGACGACGGGGGGGTGGTATCTCATTTTGAATAATATTTTTCTTTCTTTATTGTTCTCTTTTGAATTTCAATAAATAGGATTGTGTTTGACTGATTATTGTCAAGAGCGCGTGCGGAGATAGCTGGGGTTAGTTATATTGAGACGGTTGTGGTGGTGACGTCGTTATGATGAGGTCTTGTTGGGGTCTACTTTGCATTGTGATGTAGACTTCTAGAACGTCATTGTCTGGCTCTAGTCTTCGACGTAATATCGCTAACTACTCTAAGCTTAATTGTCTGGCACAATGCTCCTCAGAATGCTAGGAGTTGCAGAGTAGAGTAAGGTAAGTCTACAACTTCGCCTCCCGCAGCACACCCCTCACCAAAGCAACCGCCTCCCCCGCACACCCATACGAAGCCTGATACCCAAACCCCCCATGCCCATAATTATGCACAACGGCCACCCCATCCACCCTCTCTACCTCTATCCGCGTGCCTCCCTCCCTAACAGGCCTCAGCCCAACCCCATGTCTCACAACATCCAACCCCTCAATGCCCTGCCCCTCGCCAACTAACTGCGGCCGCAGCGCCACAGCACGCTTCATGATCCGCACCGCGAGGTTAGGATCTGGCGTCGACTCCCATCTGTCCTTCTGGTAGCACCCGCCTAGCACGGTGCCGCCCCCGGCCGCCCGCGTCATCATGTAGCTTAGCTCGTCCGGACCGTCCTCCGTCCCGCCTGATATGGCGGCCATTGCGCCGGAGTCGTTGCGGACGATGACGATTTGGCCGCGAGCGGGGTAGAGTTTGTTGTCGGTGACGCCGCCGAGGGTCTTGGAGGAGAGGCCGGTGCAGTTAACTACTAGGGTCGCGCGCTGGCCGGTGTGGTGTGCGTTTGCGGCGTCTGCGATGTGGGGAAGTACCCCGCGTTTGAAGATTACCCCGTTGCGCAGGCATTGGCTGACGAGCCAGGGGAGGTAGATTGCGGTGTTGATGCAGACGGAGGTGAATTTGCTGCCGCTGGCGATTCCGGGGGGGAGTTGGTTTTGAGGAACCTCGCAGAACTAGACGGTGTTGGGTTAGCTGTTGATGCGAGGAGACGGTGGTGTCGTGCGCATACATCTGGGACAACGTCCTTGAACCATGGCTGTGTGATTGCTGCGGCGGGGGGGCTGTTCGAGGAGCCCTCGTCGGTCTTGCGTATGTAGCCGATTAAGTCTGATTGCAGTGTCAGCTTAGCTTCCAATGGTTTGGAGTGATCCGGGGGTTGCATACCTTGGAAGTGAATGCCTGCCTCAGGATGCTTCTCAGCCAGCTCTTTCAAGACAGGCCATGTATTCCGTTCCCGGGTCTCATGGACGGGGTTACTCTGGCCCACTCTGTGCTAATTAGCCTTGGAACGGGTGGAGATGTTAAAAGAGTGGGAGATAAGCAAATACCCTTGAAGCACGTACGGAACGTAGTTGGCGCCGGCCCAGGGAGAAGCATACTCGATGTCGTAGTCCCCGGGCATGTGTTTGGCGACCACGGTGATGCAGTTGGAGGCATCTTTGGAGAGGAGGTAGGCGGTGGTGAGGCCTGAGACGCCGGCTCTATTCGTGTATTAGTATAGGATGATGAGGAATATATGCCAGGAAGTAAGTATGGGTCTCCTACCCCAGGACTACGATGTTGTTGGGTGCCATGTTTGCTGCGGAGGAATGGTCTATTGCATGTCGGATGAAACCCCAATTCCCCCGCTCAGCTCCCCACGAGATCCCGGGGATGAGTCTAGAGACTAGCCCCATTCGATATGAGTCCAGCCCATTTGTCGCCGTTTATCCGAGGTTGGTGGCATGCCCAATTCCTCGATAGTGCTGATAAGAGTTTTAGGTACTAGATGATCAGGTCAGTTTATGACATCTGATTGGTAGCTGGACTGTCCCTCGCATCGTGTGCTCAGTGATGCCCTAGCTGGAGCCCTATGTATTAATAGTAGGTATAGTATACTATGACTGATACAATATACTAGGACCAAGCTATGACGCTATTCCTCAGTCTAATAGACTTTCATACTGCAACAGGTCACAGCCATCTACCTAATAGATCAACTGTCATGGGATCATGCGTGATTCTTCAGCCGATCTCCTCAAGCAGACAAGTCATCTCCTGCATTGGGCACGCTTGACTGGGCCATCTCAATATAAAGTGACGCGTTTCGTCATCTGGTGGAGATCCTGTCGCGACATAAACCAATAACAGCATAACAATATCCTCACCGCCTGCTGTTCCTTACCGTACCAGACCAAAGTGACCATACCAAAGTTACCGACCTCCGCAGTTCTCCGACCGAGAAAAAAAAGACTTCACAACAGTACAACTTGGAAGTATCAATCGATCTATAGGTAGTGGATAGTCTCTCAGGTATAGAAAGGAGAGGTCCCTATCATACTGATTACAGAAGAAGTGATCGTGAGGAGTGAATGACACTGTTGGTCATCCTCACAACTGAACCCTCCGATATTCCGATCCAATTGCCCGTCTGGTAGCGACCATCCGGCAACCCGGACGCATCGAGATTCACTCATTGCTGTCTCGCCTACGTCTTCATTCACTCATTATTGCACCTCTCTGACCTATTGTCTACCTCACCAACCCCCTCTTGCTTTCTCTTCCTTGAACTCTGCTCGACGGAGCTCTCTTCTTCTTTTCTTCCTCTTCTCTCTCTCTCTCTTCTGCCTCCTCCCAAATGAGGGTCTTTCGTCGGGCAGAGCTGCTACAATCATGGCCGATATTCCTCACGGTGGGCGTATCGTCCCCATAGTCGACACGCCTCAATCTTCTACCAATTCCACCACGCCGTCCTCCTCCTCCTTTACCTCGTCCTCCTCGTCCACCTCCTCCGACGATGCCTCCGTCGATCTCCCGCCTCTCCAGAAAAAACACCACAAACACCGCTCCGCCCGTCCGTCCAAACCCACCCGCAAGACGCGTACCATGACCGTCGAGCCCGAATGTCTCGAGCTGTCTTGTCTCAAGGAGCTGGACCTCTACGCTCTTCCCACAGAGGGTGATGGTAATGCTCCTCTCTCGCGCCAATGGGGTCCCCCAGTCTCGGGGGGTGGTAGCTGTTTCTGACTAGACCCGTACATAGGGAACTGCCTCTACTACGCCCTCTCCGACCAAGTGTTCGGTGACTTCGGTCATGCCGAGGATATCCGTGTCCGTCTCGCCGATCACATCGGTGCCAATAAAGAATACTTTATGAACTTCATTCCGGCTGTCGGGGGTGAGCGTCGCGCTCCTCGGCGCGCTGCCGCCTCGGCTGCCAAGTACGCGTCTCATCGGTCGTCCGCCTCGGCCAGCCCCGCCCCACCGTCCTCCAAAGATAAGGATCGAAGCTTCGATACCAAAGTGGCGGAATCTAGGAAAGCTGGTGTCTGGGGAGGGGCGGAGGAGATACAAGCTTTTTGTCAGTCGTTCAAGATGGATGTCAACGTGTACACCGAGTATGGTGTGCAGAACTTCCGTGACGTCCATGCCCCGGAGTCGGAGGAACGGGACGTCGTCCACGTTGCTTTTCACGTAGGTATCTCTTACTCATTCTTACAGTTTAGAGACTAACCTGTCTAAGGACTTCAATCACTATTCCTCGGTGCGCCACCTCAATGGCCCCCGCACCGGCTTGCCGTGTATCCCCAAGATCAGCAAAGAGGCCGAAAAGGAGGCGACAACGGTGGCCAACGCGGTCGTCGATGTGGCTACTCCGTGGAAGATCTCCGCAATCCAGGAGGGGCTCGGTGGCAAGTATGACCGAGCCGTCATCGTGGATATGCTCGAGCAGTGCCGTGGTAACATTGACAGTGCCTTTGGCAACCTCATCAGTGAAGGCGGACCCGCCATCGAAGCCCCGGCGCCCCGGGCTATCATGAAAACGCGCCTGCAGCCGTCGTCGCGGTCCTCGTCGCCCTTTAGCACCGGCAGCAAACGCTCGGCGGACGATACCGACGAGGAAGATCCCCGGCCTGCGAACCGCCGCCTGCGCACCCGCGACCAGAAGCGACGCATCCTCCCGGATGTGACCGTGGGGATTGCCTTTCGCGATGACCGAAATGACCTGGTCTCGCTCCGTCTGCGGGTCAGCCCAGACGCAACGGTGCAGCATTCCCCGCTTGAGCCGGTCCCGCAGACAGACAGCGACTCGGTCTCGCGGACCAGTCCTGTTGCTCTGGACCAGACGCAGAATGTGGAGGGTGGGGAGGCCGTAGAGGCTGGGGAGACTGCTCCTCCTGAGTCTACTTCTGATGAACAAAAGCCACGGCGCAGCAAACGCATCAGTCGGAGCCGCAACTCCCCTGCTATCTAGTCGACTTAGCATCTTCCCTTCTCCTTACTCCTCCTTTACCCGCCTTATCTGCCTACATCCCTACCCTACCTACCCTACTCTTGCACTGCCATCTCGAGTCTCATACGAAGTTACGATACAATACATGGGGTTCGCATTGCCCGGCGTTGGGGACGAACATGCCTCGGTCCCCGTCATTACAGCATCCTGTGAGCGATTGATGAATTCCTTTTTCTTTATTTCATATCTGTTTCGTCATCATCACCTCCATTACCAGCCACAAAAGATGATACTTTCGATCCACATATTTCCTTATTCCCCCGCTCCGAGAGCACGACAAACATCATGTTCTATTCTATTCAATTCAATTCTACCGGTGAGGCGTTAGCGGTGTTGGACTTTCAATCAATGGATGAACTACCATACCATGTTTTTGCATTTGGGTGCACACAATACTCCGGTTGGGTGGATTGATTTCATTGCATTAGCAGGTTTCTTCTTACTTTCTTCTTTCTTTTTTCTTTTTTGTTCCGGATAGATCCCGCGATGATCGCATGTATTAGCGGGGTTCGCTAGGGAATACCCTACTGCTTATTACAATGTTGGAGCGGTTACTACTACCTACTACTATATCCTATCTATCCGATCCTATTCTCCCTAGGTAAAGATAGATAGATCCATCAATCAACCACAAGAGGATACAGTATACAGTATACATATCTGCCTCCCGGCCATCCCCTCAAAATTCCCCAGCAATCAATCAATCAAGAAACAGGCCTTCCAGAAGGTCCCCCCTCCCCAACAACCCATACCTCCTCCCAACAGCAAACCGCGTAAACCTCCACCTCATCCTCTCTAACAAGCCCCTCTTAGCCTCAAAATACCCCACCGCAACCCAAACAAACACATCTCACCGTAACCGCGCCATCTACCCCCACTCCTTAGGGACCACGAAATTATACATCGCCGCATACTCAAACGCCTTAGGGTAGAATCCACACACGTCCCAATCTAGCCACGTAAGTTCCCCGCACGGTGCGAGGAGCAGACCAGATCATGGTGCGTTAGCACGAACGGCTCGATAGTCAGTGGTAGCGCCCCGACGGCGGGATCCGGTGAGTACGGTATTTGGGGCTGCTGCTTTGAGACTTGCAGCGCACGCCTCATGCCTGTGAAGTTTCCCCAGAAGCGGGTGAAGTGGGCTATTTCGGTGGGTCTGGAGTGCGCGGGGAGACCGAAACGGTCTTCGAGGTAGAAGGATCTGATTTCGCCTGTCGCGAGCGATCCTGCCGTGGGTGAAGTAACGGATCGAAGCGCTTTTACGCACCGCCGAAGCTGCAGGCCTAGTTTGATGGTCATGAACCAGGGTAGGTCTTTCCAGAGTATGTCTAGCGTATCTCCCTCAATGCGATTCATAATGGTGTATGCGCATCCTTGGACCTTGATGGTTTTGAGGATTGAGGGGCTGGGGATGCCGCGGTGGGTGGCTACTTCTATGGCCTTTTGGACGTCGGCGATTTCGGATGGGTCGTGGTATTTTGCTATGAGGTTTGGGGAGAGGTAGAATACCTGATTCGAAGAGGCGCATTTTGGTGAGGATGTGATGTGGTGGAAGAGGTCTGCGTCGGGGTATTTGTCTAAGAGCTCTTCATGGAAGGAGGAGGAGGAGGATGGTGATGGTGATTCCATTGTCTTGGGGGGGTATGGATGGAGGGCGAGGTGTTATGTTGGGATGAGGTGGAAGTCAGAGGTTGGATTGGTTACTGGAATGGATGAGAAGGACAGTGGATGATGAATGCTTTGTTCTTGGCGTTTGTGGTTTTCGTTGGTTGGTAGTAGGTAATAAGTAGATGGTTGGGAATGACTGTCCAAGTATCTATCTATCTCTCTATGGATGGATACTAAGTAGAGGTTGGTAGAATTCATCCGATTCATTCAATTCAGTTTACCAATCGGGTTACAATGAAATGTGTGTATCTGCTACATCTTCACCATGATAGATGGCTAGCTTATTTTCTTAGTAGATTAGCAATTAAGGTATATATGCCTGTTATACTAAATCATATAACATCTGTGCTATATACATTTATGTATATGATCATGTACACACAAGATAGTCTCTAGCCGCGGTGGAAAACCCAGCAAAAACGAGCAATCCCAGTCCAACAAGAATCCCAATCAAGAAGTAGGAACATGCTGCAACCCCGAATCCGGCCTCTGCCGCACCCCAGGCGAATAGCACAGATTATAAAGCTCATCCACATAATTACTACACGCCAATCTACCCGCCACAACAGTCGTCTCCAGGATCTGTGGTTCCTGCTCAGGGTCCGCTGCTGGCTCCGGGGGCCTGGCAATATCGACTTTGATCTCCCTGCGGACCATGATGTCGCCTAGTGGGGTGAGAGGTGGTTCGGTGGAGACTGAGGAGCCTCGGGAGAGGAGCTTGGGTTCGATGCGAAGTTGTTTGCTATTTCTGGGTTGCTTCTTCTTTTTCGACCAGAAGCGGAGGGCGGAGGGGGAGGGGGAGGGGGAGGGAGAAGAGGAAGAGGAGGGAGAGGAGGGGGTGAGAGCTTCGAAGTTTGAGCGGATGGTCGAGTAGAATAGGTCTTGGCCTAGTTCTTTGGTGAAGTCGTCGCTGTCGGGGACGCCGTCGTTGACTTGTTGCTGGACGCGGAAGAGGCGGAGAGGGGTGAAGATGAGGTTTGGGTTCGAGACTCGGGTGTCGAGCGATGCGACGGTGCAGAAGGATAGGAGGGTGCAGGTTTTGGTGCTGTTGGAGTCTCTGAGTCCCCTGCAGGGGGCGATGAGAGGTCGTGAGGAGAACTTGGAGACGCTGTTGACGTTGGTTGGGAGGGACGCGTTGAGGGAGGATATGGCCTGGATGAGCTGCGAAGGGAAGTCGTCTACGTCTTTGTAGAATCTAGCGCGGTCTGACTTTAGCCAGCTTAGGCATGCGGTCATGGTCCAGCCTTCCATGCGTGCTAGTAGTGCTAGGTGCTGCGTGTCAAGGCGCTTGATTTGCAGTGTTGATGATGGTAGGGGGTTGCCCGTGCCTTTCGCTGTGAGTACCTGGAAGCGGTCGCGGACGGTCGGCCGCAAGACGAACGATACGAGATGAATGCCCGGCTCGAAGGCCCGGCTTGTGGCGGCGAAGTCTCGCATGTCCTTCAGGTGGAGGCCCAACGTTGTGGACGGGACGTGGATTCGGCGCGAAAGCACCCCCGTGACGTTCTCGATCGTCGTAAACCGGAAGCCAGACCCTGCGAGCCGTGATGCCTCCTGCTTGGTCAGTTTACGCACGGTAAACATCACCTGTCCTTTGCTGGTATGGAGCCGGGAATAGCCCATCATGCGAGACAAGTGGGAGTGCGGAGTGGTCGTCGCCAAAACATCGTCGTACAGCATCCCCAGGTCTTGTAGCGGCTGGCGAACCTCGTCGGCGAGATCTTGTGCGGCCACGCAGAAATGCCGCTTGAACAGACCATCAAAGTCCGGTTGCATCTCGGTGTCTTGCGCCGATGCCATCCCTTTGGAGATGTAGTGTTCCATCAGCGTCTCGTCCGATTCAATCCGACTTCTCATGAAAGGCACCGAGTCTTTCACTAATGCCCAGTTCCTGCTTGCGCGGAATGCCCACAAGAAAGCAGAATGCGTCCGTGTAAGATCGTCATCGTTGAATGTCTACATCATAGAATGTCAATAACTGGACTCCGCGAGACTATCATCAATCCACATACCTTGCCAACATACCGGTCCACCACTTTCCGACTGGGAAGAAGCGCATGCGGTGTGACCATGATACGCCCTGCATGGTCGAAGAAAGCACACGTGAGAGTCACCTGCTGTGCCTGGGTCCGCAGTCGTCTGCGGTTCCCACCAGCAACTATAGCACAGCCTGTTAAGACTCCGCACGCAATCAAGGACTATCCATTTGGTTATTATACAAGCACCTATAGCATGCATTTCAACCCACTTACAAAGACAAAACATATTATGGCAGTCTGAGACCGAGAGACCTGACCCTTCGGCTTGACAGTCTTGTCGTAATCTCGGTATAAGGTGCCGACGGTAGCGGTCCAGTGCATGCCCGAGACTGCACCAGCGAGGAAGACCCCACAGAGAACACGCCTCCACCAGCAGCCTACCCATGTCGCCTTCCATCGGAAAAAGATACCCAGAGCCACCGTGCTGGCGAGAATCGCAATAACGAATGAGCCGAAAAAATTGCCGACGTGGTAGTCAAGGTTGTAGTTGGAGATCCCCATCTGGCCAATGTAGTGCATCCCAAAAACCGCGGCGCCTGTCAAAGCACCCCCCGAGATGATGCGAAGGTAGCCAGCCTTCTCACTGGCCCCACCAGCGTAGAAAGCCGTGAACAGGATAAGTACCGGGCATACGAACGATAGCCCTGTATAGGGCACGCTGTATGAGATTTGGATGTGACTGTCCCCATTGCCGAGGATGATTGCCCGATTCCCTATGAAATGCATGCTCCAGATTCCAACGCCCCCCATTGCGATGGAGGATGTGAGAAGCAAGTACCTATTCCACTTGTCAGTAACCGGTTGTAAGACCAGAGTTAGTGTACCATACCAATTGTGGAACCCGGAGGCAGATGTGCGTCTGTGAAGAAGCTCAAGAGTGGTCGTGCATCCCATCACGCTGGTTACACATGAGAGGATAATGTGACGCAACATGTACGAAACGGCAATGTACTTGCCCGCATCTGGGGCTCCAGTGACCAACATGCTGCATATAAGAGGGCTAAGAGCACCTAATCTCACTGGTCAAGGCATTGATGGGATGGCGATACTGAGTCCCAGCTGGTTACAGAGTAGCTATGATGAATAGCGCATGAAGAACCCAAAAGGAAAGGCTTGACCAGGAGAACGTGCCAAGGGTCGAGCCTGAACCAGATGGAGATATCTGACGGCTGGTGGCCACAGGGAGACTTGGATATTATAACTCCAACCCCTCGGCAGTGGCGTACATACGAACGAAAGCTGAACTTCCACTAGGTCTCGAATAATCAACCATGGATGGTCTCATTGTTCCTGTCCACTTTGCCCCTTCAGCGTCCTAACTACACGCCATCTTGGACCCTAGCCCACGCTCGGTCCCGCTCTATGGAGACTAGCACGAGGGATCCAGGAATAAACCAAGAAGCGACATCAGAAGTCCCCATAATTCATAGATAAGGGATCTCGCAAAATCCGATGGCTGCCGGGATTGGATCTACAGATCGGATCACCCTATCTAGCAAGCGATGGGGTGGGGCGTTGGCGAGTCGCGATCCAGCCTTGGTCAAGGCGTCAAAATGGGCTATATCAGCCACACAACCATTGTGCCCGGGGTAACCGAGATTGGTCCTTGCGAATACGATGAGTTCATTTGGTATTTGCTTGACGCGAACTACCGGCCTGTACGTGGGTTACAGGAGTCAGGGGATTCAACTTCCACTGAGATGCATCTGCAGAGATCGGAGTTATCTCGATTTTATCCCGGACACAGGTTGTATGCCCACGACAGGCTGTGGGGAGTTCACAACTCCTCCACAAGAAGATCCAGACGTCCAAAGATGATTGGAACCTGGGATACTCGGTTGACATTTTCGCCAGCTGTGGGGGCCAGCGCAGCCAGTAAGAGTTCATTAGCTTGGACCCTGACTCGTTAGTGTAGATACAGTTGGTTGGTTTGCCAACCCATAAGATCGAATCCAATCGAGGCCATCAAGCAAGTGAGACATCTTAGCCTTCTAGGTAGGAGATAGCAGAAGGGGGTCCAAGTTGCGTGGATCATACAGTTCAATAAACCTGGTTGGTAGTTGGGTGGAGAAGAGATGGAGGAGATCCTGGCCAGATCCCTAGGAGCCTTAGGCGATCTCTCGTCTTGGCCTGAACGGGTGAGCCACCAAATTCAGGCGACCAAGTTATACCTCTTCATTCAGTCGCACAACATGCAAGTTCAACCACCATTTATCTCGCGAAACTGAAGCTATCCAGAGTTTCAATCAAGCGGATAACATCACTTAGTACCAAAAATAACAGCACCTGTTTATCACTCTAATCCAATCAGCTTGACTATCCTCGTGCATCTTGGTCAACTATAGATCGGAGAACACTACCGATCCATGATTCAAGATCTTTATGGGCAGTGACAACCTGCAGATAAACCAATCTAACCTCAATGATGCAAAACGGTTAATATATTCAACAGACAGTCTCCAGCCTCTCCCATGAAGGAAATTAACCAGACCAACGGCCAAATAGCAAGATTCGACATGTCACCTCGACTAATGTGATCTGCAGCCAAGACACATGACATCGAGGACCCTTTCAACCATTTCCTCCATGTCTATTTCTGTCACTCACCGTTTCCTTCCCTTCTTTCTTTGTGACACCCTTCTGCATCCTTCAAATCAGGTAGTTGTAACCTTCTTTGTCCCTATATGAGTTCCTTTTATAGTTAACCACCTCCCCAGGTATCCGTGCTCAGGGGCCATCCATCGGGGAGACTCGCTCCCGAGAGAACGAAGTTGAGGATAGGATAACCGCCTGCATCCACTGTTACACACAGTATCCCTAGTGCTAACGAACGCGGCTTTGTTTCGTACTCGCGAATTTGAGTCCCGTAGCATCTATCCAACTTATGAGGCGACAGCTCAACTATTTCTCCAACCGGTGAGAGCCCAGGCCCGTCCTGTGATTACTATTCTTGGACACACTTCAAGAACCCCCGTCCGTACCTGTCCGTCCTTCATAATCGCCGATAATGATCAATACAGACGGGCTCCGACGAGCGAGTCGACGGTAGAGTCATTTCGAGCATGACCGGTGCACAACGCGCATACACTGCTTAATAGTGGGATATGGCCGAGTTATCTTATCAAGCCATTGGCATCTCATTGCAGTGGTTGTCTCATCTGACAAGGGGCGCTAAAATGGGTAAAACTCTGGCCGGTTTGCTTGAAACGGGCTCTTCTTGAATAGCAGCACAGCACAGCACTACGAAATCTGATCTCATATTTGCCGTCCCATCTCCGTGAACTATTGACGATCCAGTCTCGTTTCACAGATTGACTAAAACGTTGATTGCAATTGCCTTACAACTGTATCTGGTTAGAGGAGCTAAGGATCAGAGCGCTCATTCCGGAGAACAAATATAGAAAAACAAGAAATAAACTTCCAATATAAGGTATTTTAGATTGATTCCTGCAGGGTGACACTCTACTGACTCTTGACAACATATCAACCTCGTATTATTCCGTTTGCGAGAGAATCCTCTGCCTATCTGTCCAGACAGTGGAGGGGCAATTTGGTAGCCATGATCAACCAGTTTGAGAAAGGATGCTTGAGTATTTATACTACGTCTTTCACTATCACATGTAGTGGACAATTGAGACAGTGTAAATTTTCTATTCCATAACTCCAGATCCCAAAATGCTAAGCCAGTCTAGATACATGTTACAGAATTCCAAAAAAAAAAGAAGAAAGAAAGGAAAAACACATCATAAACCCCCAAATGTATAACCTATTCGCTCCGTATCTCCGCAAGCCCCTTTCCAAAATATCCTTGAACCTTAGAGTCCCGACCAAGCATGGCCTTGGAGCTCCGACCAGGCATGGCCTTGGAGTTCCGACCAGGCATGGCAGTCATCGTCCTCAACTTCTCCTTGATAGACGTATATCCCACGCCCTCAACCACCATGCGCAGCGCCTCGAGGATCATCCTCTCCACAACCTGAATCCTCTCCGCGGGGACGCACTCGGTGTCGTGCTCGAGCCGCATCAGAATCGTCCCGTTGGAAACGGCGCAGAATTCAACCAGAAGCGCAAACTTGGAGCCCTTGTTGTACGTGATTACCGGGTCCAGCCCGTCCACGGGCATCTTGGGCGATGTGCGGTCGTCGTGGAAGGTTACCATCACGTCTAGAAGCGGGTGGTCGGGGAAGGTTGGGCGAACGCCGACGGCCTCCAGCAGCTGGTTCCAGGGGATGGCATGGGCGATGGCCGACTGGCTCGCCCGCTGTACCGCGCGGACGAAGGATTGAGTCGAGGCGGCGCTGGTGTCCCGGGTGCCTGGAAACTGGATGCGGATGGGGATCGGCTCGAGGAAGAGTCCGACGGTCTCGAGGTCGTCTTGGCCGCGGTTGAAGTAGGGTCCGCCGAGGACGATGTCGCTGTCGTTGCGGGTGCACTGGAGCGCTAGGGCGACTGCGGCTAGGGCTAGCTGGTGCAGCGTGGTGCTGGTGGCTTCGGAGAACTGGATGGCGCGCGTGGCTAGGGTCTTGCTTAGCTTGGCCATGTGGGTCTGGCCGCCGTAGCTGGACCGGTGGGTGAGGTTGGGAATGCTGTAGTCGCGGTGTGTGACGGCGCCGTCGAGATACTGCGTCCACCAGGCGGTCTCGGCGGTTGTCGCCGGGGTGCTCCATTGGGTGGTCTCGTGGTAGCGGCGCCTGATGGGCCCCAGGCCCTGGCCGCGATACAGACGGATGACTTCGGCCAGGATGACCTGCAGGGAGGTCAGATCGGCGATCAGATGGCTCATCGAGGCGAGCATCATTGTCTTGGACACGATGACCCGGATCGGGTGTTGGCGGTCGAGATGGAAGGGGCGGTTGGCCTCGCGCCAGAGGTTGAAGGCCTGCACCCGCATCACCTGCGGGGAATAGCGAGCGTATACGCGGCGGGGTCCCTTTCCGCGGTAATCGAGGTGTGAGCGGCTGCGGAAGATGTCGTGGCGGGCGAGGACGGCGTTCCAGCAGGCGATCAGCTGGTCGACGTCGACTTTGGAGCTGTCGATCTTGCAGGCGAACGTCACATTGAAGGCTGATGTACCCAGCTCGAGGTGATACTTGTCCAGCCATTCACACTCGATGGGAGACATATTGTTGCGGCCCAGGGGCTTGAGGGCTTGTGTCTGGGTCGTGGGCACGTTCGTGATAAGGCCGTCGAGCGTCTTGGCCAGCTCGGAGAGATTGGCCGACTCGACGATGCGGGTGACGGGCATCTTCACGCCATAAGCCTTGGAGATCTTGCTGGCCAGGCGCAGCTGGACGACTGAGTGCCCGCCCAGGGAAACAAAACTGGACTCGGGAGTAACAATGTCCGAGTCAGAGCCCAGGGAGAGCAGTTCCTTCCACAGATCGGCCAGGGCTATCTCGGTCTTGCTCGACAACTGCGACTTCTTGGAAGCTGCCGGCTGCGGGGGGGCTGCGGTGCACTGGTTGGCAATCTCCTTGTAGTCGAGCTTGCCGGCAGGGGTCATGGGGAACTTGTCGACGACCATGATGCGACGAGGCATGGCGTGCACAGGGAGCACCTGGGACATGCGGCTGCGGACATCGGCCACATCGAGAGTCTCAGGCTGAATCATGGCGACCAGGTAGTCGTCCTTAGGGCAGATGGCGACGGCCGTAGACTCGTGGATGGCTTGCGCCACACGGGTCTCAAGGTCGTTGAGGTCGGTGCGATAGCCGCGCAGCTTGATCTGGCGGTCGTTGCGGCCCAGACATTCAACCTGACCGGATCTTGTGAAGAAGCCACGGTCTCCAGTGCGGTACATCTTCTCTCCGGGACGATTGGTGATGGTGTCGGGCAGGAAGCGCTCGGCGGTCAGTTCGGGGCGTTGAATGTATCCATTGGCCACCTGCACCCCGGCACAGTAGATCTCTCCCACGACCCCGGGAGGCAGGAGCTGCTGGCTCTGGCCGAGAATGTAGATGCGAGTGGTGGGGTTGGGACCGCCAATAGTGACGGTTTGGCCGGGGAGCAGACGCGTGATGGTGGCACCGCAAGTGGCCTCTGTGGGGCCGTACATGTTGTATAGCGTGGTGGCAGAAGACCAGACATCGTTGACATACTGGGGCACCTGCTCGCCGACTAGATAGACGGTTCGGAGATCGGGGAAATCCTTAGGGGTGAGGATCTTGGCGACAGAGGGGGTCAGGATCGCAGCATTGCTCTTCTTCAAATGGGCAAAGGGGTTGACCCCCTCGGCCAGGACGAGCGTGGCTCCGTAGCACAGGGCGGAGAAGATCTCGTGGATGCTACCGTCGAAGGCCGGGGACATGAGCTGCGAGATGCGCTGGCCGGGAGCAGCAAACAGTCTGACTTCGAGGTCCGACTGGAAGGCAACCAGTCCGGCATGGTGGCACATGACGCCCTTAGGCTTGCCAGTCGAGCCGGAAGTGAAGCACAAGTAGGCGTTGTCTTCGGGACGGGGGCCGGGGCGATGACTGGGAACAAGATCGGCGGGAATTTCTTGAGTCAGCTCCTCGACAGACAGGCAGCGGTTGCAGGTGTCGGGCTTGAAGTGCCTCTGGGATTTTTCCGGCACGAGATAGAGCGTTCCACCAGCGGTCTGGAAGTTGACGCTGCGGATGTGGTCAGGCAGGCCGGGTTCTTGCGCAGAGTACACGCCACCGGCCTTGAGGATCCCGTAGATGGCGATGATCCAGTTGACCGACCGGTCTGCCAGCACACAGACGACTTCGCCCGGCTGGATATCCATCCGCTCAGCCAGGACGGTGGCCTTTCGGTCCATCTCAGCGTAGGTCAGCTGGACGCCGGCCTTTTCGACCGCAATGCCCTCGGGGGTTTCGCGAACCGCACGCTCAAACAGCGTGACGAGATCGTCGTGGATGGAGCTAAGCGAGGTCAAGTCGTTGTTGCAGTTGCCGAACTGCATCAGCGTGTCCCTACAGCCGTCGGTCATCAGCCCTGCCATGGACTGGCCCATGGACTGATCTGACAGCAGGGAGAGGATGGCATTTTGGAAGTGGTCAGCCAGTAGTTGGATGTCTTGACGGTTGTACTGCTGCGGCCGGAAGCAGAGACGGAGAGTGCCGTCGTAGGTGGTGTAGACCGACAGTGGAGTGTCGGGGACTACGCGGAACCAGGACTTCTCCACTGGGCGGACCGGGCAGTCGTCGGTCGCCTCCATCTCAAACTCCATGGCAATTGCCGAGGTGAAGTGTCTGCTGTAGCCGTCGTCGGGCAGAGAACTCTGGACCGTAGCCAGCTGCACAGAGTGGGCAAAAATGGTGCGCAGGAAGTCGCGGGTCGACATCTGGCGATCCAGGGCAACGTGGAAGGGAAGCACATTGAGTAGAGGGCCAATGGTGTCCTGCACGCCCGCGATGGGAAGGTTGCGGCCAGACAGGACGGTGCCAAAGACGACCGAGTCCGAGTCGGCGTAGAGGGAGAGGACCATGGCCCAGGCGGCGTGATACCAGGCGGCCAAGGAGACTCCGGTCTGACGGGCGTGGGCGGAAATCTCGGCGAGCGGAATGGAGAATGCGATGCTGTCGATTCCAGCGGGTATCTCCTCCCGGACAGGGGGGAGGACGAGCTCTCCGACGGGCTGCGGATGCTGCTTCTTCTGCTGAGCCCAGAACTGCTGGTGCTTCTGCTGGTCTTCCTGCTGCAGACGGCGGAGGTCATTGGCGACGCTGCGGAACGGAGTGCCGGGGGTGATGGTGCGGCCTGCAATGACATCGCGGACCTTGCCGTGGACGAGCTGACCAGACATGCCGTCTACAAAGGCGTGGTGGACGCGCCAGACGATAGTGCTGATGCCGGCCGCCGGGAGAGTAACAATGTCAAAGGAGCATTCGATTCCCCCCGGATCGACATCCTTGCGCAGAGCGACCTCATACTCTTCCCGAGAGGAGACAATCGTTTCGGTCCACTTGAACGGAGCGGTGGGCTGTTCGTGGCAGTCGTCCGCGTCAAAGAACATGCGGAAAATGTCCTCCGTCTGGATGACGTTCTGCCAGGCGGCCTTGACGATGGGGAGATGAGTAGTCTGGTAGGTCTCGAAGAAGTTGATCATGTTGGATCCGGGCGATGTCTGGTGGCTGTGGAGGAAGGAGAGCTGCATTTCGGTCAGGGTCGCGTCGGCACACGCTGTGACTTGCTCGATTCTCTTTTCAACCATCCGAGGTTGAGATGGAGGTTGAGTCAGAGTCTCAGTCTGAGTCTCCGTCTGAGTCTGAGTCTGCAACGGAGGTGCAACAACGGCAGAGGCGATGAGATCGGACATAGAAGGGCTCAGGAGAATAGACTCAAGGGTCAACTGGATGCCATCCTTGCTACAGGCGGAAGCCAGTCCGAGGGCGACCAGCGAGTGGCCACCGAGATTGACGAAGCTGGAGGATAAATCGATGCTCTCGACGGGGAGCTCGAGAAGACGAGCGGCGTGATTGATGATGGTGGTCTGCATTTTGTAGAAGTGAAGTCCTCAAGTGGTGGGATGTCTGAATGAATCGCGACGATTGAGGGGCCTTATTTGGGCTGTGTTATATTGTAGCTGTAACGCTATTATTGTTATTGATGCTGATGATGACGGTGCTATGGTCGATCCAATTCTCCCCCCTTATATATCCATCTCATGGAGGTCGTAGACTGAGACCGTCTGGTCGACACAAAACAGCCAAGGTCATCTCCTCGTCGTGTCAAAATCTCACGAAAGCTATGTAAGCTCCATCGCAATGTCAGCACGAGATGAAGCCGCCTCCGATCCATCTCCGGATCTAGTTAGAGATGCCATAGACAGATTTCGGACTCGATCGAATATTTCGTCCGTCGCAGACTGACTAAGTTCGGCGTTCTTCCAGGGTATATCTAGGGCCTCAAACCGAGCACCGCCCAGCCTAAAGTCGGATCCATCGCGTCGGATCCGGCTTACCCTTGACTAATTTACCCCATATACTATAGAATCAGGGTAGATGAAAGAGTATATAGGTCTAGGTCTGACTTCTTTCTCTTCGCTCGTTGAAATTCATATCATCAACACGCAACTAACTATACGGACAGCCCAACACAGAGTCTCACAAACAGTTATACAATGGCTCCTCCGAAAATTGCTATTATCGGCGGTAAGTATCTCGATCAATATTCTCTTTATCTTCTATTCTATGATATCCAATGCTCACTTCTCCAGCCGGTCCGGCTGGCCTCACTCTGGCCCGTCTCCTCCAGGCCAGCAACATCCCCTGCACTGTCTATGAAGCCGAACTCGACCGCCACGCCCGCACGCAAGGCGGCTGTCTCGATATCCACGAAGGCTCCGCCCAGATCGCCCTGCGTGAATGTGGTCTCTACGACCAGTTCCTCGCCGTCGCTCGCACCGAAGGAGAGGTCCTCAAGATCTACCAGCCCGACGGCACGCTCGTTCTCGACGAAGGCTCCGACTACGGCGAGCGCCGCCCCGACTCCTTCAACGGCCGGCCGGAAGTTGACCGCGTCGAGTTGCGCAACATGCTAATCGACTCGCTCGAGCCGGCCAGCCTCAAATGGGACCACAAGCTCACGGCTGTCAAGACGGAGGCCAGCGGCGCCCGTCTGTTGTACGACCTGCACTTCCAGGACCACGTCGAGACCGGCTTCGATCTCGTCGTCGGCGCAGATGGCGCCTGGTCAAAGGTCCGCCATATCATTACCGACACCCGGCCCGTGTTTTCCGGCATCAGTGGCGTCGATGTCAAGTACAGCGACATTGACACCGCCGATCCGGCGCTCGCCAAGCGGGTCGGCAACGGCATGTGTCTGACCCTAGGCAGCCACACCACCGTCCTGTCCCAGCGGAACGGCGATGGTTGCGTACGGAGCTACGGCTTCATGCGCCTGCCCGAAGACTGGCACTCCACCTGCGGCATCGACTGGACCAAACCCGAGGAGGCCAAGCGCCAGTTTGTCAACCGGTACTACGACGGCTTCAACGACGACGCAAAGAACCTGATTCTCGACGCCGACAACGATGTCGTTCCTCGCCCCATGTACATGCTGCCGGTCGGACACCGGTGGCTGCACCGTGCTGGGTAGGTCTCCCTCAGACAATGATTATAATCATATGGATGATACTAATGAGGCAGTGCTACTCTCATCGGCGATGCCGCACACTTGATGACCCCCTTTGCCGGTGTTGGCGTCAACGTCGGCATGGAGGATGCCCTAGAACTGGCCCACGCCATCATTGCTTCCAAAGCTAGCTGGGAAGAAGTACAGCCATTCTCGAACGTGTCTGGGCTTTCTGCGGCCATCCGTCAGTATGAAGAGAACATGTTCCCTCGGGCCGAAGGATACGCCCGAGAGACACGGATGTACCTGAATCTCTTCTTTAACAAGCGAGGGGGGCATGCCATGTGCGAACACTTTGCGCAGGCCAAGGAGCAGGAAAAGGCTGCTGCTGAAGGGCAGAAGAACGGGATAGCGGTGGAAAAGGCGATTACTGTTGAATAGAATAGATACCTTTGGATTAGGAGCTGATTATGTTGACGAATAAGCGCTTATGATATCCAATATACCCCAAGTTATTATCAACTACTTCGTTGCTAAAATGTCATAGCTAATCAGAGATGGGGAATTGTCAAAATTTGTGGAAGTGCATGTCAGCTGACTTAGAGTCAGCTCGGTGCGTATATATCTTCTAAGAATACTTGATTCTCTGGGCAGCTCGAAGGCTTTCTCTTTCCGATTTAGCGCTCACTGAGTAGACCTGAGCGCACCCTGAGCGCCATGAGCTGATCACTGAGTAGAAGCTGAGTAAAAGCTGGGCAGAGGGGTGAGTAGCCTGTGTAGGGTCGTCTGAATAAAAGACCTCATGCTAGAGTGACACTATTGTCTATTTTCTCTTGCAGTGCTCTTGACTCTCATCTGCTTTTGCTCACTCAAGAAAGAGGTCGCGCATTCTGCGAAGAGTGCGCTTCGAAGCATTCCATCGATCTTGAGGTGGTCGATCGTTGTGTTGCCAAAGATGGGGGGAAATACGGGTATATGCTACTTCGGGAAAGTGTTCGACGTTCTGTCGATGTAAGTGAAGAAAATTTGCCCAGTGTAGTTGCTGACTACAATCCCCTTGTTTCATTATTGTTAATCTACGATATATGATCTGACGCCGCTGGCTGAAAAGGTGGGTGTGCGTATCAGTGGCACAATTCGATTGAACGAGGAAATCTATTGCATCCGGGATAAGGGCGTTTGAATAGACTGTCCTAACGACGCTAGTGTTGATGACTGAACAAGTGCATAGTGCAGGGACAGACCTGTGATACTTGATTGGTGACATTTCAGCTTCGTGGTGAATAGTCGTGGGACAGGGAGGGGCTTGAGAGGTAAGTGAATAGTCGTGGGACAGAGGGGGGGGGCTTGAGAGGTGAATGAATTGGCATACGCTGGGTTTTAAGTTGGGAACATAGGTGTTAAGTGCTATCACATAGCTACTATGCAGTGGACCGGGAAGGAAATGTGGTCTTTTGGACTGTCTAAGCTGCTGCTCCTGGTATATTGTAGTAGGTCTCTACTTTGTCTTCTTACATGTTGGCGGTATACCCTATCCACTGGACAGAGTCTTCAGTCATGCCCGAGTCTCACGAATAGTATACTATTCATGATACAATGTTTTCCTTTTCTAACTCGATATGACCACCAGAGAGTGAGTGGACTTGCTCTTATCAGGGTCTAATTAGACCTTCTTCTTGACAAGCACACCCTGAATCCTAGGCAGCAAACTAAACGGTTCTTCAGGTTCTTCGATCTGGTGCGGATTTTCCCACTCTCCACAATCGAGAATGTCCGCCAACACATTCCGGGTCAAATGACATCCGACAAATGTGCTCCAGGCAGGATTCCAGCAAGCTAAGGTTCCTTCATGTTAGCCGGTCTGCATCGCTCGTCGTGTCCTCCACTAGAGAACAAGCATCTATAGAGTCCACCCAGAAAAGAATAACAGCTGGCAGAGACAGACATACCTTGCGCTACAGTCGTCAAACGGTCTCTGCTCCATCCGTGTTCCCAGAAGATAAACTTGCCCCCAGGTCTGAGCAGCTTCCACACCTCCTTCATCACGTTCTTTGGATCCTTTACGGCACACAGGACCTGGATGCATAGCACGGCATCCAAACTCCCGTCCGTGATTCCCTCTTCTCTCAGAACATCGCTATCTTCAACGCCACAAACTATAAGCTTATACCTATCCCGCAGAGTATGCTTGTCCAAGTTGGCATTGATGTCTTTTCCAAAGTGGGGGTTCGGTTCAACACCATAGACCTGTTTGACAAGAGAGGTATCGTAACGATGAATCTGATTGCCTGGCCCAGGGCCCAGTTCGAGAACAACGCCGCTAGCGGCTTGTACGAGCGAGGGAACAATGGTTGTGTCTTCGTAAGCGATAAAATTGCCAGCTGCGCATGATGGTCAGTCTACTTTGTACACGAGTTGAGTGAAGGGACGATATGACGAGTGGGTTAGGTTACAGGTTATACTGAGCAACTTTGCTGAAGCGGCATCTCGAATTTGTCGTGGGTGGCCAAGTGCGGCGAGACCTTCTCGACGAACCGCTTGTGTCAAAGCTTCCCAGTGCACTGTAGGGTTGGGGATGATTAGTCGAGTTGTAGAAGGAATTGGTGGCGGGGGTGACAAAGACTTACGGCAAATGGAAAACCAGATCAGGCCCCATGGACGGAGAATGGAAGCAAGGCGGCCAGGTTTGGGGGGCATGGCTATCTACGTGATGTCGAACCTTAAGAAGGCGTGAGGTCGATATATTCGTAGAATAGGGACGAAATTTGTATCGGGAAGAAAACAGACGTTGGATGTTGGTGGACGAGTCCCTCGAGTGTCACGGTTAGCAGTCTATATCTATATCAGCCTAGGTTGGACCTCTCAAGGCGATCACGTACGGTTCGGGGCTCATGTAGTGTACGGGGGTCGACCGGAGGTTTTCACAGTGGAGCGCGTCGAATAGATCGAGGCAACAGGAGACTCATTTGCACCTCGACGACCTGTTCATGAGGACTTATGGCGCAATCTAGCCTAGTTATTAGGATGAGGGTAAGCTGAGCGAAAAGACCCCAACGCTGAACCGGTACTGACTAGTATTGAATCCTTAGCTGGGCTTTTGATACGCTACTCTTGGGGTATTTTCTGGTCACTGGAGTTTTTCTCTGTAATAGTGATTTATAGTATAATATAAACAAACACATAAGTTAAATTTTCATCTTTATTTTGTATCTATCTTTTTTATTGTTGACAGTGAGTCCCGATAAACATTGATCTTGTCACCACCGAGCCGGCCACCTTGTTTTGCATCAATAACACACATATCTATGCATATAAGAATTTGTCCACAATTGAGGCTTTATTGAACAGCCCAAGTATGTGACTCCAACTCAGTGCAATCGATCTCTGATCATCGTAGCAACAGTGGAACTACCAACCCCCCGATACATCTAGAAGACAAACGAATCGCAGAAAGCGATAAGACCAAAGACTAGTAACTATGGGGTCCATCCAGGCGGCCATGCATTTGTCCTCTACTCTCCAGGATGGAAGAGACGTTGTTCATGGCGCTCTCGTGGAACGCTTCGAAGTCTGACTACGTTAGCAGAGATCAACGAATCTACGATCAAAGACATACCGGACGGAGTCGAAAAGCAGGAGTAGATATTCCACAACCAGTGAGTCCTATTCGGACCGACCGCGCGGACCTCCATGTACTCCCAATACCCGGCGATCTGACCTTGTTCGCCGTTGGTTTGATTATAGTGGAACGGCGTGTCGACCATGTCGTACTTGATCTGAAAGCCGGAACGGAAGGGGAGTTGTTTGTACATGGTCAACTGGTTTCATCAGCGTGGTTCTATTCATGGTGTCATGATTCATACCCGCTCCGTGGCAGGAAAGGCGGCCGTGTTGGGAAGCTCCCCCATAAGTGTACGGTCAGCGCCGACCATGTAGGGGTGGCCCGCTGTCTTGATGGGGCTCGAGCCGAACCAGGCAGTTTCGAAGTCTGTCCATTAGTTACCGGGGACAGAATTTGTGGAAGGGGACTTACAGTTGCCGGTGATGGCGGTTACATCTTTGACGGTAGCAGGATACCGGGCCCAGGTCGTGCTATTTACAAAGGTTGTGCCGGAGGGACAGGCGCACGCGCGAGGAGTGGCGGCACTGCAGAGGGGCAGGACCCGGGTGGAAAGGGGTATGGCGAGGGCGGAGAAGATGAAAGTAGCAAAGGCAAAGAGCTGCATGTTGAAGAGATTATCGTGGAGTAGATTGAGGGGTTGGAGTTACTCAAGAGTTGAGTCTATTGGGCTGTTGTGTTGTGCTGCTCTGCTGCTGCTGGTGAGAGATGATCGGCGTTAAGCATGTTTATATAGTTTATTCCCCTCTTCTTCTCTGTCTTCATACTTTCTGTTTCTGTATACAAGGCTATACAAGACATATCGGACCTAAAGTTTGAAACAGTTGGAGTGGGCGATAAGCACCGAAGTCATTCTCGAGGGCCTGAGGTAAGGCTGACGCAAGAATATAATTCAATTCGAATCAATGGATGTTTGAATTATGGATATAATCTGAATAAGAATGTCAGATCTGACCCAGTGAAAGGAAGTTGTCCAGCCACCCATATTGGACATGGATACACTGACCAAGTCAGCCCTATTGTCCTACCTACACATATATATGAACTCTGACGGTCATCACGAACACCGGAGCATCAACGTCGGACCCCAAACATCACACTCGACCCGGATCCGAACGACTGAAGGACCAGAATCAGGTTGAGAATGCAGTAGAGCTAGGATGCAGAGTATATGTAAAATGAATGATTGGAAATGAACGAGCATCTTCGTCTATCACATTCTTATCTACTGTCATAATGGTCACCACGATGGATCTAGCCAACGGAGAAACTGTTATCGAAACCCGAGATCGCCAGCCAGAGTTCCAACAACACCCCTCCTTCATGAATCCTCGCATATTTGAACTCGCGGGCGAATCGTCCTGTCCTCGCCAGGCCCCTGGTGGCTGGCCAGAACTGCCACCAGCCCGCTGGCATCAACGACCCGGCCGCAACGCCAGCAGAGTCGGTAGTCTGAGCCGAAACCTCAGCGTCCCTAGTGAAGTCTTTCACGATGCCATCGAACCCCAAGGATGGGGGACGAATGGGCTAGGAAGTCCCGCCACGAACAAAGAACTGCGCGAGTCGATTGTCGTTCAAGCAGAACCAGAACCAGGGTCAGGGGATGGCGAAAAGAATAGACACATCGGAAACGAACCGCCACAAGAACCACCAAAAGAAACCCACCGGCATGGACCGCGGGTGTGGATGGTTATGGTTGCGTTGTGTATAACGAACCTTCTTGTCGCGCTGGAAGGGACGGTGATATCCACGGCGCTGCCTACCATTGTTCATGATCTGGGCGGAGGACAGGCATATGTCTGGGCGTCGACCGGATATTTCCTCACCAAGTAAGTCTCCATCTACTAATATGCGTTGATAGATGCTAATGAGCACGCAAAGCACCGTCTTCCAACCGCTGTATGGCCAAATGGCAGACGTCTTTGGCCGTCGATGGCTCATCATTTTCGCCGTTGTCATGTTCATGGCAGGCAGCGCAATCAGCGGCGCTGCGCCCACCATGGGCGCTCTCGTCGCCGGCCGCGTTATCCAGGGCATCGGCGGCGGAGGCATCACTATTCTCGTCAATCTGATCGTCTGCGATCTGGCCCCCTTGCGGGAGCGAGGCAGTCTGATGGCCGTGGTCTTTGCCTGCATCTCCGTCGGCACTTCCCTTGGCCCCATAATCGGCGGCATCATCGTCCAGCGCACCACCTGGCGCTGGGTCTTCTATCTCAACCTGCCTATCGGAGGCATTGCGCTAATCCTACTCTGGATCTTCCTCCAAGTCGGCACCCGCGACAGTTCGTCCCTCCGTCACCGGTTAAAGCAGATCGACTACGGCGGCAACGTTATCTTCATCCTTGCCATCTCCTTCATCCTCGTTGCGCTGGCATACGGAGGCACTCAATGGGCGTGGGGCTCCTACCCGACCATCATCTCCCTCATCTTCGGTTTCTACGGCGTCGCCGTCTTCGTCTTTTACGAGCAGAGCAATTTCTGCCCGGTGCCCACACTTCCCATGCGTCTCTTTGCCCGTCGCACCTCCGCCACGGCGCTAGCCATCACCTTCATCCACTCCATGCTCACCCTTCTCGGCATCTACTTCCTCCCCGTCTACTTCCAGGCCGTCCTCCTCGCCTCTCCGATCCGGTCCGGCGTCATGATGCTGCCCACGGTGCTGGCCCTCGTCCCCTCCTCGGTCATCAGCGGTATCCTCCTCTCCAAAATCGGCCGCTACACACCCTTCCACTTTGCCGGCTTTGCCCTCTTCACCCTCGGCTTTGGCTGCTTCTGCACGCTGAATGTTCACTCCCCCACCGGCGCCTGGGTCATGGTGCAGTTTGTCGTCGCCCTCGGCTCCGGCTTCTCGCTCAGCACCCTGCTGCCCGCCGTCCAGGCTGAGTTTTCCGACCAGGACACGGCTGCGACCACCGCTGCGTGGGCGTTCGTGCGCCAGTTCGGCGTCGTGTGGGGCGTTTCGGTCCCGTCGGCTATCTTTAACGCCCAGGTGGACCACTACCTGCCGGGGGTCAGCGAACGTTCGGTGCAGAAAACGCTGAGTGGAGGCGCCGGGTACGAGCACGGAACGAAAGAGTATGTCATGTCGTTGACGGACGACGTGCGAGAACAGGTCATCAGGGTTTATTCAGACAGTCTTCGGGTGGTGTGGATCTTTGCCACGGTCATGGCTGGAGTTGGGCTTTTGCTGGTGTTTTTGGAGAAGTAAGTTTGTCTCTAATCTCTCTTGATTCTCTCTTTTATCTCCATTTTATGGCATTACTGACTGTTTAGGGAAATCCCATTGCGGACAGAGTTGAGTACCAAGTATGGTCTCAAGGACGATCCCAAGAGAGAGAGCCAGGAGCCGTTAGTTAAGAGAGAGGAGGCGTAGCATCTGGTCTCTATTGTGTCTATTATTATTGTTAGCATTTGACTTTGACGATACGAACTATGACCTACTCTGAATTTTTATTTCGAGACCATCATCCTATAGAATTGATTACATGACTCTATTCACACTTGCATTCCATGTGAGACTAAATCAACAATTATTCCAACAATCTATGAATAACAACAAGAAATATATCTTTTAGAATATCCAAAGAAATATATATATATGTATAATTTATGAGCTTTATCTATAGCATATCGTGATACCCTCTGAATTTCTAATATAACAGTGTTAAATCAAGTTAATCCTAGCTCGATTTCTCTTTGGTTTTGCGAATGATGGGATCTATAACTGCTGGGTATATTTGTCAATTTGAGCCCTATACCAATCGTTGGTCAATATTTTGGTATAGCGGTATTGAGACAGCCCAACGCACAACACTCAGGGACCCAAAACCGCTGTGGATGCTGACCCCTGCCACGGAAGCGCACCACTGCGGATCCGGTGTGGTTCGGTGCTTTTCCTATGACTGTCAGAATTATCTTATCAGAAACATAGTCTTATATCTGAAAACTCTATCTTATTCAGACCTACGTATAGAATCTGACTGAGGGTGAGTCCGTCGGATCCGATGCACCACCACTGAATGGCCCCGGGGGCGGTTTTTTTTATGGATTATCATATATTAGCCTCGTTCATCAGTATAAACCAGTGGAAATGGCTGATCAGCATTGACGCAATCATATCAACATGGCTCTCTCTAGCATGGCCGGTCAGGCGCTTATGGTCCTTGTTGTCTTTGTCGCAATCAAATTCCGCACTTCCATCGGCAACGCCATCAACAGACTTATTTCCATTGCTATCAGAGTTTGTCTGTCTCTTCTATAAAATTGTATCCTCGACTAACCCTCTAGTTCCACCTTTCTCGTAGCTATCCTGTCCAGCATGTCGACGACAAACTCCCTCTGCCCACACTGCCCTACCGATGGCCTGACAGTCAAGGCGATGGCGCCAAATTCCTCCAGGGTCAGTCCAACTCGGAGCGCTGGGAAAAGCAGCTGGGCTCCATTTACCGTCTTTGGTCTGGCATGAATCCCGAAGTGTACATTCTATTCCCTTTCTATTTCTACATTGATGTACAGATTGATATACTAACAGGACAGTGTCCTCACCCGCCCCGAACACATCCAAGCCGTCTTCAAAGACTCGCACAAGCACCTCAAGGCCAAAAACAACAACTCCGGATACTTTCTTGGCCAGCTCCTTGGCCAGTGCGTTGGTCTCGTCAGCCAGGACCAATGGACTCGTGTCCGTGCGATCATGGAGAAGCCCTTCCACCGCAGCACCTCCACCACGTACATCCCCCTCATCCGCCGCCGCACCCAGTCCTTCTTCCAAGAGCTCTGGGACACGCGTGATCTCTCCCGGGGCCTCCTCGATCCCGCCGACGACCTCAAGCTGCTCCCATTCCTCGTCGTGGCCGAGATCGTCTACGGCCGGCTGGCCCCCGAGATTGAAAATGAGCTGCGCAGTCTGGCTCCCCAGCGCGAGAACCTCATGAAATACGTCATGAAAGGCGGTCTCACGCGCTTCGCCTGGTCGCAGTATCTGCCCACCCAGGCCAACCGCGAGCTGGCCGCCTTCCAGAAGCAATGGCTAGCCTTCAACGAACGGGCCCTCAGCAGCGCAGTCAAACAGGGCCTCCACGACGCCCCCATCGTCCACTTCTTCGCCGCCCGAGACGCCGGCGAGCTCTCCACCGCAGAGCTCCTGCACACCCTCGACGAGATGCTCTACGCCAACCTAGACGTCACGATCGGCGGCGTCAGCTGGAACGTCGTCTTCCTCGCCGCCAACCGCGCCATCGCCACCCAGCTGCGCCAGGAAATCGCCGACGCCCGCTCCTCCTCCGTCGCCGGCGACCTCGACGCCTACATCCTCTCCAGCTCGACCCTCCTAGCCGCCTGCGTCGAAGAAGCCGCCCGGCTGCGTCCACTAGCAGCCTTCTCCGTGCCCCAGGCCATCCCTACCGCCCGCTCCGTCGGCGGGTACCACTTCCCCGCGGGGACCAACTTCGTCGTCGACTCGTACGCGCTCAACATCCGCAATCCGTACTGGGGGGACAGCCGCTACGAGTACCGGCCTGAGCGGTTCCTGGCGCGCAGTCCGACGCAGGCGCGGTACCATTTCTGGCGGTTTGGTTTCGGGCCGCGGCAGTGTATGGGTAAGTTTGTGGCTAGTAATGTTATCCGTGAGATTCTTGTGCATTTGGTGGAGAATTATGATTTGGGGATGGCTCGGCCGGAGGCGATGGAGGCGTGGGGCCGGAATCCGGAGGTCTGGATTAATCATCCGGATATGCAGGTCAGCTGTGTGAAAAGGGATAGAGGGTAGATGATAGAGGATGGAAGGATAGAATGAATATAAAAGAGGGAGTTACGTGTTGGAGAGATCAACTTGCGAAGTAGTATATATTTCTGGCCTAGGTAGGATTATACAGGCACAATATCATATCTATAGTTGCATATTGCTCATACCCTAATTATCTAGATATCCAAGGAGACAGTAAGTTTAAACAAGAGAACGCTGTATTGAGATGACCAAAATGGTGTCAAGACGGCAGACCAGTATGGAGTATCCTAAGTGAGCATGACCGATCACCGAGCGCTCAGGCTATGCGCCTGTTAGGCTGGAGGTCTCTCGGGCCTGTTGGCCATCGTTGACGATCCTTGAGATCAACTCTACTGTCCATTCTTTGCTTTTTTCAACGATCCCTTATGTTACATCGTCATGTTTCCAATTTTCTTATTGTTTACTCTCTTTTTCTTTCTCTCCTTAGCTTGTCCTTCTTGTTCGTACAGTTCCCCCTTAGGACATTAGGCGTGTTTCTTACATCGGACTACGCCTTGTAGTCATCAATCCACGATTACTCTTACTAGTACAGAGCCAGGTCGTGACACTAGACCAATCATGATATACTTCAGAGTTCCCAGAAGACTAAGATTCGGTGATCGACAGAATGTTAGGCGCATGTACATCATGGACTGGAAATCCGACCCGGAGATGACTCCATCTCCGGCTCGGATCCGAAGTCGCCAAGGAGAGTATATAAATATTCAATGTCCTTGGCTTCGTAGTTTGATTCTTATTCTGATTATCAACAAGATCAAACAAATCTACAACTCCATCATCCAATCCAAAATGCGCGTTCTGGTTATTGGCGGTTCTGGCCGATGCGGCAAGCTCGTCATTGAAGAGCTCCTCAACCGAGGTAGGTTTGGCTTCCTATTTCATCTTCATCGTTTCGATCGTCGCTAATCCTGCCAGGACACCAAGTCACCACTCTGGTCCGGAATACTACATCCATGGGTGATGCCCGACCCGGTCTGAAGCTCGTCCAAGGTAAGCAAGCTGAGCTAAGCAGTTCTGAGACCAAGTCTAACTAAATTCGAAGGCACTCCCACCAACCTCGACGACGTGCGAGCCGCATTCCAGGCTGATATCCCCGAGGTCGTGATCGTCACTCTGAATGCTCCCCGCGCCACCGACAGCCCCTTCGCGGCCCCCATCACCCCGCCGCGCCTCATGGCAGACTGCAACGCCAACGTCGTCAAGGCCATGCAGGAATTCGGCGTCCGCAAGACGGTCATCCTGCAAGCGTTTGGCGTCGGCGAGTCCTGGGCCAACATGCACTATGTACTGCGTCTACTGATGAGCAAGTCCAACATGAGCTACCAGTACGAGGACCACAACCATACCGACCGCGAGGTGCGCGAGAGCGGCGTCAACTTTGTCATGGTCCGCCCCTCGCGTCTGGTCGAGACGGACGAGACTGAGGTCAAGGTCTGGCCTAACGACGGCAAGGGCGTGGGACTGATGGCCAGCACGAGCCGTGTCAGTGTCGCGCGCTGGCTCGTCGATGCGGCGGAGACTACTGAGTGGGACAATACCGCCCCGGTTATCACCAACTAATTAGACGATGGGCCGGAGGCGATGCGGAGTTGCGGGTGTTTTTCCCAAGTATACTTGGATGGGTTTGCTTTTTTTGCTTTTTTAAAATTGTTTTATTCTTTGTATCCTTGTTTCATGGCTGTATTCTGTCACTATATACACTAGACAAATGGTGTCTCATACTCAATGGCATTGAGATTCTTGATCCTTCATGCCAATCGTTCGATCTTGGCCACGGTACCCGAAGGGCTTACAGCTCATCAGAAATGACTAAGTGAGGCTCAGAGACACAGCTCAGTGAGTATGACCCTTTCATATCTGCTCAGCTTAGTTTCCTTACCTCTAGAATGGCATTCGGTATAATTTGCTGCGGATTCTAACCCACCGAACCCGCTGTGGATTCAGATCTCCAATGTTAGACTTAGAGTTAGGGGTCAAAATCCCCGCTAACCCAGATCAAACCCGCACTCTATGGGGATCTGAATCTGCCTCAGAATGGTTACTACCTGAATCCGCACCGAATGCCACTCTAGTCTGAGCCTCAGGAAACTGTTCCTGAACCACGGCCGACTGTAAGCCTCATCTGATGCGCGGGAAATTCTCCTGTGCTAAGCTAAGCTAAGTCATCTGGGTTTTAGTCCCAAACAGGAAAGGTTCACAAGGCTGTACCTATATTTACATCTGCGCACGTCTGTGGGGCCCCCTGCATGCTCCCGTAGGAGTCTGCCCGACAAACAATCAATACCCCATGGCTGGTCCCGGCAGCTCAGCTGGAACCCCCCGTCGGAACAAAACGGTGAACCAGCGCAATGGTTCTCGATGAACATGCGAGCTACGTCTCCCCCGTAGACCTCATGGACGCATCCCAACCCCGTAAGCGCCCACGGCCGGTCGTGTCGTGCCTGCGCTGTCGAGAGAAGAAGCTCAAGTGCGATAGAAGCATGCCGTGTCAGAACTGCACTAAGTCGGGCTGTCCGTCCGACTGCATGTACAACAACCAGAGCCCGGCGAGTCAGGATGTCCTGCCCAGGGCTAAGCGGGTGCATCTCGGCTCGGAGGCCGTCGACCAGCATGCGGACCCTCGAGGGGAGTCGGGGCGGAACGCGGGAGTTGGCCTCATAGAGGATCTCCAGCTCCGGCTGGCCAAGTTGGAGGACCTTCTTTCTGTCAAAACACCGGCGAATCTGGTTTCGTCGAGAGACGGCTCGGTTCGAGGCGCTAGGTATATCACCTCGGCCTCGTCTTCACCATCCCTCCAAATGCACAGTATTAACCGTATTCAGTAGCCCGCAATCAACCGGCATCGCCCAACCGGCGAGCCCGCCGCCATTCCAAGGAACGGTGGTTGTCAAAGGAACTCGAACAAGATACCACGGCCAGAATGACAGAATCTCTCTTTTAAACCAGGTAAGTCGGCCTTGTCCGAGCCCCTAGTTGCTTGACTGACATGTCACAGTTCTCCGAAGCAAAAGAGTTCATCGAACAGTGTACCAAGAATTCCGCCGTGGTCGGATTAGCCAAGGAAGTGCAGTTTCTCCAGAGTAAATCTAAGTCGTCGTTGAGTTCGCCAGAGTCAATATCGGATCTAGAAAGCTCACCCGAGCTGCTGCAGCTTCGCATTTGTCTCCCCCCAAAGGGAGTGTGCGATCGGTTATTGGAGTTGTACACGTTCAGCTTTGAGAAGATCCTGAGGGTTCTCCATGTTCCTACTTTCATGCGCCAGTACAGCGAGTTTTGGGCCGATCCTGATAATGAAAGACATCAATCCAGTGGCTTTCTCCCGCAGCTGACGGCTGTATTGGCAGTTGCGCTACCGTTGGAAGACCAGAGCTTCAAAACGGAACATCCTCTGTCATGGGAATATTTGCACATGCCTGCAGTCAACTTTGTCCGACTGTGGCTGCGGAAACTCGGCCGCAAGGAACGGACGGAAATTGCAACGCTGCAGGTGGAGGCGCTCATTGCACTCGCCCGTCGTCTACGCCTGGTGACCCCTGAAGAACTCTGGAGAGACACAGGGGCCCTGGTCCGCTCTGCGATGGTCATGGGTCTGCACTTGGATCCCACCAGATTTGCGGAGTTATCGGCCTTTCAGATTGAGCAACGGCGTCGACTATGGGTCACAGTCGTTGAGATGGACCTCCAGGCGTCGATCGCATCTGGCATGCCGGTCACGATTCCCGAAATCGATTTTGGCCCTCTTGTTCCAGCCAATCTGAACGATACGGACTTTGATGAGTTGGCCGTTGAGCTTCCGCCTTCCAAAGGCTTGCATGAATGGACCGACTCCCTCGCCCAGATCACATTAGCCATGTCCTTGCCCCATCGCATCAGGGCCATGATGCTGGTCCGGATCGTCAGTTCGAGGATGGATCTGAGCGAGATTGTCAAGCAAGGACGACGGTTGGAAGAGTGTTTACAACAGGTCCCGTCGCCCTTGAGACTCGATCAAGCCCCAAACAGCGGCGACAGTCCCATGATGCTGTTGACTCGCGTCCTCCTGGACGTCTACACCCGCAGACCCCTCCTCTGTCTCTACCGGCCCATCGTCATAGGCGAGGACCGTGACGATCGAGCGTTCTCTGAAATCCAGCAATCATGCCTGGAATCGTCCCTGGTCGTCTTATCATATCAAGACTACTTCGACCCAAGCGTGGCCGATCTGGATGTTTTCAACTCGACCTCTTACTGGGACGTCTTCCAACTCTGCTGCAAGAAAGATATCCTGTGGGCGGCACTGAGCGTCTGCGGATACATGAAGCTATCGACTCAACAGTCGACCGCCTTCACTCCGCCCCCTCACCCCCAGCCCGGTTCCTTTCCCACCCCCCGGGCCGCAGCCTACACCAAGGCCAGCCTGACTCGGATCGTCGAAAACACGCTCGACGGACTGACTCGCCGAATCAGCGAAGCCGGCAGCAACCTCAAAGACGTGCTGCTCCTCGCCGTGGTCCTGCAATCGGCGCGCGCTCGCGGGTCAGGCCACATGAAAGAACAGTGGATGCAGCAGGGGGCAATGAAGGCTTTGTCTGCGTGTCGGCAGCATCTACTCCTCTCGACGACCGACCAGTCGCTTGCGTTGAACCAAACCGACTTTGCGCAGATGGTATGTCATGGCTCAAAGTCTCCTCAACACATTCTGTTTGTTTCCTTGCTGACGTGAGCGTGCACAGCTTCAATCCATGCAGCCCATGCTTCCATTCGCTGAGTCGCAATTCCCACCTACTTCTCAGCCTCAGCCTCAATTACCCGATTTTCTCGCCGATTCGTCCGCTTTGGCTACCGAGTTTAGTAATTTCCAGGGTGATCCGTTTATATTTGATGATGAGTCTTTTGCGGGATACTTATAACGTTGATTGTTCTACGGCTTGTATTTATATGGCACACTGTGGTGTCTACTAACTAAGGGTATTCAAACTCATTTTTTGGACAACTACATGTATATATAGAGATAATAAGAAATACCATTGCATACCAATAGACCATATAAACCACAGTTTGAACACCGACGAACCCTGTGCTGTATATCTCAATACCACTACGCCAAAAAGTCGACCAACATTTGGTATAGCGCTTAACCTGACTGATATTCCAACAATACATACTATATATCTAGGTATAGTATAGTTAGGCATGTCGATCAAGTCTCCTATAATCAACGACTCATTGTCAAGCTTATCTCATAGTCGCTGTCTATGCAGGACGGGCCATGCCGGAGACACCCCTCGGATCCGGACACCTCGGATCCGGACACACTCCGGCCCAGCTCACCTAGTGACCTGGTCGGAGATGCATCCATACAGATGACGGGGGATGCAGAAATCAACACTAGCGCTGGAAATATCATGCATAATACGTACGAGGCCGTGTCCGAGGCGTGTCCGAGGCTGCGTCCGAGCCCGAGACAAAGGGACACGGTATATAAAGTACCTGTCCGGGCCTCGTCGTGATCCAGCCCATCATCACCATCACCATCGCAATCACAATCAAACACAAATCACCATCACATCACAATGTCCCTCATCTCAAGCATCCAAACAACCCTATCAACCCACTGCCCCTCCAAAAAAGCCAAGCCCGCCCCCGTCGAGAACATCGCCATCATCGGCGCCGGCCTCTCAGGTCTAACCCTCGCCCTCGCCCTCCACCAGCACTCCATCCCATGCACCATCTACGAAGCCCGCCCCGCCCCGCTCAACATCGGCGGCGCCATCATGCTCTCCCCCAACGCGCTGCGCATCCTCGATCACCTCGGCGTGTACGGCCGCATCCGCGATGAGGGCTACGCCTTCGACAAGCTGTACTTCCGCTCGCCGGCTGACCAGCCCTTGGACGCGTACGAGTTCGGCGGCGAGGACGAGTACGGATACCGCGGCTTGCGCATCTACCGACATGTCCTCATCCGCGAACTCTCCGCCATGGTCGCCGAGGCGAACATCCCCGTCTACTACCGCAGGAAGTTTGTCCGCGTCGTGACGGAGTCCGAGACAGACGTCACCTGGGAGTTTGAGGACGGCGACACCGCTTCCGCCGCCTGTCTCGTCGGCGCAGACGGCATCCACTCCAGGGTCCGTAGGTACCTGTACCCGGATCTAGAGCCGAAATTCACCAACGCCATGGGGGTCACGGCGGCCGTGCCCACAGCGCAGCTGCAGCTGCAGGTGCCAGGGGAGTACAACCTGCCCGTGACGATCATGAACAAGCAGCACGGGGCGTTCGTCATTGCGCCGCAGCAGCGCGACGGCTCGGAGGTGCTGATCGGTCGGCAGAAGCGGGCGCCCGAGCTGGACCAGGAGGGGTGGAGCCGGCTGATGGGCGATAAGGCGTGGTGTGTTGACTTTTTGCGCCAGGGCGCCGCTGACTTCCCGGAGGTCGTGCAGCGCGCTGTGTCGGAGATCGCGCCGGACTCGATCAACGTGTGGCCGTTCTACGTTGTGCCCAAGCTGGATACGTGGAGCTCTGCCCGCGGCCGCGTGGTGATTCTGGGTGATGCGGCGCATGCGATACCACCTTCGGCGGGACAGGGGATTAACCAGGCGTTTGAGGACGTGTATACCTACGCTCTGATCGTGGCTAAGTGCGATAGGGACTACGTTGAGAAGGCGCTGAAGGTCTGGCAGCGGGGACGCCAGGAACGGGTGGACAAGGTGCTGGCGCTGAACGCGCAGATTGATAGGCGCCGGATGCCTAAGCCGGCTGGTCAGGAGGATGCTGAGGATGATGATAAGCCGTTTGAGTTGGGGTGGTTGTATAAGCCTGATTTTGATGAGATGGTGGAGGGGTGGCTTCGCGAGGACGCTGCAGTAGTCTCTTCTTGATATCTAGACATTATTTTAAATTAAACCACGGTACATCTAACAGTTAAGAAACCTCCCATCGAGAGCGAAAATACCTATCTTTGTTAGCTACGATATAAGCGTAAGTGGGAGTCATGTCACTTTTATGCCTCCGAAAACTCAAGGTAGACTGCGGCACATCCACATCTGCATAAGTCTCGCTAAAGTAACTATATCTTGCTACTGTAGATTGTAAGTATTGGCTATATACACCTGTTCTGTTATGACAGTATCAATCAGCACTTTTAACCACTCTTCTCATAAAAATTCAGGAAACCTAATGATACGGGTTCAGTTTTATACACCCAAGGTCTTGCATAGCTGTTACAGAACCCAACAAGGTTCATTCAAACCCCACGAAGGCGACGCCTACCCCAAGGGCGTAGCTAAGAAGTATACCTACAATTGAATAGAAGCTGGTTAGAGTGCCCTCTCAAGTGACAATGACCATGACCATAACCACAAGGGAGCCAGTCACTTCAGGAGTAAATGAAATAGGCTGAGTTGGCCCGAGTGCTCATATCCATATAAGTTTGTAAGTATTGGCATCCAGAAGTGGGAAGTTCCAGTAGCCAGAGGAAATCCAGTTTGTATAATATAGGAATATACATAAAGGATCGTTGGAGAAGAGTAGTTTATTTATTTTTGGTTATACTATCTATCATGATCGATTTACTATACTATGATATCGTTCTTAGAGGAGGGATGATGCCTGTCCAAGGACCACTGTGACATGCTTCTGCTGTTTCAATGATGAAACCAGCCAGTCTGACCTCAGTGCAACTAATGGATATGATTATCAAAGTACCTATCACAGTTTAATCCTACGATGTCGTTCTTCAGGCACGGATGCCTATTCAGAAAACTACTACAATGGGCATGCTGCAGGCAGTGTTGATACTGAAAGCCAGCCCAACCTCAACACAACTGAACATCTGAATAGTATGTATTCACCCACTCAATATACAACACAAAATCAACCCCCAACCCTACTTAGATAGATCTAAAGATGCTGCTTAATGCCAGCCTCCAGCGCAGGCGGGTTGGCACCGACAACCTCACCGACCTGATTGCCATCCTTGAAGATCAGGAAAGTAGGCATAGCGCGGATGCCGAGCTCGGCAGCGACATCGGTGAGCTCGTCGACGTCGATCTTGTAGAACTTGGCGTCGGGGTACTGCTCGCTGAGGGAGTCGACCTTGGGCGCGATGGCCTTGCAGGGACCGCACCAGTCGGCGTAGGCGTCGACGATGACGACGCCCTGGGACTGCTTGACCTTGGACTCGAAGTCGCCCTTGCTGTTGTTGACCGGGTCATCAGTACTGTGATCCTTTGACGGTTGTAGGACGGTGAAGATGGATAGATAGAGAATGACTTACGTTCCGATGAGCTCAACACGACCACCCATGACTGCGGATGTAGAGGAGAATAAAACTGTGGAAGTGCTCGAAAAAGCCTGTCTGCCTGTTGCTGCGCGCGACTGAACCGGAAAGCGGCGGAGAGAGTTTCGAAGTGTAGATGGTCTGGCGGTAGATGAAGAGAGGGAAGAAGAATAAAGACGGAGAGAGGCAGCGGCCGATGGTTTAAAAGTGGTACTGAATAATGATGGCTACGGTTAGCTCCGAATGAGGGGCAATGGGCGGGAGGGGCACAGGGGGATTTTTTGCAGATTGAATGACGTTTGGCGGTCCCGGCAGTCCAGGTGGCTGACTCAGCCGTGTGGTTCACCGAGAGTTCGCGCCGCTGGTGGATGGATGGGTGCGTTCAAGGGGGGAGGAGTGGCTTACCAATGGGCACCGGAGCGGCGCAGGAGGTGGGTGGCTTGGTTTGTAAGGATTGGGTTCATCTTTCTGTCTTTTGATATGTAGGTATCTATGAAGTAGATCTGATTAAAGAGGGGAATGACTTGACTGGTTGGGGATGTGTGATGGGTGAAGACGCTTCTAGCGCTGTCGGGACTTGTCGGTCGCAGCGGCTGTATATGGCGTGCTCCTTGCCGCTTATCAATCCGATCCGGTCTAGATCGGTGGATACCTGAGGCAGTCATATACCTTTGTAATTGACCCAGGCTTATACTAGTCAGTATGAAGTGGCTATGAGATATACTATATTAAGATGTTGAATAGTTTTAAATAGTTGATAGTTGATAGTTGATTCCAAATCTATTTACACATGGGGCCATCTAGCGAACTCGTAGCCCGAGACAGGGAGTGGTATGGACTGCAGTAATGATGTACGAGTCCCGAAAAACGAGGCATCGAACACAATATCTCAGCCAAATCCAACCAGCTCGAACACATAGCCACAGATACCAGAATTAAACAATATTAGTCCGTTGAACAGACATCGATTCACGTCAATATATGCATCGAACGGAAACAAGATACTTCAGGTCTATGATCGAAACGAATCAAAACGGAACCCGTAAGGGACTTAAACCGAACAGTCATTTTTTATGATCGAAGCAAAATCATCCGAATTTTCACTGATGTGGGGTATCAACAAATACAAGAACAAAGCCTATCAAACCAGGCTGGGACCACTAATGACAAACGGTGCTCGGGTGCCCGAAAGTATCAATCATCATGACAACATCTAGTGCCATTGAGAAATAGAAAGGGAGAAATCGGAACCCACGGAGGGGAAGGGGTGATAAAATGGACAGAAAAGGGTAAAGGTAGGGGGGAAGTAGGGTATGGGAATCAAGGAGAAAGAAAAGAAAGAAAAGAAAAGAAAAGAAAAGAAAAGAAAAGATGCAAAGATGGAAAAAGGAAAGTACAAAAGAGAGGCTCACTGTCAAATGAGTGACTGGGGTATATACGAGATGAGGGTATTAAACATTTTAAGGTAAACGGTTGGATCAGAATGTAAAAAGGGTTGAAACGAGACCATAGTCAACAAAATTCAGCGTAGAATAATGATGCCATGTGGTTGCTCTCAACGAGCCAGGCCGGGCTCGTTCCCCTCGGGGGTCGCTTCGAAAATCTCAGCCGAATGCTCTTCGATCGGACTGAACTCCTCGTTGGTAGTAATGGGAGATAAGGACTGGACGTCCTTGAGCATCCCCGAATTCGATTTGGGGCGAACCATGGGGTTCACGAGGATCGGTCGCTTGGCGATATGGTCGTGCCAGGTCTCTTCTGCTTCCTCCGCCTCCGCCGGGTGGATCATTTCGAAATCCGGTTCTTGCGCGCCCGTGGCATTGGTCGGGGCGTTCGACACCTCCTGGCGTGAGTCGGATCGGTCGATATTTTCCTTGCCAGAGACGGCATCTCCGGTCGGCATCCCTTCAACCAGGACGTTTCGAGAGGAATTCACGCTGGCACGAGCTTGGTTGCTCTTCCTGTGCGAGATACGACGAAGGAATTGCCCAGACATCCAAGACCCTTCTGAATCGATCGACGCCAAGGACTGAGACAGCGGCACGTTGTCGTTTTCCATGTCGTCCTCCAAGATCTCACCAGCCCAGGAACGGTGACGGTCCTTGCTCGCATCCTGGAGATCGGATTCCGATCCCAAGATAGGATACTGACTTCGAGCGGCGAAATCGAATCTCCCATTCCCAGGCTCAGAAACATCCGCGGGCTCCTCTGGGATATCGGGGGATTGGATACGGGAGTCGGGTGGGGAAAGCGGCTCATCGCCCAGATGTTCGGTGAACTTGGATTGTGAGCGCTTGATGGTGCCGGTGCGCATGTAAGGTTTGGCGGGAATGGGCTGGGGCGGTGCGGAAGTTGGGGTTGGAACTTTGAAGAAGGACTCGTGAGACGCGTTCGATGGTTCCGGGCTGCGGTCCTGGAAACGCTCCCGGTATCTCCGCTTTAGGCGAGAGCTACCACGGCGGAAGATGGAGGAGATGGTGTTGATACGGCCACTGCCGTTATCCGATAGGCGTCGCTCCGAGTCGACCGTCCTTGAGACGTCGGATGTAGACTCCCGCCCGATTCCATATACTTGCGAAGGAGTTGGGCTGTGGAATCCACGTCGGGACGGCGAATGTGAGGGAGACAGGGTACTTCGAGACATCCCCATGTCTTGAGACGGGGCAAAGCTCCGTCGCAGGCCCAGTTTGGGCTCCCGGATGGAGCTGTCGTCAATGTTTCCGATAACATGGACGCTCTCCATGGATTCATATCGACTCCGCGGGTGGTCCTTGGAATCGTGCAGCCATGACTCGGATGGACCCCGAGGGCCCGTTGCTTGGTTCTTGCTTTCTTTCGAGGCGTCTTGGCCGGTCTCGTCGACGTCGTCCAGGCTTTGGATGTGCACCTGGCCTCGAGGCACTTCCGATATGGTTTGGACACCATTAAGCTCCGCCTCCGCTCTCTGTCGATCCGCCGCGCGTTGTAACTTGCGATGTAGTTTATCCTGGTCCTCGACCTTCTGCCTCTCGGTGCGACGGCGGTCCCTTTCCAGGAGTTCCCTCAGAGCACCTGCGTCGAGACCATCCGCCAGCCTGTTGATTCTTTTCTTCGTATAGAGATTTTCCTCCGAGGCAGAAACCACCGGCATCTTCTCCTTCCGACCCGAATCTATCGTTTTTTGGCTCTTCGCGGTTTGGATTCGGGGAGCTTCCACGTAGCGGATGACCGGACGTGGGGTCCAGGCCGAGAAGCCATTGACCTTGAACTTATACGACTCGGAAAACTCCGACAATGACGAGGCCGTCGAGTCGCGGATCGAGAGGTTAGTCTCGGAGAGTTCGCGATCGGAACGGCGGTTATATAGTCGTCCCCGGGGAGTCTCCATGGAGAAGTCCTCGCCGGGTAGCGTTGAGCGGCGAGGGATATCGATGGGCGTGGAAGCCATCAACCGGATTTCCCGCTCCCGGGCAATTTCATACGCCTTCCGCTTGCTCAGTCGTTTCTTCAACACCGCTGGACTGCCGTCGCTCCGCTTGGACCTCCGTACAGAGGAGTTCCTGGTCTCCAGGGATGGATCATGGTTGACAGTCGAACGTGACGTATAACCGTCCGAGATATGACCGATGTGCGAGGTTGGTTTCCCATATGGCTCCTTCCGGTGCAGCTGCTCGCTATTCGAGGTAAGGGGCGGGGATGTGACCGAACGGGGAGGAGGCAGAGCATCGTGGAGGGGGGTGGGACAATCCTCGACGGGTTGGAAGTGGCGGTTCTTTTGGCGTTTGGAGTTCTTGCGAGAGGGTTTCCGGCCATCGAGGCTCAAGCGAGGTTCCTGCGGCGCCGCGGACTCACCCGCTGCAGGGGCGTCGACCTGGATCGTGTGCCGCTTATTCTTGCGACCAAATGGCCATATCGCCATGGTCACCGGTTCATATACCCTTTCCTCTGGGGCGGGACCTGTCAAGCGTGTACGCTATCGATGTAGGGTGCGCGTGGGAAGTGGACGACGAGAATCATGGAGAATAGTGCAGTGCAAGATAGAACCCGAGTTCCAAGGATCGAAGTCAAGGGACGAGAAAGATTGGACGACTACTCGAACGGAATTTACTCGTCACGGGGAGGCGATCTGAGACAGCCGCCGTTACGAAAAGGCGATTGAGGGGGGGGGGGATGATAGTCGAGAAGGTCAAGAAGGGTTAAAAAAAAAAAAAATAAATAAATGAAAAAGAAAGAAAAAAAAAGAAAGAAAGATGATAATCGAAATCAAAGAAAGGAACAGGAAAAAGGAGCCTGGAGGGATGGATGAATGGACCTCAGGAGTAAAGTAAACTATCGAGTTAGGGCGAACTGGTTTGGAGGTGCAATAGTCTCGATAAGTTCCGTGGTAGCTCGGTCAATACAATAAGATTTGGGGTGAGACTCCAAGCTCACGCCACATGGGAGTGGCCGAACAAGAAAATCCTCACCAATATCACGATGGGTTGATATCAAGGGGTGGGGGGGAGTGGAGGTCAGGGTGGGAAAAAAAAGAAGAAGGGAGAAAAACGAGAGGAAAAGAAGGAGAAGAGAAGAAGGAGAGAGAGAGAGAGAGGGAGAGAGAGGGGAGAAGAAAGGAAAAAGAAGAGATTTAGAGTCGCCTCCAGGTAGGTCAGAAGAAGAGAGACACCCAGCCCAAAGGAGTCAAGTTTGCAGTCGAGTGAGGGACTGGAACTTCCAGAGGGCCGAGACAAACAAATCTAATATTATGATGATTATTATTATTGTAATTTATTTTGGAATATTAATTATTTATATATATTTTAGCGTTCGTCTTTATTATTTGTTCTTCTTTGGTCCCTGCCTACAGTACCTAACCAGGGTGACACTGGCTCCTCCGGGGCTGGCCGTCACAGACAGAAGACCAGTGGACACTGGACCGTATTCGATGGTATTAATAGCAGATACTCAAAGTACTAGAGAATATTAAGCATCAACAATCATATTCATTCCCTTCTTGGCTGTGAATAGATATCAATATTGTTTTTTCTTGGGTGATTTTTTTATTTTTATCTCGATATATCTTTCGACACCTGATTTGTACACCTGATTTGGCTGGATTGACGCCGATTGTTCTTTGTTCAATCAATTCTTCTGGCCGATCGACCTCACTAGTCCAAGTCACCCCATTATTACAGGTCAGCCCCGAGGTTATGAAAAGGTCCAGGTTGGCAGGTGATGAAGGAAGGCACATATTTTTCATGCATCGCCCCGATATCTCTCCGGGTTTTTCTTCCTTTCTTGCTTTCTTGCTTTTTTCTTTTCTTTCCTTTTCCCCAAGACTCGAACATATCAAATAAGACCGAGCATTATAAATACCTGCAGCTGCTCACCTCTCTCCACCTCCCTTCGAACCCACTGACCTAAGACAGTCCTTGTGAAAATCACCCGTCCCCCTTTCTTGAAGGAAAAAATGTCAAGAAATAGCAGATCGTGAAAATTCTACACGGTGGGGTCCCAGGATGATCAGGTTGAAACCCGAATAGATGAAATCCCATGGCGATTGTCTGTCCTTCGAACGAGGCATCATTTGGTACCTGGGTGCCTGAGGACTGAGGAGTCGTGTGCTCCACCGACTCCATCTTTAGAAGCAGCCTAACGTCCCGCTGTTAGTGACGGATAAAATACCGCTGCCTTTACAGGTACCAGATACCGGATACCCCTACATCGCGGGAGGGATGATGGAAATTACACGGCGACATCGTCGTTACCTCCCTAGTGGTATTGGCTGTCAATAGTAGCTACCACTAACCCTCCTCTAAATGAGTTCACCGGCAGGGAGCCGGTCGTGACATCAACGTGAACTGCTGTCACTCGATATGCAGCTGATTCAATATCATCAAGTTCGGGGTTACAATATCTGTAAAATGGATACTCGATAGAGTTGATGCGTTTAGCATCTTAGTCGCTGTGCTCTCCCAGAACCCAACCCTTCAATAGGTAAGGTATTTTACATGTTACGGCAAGCCCCAAATGGCCAAACCACACCACGCCACTCAAGACTAGCTTCTCTACGCAGCGGGAACTCCTCCGCAAGAAAGGAGGTAAGTGATCACCTAGGTCATGCTGATTCCAACCCGCTTGTCATAACCCTACTAGGCACTACTGGGCAACCACCTTGCAATTCCACAAAAGCCCATTGGTTCTTTCACAGACCACGAACTAGTTCATGATCAAGCAAATGCGTCAAGGGGGACACTGCGGTACTAGCACAGTAGGTTAAACCACATACGTGCCCGGCACTAGACAGTAGATGGTAGCACTAAGCAGTTAGATATCAGATAATTCGATATATAGTTCGCTTGGCTAGAGCCACATCACGTCAGGCAAGTGCCAGACACTGCCCGCAGCGCAGGGCCAACGCCCCAGGGAGAAAGATAGTTCCAGTACTCGACCTAGCCTGAAATCGGGGGCTGCCCTCGGAGAGAGGAGTATGGATCCTGAAAATGGCCCGGTTTGATCCTGACGGGTTCTAGGAGGGTTGTTTATCATGATTATCGTGATTATCATTGCCTACCGTTTATAATCTACATAGCGCTATGCCAACCTAGTATACCTAACTATTGGCGCTTAAACAACCGACATGAGTTCAAGCAAAAGAAGGTAGAAGTAGAACCCATCTATAACGTGGGCCCGCCCCCTCGTTTGCTATGACAGGTATTGACTGGTGCGTGGATGGTCCAACCTTGCTTATAATCTGTTGTTTCGGATGTTACTATACCTACTGCCTAGTCTAATGATAATTATATTTATAAAAATGTATAACAGACTCTGGCGCTACCGCGGTAACAACCAAACCCCTTCCTCGCCAGTCAACTCCCAACAACCTGTTTGAGGGGCAATATAACACCACCGTACCTGGTTACTAGGCTGGTTTAGAGTTCTAGGTTCCAACTGTAACACAGGTTTCGCCGGCGCCTGTCGGTCGGTCGATCATTTCGTGGTCCACTCGCGAAAAGTGGAATCTTGGCCCTTCTGTTAATGTGTGGGTGACTGGGTGTCCCACTGTCCAGTAGTACTATTCGCACGCGCAGAAAAGTGGATAATTTGTTGTTTTTTTTTTCTTGGGGAGAGGGGTTGCTTTACAGTATTACTATTAGTATTGAGTATAACAAGCTCCTATACACTGGCCTGGTCGGATAGCAATAACCATCTCTCCAGCGACCAGTGCAAGGGGCCTCGGCCAGCCAGCCGGGCCGAAAATAAAGTCCCGTCGCCGTTAGCTACGTACGCATTGGCCTTTGAGATCCTTGCAGGTGACAAAGAGGGGAAGTCTGTTGTGTGAAGAAAACATCACCCGGGCGAAGAGGGGAGATGATGATCTTTACGTACGTGATGGGTACAGTCCATACGCCTCGAGTACCTTCCTACTACCTATACGTTGGCCCACGAGCAGTTGGACCCTCCACCTTCCATATTCAAGTTTGTGTGCAGATCTTGGGCCATTCTCGACAATCTTCTTGCGGCAAGGATGGAGTGTCACTGTCATTGGTGTCTGGAGTATCTTCTACTGTCTGTGTGGAGGAGGGAATCGTCCTAGCTAGGTCGCTTATATGGTAGGTACTCCGTAGTAGGAGTAGGCTGTAGCATGGGCCATGTATTCCATTCCCCTGACGAATTCATATCTCGCCCGACTATACATTAAGTAATCGCCATAGCTCATGATATTAGCGCCCGTTACATCCCAGTTGTCTGTCACTTCAATGCATTGTTATTTGTTACAGCCCAACCAGTCGTCTGCTCTACTCAATACCTATCTCCCCTCGTATTCATCACCAAGAGCTCTAAAACACGAGCCGGCGTCACCCCGAGTACGGATTATTAGATTGGTTGATCTTCTCGTTCCTGCATCTGATTTATTTAAAGACCCGGCCAGATCTGAATCTAGCCGGGGGTCTCATAATCAAACACTGAGACATTGGCTATCAGCTAGCAGGGGCAAACAACTATGGTGTGACGCCTTACATGGGTGTAATTAAGTTACTTCACCTGGGAGTATGTCAATGTGATTTGATAGGTAGTGTTATTTATTATTTTATATTATGTCTAATACCCTAAGCTTGAAATTAAGCTGATCCAGGATACAATAGGATAGCTACTCCTCGTGTTCATTTAGGAGAATTCAATGTTTAGAGGCTAGACCCGCCAATGCATGACACCTTACCGGCAGATAACTATGGTCAATGGTGATTGTTGATGGGACCCAGATTCTACTAGGTTTATTATCTGCAAGTAAATTAGTGCGCACTACGCAGACTATGCCGAATTGTCCTTTATTAATGGCGATGGCAATTTCCCGTCACTTATTGTGGGTCTGTCATTTTATCGTCTTTCCACGCTTTGCCTTGCCTGGTTTTCTATTAATCAAAAAATTATCTAGATATACTCTGTACACTAAACAGAGTATCGCACGGGATAATTGAGGTAATTAGTTGTACTTCTCTGGCTTAATATACCTGCAAAAATTACATCATGGATAATTGAGTAAATTAGTTGTCCACTGTCGCAGATATGCGATCTTATCTAATTACGAACTTCGTATATGTACAGAGCACGGAGTACACTGTACAGTCATCTCGCACAGTATACAGCAGAATCCGACGTTGGTACCACCTGTGCTGAGTCCGACCTCGGCTGTCACGCGACATACCATACTCACAACAAGGTTAATTTCAAAGATCTCAACGGGCGGCTCCATGTTTCACGAATCTAGGTTTCTACACGGAGAGTAAAGCCAGGATTGATAAAATGGACTCGTCGTTGGCTGGCTACCTTACTCGCCAAAATGGTGTATCTAGTTTGTATTATTATGACAGAATGTGTCTCGGACGTGCAGGTGCCACTGCATTAGAGTTGTTTATGTATGCGCCTGTCGGCCAGTGAAGGGGTTGTAAGGTACCACGTTGGGTTTGTTGGCAGTTCTTAACTAGGGTGGACGAAGGTATTTTGGTTTGTATAAAGCCACACCAGTGAGGTGGGGTTTCACTGCTTTAGATGTTGCTGGCTGTCTTGTTTTCATTTGGTGGTCTTCTTCTTTCTGTAAGCCATGTTTGGGTGTGCTTGGTTACCTGGGTACTTTGCCGCCCTAGCTTCTGTCCTTGGTTGTGGGGAGCGGTGCCCCTCTCATATGGCGCTCTATATGAATATCGTGTTGTGGTTCTAGATTGCAGATACGTAAAGGTACTTGCGTGCGATACCATTTGGAGACTTTGAGTCCCCAACTCCAACCCAACATACAAAGAATATAACAAGGTATAAAACATAAAAAACAAACCAACATATCCCCAGACTCTGTATAGAAAATAGATGAGACGATACCTAGGTAAGACACCTATCAACCGAGACTACCCCCTGTCTTGCAATATATGGAATCCCCGGGAACATCCACACGTGGCCAGCCATACAGTGGATAATCTTAAATTTCTCCCGCTCTTGGATTCCCGGGGATGTTCCTCAAAAAGGAAACCGATAAATGAAAATAGATAAATAAATGAAACCAGAAATACGGGTCGCTGCGAATACAAGGATCATGGAATCATATCATCGGGCTCCATGATTGATTGATTTATTGATTAATCGATTAATCAATCTCGCGACGGGAGGACGAGAAAGAGAGGGGCAGACTATTGGGTGAACCGCTTTCGGAGACGGTTCGGCTCTCGTTCTAGAACTCGATACCGACGGGAGACGTGTCGACCCAGGAGTCTCTTGATGGACCAGGTTTCGCCGCTAGTGGGTTTATTCTTGCTCTCATTGTCTGTTGGTGGTGTTGGTGGTGGTGGTGGTGGTGGTGGTGTTGTTGTCATCCGGCGGAAGGGCGACCCGCATGCTGGGCGCTTTTGGTGGGTTTCGGGGTAGTAGTGCTCGTTGGGTCGAGGGTTGAGGGCGGTCGTTAGAGACTCTGCGCCCATCCTCTTTGTTGCTTTCTTTCTTTCTTTTTTTATTTCTTCCTGTTTATGTTTGGGGAGGATTTCGTATGCGCCTAGGGGGTTGGAGGGGAGGGGAGTTGTTTCAGGACTTGTTCCAGTACGCTAGTGGTGGATGGTGGATGGTGGATGGATGAATGGATTAATGGATGAATGGATAGATGGATGGAGGGGTTCACGGGAAACGTCCAGAGATGTTTACAACCCGGGGATGGATTTCGATATACGTTCAGGGTCTTGTAACAAAGAGTTCAAATTCTTTAAGAGGTATGTTTCAAGGCAGCAGCAGCGAGGATCAATACAAGGCGGGGTTAGTACTGAATGATAGTAAAGTATCAAGTAGAATCATTCAGTAGCAGAGAGAAGATTGTGTCATTATTTGGTTCCGAGTCCTCCGCCCTACTCCTCCCGACGTCGTTCCAAGTCCCAAGCACTCATCCTCAGCATCCATACTATTATCCTTGACGACGCGGCAAAGGTTGGGTCTGTTGAGGGGCGGCGGAGATCGGAAAACAGGACAATCCAATCAGAATTGTGGTAGTCGTGTGGATGGATCCTGGTGAGATCCTGTGAAAGTCTGAAAGGACTTGCGAGATCCACGGGTTTTGGTGGAGTCGCGTGATGTTTGGATTGTGAATTCTAGAATAATAATAGAAACTGATTTACTATATGACGGTGGCCCCCTCATGTATGATTACTGTTCTTGTCTGATATATAGAGGGGTTTTCTATTCGAATGATTTAATAGATTCTATCAAATACCACAACACAGTGAGCTTGTGAAAACATCGGTAGCAGTGTTACGTTTAGCACTGGGGCCAGATTACATGGAAGCCAGACAGATACGATGGAGAAGATGACAATAGTCCAAGCTAGAAGTAGGGTTGGCGTAAAGATCATCCAAAATTAGATGGATACACTCGAATTCAAGTATCAGTGCCCGGGTCTTAGATTTTCCAAATATTTTGCCAGGATGGCACTAGTCCTATCTCAGACAAGCTGAGAACACTGACTGCCTGGGGCGATGTATTATATCAATGCATACTGTCACATAACTTCACGTGGTTGTATCATCAGCCACATTAATACTGGGGTACCTCGAAGTCCCATTTCAAGCGTCGAACATACGTTTTGTATCACGAACGATAGGATGGCACCTAATTTAGCCGCGCGTACTCTGCAACTTATTAATGATATGATAACAAGTAAAGAACTCACAGTTGTCTAAATGGCTGAAGCGGCCGATTACCATGAATGCACAATCAGAAGACTGCGTGCTAATAAATGCATGTTTAATACAATAAAAAGCCCCCTTAAACCGAGGTGGACGGCCACGGAGTCTCACCCCGGTCATGATTAAAAGTCTGTATGATTATTTACTCGAAAAGCCACACCTATATTTAGACAAAATGGTGGTTTTTGTGCATTATATGTTCCAAAAAGCAGTCTCAAAATCTAGTACCAGACATGCGCTTGCAGATGAGGGCTGGTCTAAGAAAAAAGCCAAGCAAAAAAGCCAAGCAAAAGGCAATCAAGCAAAATACTGACTTATGAGATGAATATACCTACTTTATCTCAGGCTTCAATTCTAGCCAATCTGTCTGTCAATGAATCAGGATATGATTGACAGATAGAGATGAAAAGGACAGGCTAGTCACTACTTGGCATTACACCTGTGCATATTACGAAGTTCCACTGAGACCAGTGATATCATTTCCTTCCAGCTTATGCTCAAGATGGCATTTTTGTTTGCCGCATATTCAAGATTCAACCGACGTATCTCGCTTCGAGGACTTTGTTGATGAACTTTTCCATCACTGTGAAACATATCCTGAACCTAAGTCTGTTTTAGTGCTGGATAATGCCTCATTTCATCACTTGGAGAGGATAAAAAGAATGTGCTCATAGAAAGAGGTTATCCTGGTATAACTACCGCCTTTTTCGCCTGATTTGAATCATATCAAAGAAATTTTGCCGGAGCTCAAGTCGTTTATTTGACGGAATTAGCAGTCTTACGAAGACAATTCCAATCAGGGATTTGGTTCTTTTTTTTAAGTGTTGCGTGGATGTGTAGACGCAAAGAAGGAGAGTGTTAAAGGACATTTCTGTAATGCAGGCCTAGTGATTGAGGAGTAGTTAATAACAACATTGTGTTATGGGCTGTTACACATTTTATGCATTTTAGTCAATATAATATTTTTTTGCAAAGAGGATGTTCGAACATGGTCAGAAAGATGATTACAGGCCTAGTCTTCTTTTGCATTATAGGGGTCAATGAGATAATAATCAAATATACTTGCTTCCTTCAAAGAATATTTGTTATCTTCTGTAGATTTAAGACCCATTAGGGATGTGTAGGGTATCATAAAATTAATCATCACTATCTTTGTGTACGACTCCACCCACAGACTGATACCACGCACAAATCTGCGAGCAACTCTTATTTTCATATCTTGTTCGACGTAAAACTCGGGCCTAACCTCACAATGCATCTGTTTTAGGTCAAGGCAATTCTGCAGCATTATATCACAGGCTGTTTTGATATTGTCTCTGAAAAGTTTATTGTCCACTCGGGATAACTGCCAGTCAGTGTATTTATCCACCCAGGGATGTGAATGTTCTCAGCCTGATTAGGCCTTCATATATGACTATTAGTATTACCTGTTAGAACTGTTAATGCCTGAGGTGACTGTGCCGGCAGGAAATGAACATTAATAGGAGGGATCGATTCATTTACAGGGTTGATTATTTTCTGTGCTTTTTCATGCTGCTTTTTATCCTCTGCATACAATCTTTCCCGAACCTTATATGAGACATTGTTATGAGACTCTAGGGTGCTAAACAAGACTTCTGAGATGGTAAGACAGAAATTTATAATATTTTTATTCACCGGATCTGACCAGCAGAGCTAGCTATTATGATAACAAGGTTGACCAGGGCAATGTATCACCTTGTACATATCCTGTCAGGCAGCAGGTAGCCCAGAAGTGGAACACTTCTATTTAGGCTTGCCGTTTCCCTAGCATTCTTGTTATTGTTGATATTAATTTTCTTTCATCTGTTCGAGAAAGAGATAGGTTACTGTCCTCCAAGTAGTTGATGGTTATAGATAGTCTTAACTCCTCCCCTGAATAGAAAGTGTTCTTTATACCAGAAGTTGCTTCTTTATAGCATTCTAATCAACATCAGAATATTAAAATTGTTTCATGAGTTTATAATGTTTATGATCATTCACAGAAACCATGATCATGGTATTATCTAGTCTCATGTGTTGGTTGGAGTTCTTCTTTCAGTCTATGATCTTTTTAGTCTTTTTGGTGATTGCTTGCTAGTAGAAACATGGCTTCAGCTCCAGATCTTGTTCAGTGTCTTCGAACACAATCTAGATATTAATAATAAATTTCCATTTAATAATGTATAACATACTTTCGACATCCCAGTCAGTGTTGTGAGGGAGGCTGACTTGCGTACGCAGGAGTTTGGGTAATAGTGTGGAGTGTTCCGGAGATATACGCGCAAGGAAGGGGTTACGAAAGGATGGTGTAACAAAGCCGAAGTTCCCAGGGGTAGGGGCATATGACAGAGATTATTGTCATGATTCGAGCTGTGTAGTGTAGTCGTTATTAAGAGGGCTACATGCCGTCTCTTTAATATAGTATATGCTGCTAAGGAGCCTAGAAAACATTATACGGTGTTAGCTTCAATGAATGAATTATGCAGCACAGTGAAGATCTCTAATAAGCCAATTAGATTGATCAGTAGAGCCACAGGCATTGTTTTGATCCAGCCCCTGCCGCAAGTAAGCTGCTAGCTTTTCGCGAGGGAGGCTGTGGTACAGCAGCTCAGAGTTACTGACCAGGTCTGATGTGATGTACCCCGCCTTTGTAACGTGACTTACACAACAGGCCGTCATTTTTCCAAGTCTGGTACCTCGCAGTCCCAGGCCAACTTGTCATACTCGCATGGCAAGTGCGGCTGGGTTAAACCAAGAGATATTGAGTGACATACCAATTGAATGTTTACATACGAATCATATTCCAGGTATCATTGACTGTGTGGATCCCCCGGCCCGTCCCATATTCATCCCAAGGTTCGATCTGAGCATGGAGGAAAGTTAGTAACTTAATTAGTTAGTTAGTTATCTGGCTAACGCTGGCTAACTCCGATTTTCCATGGCTCGAACGATACGTAAGCTTGATGAGGGGGAGGAAGCTGATCATAATAATCATATAGCCATAAGGTAGCTTGTTATTGGTCAATAATAGGACTCTACCCTTCCAGCCGCGCCAACACACCAGGGGGAAAGCACTCAGGTAGTCTAACACCTCATTCATTCTCCCCATGTCATTCCCCACGAAAGGTTTCAGTGTACATTGACATTCTTTGGATTTACCCATGATGGGACGTTTCTTGAGGAAGAGTCTCGGTATTTTGCACCGCAAGAAGTCCGAGCCGCATCATAGTAAGAGTCCCAGCCAGTCTGCGGTCCCCATATCAGCCCCAATCACCGCAGCCACGCCACCTGATACAGTCGACACCCAAGACACTTTCCTATTCGAAGACCTGTGGAAATCTGCATATGATAAGCTAGAACGAGAGGAGCAAGATATTTTGTCCCCAGCACAAGGCAGTGCTGAGCTAGGAAAGGACGAAAATTCCTCCCAGGCCGGCCACATCATCGATGAGGTTATTCAAATAACCGAGAAACAATACAAGGAATACCAGCAAGGAAGCATAAGAATCCATCGGTCAACAGGAGAAGAGATTGATCTTCGAAAGGTGTCACGGAAGATACTTCATGCTGCATTGTCATTCAAAGATATTATTACTACTGTGATAGCCTTTGATCCTACCCACCAAGCAGCAAGTGCATGGGCAGTTATTTCTTTTGGATTGACAGTGAGTAATGTTACTATCACTTCACAACAGAAAACTAATATTCTCATTATAGATAGCGCAAAATCAACTTGACTTACGAGATGCCTTATTTGAATCATCAGAATACCTTGCGGAAACTATCACTCGATGTGCCTATATTGAGCAAAGCTTTTACCGCAATAGCTCCAAGAAAAAGATTGAGATATGTCGTGCGATGATCAGCGTGTATACTGCTATTCTTCAATATGCAGCAGAGCTGTTAGCTACTCAGCAACCCAGCATCGGGAAAAGAATATTGATTCATATGACACCGATAACCAATCAACGCCTCACTGAACTTCGATCATCTATTGAGGAAAAATGGCAGAAGCTATGCCAGTGGGTTCATTTTGATGCATTAAATACTCTTTTGCAAAATGGGAAAGAAGCAGAGTCCAGGCTAGCTAGAATCGATGAGGAGGTATCAGAACATCTGCAAGCTCTTATCAAGAGATTTAGTCTACCCATCGCGGAAGGAGCATCATACGACTCATATGAGAATCAATATAGAGAGAAGTGTCTACCGGGCACCAGACGCGATCTTCTTCTCCAGATTACAGACTGGGCCGAAGCATCTGACAAATGCATATTTTGGTTGAATGGTTCGGCAGGAACTGGGAAGACTACCATCTCCCTGTCTGTCGCAGAGTTACTCAAACAAAAGGGGCTCCTAGGTGGCAGTTTCTTCTTTAAAAAAGGCGAAGCAGATCGGGGTAATGCAAGAAGATTTATCTCAACTATTGCAAAGCAATTAATGGCCCATCACCGACATTTAGCCCCTGTCATGTCAAAAGCAATTCAGGATGATGCAGATCTGTCAACAAAATCTCTCAGTCAGCAGTTTGAGAAGCTCCTTCTTCAGCCCCTGAGCGAGGGAGAGTACTATGAGACCACTTCCGTGATTGTGATAGACGCGTTGGATGAGTGCGACGACAACGACATTGAAGTCTTACTTAGACTTCTACCGCAACTGCAGCAATCCAAGTCTATTCGCGTGCAGATATTCCTGACAAGCCGGCCTGAGCTTTCAATACGAGATGGTTTTGGAAAAAACCAGGATCATCACGATATCATTCTCCAAGAAGTGCCCAGTATTGAACATGACATCCGCATCTTCTTGCAACATCGACTTTCTCATATCAAGGAAAAGCGGAAAGTCCCTGGGGATTGGCCTGGATACGAGAGAACAAAGGCATTAGTGAAAATGGCAGTCCCTCTTTTCATCTTCGCATCCACAATTTGCCGCTTCATCGAAGAGAAGTATCAGGTTCCGGAGCATCAGCTTGATATAATCCTTAAAAACCCTGATATGACAGCATCGTCCCAAATGGAGAGGATATACTTGCCAATATTAAAGGACCGTGTTAAAAGCTCTCCAGTCTTCAAGAACAAGTTCCAAAAGATTGTTGGAGCTATTATCCTTCTTGCTGACCCACTGTCAGTTCATAGCCTTTCTAGGCTTATCAATATGGAAGAAAGAACAATTATAGCAGTATTAGACGCATTTCACTCGGTTCTCAACATTCCAAGGGATTCGTGTACACCAGTCCGCATTCTGCATCTATCATTTCGCGAATTCCTTATCAACACAGAGGAGGAATGCCTGCGTGTTAATGAGAAAGAGACCCACGAAAAACTACTACAAAATTGTCTGGACGTCATGAGAAATCCCATGGTGGGATTAAAACACAATATCTGTCGATTACCAGGTTATGGGATACAGCGCGAAGATGTTGACAGTCAAGTGATTTCTCGGTATATTTCACAAGTTCTGCAATACTCTTGCCGCTACTGGTCGAATCACTTCAGCAAGAGTAAAAGCGATGCATCCGAGAGTGAAGTATTCTCATTTCTGAAAGAGCATTTCCTCAATTGGTTGGAGACGATGAGCTTAATAGGATTTGCCTCGGAGACTGTTGGCATAATTAACACCCTACAGTCAAGATTAAGAGTAAGTGGCTATCTAAAATGTCACCAAATAGCTACTAATATTCTTACAGGATAGTATGAGTACGGAACTAAAAGATTTCTTAAAGGATGCCAACCGATTTGTCTTAAAACACATTCAAATGATTGATAATACCCCACTTCAAGTATATTGCTCTGGACTCGCGTTCTCTCCTACAGCCAGTATCATTAGAAGAACATTCAATGACCAACGACCTGATTGGATGCCTGCTTTACCACAAGTACAGAAGTCATGGAGCGCCCAATTACAAGCCCTGGAGGGCCATTCCCGTTCGGTTAGGTCAGTGGCCTTCTCACCAGACGGCCAGAGGATCGTGTCAGGATCCAGCGACCAGACTATCAAGCTCTGGGATGCCCAGACTGGCTCAGAGCTGCGCACCCTGAAGGGTCATTCTGGTTGGGTTATGTCTGTGGCCTTCTCACCAGATGGCCAGAGAATTGCGTCAGGATCTGATGATCAGACTCTTAAGCTCTGGAATGCTCAGACTGGCTCAGAGCTATGTACCTTGAGTCATTCTGGTTGGATTACATCAGTAGCCTTCTCACCAGACAGCCAGAGAATTATGTCAGGATCTGCTGACCAGACTATCAAGCTCTGGGATATCCAGACCTTAGAGCTGCATACTCTAAAGGGCCATTCCTGTTCAATTAGGTCAGTGGCCTTCTCACCAGACGGCCAAAGGATCGTGTCAGGATCTAGTGACCAGACAATTAAGCTCTGGGATGCCCAGACTGGCTTGGAGCTACGCACCCTAGAGGGTCATTCTGATTCAGTTATATCAGTGGCCTTCTCACCAGACAGTCAGAGGATTGTGTCAGGGTCTAGTGATCAGACTATCAAGCTTTGGAATACCCAGACTGGCTCAGAGCTGCGCACTTTAAAGAGCTATTCTCATTCAGTTACATCAGTGGTATTCTCACCAGATAACCAGAGAATCATGTCAGGGTCTATTAATAAGACTATCAAGCTCTGGGATGCCCAGACTGGCTCGGAGCTGGGTACTCTGGAGGGCCATTCTGATATAGTTACATCAGTAACCTTCTCACCAGATAGCCAGAGAATTGTGTCAGGATCTGTTGACAAGACTATTAAGCTCTGGGATGCCCAGACCAGCTCAGAGCTGCATAACTTGGAGGGCCATTCTAGTTGGGTTAGATCAGTGGCCTTCTCATCAGATAGTCAAAGGATCGTGTCAGGATCTAGTGACCAGACTATTAAGCTCTGGGATGCCCAGACTGGCTTGGAGCTACGCACCCTAGAGGGTCATTCTGATTCAGTTATATCAGTGGCCTTCTCACCAGACAGTCAGAGGGTTGTGTCAGGGTCTAGTGATCAGACTATCAAGCTTTGGAATACCCAAACTGGCTTAGAGTTATATACTCTAGAGGGTCATGCTTCTTCAGTTGGATTAATAGCCTTCTCACCAGATGGCCAGAAGATTGTGTCAGGATCTGTTGACAAGACTCTTAAGCTCTGGGATATCCAGACTGGCTTAGAGCTGCACACGCTTAAAGGTCATTCTGGTTGGATTACATCAGTAGCCTTCTCACCAGATGGCCAGAAGATTGTGTCAGGATCTGGTGACCAGACTATTAAGCTCTGGGATGCCCAGACTGGCTTGGAGCTGCGCACCTTGGAGGGTCATTCTAGTTGGGTTACATCAGTAGCCTTCTCACCAGATGGCCAGAAAATCATGTCAGGATCTAGTGATGAGGCCCTCAAGCTCTGGGATGCCCAGACTGGGTTGGAGCTGCGCACTCTGGAGGGCCATTCTTCAGTTAGGTCAATGGCCTCATCCGGAGATACCCCGATGGAGCACGAGGAAGGCTTTTGGATATCAGTCGAAAATTCTTGGGTATGCTTGAGAGGTCAACAGTCATTATGGCTTCCTTCTGAACATCGTGGACCTACTTGTCATGTTACTAAACAGGATACACTGGTGCTTGGATATCGAGACGGTCATGTTCTCATTACTAGGTTTTGTGCCCTTCCCGATTGGATATAAATTGATCATATGTTCCTATCTCCTTATTTTTCTAATCTCTATGTAAGGGCCTGGGATAGCTGAGCCTTTATTTTTATGGTCTATAGGTCTCTAGCCACTTCAATCGGTGACGGGAAATCATCCATCCAAGGGCCACAGCCACTGATGATGTAATGCGTAATAATTTACATGCTATAAACCACCAGCAGGTAAAAAAGCAGGAAATAACTAAGAGAGTATTACAAAGGAATAGTATCTTAACTAGAAAGGAGGTATAGAAATAGATTAATAAGGCTATTCAAGCTGATCAAGCTGATCAAGCTACCACAGAGGCATTAGACCAGCCACGCAAGCAGGTACTACTAAAGTGCACTAATTAGGGCACTATTAGCTATAAGCATACGTATTGTAGATCTACTTAAAAGTATTAAAATAAACTTATTTTGGGCTTCATATCACTTAATTTAACCAAGATATCGTTATATCAAGTTGTCAGGTGGTGTTAGTGGCTGGGGCAGTGAACAGCTCGGTGGTGTGCACGGCTCGCTAGTGAGATACGTTATTTAGACCACCCGAGCAGAAATCTAGAAGATCAGATTAGAGCAGCATGCTCTCAAGAAATAGAATATCTATCTACAGGACAAAACCCAGGCACTCTATACCCAGATTAAAAACCAAGTAATTGACTAACAACCAAGTGTATGGGCCGAAGTTGCTACAAGCAATAACTTATTATAGACTAATATCATAACCCTGCAGGCCTGAAGACAGATAAATTATGTCTGAATTAGTACCACATGATCACATGACAGGAAAAGTAACAATAATAAATAATCACTGCAGGTTCATAAGATTCTTACTTATAGATATTACTAACCAGCATATCAGGAATACTCTGTTAAGCATGGACTCTGCTAAACACTACAGAGGAAAATTAGTAACATATTTAATAACATATCAGATATACGAGAAGAAGGATCAAAAGATAAGCAAGATAAAAAAAATAATATGCAAGATTATAAAACCCTATGCGCAATACTGAAATTTTTAGAGGCATCGCAGAGGTTTCAAAGCCGCGCGCCAGAGGGTCGCAGAATATAATACCAGGCTTGTAGGCTACCACAGGCCGTGACGAGGCTCTAATTCGTCAGGAAGTAATGGATCATGTACTTAGAGATATATAAGGACTAGATAATGGGATCCTTCATAATGCCTAGGCGAGGGGTCAGCGTATGAATTCTACCAACCAACCAACCAGTGTATCATTCGACGCGCCAGCTAATTCTGGTGGACTTTTCACCGCATTCTTTGGATCTGATAAGAAACAACATGACTTCACCAGAGTCAAACCCAGGCTTAAGCTATAAACCAAACCACTACTAGGTGGTAAGATCGTCAGTACACCCAAATAAGCCAGATAGTCCTTCCTATTTCTTCATTTGGCAGCCAAGAAAAAGACAGAAGATACACTTTCACCCCCCGAGTCAAGTCAAGCGTCAAAACTGGGGAAGAGGTTGCAGATCATCGGAAAGAAGACTAAACCTATAAGCCCTAGTGCACGAAAAACTTCCCTACCGCTCTTTTGCCTCCCACCGATACTCCTGCATCTTTATGGAGCAGCATCCAGTTTGAACTCTGTAGTAGGGCTGTGATTAGTGGATGAAATACTACCTCGCCTACATGTTTGGGCTAAACGACCAGCGGACTCCGATTGCAGGAGAACTGCCCAGAAAACTAATGGCAACCCCGCCTTTTCATCCCATCCATTTCCGATTGACAGGGATTTAAAGGGTAATAAGAGAAAAGAATTTCTCTCACGAACAAAAGAGGCCATTTCCCCAGATTTTGCACTGCAATTGACGGACTACCCTGAGGTCAAACTCATGGAAGAGCCTTGTTCTCTCCTCCATCCCACCCCATCTGTCACGACACATGTCAAGTGGAAAATTAAAAACACGAGCTGAATCATTTACTTGAACCTACCCTCCTCTTTTTCCCCTGCGGAACGCTGCATGAACGACTACCCGCATCAAGCAGACAGACAGACGGACGTTATTTACTACTGCCCAAGTCGCCTTCGAAACCCACCCATCCGTTTCATTTACCGAACTTGGTCGTGTTCGCAATCGACGCTTTGATCCTTGAAACTATGGCTGCGCTGTGGCTCTTCGTCGCCTTTGGTTACCTCCTCCTTTACGCCTTCGCCTCGCTTCACGCGCTCGACTTGCAGAATCTTCATACCCTTATGGGACGCATTGCGAACTGAGCGGGATGGCTGGGACTGGGGATGTGGGTTGGGGCTGGGTCTGTGCTTGGGGCTGGGGGCTGGGGCTGTTGCCTGGGGTTTGGGGTTTGGGGTTTGGGGGCTATGTGTCACGACACCCCCCTGTAGGACGATCGATCTACTCCCCCCTAGGTACCCTACCCCACCCGTTAAAACGAACGAACGATGCTCAGGACGAAACGGTGGACGGTCGGTTCGAATTTCCTCGTCTGCGGTGCTGCGGTGCTGGTCGCGCAGATGTCTCTCGTTCTAGTTGGATTGGATCGCGTCGATCACAATCCGCTAGAATGACTGCGCTTTGCTTGGTGTTACCATCGTTTTGTCCCCGCTCATTACGTTCGAATTGGAGGTACTCTATGGTTGTTGGGCTGGGTTAAGAACAGAGGGGAGGGAGATATACTCCTGTCTGTTTGTCTCTTGATCAGCAGTGTGCTGCACGGGATGCATGCCTCTTCTTCCCCTACGACGGTCTGAATGAGGGCTCCGAGCGGTTTGAGAGGGAGTCCTCGTTATGGGATATGATTATGACTTTACGGCTTTGGGGGAGTTTGTTTTACACGTTTGTATTATGTCATGGTGGTGATGAAAATGTGAATTACGGACTTATTATGATGGTGGAATAAGGATGCAGGCAGGATGCAATGGTTGTTGTGGGATAGGGCGTGAAAGTGTCAATTGTGATATTGCTGTTTGATTTTGTCTTTTAGATATTGGGGGTTTTTTGGGGTTGCTCGTTGAATGCCGAGGCCGATGTGCTTCGGGCTTCATTCCATAAGCTACACACAGATAAGCATGAGATTTATCTCGCCAAACCAAGTTGATCCATTGCCTTGGTGTCTATCAATGGAGTCAGGTCTCGTGGATAGGCCAGAATGTACGTGATTTGCACCGCCTATGCGTTGATGGTATGTGATCCTGCTATCTTGGCTGATGGCATGGACCTAACTGTCTAAATCTGGACTTCATAATCGAGGGTGCGGTTCAAAAGGGATATAAAGCCCTGAAAGCGTTTCTTCCATTGAAGAAAGAATTGTTGCTCTAATATAAAACATGCTTTTCTAAGCCGAAAACGCCTTTATTGCGGGATATCTCAGTGAGCTTAAACGCCGTATCCACTATAACTTCAAACATGCCGTCGATTTTTTCTCTCTCTTGCCAAATGGACCAACTAGAACCAGATCTTGATCAACTCCTCACTGACTGCGCTTGGCGTGAGCACGCCACTGTCCGTGATCAGCGCGGATATCAGGTGCGGCGGTGTGTAGTCCACCACCTCGCAATCGTACTCCGAGCTCGGTTTAGCAGGCACATCGGACGACTTAGCCGCGAGCCGTTGCTTCTCCGCCTCGGCGATATCTTCCTGCGTCCTGAACTCGATCACCCGCTGCTCAATGGGCAGATCGTACTGCCCCAGCGGGTACACACGGACGAACTTGTGGCTCTCAGCCACCACGTAGAAAGGCTTCCCCATGGCTTTGGCAAGCAAGCCAATCTGGTAGGTCCCCATCCGCGACACAATGCCTCCGTTCTCGACCACGCCCTCTGCACCCACGATCACCGTATCCGCCTTCCCGATGGAGTAGGCAACAGCGGACGGCGGGATCGTAGCCACCGGCACACCGCTTTCCCGCAGCATACGCACAGTCTCCATGCCCTCTGGCTCTGCAGACGGGTTCTCGACGTCGCCCTTCGCGGACGACAGAACGTAGATCACGCGGAAACGGACGGCGGAGAGGCCGCCCTTCTCGGCAGCTGCCTTGTGCAGCAACGACGCGACTACTCGTGACCCGCCGTTCGTCAGGATCGTGCTGCCGTCGCGGACGAAGCCTCGCCCGAACGCGGCGATCTTGTCTCGGCTTTCCTTGGCACGTCGGACGAACAGACGGCCGTTCGATAGGAGGTGCGCTCTGATAGCGTTGAAATCTCCGGCGGGTCCCAGCTGGCCGGGCCTTTGCAGTGTAGTGATCAGGTACCGTTGGAAGAGATCGGTTCCGGCGGACAGACCGATGGGGTTCGGGATCGAATTCTTCAGGTGTGCGGTGGATTTCTCTAGCAGATCGAGGGTCTCGGAGATCGTGGAAGAGGGCGAATGTGTGAGTAATAAGACCAGAGCCTCGATAGCCGCAATTGGCATTGTCAGGTCCGGATCTGTGCGAAGCAAATCATTGTACGTCGCGACAATGCTGGGTTAATGTTAGCTGTGACCGGGCGGGGTGTAGGACGGGGAGGGTATATCTCACTCGAATGGCTTCTCAGCTTCGGAAGATCCTGCCATGGTGTCTGACAACAGTGTGAGATCTGTCAAACAATGATTTGGAGCTCAGTGTTGGCTGTCGTAGATTTCATGCATCGATCATCTTTCCATGCGGCGGAAGAGTCATCGAAAACAGGCGGGCAACCTTGTTTGCACTGTTTGTCTGCCGTACCCCTCCCCGACGCTAATCCGCTTCTGGTTGCCATGTCAAAGCCGTTGCGGTAAACAACCATAACAACAACAGCGGAGTCTGCGGTCAGCTCGTGCTTGCGAAGTGCCTTCCTCTTTCTTTTCTCTGTGCAATCTTAGCCTCGCTACTGTATCGACTGTATGACGAAATGTCGTATAACAATCGGATGAGCCAGCAGTTCCGCGGCACCCAGCAGCAGCAGCAGCACCGGGGCCGCAAGAAGGAAGATGAAAACGACGCCATGATGCGCCTGGTTCGCTCTCCTTCCCCGATCGCATGTTGAGAAGTTGTCACTAATGCAACCCACAGCCTGATAAGGAAATTGCAGGATGTATCAACGATATCGGTATTCCGTTCACGTCGGCCGATCTGATCAAACCGAATCCGCAACAGATCCAGATGGTGATGGAGTGGTTTGGGGAGCTCCTGATGAATGTTACGCGTGATACGGTAGAGCCTGCAATGCGAGCGGCCGCAGACGATATTGGCGGCGATTATCCTGACATTGTGCCTACCGATACCCGCAATCTCATGGGTTTCTTTGTGAGCCTGAAGAGGCTGATGATGGAGGTAAGTGAGCTTCGCGCGAAACCGGCCATGCCACCGCTAACGTATATTGGTCGCATGAATAGTGCGGTGTCAATGATTTCACGTTCACAGACCTGACCAAGCCCACCCACGATCGACTAGTCAAGATATTCTCCTATCTGATCAACTTTGTCCGGTTCCGCGAATCCCAAACGGCCGTGATTGACGAGCACTTCAATAAGTCTGAAAAGACCAAGTCCCGCATTGAGACGCTGTACGCCGAGAACCAGGAGATGGAGCTCCGTCTGGACGAGATGCGACGCAATATGAGGGCGAATGAAGGCCAGGTGCAGGAGAAGGTCAAGAGAAACAACGAGCTGAAGGCCCGACTACGCGAGTTGAAGTCTGATCAGGAGCGGATAGCGGAAACACTCGAGCGGGTCAAGGTCGAGAAGGCCAAGCAGCAAACGACTCTCGAGGAAAAGACCGAGAAAGTCATACGCACTCGACATGAGGTTGAAAAGCTACGGCCGTATGCGATGCAGAGCCCCGCCGCCCTTCAGTCATCTCTCGCGGACCTGTCCGACAATTTGATGCGCGAAAAGGCCCAGATTGACGCGATGGAGAAGAGGGCGCGGGCGCTTCAAACTTCAACGGATACGTTCACCGTGGTGAGGAACGACGTGCAGGCCTGCGTCAAGCTTTTGGAGGATATCTCCGTAGAGTTACAGAAGGAAGATGACGAAGAATCGCGGGCTTCCAGGAATAGGGAAGCGATCTCGGAAAGAGGAAACAATGTCCGCGAGGTCGAGCAGACGGAGAAGCTCCTCCAGCGACAACTCGCACGATGGAGCGAAAGGATCGAAGCCTTGCGTAAGAACGCCAAGGAAAAGGCAGATGCCACGCAGGCGCGGATGGAGGAGCTCAGGGAAGTGCAAAAACAGCTGCGGGAGGAGCGCGCAGAGAAACAACGCGATATGGAAGTCCGGAGGATCAAGATCGAACAGATCGAGAAAAAGGTAAGACCCATACAAGTCGTCTGGTTCGTGAGTGTGGCTGACATTCGTCCAGATGGTCGATCTCAAGGAAAACATCGAGGAGGAGATCCAGAGCTCCCACGACGAGTATCTCAAGCTGGAGTCGCACATCAAGCTTTACATCACGGATATGGAGAAATGTCTCTGAGCCGCGGGTTTGGCTTATCTCGGTCATCGTTCTGGCGTTACAGGGTCGGCTTCAGGATACCCGGTTGGTTGAGGTTCACGTTCATTTCTTAGTACATTTATTTATTTATTCGTATACGTCGGTTATACAATTGGAGTCGCTAGTCGCTACGTCTGCTTCGTGATATTATACCAATGACATGAAGTCTTTAAGATGTCCTGGTATCTGTTTCGGGACAGCTCATCCCACTAAACTCAAACCATCGCTGTGCAATTCGTTTGACAGGCACACTGAGACCACCCCCAGCGGCATCGTCACCCCCCGTACGCACCGCGCTGTTGAGTAACGGAACCTGCGCAAACCACAGCGCCTCTCCACGCATAGGATCCGCCGGATTCGCCGCATCTCGACATTCACAGAGCACAAGATCCATCCCATTCCGAGAGGTCACCTCCACGGCAGCCGCCAGCGTCCTGGATAGTCCTTGGGCCGAAAACTCCGACGTCGGAAGATGTAAAGCTAAGCAGTTCAGGATGGCCACCAGGGGTCGTTTATTCTGCCCCGCGGTTGTGCCATGTTGGGCATTGCCGTCACTGGTCGGGCGTAGTACGCCGATGTAGGCGCGTAGATGTTCCAGGGTGGGACAGAAGATCAGTTTGGCTCTGGTTGAGTTCGCGAGCAATCCGATGGTGTCTTTGAGTAGTTCTTGGCCATTGGATGTGTGTTTTGGTTGTGTCTGGATGGTGAAGGCTAGGTTTACGAGAAATGAATCTCTTGTAGAGCAGATGATTAGAGAGACTGGTTCTGTGGTGGTGTCGAGGATATATTGGAGGAATTCTGTAACCCAGTCACAGTTATATATCTTGCGGGTTGGCTCCATCGTTGCTGATTTGGTGTGGAGTACAGCGAATTTAGGAGCCAGAGCATTTTCAGGAATTGACGAGTGGATTGTCCATAACAACTTTGCGAAATGACAAGTTAAGTCAAATTCTCAGTTGTCATGACCACTCTTGCAGGATTGAAAGGTGAACATGGTCGAAGGTCCAGACTGACTTGTTCCTAAGGCCCACACTAAGGTAAGCACGGGCTAAACTGCCGGTGCCGGCGTCGACCGCGGAACTCTCGACCCTCCCCACATTCGCTCCATTGCTCCCTCCGGACCTTCCCCCCTCTCAGCACCGCCTGCCAGCTTGCTATATTCAGGTTCCAGGCGCCTAAAATGGAGACTATCTCCAGAATCTCCTCGATGCTGGAAACAGGTAAGTGGATAGCTTGATGATCCGAGCTCAGCACCGCGAAACTGGCCGACTGACTATCATTCAAATAGCTCGGGAGCTTACTCTCGAAGCTGCTCAGTCGGCAGCTATCGGTAAAGGACCTATTACGGGGGCTCCTTCATCGCGGAATACGAGCGCTTCCCATATCAAGAAGCTTTTGGATAGTCGCCATGAACGGGAAGTTCTCGACGGGATGCGAAGGGTGATCTCGGTGAGTCGACAGCCATGAATTGCTCCCGAGGTCTGTGCTAATGTTTGGTTTCTTCCCCATTGAACAGTTGATGTATGGCACGGAATCGGCCCTACCTTTCTTTTCAGCCGTCGTCAAAAATGTCGCGAATACGAGCCTGGAAGTCAAGAAACTGGTCTATATATACCTGGTCCACTACGCCGAAGCAGAGCCCGATCTCGCATTGCTGTCCATCAATACGATCCAGAAGTCGCTCACAGATTCGAACCCCCAGGTCCGAGCGATGGCGCTGCGTACGATGTCCGGGATTCGAGTCCCGGTCATCAGCCAGATCGTGTCTCTTGCGATCAAGCGCGGTTGCGCCGATATGAGCCCACACGTGCGCAAGACTGCAGCATTGGCTATTCCTAAATGCTATCGCTTGGACCCGAGTACGTTGCCGCAGCTGGTTGGGTACCTGGCTATGCTTTTGGGTGATAACCAGTACTTTGTCGCTGGTCCGGCAGTGGCTGCGTTCTTGGAGATTTGTCCGGATCGGATCGACCTTATACATAAGTGCTATCGGAGTTTGGTGAGGAAGTTGGTGGACATGGATGAATGGAGCCAGATATCTACGCTGCGGCTTTTGACGTCCTACGTGCGACAGTGTTTCCCTCAGAGGACTCAGAAGGTTAAGCGGACGGTGTCCAAGAAGGACTTTTATGATGACGAGGAAAGCCCTCGTGACGGTGAAGAAGAAGAAGAAGGAGAAGAACTTGAAGTACCGGCTTTGGACCCGGATCTGGAATTCTTCCTTCGAACATGCAAAATCCTTTTGCAGAACCGCAATTCCGCTGTCATTGTCAGCGTTGTTCGTGCTTTTCTCTACCTCGCCCCGCCCGAGTATCTCGATGCAGCAGCCGGTCCTTTGGTGGCTCTTCTGCGGAGCCCACAGGACATACAGCATGTTGCTCTCTGCAACATCGTTGTCGTTGCTCTGCGCTATCCGAATCTATTCACGAAATACGTCTCGCATTTTCTCGTCCATAGCATCGACCCACCTCATATCTGGCGGCTCAAACTCGAGGTTCTTACCCTCCTGTTCCCGCATTGTGGTATGCATCTGAAAGGTATAATTTTGAGCGAGCTTCGTCATTTTGCCCAAGGGACCGATCCGGAATTGGTGCGCGAGAGTGTCCGCGCGATAGGCCGTTGTGCGCAGACCGACCCGGACACCGCCGATTACTGCTTGGATTTACTCCTCGGTCAGATTGCAAGCTTGGACGACAACTTGGTGTCAGAGACTTTGACTGTGATCAGGCACCTTATCCAACAAGATCCGGCCTCTCACGAACAAACGGTCATCGAGTTAGTGAAGCATCTGGGAACGACGAATAACCCCGATGCACGGGCAACCATTGTGTGGCTCGTGGGCGAATTTGCGGGTGTGGATCCGGAGCGGAACATCGCACCTGACGTTCTACGAATCCTAGTCAAAGGGTTTGCGGATGAGTCGGAGGCCGCGAAACAGCAGATCGTGCTACTTGGCGCTAAAGTCTATCTGCATCATCTCTTGCGAAACCCGCCCCCGGAGCCGAAAGAAGAGCCTGTACCGAGCCAGAGGATCGAACCAGGCCCGACAAACGAGTGGGCTGACGATCAGGATGAGAACAAGTCTCCAGAGAACCAAGAGAACCAAGTGGAGGAACAGCCTGCCGAGCCAGAACCGGATAGAATCACGCTCCTCTGGCAGTACCTTTTGCTTCTCACGAGATACGACACCTCCTACGATCTTCGCGACCGTGCACGACTGTACAAGGCACTCCTCTCCAACCCTTCGTCCACCGACCTGGCTAATCTGCTCTTGCTGGCGCCGAAACCTGTTCCACACACGCCGAGTCCGTCTGAAACCCGCAAGAACCTGCTCATCGGTTCGGCCACGCTCATTATCGGCTCGGACGCTGGAACCCACGGGCTGCGTGGCTACGAGGATCTTCCTTCTTGGGTCGAATCTGGCCAGGAACCTGACCCGAACCTTCGAGAACAGGAAGCCAAACCCGAGTTAACCGAGAAATTGCCTTCTACCGCGGCGGAGAAACTCGACCGGGCGCTCCGGGAACATCAAACCAATGTCGCTGCTCTCGATCAACAACGGAGACTTGGACATGGACATGGACAGGCGATGGCGTCTGCGTCGAAGGGCAAGAAGACCCTTGACGAGTGGCTCGAAGCTGAATCGGAGACGGAGGAGGAAACGGACTCGGAGGAAGAAGTGACGGACTCGGAGGAAGAGACTGATGATGAGGAAGAGGAAACGGACTCGGAGGAAGAAGAGTCCGAGGAAGAGACGGATTCTGAGGGTAATGAAGAAGGCGCTCAGCTTCTACAACGGGGTAGTGGATATGCACAGAGCTCGAAGGATGTGCCATAGTGGCCCTGTATGGGTGGTTATGGGTATCTTAATAAATCTGAATATATGGCCCTCACCTGACTCTAGAGATATCGAGGATACTGTATGCTATTCTACAGCTATTCTACAAACATATAGGAATTCAAGGTACTATTGAAACAGACCATTGTTGTAAAGGTCAGGCCCGAGAGAGGACCGAGCTTCTAGAACAACGCCGAGCTTAATTGGAGATTCTGCCCAGCATTCTCCATTCCCCGTACCTCCACCGCTAAGCTCGCCTCGTGATTTCCGAACCTTTTCCACTCCTCCATCAGTTACCCGGATTCTCCTCCTCTCTCTCCCAAAGAAAATAAACATACGATAATAAGGCCTCGCGGGCCTCGATCAGCGTCGACCCTCTCTCTCCCTTGCCGGTTTTGTCGGTCATGATGCGAGCAGCTGCAGGACCTTTGCAGACAGTCAGATCCCTCGAACCCAACCACCAAGTGTTTCCCTTGCTCAGCGCGCGCGTCTATCGATTCTCTTAGTCTCACAGCACCCGGTGATTTCAAAACTCAATACACATATTAAACACCTTTTCCGAGAATATTCGGCCTATTTACATATCCATTTGTCACATTATAAACTTGGATCCAGGAGTCCCCTGAGCCCGCAATGCCTGGCTTACCGGGTAAGTCTCCGCCCCGCGGCTCCCTGATCTCCCCAGACCGGATGGGACCACGCGATTTTTATAGAACCGAGGGACCTAATTGTTTGTGCAGCGAGTATCGACCTGGACGAGTGCATCGAACGGTTGTATAAAAAAGAGCTGCTGGCAGACTCGGTCGTGGAGGCGATATGCGCCAAGGCGAAAGAACTGTTGATGAAGGAGAGCAATGTCGTCCACATTGCGGCTCCCGTGACCGTCGTCGGTGATATCCACGGGCAGTTCTTTGATATGATTGAGATATTCAAGATTGGGGGGTTCTGTCCGAATACGAATTATTTATTCTTGGGTGAGCGGCACATTCCGTGCCCACCTTGCGTACGACGATGCTAATGGAGGTGTGTTTCGAACAGGCGACTACGTAGACCGAGGTCTCTTCAGCGTCGAAACAATCTCCCTCCTCGTCTGCCTCAAGCTGCGATACCCACAGCGCGTGCACCTCATCCGCGGCAACCACGAATCCCGCGGCGTAACCCAGTCCTACGGGTTCTACACGGAGTGCGCGCGCAAATACGGCAACGCCAACGTGTGGCACTACTTCACGGACATGTTCGACTTCCTGACCCTCAGCGTCGTCATCAACGACCAGATCTTCTGCGTCCACGGCGGCCTCTCCCCCTCCATCCACTCCATCGACCAGATCAAGATCATCGACCGCTTCCGCGAAATCCCCCACGAGGGCCCCATGGCCGACCTCGTCTGGTCCGACCCGGACACCGAGCGTGACGAGTTCTCCCTCTCCCCCCGCGGCGCCGGGTATACCTTTGGCGCGCAGGTCGTCCGCAAGTTCCTCGAGGTGAACAGCATGTCGCATATCCTGCGCGCCCACCAGCTGTGTCAGGAGGGGTACCAGGTGCTGTATGATGATCGGCTCAGTACCGTCTGGAGTGCGCCCAATTATTGCTACCGCTGCGGGAACCTCGCCAGTGTGCTTGAAGTGAGCGACTCCGGCGAACGGTTCTTCAATATCTTCGATGCGGCGCCGGAGAACGACACCCATCGCTCGGAGCAGCAGGCTCAGCAGAATAAGGACGGCCAGAGCCCTGTGATTGACTATTTTTTGTGATACCCGATTTATTTATCTTTATGTTTATTCCCATGTCTATCCTACCTTGTTCCGTTTTCTACCTTGTTTTCTTTATACGATCTTCCCACTGCAATCTTGGAGTTTGGTACATAAAGCATTTATAGACAGCGTGGTTGATACGACGCGAAGAAAAAGACAAGATTTCTATGAGTTACTGTTACTATTTTATCAGCGATGAGAAGATTCAATCTACTGTAATTCATTACTTGTCTGGTTGACATAGATTGGATCTCCTTGTTGCTTTCATTGTGTTTCTTTCATTTTATTATTTTTATTTTATTTTATTTTTTCTAAATTCTCGACGCAAGGGTTAGAGGGTTACGATCATTGATCTAGATATGGACCAACCAATGAAGTATACAAAGGTGGTTTAGTAGGTTAGGTAGGTTTATGGAAATTGGAGTGAAAAAGAGAAGAAAAGAAAAGGAAAGAAAATAATAATCTTCAGCAGTGAAACTCGCCCAACGCTTGTAAATGTCGAAAACAAACATGCTGTTCATGATACGATTACCGGCCGTCATGGCTTTCAACCGCGACCCCTGCCTAAAAATTCGAAATGTGAATTTTCAATGTAGATTTACCAATCTTTGGCAATGTCGAACGACCACTCGAACAGGAGGTGGGTGTTGTTGTCGTCGTCGAGGAACTTGGACACGGCGTTGTAGTGGCCGCGGGCCAGCATGCCGGAGGGAGCTTCTTCGGGGTTGACTGTTCGGGTTAGTATCATCGGCTTCGTCTTTTCCTCTGAAGAACGAAAGGGAAGACTCACATTTCTTCTCGTATGTCGGCTTGCCGGTGGTGCTGGGGGCAAAGCTTCCCTACACATGTGTTAACGACGTACAACCAATCCAACCAAATAAACGTACCAGCATCTCCTCGTCCTTGCTGACGCGGACACCTCTGCGCTTGACCACCTGCAGGTATTTCAAACCACTCAGGACCTCGTGGTGTACGGCGAAGACGACCTTGATGCGGAAGGTGGCGCCCTCCTTGATCGTGAAGGGCTTATCCTTGAGGGACTCGAGGGCTCCCGGGGCGGACACGTCGATGAGCACATCCTGGCGTCCTTCGACCTCCAGGGCTAGGGACTTGATGATGCACTTTCTGGGGTCGTTGGGGTCGCCGATGGGTTCGCCGGTGTTGAGGCCCAGGGAGGCTTTCCAGCGGTTGAGGGATTCGTCGTTCTTGTCTGGAGGAAACCATTGTTAGTGTTGGATAAGGAGGAAGTTATGGGTATTTATTTTATAGATTCAGGAACAGAGACAGGAAGTTTGTCAGGTCCAGATGGTTATGCATGAGCCGGGGTGGGGGCAAACAAGGAGCTCGAATTCCAATCTCATCACTCCCCCCGGGATTCCATGCAGCAAGGAATGCATGGAAAGTAAGATGAAATAAAATAAAATAAATACATACCAAGCTCGGCATACTCAGCCAGGGACTTCTTCTCTCCGACCTTGAACCCCTCGGTTCTGCTGGCCGCCAGATCGTCCTCGTGGTGGTCGGGCATGGTGTGTGGATGGTTGTAGGGATTGGTTATTATTATTATCTGGGGTTTACTAGGAAGAGTTCAATTAGACAACAGACAAAGACAATAGACAAATGAGAGAGAAGGAATTCAAAGTACAAGAGGGAGGGTTGTGGTGGGATGAATTGTTTAGTAGAGGACTTACTATAGAGCTGGCAGTGAGGGGAGGGGTAAGATAGATAGGGAGAGTTAGTAGGAGTGTTGGGGAGAGTATGAGAGAGACAAAGAGAGGGAGAGAGAGATGGCCTGATTCGTCAGGGGTCAATGGAGGGGTGGATGCCTCAGTAGATGGCCTGGATGGATTGGTTTGTCTGATTTGTTTTGGTGAGCCTGAACCAACTGGAGACTAATGAGGGATTTGGTGGGGGAAGCACTCACCGCCATCATGGATTAGTCATGATACTGTCTTTCATAGTTAACTAGTTATAGACTATCACTTTGACTATAGAATATAGATTCAAGATCCGAAGTAAAAGGTTATTATAAGATGGTGAGTATAGATCAAGATTGTCAACACAACTGTAACACGCAAGGGCTCCCGTAGCTGTATGTGGACCACACCTGAGCCATGCACCACTGCAGGAGTGACATCTCAAACCCAGCCCGAACTCCTTGTCGAGAAAGGCTCTATGGAAGCTTGAACCACTTGAGTCTGACCTTATTTTACTCCATACTGAATAATACTATACAACAACAGAACTGGTGAGCCGCTTGTCCCAAACAGGAAATCTTATTTGCGCGGCTCGTCACGGGGACAACGGAGCTGGCTTCCAGGTTTCTGAGGTGTCCATTACCAGGCCTCAATACAGGTCTGTTACCAGTGCTGGGCGCATTCAATACCGGGGGATGAGCCCGCGACCGCTGATCCTTCCCGGTTGAGAGCCGGTTGAGAAGACCCATTGGCCAGTTGGGGCTTAGTGTGACACCGTGGACTATGATTAGTGTACGTGTACGGTAAAGACAGCAGTCAAGCAATTCTCCCCCATCCATTTTCCCAATTCCCGTCCCCCGTTTCTTTTATGATTTTCCATATTTTCCTTTCCTTCACTTTTACTTATCAAGACACAACGCGCATTGGCAATCGTGTGTTTTCATTCCAATCCAATTCAAGGTTATTATCCCCCCGGTCGATCACGGTTTGTCTGTGCTCTTGCCTAGTGCTTCTTATTAGCTTCCTTCGCCCCATCGCGCTTTGTTGTGGTGTGCGCCCACACTACCGATTTGTGGTGACGTCTTATCCCTCGACGTTACCAGAGCGGCCAGACGCGCCTGCAACGTGGCGCCGCATCTTACTCGACTGGACTTTCTCCTGTCCACCCCCCATCTCTCCTGCCCCTCTTCCATCTTCTAGCGAACCATCTCTGTCTGAGGTGAATTTCATCATGGTGCGATCCCTGCCCAAGAAGAACAACCCTCTCATCCAGACGGATGGAGGCCCGGCCTGTAAGTGTGCGCCTTTTTTTTTCCGTCCTGTCGCATGGGTGTCCACCACCCTCATCGATCTTTATTGCATCATTCTGACCAAGCTTTCCCTCTGGGGATCATAGATGAAGAACTTTTGATGCGCCGCCGTCTGGGAAAGACCAATCTCGCCGTCAAGGCGACCCAGATTGGCACGTCCAATGCGACCAGACCGGAAAACCTGGGTCCGTTCGAATATGCCCATCTGCGCGCCCCGTTACCCAAAGACCTCAAGGGTTCGGAGATTTTCCCGTCCCATGCGCCAGCGCAACATCCGGAGACTTATTTCTTGATGGTGAGTGGCCTGCTTCCGCCCGCTTCCGAATCCCGGTTAACGCTGGACATCTCCCTACAGCGACGTAGTAAGGATGGGTTTGTCAGTGCGACTGGCATGTTCAAGATTGCCTTCCCTTGGGCCAAGCTCGACGAAGAGCGCTCCGAACGGGAATACCTGAAAGCGAAGGAGGGAACTAGCGAAGATGAGGTTGCCGGCAATGTGTGGATCTCACCCATTCTCGGTACGTTGGATGTTGCTCGTGTTCTATGAACGCCGCGATACTAACCCGAACTAGCCCTGGAGCTCGCAAAAGAATACAAAATGTACGACTGGGTCCGCGCGCTTCTGGACCCGGCCGAAATCGTCCAGAGCCCATCGAGCCAGAAGAAGCTGATCACGCCCCCGCCGCGGTTCGACCTTCCCCCCATTGATGCCCCCGTACAGTTCTCCGTGGCCCGTTCCCGGACCCGCCGTTCGGCCTCGCCCAGCAAGTACGTGGGTTCGCCGCGGAAGTCCCGTCAGACCAAGGCCCAGAAGGAGGCCAGTGCGGCGGCAACGAGTGAAGCCAACGCCAACCTTCAATCGTCGTTGGATATGACTGCGTCGACCGCTGACTCTGAATCGTTGAACGGCATTCTCCCTAGCGTGGAGGATGTGGAAGAAAAGACAACCGCGAGCCCCAAGAAGTCGGCCCAGTCGAAGTCCAAGAAGAGCAACTGCTCTCGCGCCAAGCGGGAAGCTGTGAACACGGAAGACCAAACCGAAAGTGAGAAGACGTCTGAGAGTGTCCGGGTGGAAGTGGAAAACCCGGCCGATGGCGAGATCCCTGTTCGCACCACTCAGACGACAGTCCCCATCGACATGCCCATCACCCTTCCCGAAGCCCCGTCGGCGGCCGAAACGGAGAAGATGATCGCAGAGGCCAAGCAGATGGTGCAAGAAGTCGTTGATGCCCATGCTGAAGATAAGGCCACCGGTGAACCGTCGTCGGCCAAGGCGGGTAAGGTTGTGAAGAAGCGCAAGCCGGAAGATTTGAGCGACGACGAGGAGGACGAGGAAGCCAAAACCTTACGGACCAAACGGGCGAGGGTGTTGGAGGATAAGCTTAAGCGTGAACGCGTCAGGAATCGTGCGCTTGTCGGAGTCACCGCTGCCTTTGCTTTTGCGTGAGTATTCCCTGCCTTTGTGGACTGCACCGTGCTAACCAGATAACCAGTGCTTCGATCCCCTACTTTTTCTAGATGCGAAACGAGAATCCGGCAACGGTATACGTCTGCTGGCTGGATGACCCCACAGAGGCCGACCTTCACCTACAGCGTTTCGCCGTCGCCGCTCATTCTTGCCAAAACCCCCATTGTTCTGAATTATGCCCATGCCCTTACTCCAGCCACTCTCCGCCCTTTGCTACTTCCATTACTTTTCGTTCGATCCCCTCATTCTTCATGTATCGTATTGACTCATATCGCTGTTTATTATCATTGACGATGCACCCTTCCTTGCCGACAGTACGGAGTAGGAAGGGTGTCGGTGTCTCGGGGTTGGTCGGTGGATTGGAGGTTGAGATAGGTTGTCCGGAGCCGTTCATTGCTTCTTTGTGCTCCTTTCCTGTGTGACATTTCCTATTATTTTCCTGGATACCTGGTATACTTTTATAATCCTATTGCCTATTATCTATTGATCTGGTGTCGGATGGATTGTGGGACGGAGTAAATACAGAATTGCCAGGTTGCTTATTATAGTTATTATTCTTAAAATTAGGAGCTCAGAACAATTAAGCTAGAAGTGTATATCAGTATATCATGATAAGAATCGCGCCAAGCTAAGCACGGCCGGACCAGTTCCGCAGTGCAAACAACCAAAACACCGTCATCCACTTCGAAGATCCCAGTCAGAACAATCGACCGATTTGCCTGGTTGACATTCACCCCCAATCGTCATTTTGACCACAGACAATCAATGTCTCTCCCAGGTTTAGACCTCACGCAGGCAACGGAGGAAAGGGAATTCGTCCCCGCCCCGCCAACGCAGATCAGTCTGAGCAAAGGCTCCGAATGGAGATTTGAAGTCGCATTCGGCACGACCGTGCGAGTGAAGGTGAGTCGGACATACCTATCCTTTTCGCGTCGACTATTACTGGTCTATTTTACAGCAAAGAAATGAAATAAACTGACCGTGTCCCAAAAAATAGCTCCTCGCCGGCAACGCAGAACTCTTCGGCACCGAGCTCGCCCCCTCCCAAACCTACACCTTCTCCGGAACAAAAGCCGCCATCTACACCTGGCATGGCTGCACCCTGGAAATCAGCGCCGGGGACAGAGTCTCCGCGATCGAGGGCTTCGCTCCGGGCGGGTCGACGATGACCGCGAACGGGACGCCGACAACCACCACCACCACCACAACCAACACCAGCACCACCGGCGGCCGCGGGTTCGGCGCGGGAGGCTGTCAGAGCGAGTACGTCGCTGAGGAGACGCCCATGGTGGAGTACGCGAATGTGCATTTCGCGCTGGAGACGCTGCGCCAGGAGGCCAAGGCCACAGGGAAGGATGGGCCGCGCGTGCTCATCGTTGGCCCTGATAATGCGGGCAAGAGCAGCTTGGGTAAGATTTTGACGGCGTATGCGACTAAGGTCGGGCGGCAGCCGATTGTGGTGAACTTGGATCCGAATGAGGGCATGTTGAGTGTGCCGGGGACGCTTACGGCTACGGCGTTCCGTACGATGATGGATGTTGAGGAGGGGTGGGGGAGTAGTCCTATGTCGGGGCCGAGTGCTGTCCCTGTGAAGTTGCCGCTCGTGTACTTTTATCCGATGCAGAATCCGCTGGAGGCGGAGGGGTCGGTGTTTAGGCCGATTGTGTCGAGGCTGGCGCTGTCGGTTATGGGGAGGATGGCGGAGGATGAGGATTCTAGGGAGACGGGCATCATTGTTGATACGCCCGGGGTGTTGGGGCAGGGGAAGCCGGGGAGTTTGGAGTTGATTAACCATATTGTGACGGAGTTTTCCAGTATGTTTCCCTTCTGATTTTTGTGGGCTTGACGATTCCGTCAAGAATGATGCTTACTGAGATACAGTCACTACGATCCTGGTCCTCGGCTCGGAACGCCTCTACAGCACCATGTTGAAGAACTACGACAACAAGCCCTCGTCAAGCGCCTCAGCAGCCGCATCAGACGAGTGCATCTCGGTAGTGAAGCTGCCCAAATCCGGCGGCTGCGTCGACCGCGACGCCACATTCATGAACGGCCTGCGCGAGTCTCAGATCCGAACATACTTCTTCGGGAATCCCATCCCGTCCACAGCGTCCGCCGCGCTGTCTCTCTCCGCCTCCTCAACCACAAACGTCACGCTATCCCCCCACGCGCAACAGCTCGACTTCAACTCCCTCTGCCTCTACAACTACACCATCCCCTCGCTCGAAGAAGACGAAGACGAGTACGACCCGGCCCAACTGGACGCCTTTCTCCCGGGCGATGCGGAATCGACCCCGGTTAAGGAAGAGGGCTCCGCACCGCCTCTACCCGGCGTGACTGGCTCGTCGGGTGAGCCTACACATTCAGCTACCTCCGATGGCGGAGTCCCCCTGAAAAAAGTGTTACCCCCGCGCCGTCTGCTCTCGCGAACTCCCTGCTTGCCGTCACGCACGTGTCGCCGACTTCTAGTGTCGCTCAGGTGCGCGACTCCAGCATTATGGGCTTCTTGTATGTGGCGGATGTGGATAGCGAGAAGGGCAAGATTCGCGTGTTGGCCCCGATCGGTGGGCGCGTGCCTCCGCGGGCTGTCGTTTGGGGGAAGCATTGGCCTGGGGAGGTTGTTGGGTTGGTTGGGTAATTTATCAATATCATTACTGTGACTATGGTGGAGATGGTGGAGAATTACACAATGCTATATGGTAGGTTCAACGCAGGGCGCTAGTAGTGTTTGTAGTGGCTGAGTCGAATTGGCAGCCAACGTACGCCGTAATTCGTAGACGCAGGCGACATGACTCGTTAGACAGCTCAACCTAGTTGAGGTACGATGCGATCAACATTCCATATTATGTATCTCGTAAATAGTGCCGCTATCCCTGCCAATGATCTCATTGCTGACACCTGTCTTAGCACCGCCCTATATTAAATACCTTCCTCTGCCATCTTACCCCATGAACAATATTCTCCTTAATCCTATCACTGCGTACATCATACTCGTTTCAAACCAAATCTATCAAATAAAAAAATAAAATGGTCGACTCACCCCCCACCTACTCTGAACAGGCCCGGTCGATGCAGTCCCAGGTACCCGAGTCGGACCCTCCGCCCTACACTACTACTACTGCTACTACTGCTCCACTCCGCTCCACCCAACCCGGCAATTCCTCCTCTACCACTACTACCACCTCTCCTGCCATCGCAACCACCACCACCACTACCACAACCAATAACCAACCCCTCTCCTGGTTCAAATCCCTCGTCAACATCTTCACCCGATCCCCCGAATCAGCCGCCTCCCGCCGTCAGAAGAAATCCAGACGACGATACAGCCAGCGGATCCGCGCCCGCGAGAGAGAGCTCCGCACCAAGAGAGAAGGCTTGCCCGGCTTCTTTGCGGGCCCTGCGGCTGGTGGGGTTGGTGCTTGTTGATTTTCTACTTTCACCTGGAGGAGTATAATGGATGGGAGAGGTTGCGCGCATACACATACACATACACGGTTGAATTGTTGAATTGGCTTCTTCGTCTATCGCGGTCCTTGAAAGTGTTGCACGCGACAGACAGTTCCCCGACGCAGTTTCCGACTGTGACACCGACACAATCTACCAACCCGACACCATAACAACGAACCAACCATAATAAGAGAAAGAAATAAAGAAAAGGAATGCTCTTCTTCCGCTGCTACCGCCGCCGGATCCTCCGCCGCCGCCTCACAATGCTCCTCCCCCTCCTCCTCACCCTCCTCATCCTCACCCCCGTCTACATAATTTACAAACCACCCCACCTCCTAATCCGCTACTTCCAACACCGCTGGCCAGACGTGCTCTTCCACGTGCCCCTCCCCCCAAACACCGACAACAAATTCATCGCCCTCACAATAGACGACGCGCCCTCGCCCCACACCGCCGAAATCGCATCCATCCTCGCCGAAAACGATGCACGCGCAACATTCTTCCTCATCGGATCGCAGATTCCAACCCGTGAATCAACCCTCGTCGACCTCGTCGCAGCAGGCCACGAGCTAGCCAACCACGCCATGCACGACGAGCCGTCCAAATCCCTCCCCAACGACGTCCTCTCCCGCGAGCTCGTCACCGTCAACAACCGCATTCTGGACGCATACCGCGCCGCAGGCCTCTCAGAGGAGGTCCTCGACAAAGACCAGCCGAAGCGGTACTTCCGCCCCGGATCGGGGTTCTTCTCTGAGCGGATGCGCAAGCTGGTGCGTGTGCTTGGCTTTCGGGTCGTGCTGGGCAGTGTCTACCCGCATGATGCGCAGGTGCAGTTCCCGTGGTTGAATGCGAGGCATATACTGGGGAAGGTTAGGCCTGGCAGTATTGTGGTTTGCCATGATCGGAGGGAGTGGACTGCGCCCATGTTGAGGAGGCTTTTGCCGGAGCTTAGGAGGAGGGGGTATACTGTTGTTACTGTTTCGGGGTTGTTGGGGGTGAGGGAGAGGTTGGAGGGGGGGGTTTGATTTTGTGATCCTTTTTTTCTCTTTGAAGCTGGGAGCTAATTGTTATGAGTTATGAGGGTTGTTTGAGTATGGTGTTTAGATTTTTGATTGCTTTTTTATTATTGTTCTTTTCTTTCTTCGTGTCTTCTTACCCCTTTCTATGTTGATCCCGGAATCATGTCTAATAGCTGTACATAACCAAGTAATACATGAACAAAACCTAAGGTGCCATCCTTCCTTGCATACATAAAGCAAACCTGTCGTGCCATCCATCCATCCATGCATACAGTGATACAGATACATCAAAGCAAAAGCAACAGTGCACTATACATCCAAACGAAAGAAAGAGTCGCCCGCGACTCCTTCATTCATTCAATTATCCATTCAATCATTCACTCCCACCTCTTCCACTCCTCCAAATTCTCCCTCAACTCCCCGTCACAATCATACCCCAACCTCTCCTTACCCCGCAGCGTCTCCCTCCGCTCCAGATACCGCTGCTCAGCATCAAACCGCCTCACCGCAATCGAACTCAAATACTCCAGGTCATCGCGCGCCACCGCGTCTTGGAACTTCGCCCGGATCCGCGGCGAGTATAGCTGGCAGCTTGCCTCGCGGCAGCACTGCGCGGCTGCTTTCCCCGGTAGGAGCCGGGAGGAGGCGGAGAAGCGCCGTGCGAGGGGCTGGTTCGCGCGCACAAGCGGCCAGACCACGTCGTCGTAGCAGTCTTCGCAGACTGTGAAGGTGGGAAGCTGCGGCATGTAGTGCCAGGTGCTGAAGACGAGGCGGTCGCGCGGGCAGTCGCGGATGACGACTTTGCGGCGCGCGTAGGCCATGAATTCGAGGAGGTCGAGCTCGAGTGTGGAGTCTTGCTCTGCGCGCGTGGCCGACATGTCGAGGAGGTCGATGTAGCGGATGAAGCGGGGGGAGTCGGTTACGAGGTCGCAGACGCGTTCTTGTTTCGTGCTGCTTCGCTTGAAGGTGCTGCGGTGGGCGGGGATCACGGTGCGGAGGTTGCGGATGCAGGTTGAGCAGACGTTGAATTTCGGGAGGAAGACGCCTGTGTCGGGGTCGATGACCCGGTACCAGTATTGGTCGCTGATGGTTCGTCCGGTGCAGGGCTTGGTGCCGGCTGAGGTCCAGGTCACGTCGTAGAGCATGTCGAGGTGGTCGAGCTGTTTCTTGAGCGTCTGTGTCCAGGCGAGCCGGGCCCATGGGAGGCTCATCGAGCAGCGCACTTTGTCGCCCCGTGGCCGTGGATTGGCGAGCATGAACTGGTCCCGGAATCGCGATTTGCGCATCTGTGTTGTGCACCCCGGGCAGATGTTCAGGTGCGTCAGCCCCTTAATGGTGTACCAGTCTTGGTACCCGGCTTTGGGGACGGATCTGGAACAGGGCAGGAGGCTGAATCCTCCGGGGTGGTTTGTTGGCGGGGAACGCGAGCTCTCGCGCGACGAGCTGGTCTGCCGAGTCAGGGGTCGTTGCTGGTCACTTTCTAGGGCTTGTTGGGTGGGGGAGGGCGCAGGCTTGGACGGCTCGTCGAGGAAGGACACTGTCCGCCTGGAAGGGGGCCGCTTGGGTGGCCCCTCGTCCGACGACAAGGACGTTTGAGAGGTGCCATTGTCGGTAAAGATAATTGAGGCGGGCGACTCTCTGTCGGAAGATGACCCAGAAGAGCTTTTGTTTGTCTTCAGTGCCGGTTTCAGACGGCGAGACTTCTTAGCAGCCGCTGGGCGAACCCCCGTATCAGAGCAGTAGTCAACAGGCTCGGCTTTGCGTTCGATGCGGTTGTCCACTGGTGCTGGTGCCGCCGGAGCTGGCACCGGAGCCGGCGGTGGATTGGCGGGCGTGTCACGGTCGACCTGGGCATCTTCCGGTAGCTTGGGCGAGTTGCGTTCCTCTTGTCGGCGCCGGATTTTCTCTTCTAGCCTCTGCGCTAGACTGGGCACGTTGGTCCCTTGGGATGGTTTCTCGGCAACTGGAGATTTCGAGATGGGCGTTTCCTCCTGGATGGGCGTCTCCTTCTGGATGGGCGTCTCCTTCTGGATGGGCGTCTCCTTCTGGATGGGTGTCTCCTTCTGGATGGGCGTCTCCTTCTGGATGGGCGTCTCCTTCTGGATGGGTGTCTCCTTCTGGATGGGCGTCTCCTTCTGGATGGGCGTCTCCTTCTGGACGGGCGTCTCCTTCTGGATGGGCTTGTCCTTCTGGATGAGCGCCTCCTTCTGGACGGGCGTGTCCTTCCGGCTAAGCTTGTCCTTCTGAGTAAGCTTGTCCTCCCGGTCTTTCATCGTGGCCGTGTCAGATTGATACCCAGACGTGGTAGAGCGTTTGGCCGTGATCGGCCGCCGGGGCTTCTCATGCTTCACACTTGACGATCGCCGAACGGTGGACTGGACAGGCGCTAGTCGAGTATCCTCAGGTTTACGTGAACTGCTGCGGGATGCTGGTGTGGTCCGTAGTCTTGTGCGGGACTCTGATCGGGTTTCCTCTAGGTTAAGCGAGCCACTGCTAAATGCTGGGATGGCCGGTACTCTTTTGCGGGACTCTGATCGGGTTTCCTCTAGGTTAAGCGAGCCACTGCTGGATGCTGGGGTGGCTGGTAGTCGTGCGCGAGACTCTGCTCGGGGATACTCTGGGTTACGTGAACTGCTGCGGGATGCAGACGTGGTTGATCGTCTGGTGCGGGATTCTGCTCGGCGAGCTGTCGATGCGCTTCCCCTATCTTCCTTTCGCGTTTTGGACTCTGCTCGGCGAGCTGTCGGTACGTCCCTGTCTTCCTTCCACGCCTTGGACTTCGAGCGCTCCTGGCGTGCGACAGGTGTCTGGGAATCAGCAGTGCGCACAGGGTTTCGAGTAGGCCGGGCGCGCGACGGTTCCCGTGATCTGTTCTGGGGAGTCATGCTCCCAGGTTTCACCGGAGCCGACACGGGCACAGAATCCAGCGTATATCCAGGCATGTCGGTGGCCCCGGCGACGTTGAAGATCGGATCCTGCTTGGCAACCAGGGGCGGGGTGGGAGGTCCGGCACTGTCGTCTGATGATCCGCATCGACCGGAATCCTCCCAGGGAAAGGATTGGGTGATGGAGACAAAGGACGGGACCTCCAATAGAACGGGGTATTGGTCGACTGTGCCCCTGGCACAGACGCCCTCCACTCCAGGCTTTTCTCCGAGCATGGACAGTCCGGATAATTCCCGGGAAAGAGATTCGACTTCGTCCTCTACCGACGGTGAAGGGGGCCATCGAGGCCGCTTGCGCCAGAATGGCATGGTGTGGAGCGTATGGGTGATATGAAACGAAAAGAAACAAAGGAAATGGAAAAAGCGTAGAGTACAGCGGGCTGGGTCCGGTTAAAGGTTACAGTTCCTTGATCAGCCACGGAAGTCCTGTTGCAGTGGCAGGGTAAAACATCAGAGTCACATCCGAAGCTGCCTTTGGCATGGTATACAGTCGTGTCCAAACTCACAGGGAGCGTCGGGGGTCAATACAGATGAAGGGAAAGTGATCTAGCGCTGATTGCGTGTAAAGTCAATATGATTGAACGAGAATTCTCCAGGAGTTCTCGAGCAAGGTATAGGAGAGAGAAGAAAGGAAATGATTTATAGTCGGCGCGAAACCCGAGGCGTACGATTGAATCAGAAGAGAAATGAAGGACAAAAGGGGAGTGCAGGAGGGCGCAGTATATATGCCAATGGAAGCCTGGTCGGGCAGCGCCTCCATCCTTGTGGTGGCCCTATCAGGGCCAACGTCCCCAGGTTGGGCGGGAACGCGGACGAATCAAGCCTGATCGCATGAAACACGACGATCGCGGCCATATGGTAAGCATTGGGAATGAATGAACATCCAGGCGCCAACACACAGGCACATGAATATTGAAACAGGATGATCTTTGACGGGTGGGCAATGGCTGCATGGCTCTGGAGGCCTGGTAACCAGCAATCCGCATCACAGCCTCGACGCACCCTCACTGGGCCCAATACGCTGGTCTAGTTTCCTCCCCACCAGCATCGCCGCCTTCTTGGACGCAGCCCAGATCTAAATGCGCAAGGAAAACAAACAAACATATGCACAGGGCTGACGGAAGCGCCACATCGCGCCGGGCCATTCCAGGATAATTGGTTGCGATAGGGTCGCGCGGCAAGGCTGAGAGCCCCAAGCTCGGAGGGTTCACGTCATCCAGACCAGGATTAGACGATTGGGTATGCCCAGCTGTAGGGAGTGACCCATTGGGATCATACAATTACTGCGTTAGTTATACTGTGGGGCACATTCAGCGTAGAACAGAGCAACCAGAGCAGAGAATGGGTTGGATGCTGAGTTGTCCCGGTCTAGACTCGAACATGTACAGCACAAGCCCGCTCAAGTTGTGGGGTAGACTGCTGGCAGAGTGGATTTAATGCATCCTAACTGTTGCCTAGTCGTAAGTTGGAGGCAACGAACAATCTAGAACTTGGAGTTGCCGGGGATGATGGAGAAAGTGGAGGTGAAGTCAAGAAGTTGGATCTAGACTTCGCGATGTTGACCAGTTGCCGTGCACAACATGATGCATGCACAGATGACTCATCTATGTGTCGGGGGTAAATCGGAGGATTTCCGACTGACTCGGAAAGATTGCCGAGTGTACATGATGGATTGATGATGTATTGTGATCATGTTGATGCTTATAGTGATGAGCTTACTATCTCCTTCTATCTCATATCCCTTCTAGAATAAAAGTAAGGATGAGCTAGAAAGATGTGATCTTACTCCGTAATACTCTGTAGTAGAAGAGAGGAAGTGCGGGGAGCATCATGGATCATCCATCCCACTCCGCAATTCTATACCGCGATGACAAATCCACCATCAAGGACGGAATGAACATCATCCTCAATCCCGCCCTCTATCCAGTCTATAAATACAAGGAACCAGGTTCCTTCTCCCTCTAAGGACAAACCCCCCATTCCCTTCCCACCCGAATGCTCTCCAACCGCGCAGCTCCCTCCCTTCTCCGCACAGCAGCAGCAGCAACATCATCCCCCGCCATCCGGCTCTCCGCAATCCGCACCCAACTACGGATACACCCCTCCCCAACCATCCCCATCCCCATCCACCAAACCCGCAAAATGTCCACCCCATCCACCATGAAAGCCATCGTGGTCGAAAAGCTCGGCGGCCCCGAAGTCCTCGAAACCAAGACGGCCCATCCCGTCCCCACCGCGGGGGAAGGCCAACTACTCGTCAAGAACAACATCTCCGGCGTCAACTACATCGACACTTACTTCCGCACGGGCCTGTACCCGTCTGCTAAACCCGAGATTCTGGGCCGCGAAGGCGCCGGCACGGTCGTTGCCGTCGGCCCCGGTCCGAACACCTGGAACTTCAAGGCTGGCGATCGTGTCGCTTGGTTGGGCACCGGTGGCTACGCGGAGTACACGGCTGTTCCGGCGGACAAGACGGTGAAGATCCCTGAGGGGGTCAAGGATGAGGATGTCATTGCGTCGTTTTTGAGCGGGCTTACTGTGCTTTCGCTGGCGAAGGAGACTTACGCTGTGCAGAAGGGCGATTGGGTCTTGTTGCATGCTGCGGCGGGCGGTGCGGGGTTCCTGATGACGCAGGTTTTGAAGTCCATCGGTGCGAAGGTTATTGGGACTGCTGGGGGGCCGGAGAAGGTCGCTCTTGTGAAGAGTCTGGGTGCTGACTATGTGATTGATTATCGCAGTGAGGAGGGTAAGGATTGGGTGGGTAGGGTTAAGGAGATCACTAATGGGCGCGGTGTCGATGTGGTGTATGATTCTGTTGGGAAGGATACGTGGGAGGGGAGTCTGGAGGCTGTTATGAAGAAGGGCACTATTGTCTGGTTTGGAAATGCTAGTGGGCCGGTGCCGCCTCTGCCTCTTGCGTAAGTTCTATGATGTCTGGGGTTATATTGGTGTTCGGAGCTAACTCTCTTCGCAGGAAGCTCACCCCTAAATGTGTCAAGGTCGCCCGTCCGGCCCTGTTTGGTTACATCGATACCCGCGAGGAGTTTGAGTTCTACGTCAATGAGCTGTTCGGGCTGCTCCAGTCTGGCGAGCTCAAGGTCAAAATCCACAAGGTCTATCCCCTGGAGCAGGCGGTTCAGGCCCATTTGGATCTGGAAGGCCGGAAGACTACTGGCAAGCTACTTCTCAAGCCGTAAGCCCAACGGCGGTATGAGTAACATAATGATTCAATGCAAATTTGTAACCTATTGGATTGGCAATTCAATCCCGTATTAATATGTGTTCCTAAAGTGCCCACTCAATCGACGATCATGCGGAATGATTCAGGGTCTTTTACTCGTCCGAGGACTCCTTTCTTTAGGATTCCTCATCGCCCACTCCCTCGTCGCTGCTATCATCCGCGTCCTCCCCGGTCAGATCTCTCGGCTTCTTCCATCCCATCATGAGGTCGTTCGCGAGCACGGTGTAGATAGAGCAGTAGGATGAGAAGACTTCATCGAAGAAATGAAACCCACAGTTCAACTCCCACACCGTTGTTATCACCTTCATACCGGGGTAGCAGTGTTCAAGTAAGTGCTCTTCGACGAAGAACTCAAATTCTTCTTCGGGGGCACTATGTTGTTCCCACTCAAGTCTCTCTTCGGGCCCGAGGTCATATTTCGGTTTGCCTGGGTCTCGGTAGGCTTTTCCATAAATCTTACCGACGGGGTACAGGTCGGGAGCGTGCTCCTTGTAGAACTCCCGTACTCGGGCACTAGGCGGATGAACCCTTGTGACTTCGAATCCGTGAATATCTTCCAAGCATACTGCCTCCAACCTCTCGACATAAGCTAGTTCATCGTAGCGCTTGACCTGCATGTAGGATGCAGCTCCGGCTAGCGCAACCTTCACGACTTTGCTAGCCACTTCAATGGTCATGAAGACCGATTCGCCCTTCTTGTTTTCCCACTGATTGTCCTCAACGTAGTTATCGTAGAAGAACCCACCAAAGAGCGTCGAAGCCGCGATGTTGAAATGTCCAGGTCCTTGAGCCGTGAACTGTGCATTTTTCCAGATCTCTTTGGCCGCGACATCGCATGATCCCCTGGCATCGTCAATGTTCTGTTTGCGTTCCGGACAAACATCGTGATAAAGCAGGTAAGACAAGAAGTTGCGGATTGTATCCGTGGCTAACTTGACTTCGGCTTCAGATTCGGGGTTGAAGAAGAACGGAAAGACCGAGGTCCTGTTAGCAGTCAGTCACGTTAATGATCAGTACTTTGGCATTATGCTGTCGTACAAGAACCCTTTGACCACTGCATTGAAGTCAATCTCAAGGCGCGAATGATCATGATCGATAGTGGATTGACCCCGAGCAACAAGGATGTCTTCGGCGTCCATGTCCTCCATGTCACGGTCTTCCACTCCTTGAAACATCTTCTGGGCGGTGTTCACCCCTCCGTATGCCAAGTACTTCATGAACACCGCATGTCTCTCGTTCAGCAAGCGACGGCTTTTCTGATAGCGTAAGATGGCATCCTCAATTCGGCTGTAACGATGTTAGAACTGCAGAGATGTGTACAGGTCGGCATGAGACTGACTGAACAATGGGCCGAGAGCTATATATGAGCACGTTAGTCCCAACTCATGACGCAGGTTCTCTTGACTCACACATCATAAAGCTCCTTTTCTTTCTCATATTCTTCCGGGGTGATAGGAGCATCCACATAGTATTCCTCGAACCCAGTCGGCTTGTTCTGCAGACATTTAGGATGATAGGTTATGGGAAGTCAGGTATTGGATTGAGAAAACGTACCAACCCACGCTTGCTCTTGGGCTTCTTCTTCTTCTTTTTTTTCTTCTTTTTCTCTGATTCGACCCATTCAACTTCGGCTAGTTTGTCTCCATTTTCTCCAGTGGCAGTCAATGGGTTTTGATCAGCAGGGATACTCGCTTTCGCTTCAGTTGACACGACTGCGCAAGACATCATCTGTAGGACTACCGCAAGAGTATCAATGTGATAGAAGCAATTCCCAGATAGTTCAGAAGTTCAAGACAAGGAGCCTAGTCAGAAATGATAGCTGAAGAGAAACAGTCAACTTAAATGGGTGATGGAGAAGTACTCGTCAGGATGTGCCGGCAACCTTAATATACAGGCCGGCAGGCACAAGGAGTCATTCACTGGGAAGCAGTTGCTGTCAACAGTCAACAATCAACAATCAAAGCATCACTCTCTCCATGGATGAAACAATGCGGCTTCTAGACACAATGACGTTTCTTGATTACTCTTACTTTTGCTTCACTCTCTTTCTGCTTTCACTTTCTTTTAACCTACCTAATACTATTTGTTATTCTACAAACACAGGGTTTCCTGGTTACTTCTGAATCCAATTCTGATTATGAGAACCCCAATAAGGCAGTAATAGGAAGCTGCGACTGACTACAATAGTCATGGAGTCATTGAATCAGTTACTTGTCATGGTAAGAAATCTTAAATGGACTTTTATACTTTTCTTGTATATTACGCATAATGCAAATACCTGGTGTAGCGTGATATATAAGTATGGAATAATCAACAAACACACATGTCTTTAACGTCATGGAAATTATCATATCATAAACTTAATATATAGTATAATATATATCAACACTCCCTTTCTAGAAAGTATATCATTGACAATTTAGTAGGGGGGTAAATAGAAGTGCTGATTGTTATCAGACAATGTGGGGTTATTTATCATTATTGACCACTTCTGGAACCAGCTTTGTCGCAACGCCGCCTCGTCTGCCACTGTTTCACTCTTCCCCCTTCTCTCAATATAAACAGTTGAGACATCATCATCCTTTGAGGGGTTTATACATTTACGCTTCTGCACATACATTTTAGCTCTTTGTTTTCTCTCATTCGACTTCTGTCCATCTTGAGTGGCTTCGTTTTCGTTTTCATCCTGTCCCCTTATCCTAAAAGTCTAGACGCCTGGCCTACCGGAATGCTATTTTGAAGCAAATCACCTTTTCTCTATTACCGATTTTATTTTATTCTTATCGAGACTTATACAAGCAAAATGCCCTCCCCATCGAACTCTAATGGCTCGAAAGCTCCAAAGCTAGATGGCGATAGCTTTGTCGCGTTTGACCATGCCGCTGCTGGACAGTAAGTGCTTCTCTGCTACATGAGGTGGATGGACCACGACTTGTCGGATCAGCCTGACAACTTGCTCAATCCTGGAATCGCTTAATACTGACTCGTCTCCCTTTATAGTGAAGGTGTCCGCTGCACCGAGTCCGGCTCCTTTATCGCAAAGCCTTGCACCGCCCAGGAAGTTGCCTTTTACGAGACCAGCGCCCTTCACCCCGACTTCAAGGCATTTATGCCCACCTACATCGGAACGCTGAGTTCCGGGGATCAGCAGCAACCGATTGCGCTTGCGGCCCAGCAAAGCGGCGCCATCGTTCTTCCGAGCTCGGATTACTCGTCGGCCTCCAATACCCCGCCGCCTGCTGGAGGAACCCCAGCTAACGAGGCGACCGGATCCGATTCCACTGCGACCAAACAAGAAGAATGGGTGCCTTCGGGTGGCAAGAAACTTGATACAGGATTGTCGATCGTGCTGGAAAATGTCGCGTCCGGGTTCAAGCGACCCAACGTTATCGATGTGAAGCTGGGTGCGCGACTGTGGGCGGAGGATGCGCCTCTGTCCAAACGGGAAAAGCTAGACGCCGTGTCCAAGGAAACAACGAGTGGCAGTTTAGGATTCCGGATAGCAGGGATGAAGGTGTGGACTGGCGAGAACGGAGAAAATGACGAGGGCGCCAAGACCGACCCCTACGCCACCAAATACGAAGGCAAGGAAGGCAAGAAGGGGGAAGTGGTCGAGAAGGATGGCTTCCGGCGCTACGACAAGTGGTATGGGCGGTCTCTCAATGACAGCAATGTCAAGGAAGGCTTTGCGACCTTCCTTGCGGGGGCAAAGGCTGGATCAACCGATCGCTCCAAGCTGCTCGCAGCGAGACTGGCGGAAGATCTAAAGCGCTTGCAAAGAGCCATTGAGTCTGAGGAAAGCCGGATGTACTCTGCCAGCATTCTGGTAGTCTACGAAGGGGATCCAGCGGCCATGGAACATGCGCTCGTGGAGGAGGCCAAGCCAAAGGAGGCCTCCGAAGATGAGTCCGAGGGAGAGGACGAGGACTTTGAACTGGAACTGCAACAAGATGGGTCTTTCCAAGTGGTGGACCTTCCGGGTGGCCAACCCGGTGCTCCTCAGCAGGCAGTAAATATCACTATTGACCCTGAGACAGCCCAGATGGGCCAAATGGGCGAGCTAGAGGAGGATGAGGAGGAATTCCCCAAGGTCCACGATCTTCGATTGATCGACTTTGCCCATGCCGACTGGACCCCTGGTCAAGGGCCCGATGAGAACGTTCTCATGGGCGTCCGGAACCTGGCGAAAATCTTCGAGACATTCGCTTCGGAGTAATGGCGACGTTGTATAGTGGGCATCTACTTGATCAAGTCGCTGGCGACTTGAGCAACCCAGACCCGTGCATCTGCTCTTGATATTCCGCACGATCATCAAGTGCGCGGCATTCTAATGCATTTGGATAAACATAAGTAGCGTATATACACTAGAACAATAAAATTTACATATATCAAGTCTGAGATAGTACTTTCTATCACAATTCACCAAAATCTAGGTGTATTTTCAGCGATAACTAGAAGCGGGTGGAGAACCGCTTACTAATCGCAACACCGCGGAATCAAACTGGAACCCATATCGGCATCAGAATCGCAATTGCAGGCACCTCCACTACCAGCACCCAACAAGATGTTTCCCACTCGCGCATTGCTATCGCGCTCCGTCTGGAAGGGTAAGTCCTTACCACCTAACTATTACACTAAGGAAAAGCAACCGCTGACAGTTACGACCAACAGGCCCGAATATCGTCCCGTACGTGCAGCCCACCCGACCCATCTTGAAATTCTTCTCCAGTCCCCCGGCCAAAAGAACCCATACGCTCAGTTCCAGAACTGCCAATTTCAGGGCTTTATTTTCGGCAATGTGAATGCTAATTTGGACAACCTATAAATACAGTCTCCCCCTTCCGCGCAAACTGCCCCCTCCGCCGGGAACTCCGCCGATCAAGACGCAGAAGCGCGGCGCGACCATCCTGCCTAACTTCGTGGGCCTGCGGTTCTCGGTGCACAACGGGAAGAATTATCAGGATGTTATAATCACGGAGGAGATGGTGGGGAGGAAATTGGGTGAATATGTGCCGTATGTTCCCCTCTCTCTTCATTACCTCCCTTCCAGTATGAGAAAGACTTGGTCGACGCTGTTGGTTTTGAGAGCGTGTCGTCTTCCTCTTGGGCATGGATGAAATGAGTATGAACGGATAGCTAACTCGCCATTTTGGCACTGTTATAGTACCCGCAAGCGTTTCACCTACAAGCAGTCCAAGAACAAATAGACTCATTCCTATTTGTACTGGGTGTCTTGCTCGCTATTGCATTCCTCTGTTTGTGCTGTCGGTGGAGTTCTTTTCTTTTATATTTTCCCCATATCTGTCTTCGACGGATACGTGAGGTCCACCCTGTATCCTGATTCTGGGTCAGGACTGTGGCAGCAAACCTGGCCATCGGCTTGGACTTGCATGGTCTTGTTTTACTGGCGTTTTCATCCTATTTCCTTTTTTGCCTGATGTAAATCTATACAGTGTGTTGCATGTAAATTAGCTGTCAAATGTGGAATGTAGTATTGTCATCCATTGGATTGGTCAACCTATCTGGATTGAAAACATTGATAGGCAGGTAGGTATCGAATTGTCAATTTCTATTCGCCTTGCCTTGCCTTGCTTTTGTGGACAGCAGCAGCAGCAGAAAAGCACTCGACTTCCTTCCGTAACGCCTATGTAAAAACCACACTGCAGTCTTGCAGTCTCGAAGGACCATAGAATATCGTTCTTAGACCGCAATTTACGCCAGTGAGAAAACCCTTGCCAAACCCGCACCCACACCGATCAATCAATCAATCAATCAATCATCCCGCAGCGTAAAATATATCCTCCAGGACGGGGTATCTCCATCTTCATCTCCGCTATCCGCCGAGAGAGAAGAACAAAATGTAAAAAGGAAGAAAGAAAGCAATAAAAAGGACGAACCACTCAATATGGTGATAGCAATCCTCTACCGATAGAACTCGCCTCTCTTCACACTGACACCGTACTCGGAAACTGCCATCCCCAGATCTTCCATCGTGAGCACCGTCCGCCCCTGTCCAGACCCGCCCGACCCGCCGCCACCGAAACCAGGGCGCTGGATACCGAGATGCGCGCCCGCCTTGCCCTTGGCGTCTGCCCCCGAGGGTCCTGCGGCGGCACCTGCGGCGGCGCCCGCTGCGCCCGCGGGCATGCCGAGTCCCGAGGCGGCGTTCAGACTCCCCATGGGGTTGCTCGCGGATGAGCTGTTCGACGCGCGGATGCGCGCGTACTGGTATGAGTCGGCGGCGATGTCGGCGACGAATTTCTGGGTCGCGAGGGCGAGGAGTCGGGCGAGGTGTGGGGGGGTTTGGTTGGGGCCGTTTCCTGGTGGTGGGAGGCCGGCGAGGGTCAGGTAGTGTGCTGTTACGGCGTCGGGGATCTGATGCGCGTTAGATGGATGGACTTGGTGGTGCAGGGGTGCGGGGATCAGGCAGAAGAAAGAACGGAGAAAATGGAAAGAACACGAAAGGAAGAGATTAGTAGACGTACGATCGGCGCATATTCATCCATCTTCCCCAAGAATTCACGGAGACTGGTCTCTTTCTTCGACGGCGCAGCTGCGGCCGCTAGCGCATCAGCGGAGGCGGCCTCTTGGGCAGGATTTAAGGGACCAGCGTCATCGCCATTTTCATTGTTCGCCATCTTTTTCGCGGGATCCATATCGATGTCCTGCTCGATCGTGGGATCTATGGAACTATCTTGGGTATCGGGCTCCTCTTGCTTGGGCACGACAGGGGTCTCGGAAGAGGAAGCGGGCGGTGCTGCCGTTGGTTCTCCTGTTGGCGCGGAGGACGAGGAAGGTGGCTGCGGGTCTTGTGATGCAGGTGGAGGTTGGGAGGAGGGCGGGATGGAAGGCAGTTGTGATGACGATTGGTTGGACATGTTGTGTAGCAAGGTTGCGGTCGTGCCTTGAGCTACTATAATTTTCTTTCATTCAGAGGCCAGGGCGGCCCGAGACACAAAACCAATTCTGGTAGGAAGTGAATAAGTGGTTAGAATTCACTGCTGAGCAATAGATCAATTGGAATATGTGAATATGTTAATAGGGGGGAGGTTAACGAATATAAGAATAAGAGAGTGAGCTGAAGAGAGTTGAGTGACTGACTGGGTGGCTGAAGTGACGATCCAGGCGGAGAACTAAAACTGCCCGCGTTCGGCCCGAATACTTTGATCTGAACAACTCGATCAATTAATAAGTTGATAGATCGGGGTATCTATCTAGTTGTGAGGTTCAGAGAACAATCAAGAAGTACATTTTCTAATATTATAATTTGTGGTTGGAATTTGGTCAGTTCAAGTCGTTACACTTGTCTAACCATAGGTAAATTCACCAGTTGATCGTAGTTTTACTACCCAGGCCACATAACTGATCGCTATCCAAGATCTATATTACATTGACAAAATCATTCAAGCGAGATTTGTCTATCTAATTTATCCGTTACATGGTACGAGTTAGATTCGAGAGAAATGAGGTAGGAGGAGAGAGCAATAGGACTGAAGTGATACATAGGCGCTACTATATAATCATAGTCTCCAGCTTGGTAACGCTTGCTACGGGATCATCAAGGCTCTTCTTGTGGGTTTATATATTTGCTAGATAGTTCTCTCTAGTCTATAACTGCAAAACCCATCTTACTTGCAAGATCAATAAGTTGGCGTCCATGCATGAAGACAGGGAGTATCAGGGTCAGGGACACGATATATACTGCACCACGAGATCATGATAAGGCGCTTGAGCACTACTACCGTTAAGGAACATCTCTATAACTCCCATATGTTGTAGACTTTTTTTCTATCTCAGGCACATACAAGTCTAGGCCTGATGCTCGAATCGAGACCGCCAAGAATCCAGCATCGCAGGCATTGCAACCCTAACTCGGTATCCAACTTGAACTCCAGTCTTGATTACTTGTCATCCATCTGTCTTCTCCCAATATCACCCTATGCAGTAATCGAGTGTCATTCTTGTAAAGGTCTGTCGTCTAGATGCTCTCTTTTTATTTGTCTCGTTTGATCTAATAGGGTTGCTTTGGTAGAATGCTACTACCACTGTCATCAGTCTACACGTCATAGATGAGCGGGATCGGTTTCCCGCGAGTTACCATAGACTGACAACCAACCAAGACAAATCAATCACAATTATTTCGTTTTATTTCGCACTGCTCCGTCAAATTTTACATGCCATAGGCTAGGACGAATCAAACCAATATCTTCAATCTACGAAGAGGTTTCTCATAGAAAGGGCTAACAACTCATAGTCCTTCTCCCATAGCGTGAAGCCCTAATCCGATTAAACAAACCACCAACACACGTAGCAGGGCATAAATTCCCATAGTATGGATCCTCAGGGGCCTGATGTTGCATATCGTGAGCCCTTGCCGAAGCAACCGCCATCAAGCCCATGGATTACCTCGACCAGTTCCTGTTGAGTGGGGGGGGAAGAGAGATTGATGTCGTCACGGCTTTCTAGTAATAGGGTTAGATGTTGCAAAAGTCTACTGCGGTGCCTGACTTCCCCTCGACCCTTTTCCGAACCATGGTATAAGCTTCATTGCAAAAGTCCCGCTTGGGTTCCTGTCCTCTTAAAGCTTGGGACTGCCGGGACTTGCTTTAAGTTGTTGTCGTTCGTGCGTGATAGTCTGGCTCTTGTGATTATTTGCCCTCAGGTTGGACGTTATTATGTCAATAGCAGCATTGCGATCTATCGAATATTAGCTTTCTTATAATCTCACGAGCCATCCACTGCAATGCCTGCGCTGAGTTATTCCCATGCGGTCGCCATATTGGCGGCATCGCATGCGGCCCTGGTCTCCGCTCAATCGCTTCGTGAGCAAACATGGGGCGTCTTTGCCTACACTGTTCACGGCGACAGCGTGCCGCAAGCCCTGCCTCGTCCTCAGATGCTGACCCCATACGGGGCCAACGAGCTGTACGCGGCAGGGACTGCGTTCCGTGATCGATACGTTGCCCTCCATGGAAGCGGTGGTCGTCCCAGCACGCGAATTGAGGGTATATCGCCTTACCTCCTCAAGAGCGAAGACATCGACGTCGTCACCACCGATGACCAACCGGCCATTGCGTCCGCCCAAGCATTCATGCAGGGCCTCTACCCGCCTCTCAACGCTTCGTTCCCCGGGAAATACTCCGATCCTACTTTCGACCTGGCGAACGGCTCCGCGATGACCTTCCCGTTGGACGGATACCAGTACCCTCGCATTACCACGGTTAACTCGATGGACCCGCGGTCGATCACGGTGGACGGTCAGGCCGCTTGCCCGATGCACCAGGCTGCCAACTCCGAGTACCTTTCCAGCCCGGACACCCATGAACTCATACAAGAATCCGCCGCATTCTACGACACGCTTTGGACCTCTGCACTGTCCGGCGCATTCGAGGAATCCTCCGCTAGCTACGTGAACGCGCGCGAGATTTCAGAATTCCTGGACTATCAACTAGCGCATAATAAGACTCTGCTGCACCACATAGGCGCCGACAGCATTGGCCATGCGCGGGCCTTCGCAGACCGTTACGTCCATGACACCAACGGCAACATCTCCACCTCGAGCGCCATCGGCACCGCGAAAGTCCGCAGCATCGCAGGCCGCACTCTGGCGTCCCGGATCTTAGCCACCTTCGACACGAATGTCCATTTCCGCGGCACGGACGGCATCATGCATCTCGTCTTTGGCGGGTATGAGCCCGTTGTCGCCCTCACGTCGCTCCTGCAGCTTGTGTCGCCGCAGCATGGGAATTTCCAGTCCCGCCCTGTCCGTGGCGCGTCGATTGTATTCGAGCTTTACAGTCTGGAGGGTAACGACTATCCCACGTATCCGAAGCCCTCGGATCTTTTTGTTCGGTTCTATTTGCGGAACGGCACCGACGCGGAGTTCCAGTCTTACCCTCTCTTTGGGAACGGTCCCAGCAACGAGGCAATTCCCTATAGCGAGTTCCGGGAGGAGATGAGCGCGTTCTCGCTGGGCTCGACGAGGGAGTGGTGTCTGCAGTGCAATTCAGACGCTGTCTTTTGCTCTTCTGGGTCCCGTCAAGGTGGGAGTGGCTCGGAGCGTTGTGGGGGTTTACAGCCTGCTGTTGCTGGCGTGGTTGGCGGGGTCATCACCATTGTTGCCCTCGGCGTGTTCTTGATCATTGGATTCCTGATCCAAGGGTTCCGCAAGAATCGCATCCACAATCCGAACCTGGGAGGCTTCAAGGGCAACAGCAAGATGGCTAGTGATTCGGATATTGTCTTCAATTCCTCGGAGTTGGATAATGTGAAGACGGATGACCCTCAGCAGCTGGCTAGTAATAATCCCTACCATGTCAATGGTGCTACGATTGTCCACGGTCATGAACGTGTGGGAAGCTGGGAGATGGGGCAGCCGAGGACTGGTGATGCTCCGAGTCGTACTGAGGATCAAGCGCCGCGGGTATCCCCGTTTGATGATGAGTTTAGGGAGGAGTGGCAGAACCACACTGTGTCGAAGCCGGTTGTTGCTCGGGAGAGCGTTTGATGGGAATGGCTTCTTTTTATTCACCATTAGTTAACTTATATTTATATAGTCTTAATCAACAGCCCTATCCCTTACACTTTCATGTCCCATGCCAAACAGATTAAGGTAACCAGTGAAAGAACCAAAGCTACTGTTTACTCAATGCTGTCAAAGTGTCTTTGGTTCCTTCAAATATTCAGTAATAATACGCTCGACTAGTTCTTCGTTGTGCACCTTCCCAAGCTGGGCGTGACGCGGGCTGATCCACGACAAGACAATATGCCTTATGGAAGGAAGTGTCAAATCTACGTGCGTGGCTTCCTTGATCTCCTACGCATTTTCCTGCCTTTGAATTCACGTACATTTCACTCCAATTCCTGCTTCATTCCTCCTAACTATCAATACACATTTCCCTGTTTTACTCTCTCGGGCGCAAACATGGCCAAATACGATATCCAGACGTTGATGCGCATGAAACAAAACGCTCACATAGACCCCAGCCGATTCAGTGACCAGGCACGAGGAAGTATGCATTCCTCCTGTAGATAGAGTAGTACGTGTCGTTGTGCTGACTGGGAACGCTCGATGATATCAGACAATCTACTGCGAGAGCACGATGCCGGTGTCTTATCTGAACAGTCTATCAACAAACCAAGGGTCATCTCGAATACCTCGAGGAGAAGCGAGGGGGTCGCCTCAAGCATTGGCTCTCGCTCCTATGGTCCTCCTCGTCGGGCTAACAAGTCCTCTCAGAGAGATCTTGAGCACGCCGACGCTGGCTTTGTGCGGTTCCTGAAGACGCACACTTCCCCCAGGCATCAGCGTGTTACTGCCGGTGGACGCATCGTCCCGATGGCATCGGAGGTGCCGCCTCCGAAGATGAACCTCCCAGCTGTGGAACAGGGTGCAAAGTTGGGTGGTTCGAGGTCTTGGAGGGCTCCTGCTAAGCGTGGCGGTAAAAATAGACCGGAGCTCAAACCAACACAGTCCATGGGGGCGGAGCCTACTGATAGTGGGAGTTCCCCGGAACCTCGTCCTGCTGGAACCATGTCAGAGCAGAACAGAGTGTCCTTCGTGGATGGAGATCATGATCGACAGGGCTCGACTTATGGTTTTGCTCCAAGCATCTCGTCCGCATTTAGCCCAGGAGCAGTGTGGCAGCCCAGTCTTCCTTCGCCGTTGGTCAATGTGCCGGTTGAGCAGCTTTATGCACCGTCCCAGATGCCTACGCTCCCGATTTACCCCATGTACACTGTTGATCCGGGAAAAATCGCTTGGGTGCCGACTGTGTATCAGACTGGCAATGCACAGGGGTTTCCGGTGGGCTCTCTACCGAGGCCTCCCCAGCATGGCTCCCCCATATCCATGCTTCCGGATAACCAAGCATGGAACAATGTCAATAGTGTGCCGCCCCCGGGTTTTAGCCAATGTGTGCCAGGTTACGACTCACCGTATCCCACTATCAACCCTCAATGGCAGCAGCTTGCTCATGATCCGACATTGTCACAGAGCCATCTGCCTCATATTCCAGGACCTCCGCCAAGCCATAACTCCTTGGACCACGCCGACAAGGCGTATGACAATCTCTCTGCCGAGCTCTCTCGCATTGATAGGTATATGGCTTTGCATACTTGGGACATCTCATCCGACAAGAAGGCGTCAATGGTTGAGCAACGGAGGAAGCTGGTCCGTGAGCTGGATGCAGTGCGAATGTATAAAGAACATTTGGAGTTGATTGCGGGGAAATCAGCCTCGAAGGACTTGGGCATGCAACAAAATGCGGCAGCCGGCCTCTCCACTCCGGAACTCCATACACCGATGCATTCTGACGGTCATCAGCGTGCCCCGGGGTCAATGCTATCCGGGCCTGCTTCCCTTGACACGAGTCGGCCATCACTTAGGCCATCACTTGCAAACCAGTTCCCGTCGCTCGGCCCAGCGAGTGGACGTCACGGGAAGTTGTCCGCGTCTAAGTCTGTGCGGTCTCCCTATATTTACCGTCACGGCGCTGGGCCGGAAGACACTCCTAGCCGGCTAGCTCTTCGGAAGTTTGAATCTTCATCTGGTGGTCTAGATGATGGAGAAACCTCGGGTACTCTCGCTCGAGCGGGTCACTCTCACAACCCTAAGGTAACCACAGGGACAACGGGAGACGGCGATCGATGGGTTGTTTCTACAAACCCGCTGGAAAGAAAGCTTCGACGACTCTACCATAAGATTCAAATGGCAACTCGGCGTGGGGAGCCGAGCAAAGAGCTGCTCAAACAGCTCTCGGATGTTACTGGACAGCTTCTGAAAGAGGGGAGTGAGGAGAGCAACCCTGAATCTCAAAAATCAGCGTCCGATCAACAACTCGTGACTCGTTTCGGTACACAGTCGGATGTGACCCCGGGAAAAAGCGACCCTATCGAGTCGTCGTCCCCCGTGGAGCATAGCCCGAAAAAGCCTTGGAAATCTGAAGCCCATACTCGGGATCTTGGGGTAGGCGCTCAGCAGCCGACTCCCTTTTGGGTCGATACAAGTGATTCCAAGACTTTATCTTCTGGGTCAACGACTGATTCTTGGGCCTCTGTTGGGGAGTCTGAGTGAGTTTTCTGTTTCTTTCTTTCATGATTATTTTTAGGGCTAGGCGGCTAATCTCGACAGTAAACACTTGTTTACGGGGTCAAGTTGTAAGAAGGGAAACGACAAAGGTTCGCAAGATTTGTACAAAAGGTGGGTCTGACTGTGTCACTCTATCCTTTGTCCGTCATATGTTTCAACAGGTACTAACACCCTGCCAGCTGCTCCAGCTCGTCTGCAGAGAAAAGAATAGCAAGTGTTGGCCCTACTCGGGGTGGAATATCCAACCTCGACGGCGAAGCCAGCACGTCGAATCCGAAACGAAATCATCCGCCATTGCTAACCCAGTGTCTTAGCCGCCATCGTGGCTCGATCTTGCAAAAAACAGCGGCTGTGACGGCTCCACAGAGCATCAATGCCCATGCAATGATGCCTCAGACGGATGGCCCTGCAGATAGTCCTCTCGACCGTGGTGAAATCGCTCCACGGGATGCTAACAACCGCACGGGTACCGTCTTGAATGCGGATGCGCGAGGCGGATACTTGCCCAGGGTTGGTGTCAGTCCCAGTCTGCTGGACATTCAGGAACTATTCCATCGGATTTCTCGGGACGGCAGGGAGCAAGTGACTGGTGTGGTTGCGTCGGCTCAAGAACCTCTTGAGGCTTTTATAGCCGGTGCGGTCAGATCGACTTTTCTTTGAGAATGGCAGAGGGTAGTCATCACTGGTTTTGTTTCAGATATCAAGGTATATCCATCGAGCCTTATGCTTCTCGATCCTTTACTAAACGGAAAGGGAAGACAGAAGGGGGAATACGCAGTGGTGGATGAGGAGCGGACGGTGATGGTCTGGGAAGGTGACGTGTGAAAGACGTTCATTGTTGAGATTATAGCCACCCGATTGGTATGTGTCTTATACGCCGGTGGATGCGTGTTACTCTTGCAAGAAGGGATTGTATTTTCTTTTGCTGTAGTCTCTAGGTGGTAGCTTCAGGATCTGATTAGAACACGGAATGATCAGTATGTGTTTATTTATGCTGTTCCGGGGTATTGAAAGTAATAGGGCTTAATCTTGTGAAAGCCTAGGTCCATCTATGTCTACTGATTGATATAGATATGCGATGTTGAAATTCTCACAGAGATAGCTATGGACATCCATCTCCTGGATGGGTTTAATTCTCTTCCTTCTTCCTTCCTCCGTAATACTAACAATGCACCAAGTACAGTGACATGCAGGGACTATGAAATACCTAGTAAGCCCGTGATCAATAAGCAAAGGTAATCCACATGACGTTACTAGCACGATTGGCTGAAATGGATCACGTCGAAGTGGAGTAGCTAGGATTCTTTGGGGAAAGGTTAGACAAGGCTAGTCTGGAGAAGTCCGACTATATCCACTGACTAGCCATTGAGGTTTCGGGATTCGGGTTTCAGCTCGGGTGTGTCAAGTGTAGCTGGTGTGTTCAGATGACTTCTATCCATCCTCCTTTGACTACCCCATAGAGTAGTACTTCGTAGAGGAGGAGAGGTATGGGGTAATGGGATACTACCACGTATTGTCAATCTATGTACTGTCAATGATCAACCTGATTGACGGGGTGGGGGCTGTATCTGCCCTACCTGGTACCTACTCGATCATATAAGATCAGAGTAATCACTTAATAAGATACCTCAGTACATGAACCCATAAGCGAAGAAGTGGCGTGCTGAATCAACAGAGGCGAATCGTCTCCATACATAACTTTAATGCTGTCACTGAAAGTCTGGGCCGCTAAGTAACGACTGACTAAGCTGCATCTCAACCTGTAAGTTCTCTTACTAGTCGGTTCCAACAACACGTCTCCACTTTCTTTCTCTCTCGCTCTCTCTTCCTCCCTTCTCTCCCTCTCCTCATCTCTCTCTCTCTCCATCCGCTTCTTCTCTCTCTTCCATTTTTCATCCCTTGATATGGTTACCTTCGGTCCTTCGTTGATCTCCTGACTAGGAAGGTGAACCTTGATATCCATCCTCCTTTCGTTCTTTTCCACTTTCCACAACGGTTCATCCTCGTGGAGTGGACATCCCTTGAACCGGTCCGTGGTGCGAACCACCACCCGCCTACGCCCTCCCCGCGGTTCCTAGCCTGTATGGTCTAGGTACCTTCCCCGTTCCATCTTCCTCCCTTGCCTCTTTCGCTCCCATAGTCCAATTTTAACCTTTCCGCCCTCCCTTCCTTTCTCTTCCAAATTATCATCTTGATTTCCTCCCTTCCTTGTTTCATTTCTATTCCATTCGAAAAGTCAAAACGAAAAGGAATCCCTGCCTGTGGATCCAGGCGCATCGGTCGGCATGACGCAGCTTTTCGCTTCCAGCCCGTCGTCCAACGTGACGAATGAGAAACGGGGGAATTTTCTCGCGTCGAAAAAACACCCCAACGAATCGAGCCATCTCCCCACGAGGATCAAGAATTTCTTCCGCATCAACAGCTCCAACAATTCCTCCCACGGCGGCCACTCCAACAGCAGCGACCGGGATCGCGAGAGGGACGCCACCGCCGCCAAGACTGAATCCAAGTCCGCTTTCAGGCAATCCCGTTTCTTGCCCACCATTGGTCGTAATCGCTCGACCACCGTTGCGAGCGAAGGCAACCCTCTCGACGAGGGTGTCTCCCCCATTGCGACCGCCAATCCGTATTTCGTCCACCAGGGTCAGCCGTCCCTGCAGCATCGCAACGATGGCGAAGAGGCCTCATCGCCCCCCGACACCCCCGAGTTGCAGGTAGACGGCGTCTCTGCCGCCGAGCAGGCGACGACCGCCAACAAGGAGGAGTTGGCCCGAAAGCTTCGTCGTGTCGCTTCGGCTCCCAATGCACAGAACCTCTTCTCCCAAGGACAGTCCGGGGACCGACCCCAGACCGCCGAGCTAGGAAAGGAACCGCTGGTGGAACAGTCCACCGTCGACCCGCAAACAGGCCATGCGACGGACAACGTTGTGAGTCTGTCGGTTCCCAAGCTCGGTTCCGACGGCAAACTCCCCAGTCCCGGTCAGATTCGGACCTCCTCGTCCTTCCGCCGGACGTACAGCTCGAATTCCATCAAAATCCGCAACGTCGAAGTGGGGCCGAGTAGCTTTGATAAGATCAAATTGATCGGCAAGGGCGACGTGGGCAAGGTTTATCTCGTGCGCGAGAAGAAGTCCAGCCGCTTATACGCGATGAAAGGTGTGTATCGTCGAATACACTCTACCTGAGTTCCATTGTCACTAACTCTTCCAGTCCTGAGCAAGAAGGAAATGATCAAGCGAAACAAGATCAAGAGAGCCCTGGCCGAACAGGAGATCCTCGCTACTAGCAATCACCCGTTCATCGTCACTCTCTACCATTCTTTCCAATCCGAGGATTACCTCTATCTGTGCATGGAGTATTGCAGCGGCGGCGAATTTTTCCGAGGTGGGTAGAATTCCGGAAGTCTGTCTCCAGCATACACTGACCTGTTCTGTTCTTGTAGCACTGCAAACGCGTCCGGGAAAGTGCATCTCCGAGGACGCGGCCCGGTTCTATGCCGCCGAAGTGACGGCCGCTCTGGAGTATCTCCATCTCATGGGCTTTATCTACCGTGACCTGAAGCCGGAGAGTACGTTATCCCGTCGCCGATGCCGGTGTAGGTCTTGCTGACGGCATTCCAGATATCCTGCTTCACCAGTCGGGCCACATCATGTTGTCCGATTTTGATCTGTCTAAACAATCCGGACCGGGCGGTGCGCCCGTCATGATTCCCGCACGGAGCGGCAACTCTACGACGTCGCTTCCTACCATTGACACCAAGTCCTGCATTGCGGATTTCCGGACAAATTCCTTTGTCGGGACTGAAGAGTATATAGCCCCGGAGGTGATCAAGGGTTGCGGGCACACCAGTGCCGTGGACTGGTGGACCTTGGGCATTCTGATCTACGAAATGCTCTACGGGACGACGCCCTTCAAGGGCAAGAATCGCAACGCGACATTTGGCAACATCCTCCGGGATGAAGTACCGTTCCCCGAACACACCGGGGCCCAGCAGATCTCAAAGTAAGTCTTTATTAGTCGATACTGGCACTTTAGATACTAACCACAGGACAGTCTGTGCAAGTCCCTCATCCGGAAACTCCTGATCAAGGACGAGACGAGACGTCTGGGCGCGCGCGCTGGTGCTTCCGATGTGAAGACCCATCCCTTCTTCCGGCAAACCCAGTGGGCGCTCATTCGCCACATGAAACCGCCCATGATCCCCAACCAGGGCGGGGGCACGGACACGGTCAACTTCCGCAACGTCAAGGAAAGCGGGAGCGTCGATATCGGCGGGAGCAAGACCATCAAGATGAAGGGGGTTCCCATGGATTCGACGACCCCGACTGGCGAGGTCGCGGATCCTTTCGAGGAGTTCAACAGCGTTACTCTGCATCATGATGGAGACCCATAGTGGTCCGCTAAACCCCAAGCCCTCAGGGCAGCCGCGTTCGCTCTGTCCTTCCCACCATCATCCCGCGAGCATATCTTGTATCATTGCCATAGGTGCTCACCTCACGACAGTCATGCATGCATGGGTTTCTGTGTTTTTATCTTTCCTGCCGTCATGATATCAGGAGTATTTCGGCGTTTTCGACTTGGATTTTTCCCGCCAGTCCTTTCTTCAGTTGAGTTTTGCATCCGGGCGGTTATGTTGTCTGTGGATGCATTTCCAGTCCTTTCCTTCGCCTCGGTCTCGGCACATGGATTAATTTCGGTTTCCACGCTCCTCAGTCCTGGAGGCTTGCAGTATACGTTTGTTTTTGTTTTGTGTGCTTTTCAGATTGCAAGAGACGGCGTTAGATTTCGGTTGTATTGATCTTTTTGGGGAGACAGCATCCCTATATGCTGTGGTCACACCCTGTTTAGTACAGAAGTGTTGATTCATGCCCGTTCTGATTCAGAATTTGTTTGTTGTTTGAAGTCTGCTCTGTGGGCAGATCAATTTGTTTGGATCATCTAGATTAGGAGACTACCTTGAGATATTCATCTGTCCGTGTTTTGACCGGCCCGGAGCCTGCGGACTACAATAGACTAGCATGATATATCATTTTCGAACCTGATTATTCAATTTTATCATTTTTTATGTATTCTGTTCTTTAAATGAAATAGATTGTCAACTGGTAAGTAGGTAGAAGGGAATCGGCAGATAAGATGCGGAGAACTTTGCCAATCTCCGCTCCAAACAAAATCCATTGTCTGTCAACTCACAACTCACAACATCACTCCTTCAAGTCCAACACCAACAATTTCACCTCCCATACTCCGATCGACTCAATCTACGCGCATCAAACAAACAACGTCCATCCATCCAATCCAACCAATCAATACATTCACAATGGACGAAACCCCCCAACCCGCATCCCACCACAACGAGAACCAAAACCCCCTCCTCCGCGCCTCCAACCCACAAGTCTCAAACCTCGAACAAGACGTCTTAGACGAATATGCGCGTCTTCTAGGGAATGTAAACAAGGTATGTCCTATTCACCTCTTTACCCCTCACTTTCTTTCATTCTTATCACTCACTCAAGTCTTTCCCTAACTAACGTGTTATTCATGAAATAGTTGGAATCAAAACTCTCCGACCTATCAGGCGACCCCTCCTCGCTCACACTAGACGGCCTCCGTCTGCTCGAGCGCAAAACCGCCACCGTGTGTACGCTACTCAAGGCGAGCGTTTATAGTATTGTGCTGCAGCAGCAGATCTTCAATGAGAGTGAGGAGCAGGCGCGGGCGGATGAGGAGGGTGAACATCGGGCGGCTGAGGAGGGGGGGGAGTTTGGGTATCAGGATCAGTATCAGTATCAGGAGCAGGGACATGGGGGGTATTATGGGGATGAGGGAGATGTTACGTTTGGTTGAGTCTTTTTCTTCTTCTTTTTTTCCTTTTTCTTGAGTGGGGGGAGGGAATGGGTTGGGTTGGGTTGGTGGGATTATTTTGTTTCTTTGATGGATTAATGATTGTGATATACCCCGTTTTTATTCATTTTATTTCTTTGTTGGCTTTGTTAAAACAATTCTTGATACAAGTACATGGTGGGTACATAAGAAAGGCGATATGAGAGGCAAAAAAACAATATTATATACATCATAACGCGGTCCGCAATTCGATCCTGCTTGCCAACTGTCTAGCCGAGCAGTGCGTGATGATCCCTATTCCACAGCTCAAAGACACCTGATCATGCCCGTCCAGAGTAGTAAACCTTGCGCACATCCACCAACTTCTTGCCGCGGGCGCGCGCAATATCGTCCGGGTTCCGCTGGCTCATGAGTGCCTGGTAGGCGGCCTTCACTGTGTTCATGGGATTCCGAGACCGGCCGACCCGCGCGGCGAGGTCGTGGATGCCTGCTGCGCGGCACATTTCGAAGATGAGGTGTTGGCAGCGGAGGCCGAATCCTAGTACCGTTAGTATTTGAATGATTGACTGTGCAGAATGTATCAATGTGTAGAGAAGAGATCTTACCGGGCGGACGGTTCATCAACTTCAGATCAACAGCACCAACCTTGCCCGTGACATCACCGTAGATGGTCCGGTGCTCGTACCGCGGGATGGGCTGCATGTTGCGGATCGCTCGGTACGTCGCTTGCAGCTTGGCGTCGGGGAGCTCGTCGGACTTGGCTTCTCCGATGCCCAGCAGACCCCGGCCGTTGCCGGCGATCGCCAGAGAGTAGGTGCTCGCGATCTTACCCAGACGGGTCTGGTTGACGACGCGGTGCGTGACCAGAGCCTTGGTCTTCAGACTCCGGATATGTTGCTCGCTGTAGCCCGTATCCTGGATCAGTCGCTTCATGGCAGCGGTCAGATCCTCGCCCAGCCTCTTCTGGACGGCGTCGGTGAAGATCGTCTTGGTGACCTTCCCGGTCTCGGTGAGCGACTCCCCGGGGCTGATGAAATCGGGCACCAGGGCGCTGTGCGGGTTGAGTTCGTTCTCCTCCTTGCCGCGCGTCACCCGCACGTTTTCCAGGAACCGCACGAAGTGGCCCGCGCTGGCATCCTCGGGCATGTCCATAAAGTACTGCGCGAGATCCTGCACGAAATCCTCCCGCGTCTTCATCTTCGCGTCGTAGTCCGTGTTCTCGACGGGCGCCCGCACGTGCTTGTCGACGCCCGGCTCGATGGTCGAGAAATCGTCCAGGTACCGCAGCTTCATCGGATCCGTGCGGAATGCAAACTGGTCCGCCATGTCCTTGGGGTCAATGGCGGCCTCGCCGGCCTCGATGGCGGCGATCTGCTCGGGGGTGTACACCTCGCGCAGGCCGGCCTTCTCCTCCTCGGTGTAGGGCTGGAAATCATCCTGCTTCATCTCCCGCGAGATCTGATACAGGGATTTTAACTCCGACTCCGGGCCATTGGGGGGTTTCGGCTTGCTGTTTAACGAGGGCGGCGAAGGGTGGAACTGGCGACGAGGCACGCGAGGCACGGCGGAGGCAGCCCGGGAGAAGCTGCAAAACAGACATCTGGCGGGCCGGGCGAGACTCATGGTGGCTAAAAGGCCTTTGGCCAGTAGACCACTGGAGATATTGGTAGGGAGAGGTATAGGAGGGGAGAGGAATTGGTGAAAGCGGCCGGTGAGGTGGTCAAGAGCGATAGACGGATCGGAGAGCAAAGCGAAGTTTGGAAGTTCGAAGTCGGCGAAATTCTCAGCGGCAGAACTCTCGGCCAATCGTTGTCCGCCTTTTCCTGCTTGGTCGCCTTTTTCTCCAGGCTTTTTTTCTCCATATTTTTTCCAATTATTTTCTATACTCTCTCTTCCTTCTTTTCTAACCTTCAGATTTTGGTCTTGTTGGATCCCCTCATTACTGATCCACTGCCATATAGATGATCCCCATCAGACCCCTTCTCTCTTCTTCACTCAGATCTTTTCGCCCTTTACTCGTGCGACGCCTCGTCCACACCCCGTCTCAGAACCGATCCTCACCCCGCAATGCGCCATTGCCCTCTCACATAATGCAGAACCCTCCCAAGAAACCAGATCACACCATTAAGCGGCGCAAGAAGGTCAAGGTCGACCGCACCAAGAGCAACGGGTACGACGAAGTCCTTCAGACCGACATCGATACGCTTCTCCGCAAGAACAAGCCCGCCAGCGAACCGGACGCCGAGAACCCCGATGCCTCTCCTCCCCCTCCCACCCTTCCAGAGAACTTCACCGAGATTGAGGTCACAGTCGCGGAGATCTCCTCGACGGGAGATGGGCTTGCGCTGTCCGACAACGCCGATCACGTCTACGTCGTTCCGTTCACCGTCCCCGGCGACAAAGCCCTCGTGAAAGTCGTGCGCCACTTCCCGTCCTTGTCCTACAGTCTCACGGACTTTCTGAAAGTCATCGAACCCGGCCCGCAACGCAATGATGCCGGCATCGGGTGCCAGTACTTTGGCAAATGCTCCGGGTGCCAGTTGCAGATGATGTCCTACGAGGATCAACTGGCGCATAAGAGGCGCATTGTGGAGAAGGCGTACGCCAACTTCTCGGGACTGATTCCGGAGCTGGTCCCTTCTATCGATGAGACGTTCCCGTCGCCCATGCAATACGGCTATCGAACGAAGCTGACACCGCATTTCGCGGCCCCCCCGGGGAACAGGAGGGGTAAGGTCAGAGTGGCGCACACAGAGGTGCCCCCCATCGGATTCACCTTCAAGAACCAGCGCAAGGACATGGACATCGAGGACTGCCCGCTGGGTACGGACATCGTGCGACAGGGTCTCAAGAGCGAACGGAGACGCGTGGCGGAGAACCTCGGCAAATACACCAAGGGCGCGACCCTGCTCATGCGCGAGTCCACCACCCGCATCCCCAAGGACGGCTCCAGCAGACCCAAGACCCCGGAAAAGAAGAAAGACGGCAGCCCCACCGACTCCGGAGACGTCATCCGCGTCGAGCACGACCAGTACGTCGAGGAAAAGCGCTGCGTGACAGACAACAACGCCACCTCCGTCGAATACGTCGACGACTACCTCTTCTCCAACAAAGCCGGCGCCTTCTTCCAAAACAACAACTCCATCCTCTCCGGCTTCACAGACTACATCCGCCAGCTCGCCCTCCCCAAATCCAACGCCGAGGACCCCAAACCCATCAAATACCTCCTCGACGCCTACTCCGGCTCGGGCCTCTTCACAATCACCCTCTCCCCGCTCTTCAAGTCCAGCCTCGGCGTCGACGTCGCCGGCGACTCCATCACCTCCGCCCGTGAAAACGCCCGCGCCAACAACCTCCCCAACACCGGCTTCGCCGCCGCCGACGCCGCCGTCCTCTTCAAAGACGTCCCCTACCCCGCCGACCAGACCCTCCTCGTCATCGACCCGCCCCGCAAGGGCTGCAGCGACGACTTCCTCCGCCAGCTGCTGTCTTACGGGCCCCGCAGGGTTGCCTACGTCAGTTGTAACGTGCATACCCAGGCGCGCGACGTGGCGGTCATGGTCCAGGGTGATGCGGAGGGCAAGGTGCGGTATGAGATTGAGAGTATTCGCGGGTTTGACTTTTTCCCGCAGACGGGCCATGTTGAGGGTGTGGCTATTTTGAATAGAGCTGTCGTGTAAGGGGTTAGATATAGATATTGAGATGGGTTGCGATCTTTGAATATTGGCTTCGCCTTTAAGAAAAAGCATATTTCATGTATGTGATAGCACACTGCTATTTGACGGCGTTGGGGGATGGATTTTGGGTATTGAATATCACATGTACGGTGCCTATATGTATATTTATATATGGTTTTGTTGCGTATATACATCGAATACCTAGCTAGCTAGACCTGATAGGGAAATTTGGGTGCTTTTCTTCTGAGGTTTGTTCTGTTATAAGCGGTACAATTGAACGGAGAAAAAGCTACTACATATAGCAGCATAGAGTATCCACCCCCCTAGTCCCTTAACCCCACTCATCTTTAATCTACTCGATGACAATCCACACTTTCATTCATTTGATTGTCGAGACATAACTACCTTCTTCGCTCCCTTACGTACCCGGTCCACCGAGCAGGGCGAACCGCCGGACGATGCTGGGGCCGATCTCATCGTACTCGGCCTTGGTGTGGCAGTAGCTGCGGAACTCGGGCGTCTGGCCCAGCAGACTGCCGCCGAACCACGGGCCGTGGCGCTGTCGCTTGTGCGTCACGACGGCCACGTCGAGACCGCCGCTGCGGGCGCCGCCGCTGCGGGCCTCGGAGGCGCGGATCCGCGCGTCCACCAGGTGTCGGATGTCGCGCTGCAGACGGCGGCCGAAGTCCTTGTATAGCGTCGAGCCGCCGGACAGGACGATGTTCTTGTAGAGACCTCTCCGGACGTCGATGGGGGAGGACTGGATGACGCCGTCGACGACGGTCGGCAGGGGGGTCAGGAAGTCGGAGGAGTAGATTTCGGGGTTGAAGAAGATCTCGGGGGCCAGGAACCGCTCGTACCCGACGTCGATGTTGACGCTGCGGCCGTTGGGCGACGTCACGGTGTGTTTGAGGAAGCGGTCGGGCTCCCGGTCGTAGCGGGCGAACTCCTTGACGATGTCGGGACACACGTAGCAGTGCTCCTCCTTGACCTTCTCGGCTGTCTTCAGGCTGCTGTCCGGCTCGCCTCGGTCACGCAGCAGACTCTGGACGAAGTAGGTGATGTCTCGACCGGCAATCGGTATGCTCTTGATGGAGGATCCGATGACGTAGCCTTCGGCGACGGGGATAACGTGGGTGACACCGTCACCGGAGTCGATGACCGTTCCCGTCAGGGACCGGTCGGTCACTTTGGAGGACGTCCACGAGGCAGCGAGTGCAAGCACAGCTTGGACCGCAATGTAGAGACCGGCGCAGTTGAACGACTCGAACATGATCTCGGCCGTGTTCTCACGGTTCTCAGGGGGGTTCAACGGCTATTTAGCGGGCAGATGCAATTAGTAACCCTCCAATAAAGTAGATGTCGGGAAATGAAGGTCGTGGCCTTACGGGTTCGGTGAGCAAGAAGTAATGGTCCTCGGGCTCTACACGCAGGTACTTGAAGATCGAGTTGGACCAGAACCGTTCCATCGAGTCCCAATTCTCGATCTGACCATGACGAATCGGGTAGTTGATCCCATAACCTGGTCCGTTGGCCGCCGACAGAGCCTCATCGCCGATGAAGAAGTCCAAGTCTTCCGTACCACGCTTCGCGGACAAGTGTGAGCTTCCCCCACCACCCCCGCCCATGAACGACGGCTTGTTTGCAACGGCGGGTCTGCCAGCGCCAGCGGTTCCAGAGCTACCGGGTGTCTTGGTGGCAATTGCGGTGGGAAAGACGAACGAGGGCGAATCATTACCGGCGAAACCTAATCCGGGTGTCAGCGGCAGGTAGCTCCTTATCGTCAGGCAGCCCAATCCTCGTACTCACCAAGCTTGGAATAACCAGTTCCGCTACACCAAGGAGTCACCAGTCAGCCAATCATGTTCCATTTGTGTATTACGCGGTCAAATTCAAGGAGTTTCTTGGGCACAGCAACATACTTGTCCATGACAACGGCCGGGGTTTGGGACGCCATGACGGATGATGTGGAGCGCACACACGTCCCCCTTTCAAGATGTCGAGATAAGAGGTGGGACAAGGAGGAAAGAGATTGGGAGAGAGAGTATTAAAAGAGGAACATAGAAAGATCCCTAATATCCGAACAGACGAACCGGGAAGAGGTTAGGGGTAGTAGATGTGGGGGAGGTGGAGGGAGGCAGAGGAGTAGGAGGAGCAGCAGGAGGAGCAGCAGTAAGTAGTAGGAGGGGGGAATGCGGTAAGCTGGTCGGTCGGCCTCAGGCCCGCAGGAGTGGCAGGTCGCAGCCTAAGGCACAAGCACGGATGCCAAGCATTTCGTCACGTGGACGGACATGGCCATTGCCTAATCGGGACGACATACTCTCTTCTCTTCATCTTCTGTTTCTTTCTCCTCTTCATTCTCTTGTCTTGCGTGGAATCACCTCATTCGTATCGAGTATTCTTCTCTACTCAGGTGAGAGGCTATGGCAGTCATGAAGTGAAATGCCTACTGACACATTCAGATCCTACTCGCACCTCGTCTACTATGTGAAGAGCACCAATCAGACTGTTCAGATTCCTGCCTTCCTCACTTCACCTGCGTTTATACTTCACTGGTGATTGACCTAGTGGGGTGTTACTGGCTTCTACCTACCAGACTATGCTCGACAAAGCAATTACGGTTCCTCCAGTTATCCTTTCTCTTCTCTTCTAACTTCCTACCTCTTGGTGTCCTTCACCACCGTTCCTAAACCACTACATCCTATCCTCATGTTCGAATCAGTCACTCTTTTTGCAGCACACCTTAGTTTTATCTTCATTCTTTCAACTAGGGATACTGGTCTTTTCTCTGGATAAAGCAACTGCGCTCTGTCTTGGATGACTTACTCCTAGCACCTTATCCATACTACCCATCCATTGCCCTAGGCAAAACACCCCCATCATTTTCCCCTAAGTTGTCTACAGTTTGTGTTCCAGAGCTCCCAGGCAATGAATTGATCCCCATTAAAGTGAATGTCACCGTTTGGGTCTGCTGTGCACTCTTTGATCCTGAGTTGCTCTCAGACACTCCGTGATATCCCTCTTTCTCCCATGCCATCACAGTACGCCAGACATCGACCTTCTGACCCTCCCCCTTCCATGAGAAACAATTCCACCATGAGTCATCCCAGACCAAATCATGTATCCGCCATCTTCGTCCATGCCGGCGCCGGGTTCCACAGTCTACACAACGAGAGAGCCCATCTGGAAATCTGTGAGAGGTGAGTTTCCTCCTCCAACGGCTTGCTGTGTGAGCTAACCCTATCAAGTGCTGTGAGAATTGCGATGGGAATACTCCGGAATGGGGGCTCTGCAGTTGATGCGGTCGAGTCGGCCGTTATGCTGTTGGAAGACGCCGAAATCACAAATGCAGGATACGGTAGCAATATGACCTTGAACGGCACTGTGGAATGCGACGCCACCATTATTGATCATCTAGGCCGAAGCGGCGCTGCTGGAGCCGTTCCTCGTAAGTCTCGCCCCAAGTATTCTTCCCCCAGGGATCGACTCATTTGGGGTCTAACGAATCTCTCAGAGGTCAAGAACCCGGTTTCACTGGCCCGGGTCATCTATGAGCATTCCAGCAAGCCGCTGTCGCTACAGAGAGTCCCTCCGAATTTCTTGGTAGGCCAAGGTGCTACTGACTTTGCTTATGAACACGGGCTAGTGGTTCTTCCTCACGATGCTCTAATATCTCCTACTGCACAAGAGAGGTGGAATCGCTGGCGAAACGACCTGGAGGCGGCGGAAGCGAAGCTGAGACAAGAGAAACTCGCCCAGTCTCCAAACGACCAGCTCGCTGCATTTTATCGTCGACCCGTCAATAATCATTTGGCCCATTTACTGGCAACCCCTTCGAGTGACCGGCCCAGCTCAGCGGCTAGCTCTCCTCTGGCCCATCCCACGCACGACACGCAGACCGTCTCCAGCAACAGCTCCCTATCCAATCATGTGAATACTTCGCCTTTGAGCTCACGATCGCACAAGACCGGGGACGGTGAGTATGTCGATGGTGCCACCCCGCACAGATCGCGGTCGTCAGGCCGCCGGGATCAGGCAACAGATACGCGGGCGCCAGGCTCGGAGAGCGCTTCCGGTCACAGTACTCCTCGGTCTGGATCGGCAGCTGCAATCAACGCGCCTCGCGGTGGACACCCCCGCTGCGATGGCCATGTTCCTTGCGAAGCAGACACTGATCGGATAAATGATACTGTTGGCGCCATCGCAGTAGACAGCAATGGGAATATTGCAGCAGCCTCGTCCTCCGGGGGTATCGGAATGAAGCACAGGGGTCGGATCGGGCCAGCAGCACTCGTGGGTATCGGGACCAGCGTGATCCCAGTGGATCCCAGTGACCCCGAGAAGACGTGTGTCGCTACGGTTACCTCAGGGACTGGCGAGCACATTGCAACCACCATAGCCGCCCAGACATGCGCCGCCCGTGTTTACTACAGCCAGCGAAAATGTAAAGACGGCTCATACGAGGAGGTCACGGAAGACGAGGCCATCAGTGCCATGATTCAGAATGACTTCATGTGTAAGGACAGGAGCCCCTGATCGGTGTGATCCAAGGCTTATCTTCCGTTATTCGAGCAGGTCATCCCGGAGTCAAAGACAGCCCTTGTCAAGGCGCAATCGGAGTCATGTCGGTAAAGAAGACCGCCGACGCGATGTTCTTGTACTTTGCTCATAACACCGATTCTTTCGTCAGTTTATTCACCCGCGCTACACCAGGAGTGCACGACTAACAACTACGTGAACAGGCCCTCGCCTCGATGAGCTGTGAGGACAAGAAGCCAACGTCCGTCATGTCCCGCAGCCGTGGGAATGGAACGGTTGCCCAAGGCGGTCGCGTCTACCGACGTAGAAGGTATGCATCCACTAATTATACGCACGAAGAATCTAAATGCCAAGGCATAAGCGCTGACGAGGCTCCTTACAATCATAGGCACAGAGTTCCAGAAGCAACTGCAGGGTCCCATTCGTGATGGTAATTTCTCTGCTATTAAGTACATCGAGGTAAA